AAGATTTTGGTTCTTGCCCGTTTTCCGGTCCGAGAATTACAAAGAAAGAAAAATATTGCGCGAACTTTAGTTCCAACCTAATAGCTTTGTCTATCTCACTCTCTCACTCTCTCACTATCACTCCTCTCTCTCTCGCTCTGTCTCTACTGTCTCTCTCTCGCTCTCCCTCTCTCACTCTCTCTCTCTAACACTGTTGATCTCTCGCCCTGTCTCTCTTTCTTGCGCTCTCCCTAACTCACTCTCTCACTAGCTCGCCCCTCTCTGTCTCTCTCATCGCTCTTCTCTCTGTCTCTTTCATCGCCTCTCTCTCTCTCTCTCTCTCTCTCTCTCGCCTTAAGGGATGATGCCTGCAAGCAACCCCCGCCCCCCTTGAGAACTTTTTTAGAATTTTCACCTCCAGCCCTACCGCGCTCCCCTCAAAATCATCTATTTTCCCTGCAAAAATTCGCAAAAACCTTGACAAATCCTGGGCCCTCTCCCCTGCACATTGCATGACAAATTCCCCGGCTCAACGGCTGTGTCCGGCGGATTCTTTTGGAATTCCTTTGGCCCGGGTCTATTCCTGGGCCCTTCAATTTCCGCACCAAAATTATTTTTTGCCCTCTCGTCATCATGATTTGCAATTTTTTTCTCGCAATTTCCATTCCGGCGAATCTGACCTCGGGAAATAATTGCAACGTGGGTCACGTGGAGCAATTTGCTCTTGAGTCATAACTTCAAGGGTTCTTGTGCGTTTCCGGGGGGTGGAGAAGGGGAGTTTATAGGGCAAAATCCACTTCCAATCCAATCCAATCTTTAGAATATACAAAGAAAGAATATTTCTACGTTGTTTTTTCCTATCAGCGTTTTAGAGCTTTCTAAAGCTTCACGAATTTTTAGTAAAGTACGCAAAAAATGACTGATTGCGGCGGTTGGCCCCTATTTTGTGGCACTGATTAAGGAGCGGTTTAAGCCGCACGTTAAAACAAAGCCAAATGACAGCCGGTGTTCCGCTGTGGGACCCTAGAATTTTGCTGGCTGGGTTTTTTCCAGTCCTGAGGATTTATTTTAAAGGCTGTAGGCTTATGCTAGCTTGAAATTCTTCCTAATAGCTTTATTATGGCTCTTTCTCCCTCTCTTTCCCACTCTAGCTCTCTCACTCTCTACCTTTCTAACTCTCTGCCTCGTCCTCTCGCTCGCTCTCTGCCTCTCTCTCTCTCTCTCTCTCTCTCTCTCTCTCTCTCTCTCTCTCCCGCTCTCGCTCTCGCTCGCTTCGAGCTATCCAACCACCCGATCGGCAAAACAATTAGCATTTCTGGGTCTAGAGCAGAAATTAGAAAACTGCACCCACTTTTTCGAGGAGCAAACAAGGCAAGAGCAAAGATCAGCCACTAGCCTCGACTTCAAGCAGTTCAGTTTTTCGTCTTTTAAAGCTCTAGGACTTCAAGAAGTTCACAGATCCAGTAGATTTTTGCCTTCCACAGCCCTTTAACGCACTTTTGCGCTCTATTATGAAGTTAATTTTATTGTTGACACTCATTTTTCTCTAGAGTCCCCCAAAAACCCGAATCTCTTGAGATTCGTTTATTTTGTCAGTCTGTTTTGTAGAGATGTACCCAGGTGGTGTCCAATTAGGGCCCCAGATCTTTCTCTCTCTCTCTCTCTCTCTCTCTCTCTCTCTCTCGCTCTGTCTCTCTCTTTCGGTCACTCTATCTAGCTGGGCCCTTCCATGGGCCCCAGTTAGGGCCCATCCCCCCTAGGGTCCTCCCCCAGGCATTCTCACTCCATCATCCCCATTTGCCCTTTTACGCCCCCAAAAAAACATGATGATGACCCCTCGGGGAATGGGGGCCCATCAGTCCTTTTTTGGCACACACATCAAATCTCGGCACTTCCGCTTTGCATAAATTCGGTTTTAAAGGGGCTGAGAAGTCGGAGAAACTGGGTGGTCTTGTGACTGGATCATGACAGCTACGTGGAGCTCCAGATGACGTGACGCAACGTAGCGTAGCGTTTTTTTAACGAACTGCACGCACTTACCTGTGCCTTTCACGGTTTCGTAGTTGTCGAGACCCAGTTGGTCGAAGAACTCGATTCTCTAGTTCTTCGCTCGCTTTAGAATTCGGCAAGTGTCTTTTTCTGTAATTTTTAATGTTTTTCTTGCCGACTAGCTGTTTGGTTGTGTAGCTGAACAGTTCTTCTATTTTTTTGGGCTTTGACCAAGTCTCCAAGGAGATCCCGAATGGATAATTTTTTTGAGTACGACAAAACAGCTCGTGAGCATTACCGTACTCGAAATTCTGTATTTTTTGAAGTTAGAACAGTATTTTTTTGACCATTTTTTATTTTGTCTTCCATGTCCGTTTAAAGGGACTAGGAAGACAAAAATAAGACCTTAGATAATATCACAACACGCAAACTTTAAAATGTGTAAAATTAAAACAGGATTTCCCATTTAAAGCGAGGGGAGGGACCAAAATCGACCCCTTGCCGCGTTTAGGTCTCGACAAATACAAATCACTCCTAACGACACGTCCAAAACCGATTTTTGGAATGCATCTGGTAGCAAAATTTTTGAGAATCAATGGCATTTGTTCGCATACATGGCTCGGAGGGTAAGTGTCAAGACCCAGTCGGTCTAAGGGGGTCGAATTTCACACTTCCCAGTCCCTTTAAAGTTTAAACCCAAAAATGCGCTCTCGTGATCTCGCGATCAAAGAACCCCGAATTCTGCAAGAGCAGCGTTCGGGGGAGCTGTAGATCTTTCGCCCACAACCCGGGTGGAAATCCTCAAAAACTGGGTGGCCGGAGTGGGGGGAAGCTGCTCTGTTTGTTTGTAGACGATAGGAAGGAGATGATTTGAAAGTTAAGGGCGGCTTTTCGACACACAAAATGTCCGACAGTTCGCTACTCTCTCTCTCACTCGCTCTCTCTCTCTCTCTCCCTCTCTCTCTCTCTCCTTATTTCTCTGCCCCCTAAACCCTAAGGAACACTCCACCTTATCATCCCTCCCTCCTATTTCCACTCAATTCCAGAGACCAATCGGATGCAATGAGTCAACTCTCGGAATTCTTTTAACCTAGCCACGTTTTGACGTTTTTGACAGGCTCGGCTAGACCGGACGTCAGCAATTTATGGCTTATCTTTATTAGGCGATGAAAAGGGCGCTAGGTGGCGGAATTTTCGACTTGTTTTCAAACTCGTTTTCAAGCTTTCTATCGATTTTAAACGCTATTTTTTTTGAGAAAATTCTCAAAGCGTGTTTGCTAGCTTGCCTTGAAGAGCTCGAACAAGCAGAACTTTGCTAATAAAATTTGGGCAATTGTCCAATGCGTCTTTGCGAGCTCACCCGGTTGGCTAAACCCTCAAAGACCAAAAGTCGCAAAGGGCCTCTGCTAACTAGCCTCCACGTCTGGAAACGTTTCCTAAAGCATCTTTGCTAGCCTTCCGCAGCTCTTAAAACGGTTTCCTCAAACGTTCGCTGTTAGCTTGCCTATCAGGGCCTCAAACCTTTCCCATTGATCTCGGCTAGTTGACCTTGGATCGACTCTCGAAATCCACAAGATCACTGACAAACAATAGAAGGAAAATGTAAGCAAATTCAAGAGTTGGTGCCACAATATTTGGTACTGGTCTGTTAGCGGGGGTCTGTTCCTAAAATTTTTATAAAAGGACAAAAAGGGTTTCCAATTTTTCAAAATCTCTACAAATCATTTTTTAACTTCCTTGCAATTGCAACACTAATAAAAACACTAGAAAAGTTTAAATTAGTTTCCCGTCCCCCCGCTAACAGTTCAGTACCCAAAAAAGCAGTGTCGAAAAGATTGAGCCTCCGAGCCCTCCCAGAGTGTAAATACACCAAGAGGAATAAATCCCCATGGGAGGACCCGGATTGCCACCTCAGTCTTCCGGCCCTGTCTGCACTCATTACCAGTTATGTGCGTTCGGTGTTCAGTGGTAGTAATAAAGTGCATTTGCTAAAGACCTGCAAAGGATTAGGAGAACAGGTTTATTAGAACAGTGACGGAATATAATCGGGACATGAGAAAAGGTGTCTGAGGGAAATACAGATGTCGAAGGCCAGGCGGGCCAAGTTTGGCATGGGTGTCGAAAGGTTGCATTCGCCAGAGGTTTACTGTGCTCCGGATAGTGGTAAACCACGTCCCCGGCTCACAGCACTCTCACCAAGCCGTGCCGAAGCAACGACTGGCCGCAACACCCTTTCGGGATAGCGGGGGAATATGCAAGCATAATCTCAGAGAGCGCCGGGAGGGCGCTCACACAGCCCGCTACCGTAGTGGTCATCGCGGCGGGACCCCTGGCATATTGCCAACCCCTATTATCCCAGGTAATTCATCCTCGAAACTCCTAGGAGATGAAATCTCGTAGGAAAGTTTCGACACTCCCGGCCCGCGCAAGAGCCAGAAAGTGCCGCCCCCGGTGAAGGGAGCAAGGAACCTTACAAGGGGAGGTTGAGTGGGAGCCTCGCGGCGGCCCAAGAATTTACAAACAAGTCCGCCCGGCCCGGGGGAAAGGTTGGGGTACAGAGGGACCAATTACATGGTAGAAAATGTTCTGCACTGTGGGGGCGGGAGGACGAAAATGGGTTAGATAAACGCTAGGGGAGGGGCAGCTGACAATAAAATAGTTGGTCGGCGCTAAGGAGCCCGTACTCCTGCCGAACCAACTCGGGAAAGGGGAGGGGATGACTTATCGGATTTTCGGCAGCGGCTGGCGTGTAGTGGACTTGAGGCAGGCTGGCGGTCGAGAAGAGGCTTGTGGCACTTCGCGTCGATGTCGTCTTGCGAAGTGTTGTCGAACTTGTACTCTTGCATCTCGCGCAGCCGTCCAGGTGAGGTTGTAGGCGAGCATGGCGAAGGTTCCGAAGAACCTTGAGAGGGTGTCGAGTGGTGGTGGGGAGGAATCCTCTCACGAAACCTCCTTGTCACCATGTAATGTCGTAATGCAGGAAGGCGGTGACGCGAACTTGAATAACGTCTCGGCGTTGACGAGTGTCATCAGTCGGCTTGTCGCAGTGGGGACGAGGGTCGGCGCGTCGTGCGATGGCCTTCTTGAAAGCGAAGTCGAAGTTGGCGCTTCGCGTCAGGGCGGCAGCATGGTGTTGTCGCTGGCAGCTTGACGGCGCGGTGGATTTGAACTTGCTGCAAGAAGTCGGATGAAGAGGTGGACCAAACGGCTCGCGGCGGCCCAAGTAGTGGTCCATAAACTGGAGATTGGCGTGTAGGCGCCTGTAGTCGTTGGTGGCTTATGAAGTCGTGCAGGAGTGTCGGCTTCATCAAGTAGCGACTCATCTCGCAGCAGTCGAGAAGCCAACAACAACGAATGCGAACGGCACGGCTACCGCACTCCATCCACAAGTCGTTGTCCTGGAGCTTGAAAGTTTGAAACGGCGACGTTTGAGTGAAGAGGCTTGATGGAGCTTCGTGTCGAGTGGAGTCGTACTTGAGCGCTTGCGTGTTGAAGCCTTGCATCCGGCTGTTGGTGTCGCAACGGAACTGCTGACTGTAGTCAGGGCAGCAGCATGAAGTTGTCGATGTCGCTGTGTTCAGGTCGAAAGCAGCAGCTGAAGTGATTGACTTGGCACTTGAAGTAGTCAGCGGTCCATGTTGTATTCCAGCTTGGTGGAAGAAAAGCAGTGCGGGAACAATCGATGTCGACTCAGTTGTCGAACTTGGCGCGGGCAGCTTGAAGAAATCCTGATATGCAGACTTGTCGATCCAAATGCTCGCGGCGGCCCAAGTTTTGTGAGTGGATACGCCGGAAGTCGATGAAGTGGAAGAAGTAGTAGTGACCGCAGCGAATGTCGTCGCCGTAGTCGTACTTGTCGAGGAGGCGGCAAGAATCCTGCTGAACTTGCTGGTTGAGCTTGGCTCTTCCTTCAAATGTAGGCGAAGCGAAGTGGTGGAGGCAAGTCGAGCTTGTAGACGGGGTGAAGAGACGAGTTGCGCAAAGGCGAGACCAGCTCCGTGTTGCAACGCGGGCCAGCTGTCTCGAAAACTACCATCTCACAAGCTGCTTGATTGTAGAAGTTGTTGTAGGCGGCACCTCGAGGATGGGCAAATTCTGGAGCCAAAGCAGAAGAATTGTGAAGCGTGAAGCCATGTGGTCGCTGTGGCGCTGCTCGGATGAGCTGTTGTCGGCGGAGCATGAAGGGCGGCAGCAGAATGCGGTAGTCGCACTGCTCGGATGAGCTGTTGTCGGCGGAGCATGAAGGGCTGTAGCATGAAAGTCACAGTGGCGCCGCTCGGATGAGATGTGTAGCTTGTAGGCGACAGCAGCAGAGGTATTCTTGTACAGCGTCCTAGTGCAGCTTGATGTAGTGCTCGTTGGGACGATCAGCTTGAACTTTGCAGCGTGAAGCATCTTGTCGCGATCAAGTTGTGGAGCAACCGCAGCGGGTTGACTGTCGTAGGTGACGCGGGAGGCTTGTGAGGTCGCAATAACTGGCAGGCTTGCCAGGTGTCGGACGCATCCCACGAGTGTCTCTTTCTTCAGCACGATGTCCCGCAGCAACAAAACTGAGCATATTTTTAGGGAAAGGAAACCTGAGTAATCGAGCAGCGATCAGTGGCATAAGGCTCGACTCGCTGAAGTTGAGGAGTCGACCGAGCCGCCGAAGCTGTTGGTGAAACTTGGATTGTTGTCGGGAACCGGCGGTCGTAGAGACAGTCGGCGCAGCAGGTGTTGGTTGACCTTGTCAACGTCCTGAAGCGGGGTCGGCTGCAGCGGCATGTGTTTGGCGGCCGCAGGTGTAGAAGAGAGCCGTGTTGTGTCCGGATTGTTGCCCAGCGTGTCGCAGCTTTCTCCAAGGAAGATCTGGAAAAAAAAAGAATTATCCCGGCGGCGTCAAGCAAGTTTCTTGCTGACGATCTTCGCGTTGCGTGGTGCGAGTGTCGCCGAACAATTCGTAGGCATGGAGTTGACGATGACGCCAGGTAGGGGCGCAGCAGCATTGGTGGCGAAACTTGCTGTTGTTCGATGTATCGCAGCTTGAGGCGTGGATGTTGTCGATGCGGTTCAGCAGCAGTCGGCGAGCGAGCAACAGAAACGAGCGAGCAGGAGGTGACGAAGTTGATCAGGCACAAGTTGATCAGGTGGCGATCGCACTTCTGCGAAGCGTCTGTCAACCAGCTACCGATGTCTCGTCCCGCCGAAGAAAATGTAGTCGCCTCCGATGGCGACGGCAAGGGTTTGAAGTGTCGCAACGCACTGGCTTGCCCTCGCATTCGGCTTATCTGAGAAAAAGTACCAAATAAAACCTCTTGAAAGAGCGGTGGTCTGGCCAAAGTGAAGCTGGAACAGATCCTTGCGGTTGCTTGTAGATCGAAAGCTTGACCGAGGACTCGTCGGCGTGGCTGAGCGTAGCTTGAAGACCAAACATCGTAGCGGCTTGACGAAGGTGGCAATTGTAAGTCCCATCCAAACAGAAAGTGTCGCGAAATTGTTGGCTTGCGCCAACAACCCTTGACAACAGTCTGATCGAGGCACAAAGCGATGTCGATGGCGTTGAACTGCTTGCAGGTAGAGGTATTGAGTCAAAGACGCGTTTCTGGGGCCTGCGTCGTGTAGTAAACTTCAGTGTCGCCCGTTGCAGAGGAATGAAGCATCTCGTACGGCAGGAGGAACATGTTGTAAGTTGTCACAGGCATCAGAAGATCCTTGATGTGACCAGTGTACTCGCAGAGAACATCAAAAGTTGGCCTTGGTGTCGCAAATCTTCGAATGGCGCAGGCGATTGTGCAGGCACAAGTCTCAACAGCATGTATCGCGGCCTTCGAAGATTGTCGTCGCCTTGTCCGGGTCTGGATGACTTGAAGGCATCATGTCGATCGCGGCCGCTAGAAGAAAATTGACTTGCGCAGCGTTGGCCTTGAGTTGCCGGTGTCGTTGCGAGCGTTTGCGGGAATTCGCATGGCTCATCGACGGGCAGGCGGAAAGATGGCAGCAAGTGTCACGAAGAACGAATGTCGCTGGCACAGATGTCTCAAGCCTTGCCTTGATAGTTGACCAGCATGTGTCGATGATGTCGTTGCAGCGATCACGTAGATTCATTCTGCATTCGGCGGCGCTTCTTGAAAGGTGAGGGCGGCGGAAGGAAAATACAGCTGCAGCAAACACAGGTCAGTGGCGAGCAGCGGTCGTTGTTGCTGTCCAGCTTGTCCTGGTGGGAGGCGATCGATGAAGTCGGGAGAACACTCCAGTATTGGCCCATCTCGCAGCGGTCGAGGGGCTAAAAAATAACCCGTGTGAACGGCACGGCGACCGCACTCCATCCACAAAACGGGTGATTCCGGAGCTTGCGAGTGCGAGAGGGCCAGGCTTGATTGATGAACTTGTAGGAGCGTCTTGGCGAGGGCCGGTGAAAGACATGAGGCAGCATGGTGTCGATGGAACCAGCGCCAGCTTGTGTCGGAATGCGGACGCGTCTCGAAATGTATGACGCAAAGCCCTGAAAAAGATGGTGAAGGCGACGCGGTGGGAGAAGAAGAACTCCGCTTGACGTTGTCCCCGAAGAGGCTTGATGTCGCGAAAGTGTATTGAGCATCAGCAGTGCGAAGTGCCGGGCGATGCGAGTAGCGGCCAGCAGGAATGCTGACATCCGGTCGAGGAGGCGAGGATGATGGTGTCGAAGGAGCCCATCCCTGTCCGGAAACAGTGGCGAGGCGCGGCAAGAGACGGGTTCTTCCGTGTGAACGTGTTGTTGTTCCGCCTGTGTGTCGTACATCTAAAGTCAACGCGATGGAGGTGAGGGGCGATTGTTGCTGTTGACGTTCGGCTTGTTGCGGGGCGTAGACGCATGTACATGTGCTCGTTGACGTATTGGACGCGATTGTGCAGCAGATGTTGTACTGAGAAGTAGTAGATGTCGCGCTGATACGTAGTAGACATCCGCATGCAAAGCAAAGAACAGGCGGCGGAGTCGAGAAAGGTCGGATGTCGGTGCTGTAGCGCCATCGGTCAGTTGTCATCTTCCGATTGGTTCCAGGAACTCGGGTGGAGTGTCGGAGTCGGAGTCCGGTTCCATGAAAAGTACAGGGTTGTCTCTCTTCTTCGGTTCAGGAGTCGGAGTATGCAGCGCGTAAGTCTCGCTGCCATACGGCAGGATGACCTCCTTGCCCTCGTACTTCGGCTCATTGAGGTCCTGAATAAGAGATCGTAAAGGTGTGTCGCTCTTCTTCGGCTCAGGTCGGAGTATGCAGCATGTAAGTCTGTCTGCAATACAGCAGGATGACCTCCTTGCCCTCGTACTCCGGGTCGTTGAGCTCCTGAATGAGAGATCGTCTGCCCTGGTTGGATCCGTTGATGACTGTTCGGAACTTGTAAAAAGTCGACGATTCGTCCCGAAAGGCAAGCGGAATAACGGTCAAGTGACGTCGCGAAGCTGTCAGTATGTCTTGACCGATGAGCACCTGGCACTGACCCTGTAGAAGTAAGCAACATTGGCGGCAGTGTCGATTGACAGGTGAACGTCGTGGAAGGTGACCATGTAGATGATGACGTTGTCGAACAGTGAATTGTGGTGTAGAGCGCCGCTCGGATCCGGTGTCGGCAAAGGTAGACGCGAGAAGCGTCAAAGTTGCTCGGCATGTCGCTGTCCCTGCGCCAGCTTGAGTGTCGCATCACGAATCCATTGCCCTGTGTCAGTTGTCGCAAACGGCAACCTTGGAGCACCATGGTGAGCAGCAGTAGCAGACACGGCATTGTCGAACGCAGAGGAGGCTTGGACTTGGCGTAGCCTGGCGGAAGTTGTCTGCGTAGCTGGGCGAGTAGGCAAGCAGCATTGGGCGCATGGTGAGCGAAGAACGGCGTGAAGCAGTCTCGTTGTCCGGCATTGTGAAGGCGAACGACGAACATCATCCGCGAGTGGTAGATAGTTGGCGAACAGGATGAAGAACTTCTGCTTGCTGTCTTGTTGTGCCAGTTGATGAGCGCAGAGAGCAGGATACACCACATCAGCAATGCGCAGTAGATAGATGACGAGTAGACGGCCCTTCGGCAGCAAGTGTCCCCCGGAACCAGATGTCACATTACCAACGTGTGTCTAAAACACTGCTATACAAAGTAGAGATAAACTCTAAGTTGTACAACAGGCGAAGCGGGAAAACAAAAGTGAAAAGCCAAATCAAAACTTTGAGGAAACAATAAGAAACCTTTGAAAAAACGAATGACAATACCCGAAAATTAGTCGAAGTTCGCGAACGTAGAAGTTTTTCGGGTAAGCAAACGAAATTTCAAAAAATTTCGAATCATCTTGGCCAACCTTAGCGACGAATCGTAGGTGGCGCTCTCAAAATTTCAAAAAGAACTTTACTTTTGCACATCCGTTTCGATTCATCGAAGTAGAATGTGCGGTAGTAGATGCTTGGCATGTCCATCGAGCATTGAGCGAAGGGCAACATCTTCGAGCAGCAACTTTCTTCCATAGAGCAGCTTCTTGAACCATCAGGAGTTGTGGAACACGCGGCAGGGCTACTTGATGTCGAGCGGAAGTAGACCATGATGAGACGATGTGAAGCCGAATGTCGGGCGGCATCAAGCCAAGTGTCGAGCGGCGATAAGCCAAGTGTCGCGTGGCGCAAAGCCGGGTGTCGGGTTTGAAAAACTAAGGAAGATAAACTTCCAAAGTGATCCAAGGTGTCGCACAAAAAGAAAAAGTAAATAAATGTCAACGCGTGTGCGAAAAGTATATGAACAGCAGAAGAAGACGCGGATAGAAATGTAAAGCAATTCGGCGAAAGGTAGAAAGAAAGGTGGGTTTGTTAGCTTCAGGCGGCCCATGCTTCGTTTCTTGCCATCGCTGTAGTCGTGTAGTCGCAATCTTGATCAGCTTCTTGTGCAGCACGGGTTGTCGTTGAGCGCGCGTCGCCATCGATGAGACCTTGTCGAAGCGCAGGAAGAGCTTGCGAAAAAGTGTCGAGCACCGAGGCAACGTGTGTCGATTTCTTCTTTGCAAACGCCCGATGTCGTGAGAAAAGTCAGCGCCTAACTGCAAATTGATTGGCCAGTAAAAAATTGCAACTCCAACAGCTTTCTCAAGGCTGTGGGGCAATATCACCTCGAAAAAATTGTTGTAGTATTTGATGAGAAGTTGTTGCACATCACTCAGCGGAAGTGTTGAAGCATCAGCAAAAGTGTAGAGTGAGCGCATATGTAGATCGGCCAGTGTCTCGAACACGAAAACAGCTTTCTCAAGGCTGTTGGTGTCGAAAACACCTCGTAGAGGGTGTCGAGTGTCGAAAAAAAACAACGTGTGTCGAACGGCAAAAAGGCTTGAGCAGAGCTTGGTGTCGATTTGAAGCTTGTAGGCTTGTAGTCGAACGAAGTTGCATGATGGAAGCGCCCATATTGTCGTCGACCATTTCGCACACTGATCACGCCATGTCGCCCGCATCCTTCTTGGGTAGATTGGGGCCAAAGGTTGTCGATGCTTGGTGAAGAGCGCCTCACAACACGTGGAGCGAGGTCGTCCCATTCTCTAGAGCACCGCAACCGCCAGCGATGACCATTGGACACGATTAAAAAACTCTTTTCGCCCTGGAAAAGACAAAAGTAAAACCCAAATAAACCTTTTAAAATGCATCCGATTGCTCCACTCGCTTTTTCTTCTAGTTTCGCAACGGTTGGACGACATTCACTTCCATCATTCCTTGAAAAACTTCAGCTGCAGCCGCGCACCTCTCCCCATCTTGGGGCGGCATGGTAACACAGCATCCATCGTCCATATCCTGATTTTCTCTGAAAAACTGGCTCAAAGAGCCGAGAAATTCACCAAAACGGTAAAGGTAACCAATATTGGGTTTTCGCCCAAAGCTTACCACAAACTTACTAAACTTCATCCCTTGTCAGATTCCATAAAGCTCGAATGCTTCAGCAAAAGGGGTCCAAAGAGAAGGAAGGTGTCCGCGATCGTCAGACCAAATGTCGGTGTCCATCCATCGCAAAACACTGCTGGCCGGCAGTGGTGTCGAAGAAAAAACGAGTGTCGCGGGGTATATCCGTATGTCGAGGTTGAGCAGGTCAACGGCAAAAGGCAAATGACGAGTGGCCCGGTGATCACTACGGCTCGACTGCACCATGTCGAAAAGATTGAGCCTCCGAGCCCTCCCAGAGTGTAAATACACCAAGAGGAATAAATCCCCATGGGAGGACCCGGATTGCCACCTCAGTCTTCCGGCCCTGTCTGCACTCATTACCAGTTATGTGCGTTCGGTGTTCAGTGGTAGTAATAAAGTGCATTTGCTAAAGACCTGCAAAGGATTAGGAGAACAGGTTTATTAGAACAGTGACGGAATATAATCGGGACATGAGAAAAGGTGTCTGAGGGAAATACAGATGTCGAAGGCCAGGCGGGCCAAGTTTGGCATGGGTGTCGAAAGGTTGCATTCGCCAGAGGTTTACTGTGCTCCGGATAGTGGTAAACCACGTCCCCGGCTCACAGCACTCTCACCAAGCCGTGCCGAAGCAACGACTGGCCGCAACACCCTTTCGGGATAGCGGGGGAATATGCAAGCATAATCTCAGAGAGCGCCGGGAGGGCGCTCACACAGCCCGCTACCGTAGTGGTCATCGCGGCGGGACCCCTGGCATATTGCCAACCCCTATTATCCCAGGTAATTCATCCTCGAAACTCCTAGGAGATGAAATCTCGTAGGAAAGTTTCGACAAGCAGTATCAAAAGCTAAAATTAGGCTAAAATAGGATACAAAGAAAGCAAAGCTAAAAATGTTGTTTTCTGTGTAATTTAGTACCTTTTTGAAGGCCCATACAAAAAAATCCGATTTTAATTGGACGTCCGGTGGCCAATTCATCGATTTTTCGGGGGTCCAAAAGCGGCTTTTCAACCTTTTTGCAACTGGACAATATTTGCTGAAGCGCCCCAGCTGCCATTCCCCCCCAAAATCGCTATATCTTATCGCCTTGACTGGGTATTCAGAAATGCTGAAACCGTTGATAGGATCCGGGCGTCGCGGCTGACCCCTCCCCTCCCCTTTTTAGAGCTTTTAGAGCTCCCCCAATAACTGAGTCATACTCCTAAAATTGCTGAAAACATTCGACGTTTATTGGCGCCACGCTACGGGACACTACTATTGACGTGCTTTGTATCGTTACGTACTAATTTTGGTGGATATGCACCGAAAAGCGGCCTTTCGCCGCGATCGCGACAGGCCGAAAGTTAATAATAGGAAAATTGGTGAGTTCTTGAGGATTTAAAAACTTTTAATTATTTATTATGTTATATTGTGTAATGGACGAAAAATGGCTGCTTTTGCAATATCGGGGGGGGGGGTAACAGGTTTTTTGTTGGTCCGGAGAATCCTAGTAACGTAATGCTGAGTATTTTCACGGTGGTTTGGTGAAATTTAACTACATTTCAAGGGAAAAACTATCTAAAAGTCAAAATGCTAGAATTTTGCTAAAAAATCGACATTTTTGTATTTTTTTACTGAAAGTTTGTAATGGCTTTGCGGAAATATATTGGGAAACTGTAAAAATGTGCTAATTTGCCGGGGTTTGTATTTTTTCTTGGATTTCGCTAAATTCCGATAGAAACCGCTACATTCCGTTAAATTCGGCTAGTTTCCGCTAAATTTTGTCAAATTCCGCTGCAGTACGTTACATTCCGCTAGATTCCGCCCTTCCGTCATTTGGTGGTGTTCGTAAATGGTTTCTAAGGCCAGATAAATTCGTTGAATCCCACCCCCCCCACCCAGCCGGCTGCACCCTAAAATGCGACCCAAATCTCGAAGGGGTGTGGATGACGGGGTGTCTGTCTATCTAAGGAAATGTCTATCCCTCTAGGCTTATCATTCCCCCGCTTCAACCACTCCCTCCCCCCTAATAAAAGTCGAGCTGAACGCCATTTCCGCTCCCCTTATATATGGTCAGTCAGCTGGTCCCTCACCAAATATTTCAACGCCTATCGTAAGATTACTTAAAGATTGAGTTTATAAACGAATTTTTGTAATTTTTGAGCAATCTAGCGCGTTCTTTGTTTCTCTCTCTCTCTCTCTCTCTCTCTCTCTCTCTCTCTTGCTCTCTGTCCGTCTATCTATCCCTCTCGCTTTCTATCTCTTTTTCTCTGTCTCTCTCCAGCTCTCTCTCTCTCGTCGCGAGAATTCCCCAAGTACTTCTGCTACCGGTTTCTCCTAACGCCAGCTCAATTCCGCAGGCATCTCTGCTAGTTTCCCAGCACTACCAGGGATTAGGCTACGCTAGACTCCAATTTACGTCCCTATTTTTGATGTATACCAATTCCATATTTCTAACCTATTTGTGCCTCCGTTCCGGCCACAAAATCGTGGATTTTCGACCGGCTCCCGCTATAGTCTATCATTTCCTGGCATGTGCACCTGATCAGCGGGGGATCAGAGACCTCTGGGATGAAAATTGATGATTTCGAGGGTCGGCGAGTGGTGTGAGTACACGCCCGTATCCTGAGAGCACCCTCGAAAAACCACCCGGGCTTCATGTCTTGCCATTTCCATCAGACTTTGTACTCCCAAATACTTTTCTGCGTACCAAAATGTCTAAATTTAACCTTTCTTTCTAAAAATAATTTTCCAGTGACCGCCCGAGCCGACGACTGGCCCTTTACCGCTTCAACGAGGGCCATGCCCAGCATCGTGCAGGTACGTTTCTCGCTCTCACTCTCTCGCTCCTCTCTCTATCTCTTTCTCTTCAAACGGGAATTACTGATTTTTAGCTTCAAAACAACGCGATCCACCCGCGTGGCTTCAAGGATGATATTCCGGTGGATTTGCAAGGCGGTCGGTTGATTGACATGACCGAGGTGGGCCAAAATTTCCGCGTGTTTTTGCTCATCTACTGCCGTGTGTTACTGCTTTAAAGGAGCGTTAAAGCCAAAAATCCATGGATCCAAGCTTTGGCCTGCGGCGCGCAACGCGCACGCTTGCATTTAACTTGTGTAATGGACTAAGACAACTTCAAGGGGGTCAGGCCTGCGGCGGAGAAGCAAAATACACAGCTAATCCATACCCGGCGAAATCCATAAACTCGACTTTCCCGCTTCTTTAAAACATCCGAATTTCAGGAAGAAGAAATCGACCCCAGCGATGGGGCCACCGTCCAAATCACGACCTATCGAATCGAGACCCCCGATGGGCACGAGCTGACGCAGACCGTCCGCCGGAAAGTGAGTCAACTTTTCTGGTATTGCTTTTCTTGTGCTGCCTCCCGCTTTTATTGAAAACTGCGGGAGTTTTGAAGCGGGAAATATCGATTTATTCGCTAAAGATTAATTCTAAAAGTTTTTGACGGAATTTCGAATTCCGAGCGGCTTTTTTTGGCTTGGAATTTATCGCGATCTATTTCTGAAAAATTTGGAGACGTTTTCTCACTCACTGCTTCTCTCCCTCTCTCTCGCCACTCTCTCGCTTCCATGTTTTTGCATGTTTAGTCTTCCCCCTGCCGGGCAAAAGCCCCCAGAACGGCTTGGGCGGCCCCCCAAAAAAGTTGTAAAGCTTTTCCGTCGCCGCGCCCCAAACATGGCAGCCCAAATTAGTTCCGTTCTCAGCTTTTGGCAAGGCATTTTCTTTGGCTTTTTATGAGGTGCTGGCACGTATTATATATCTCGCTCCCTCTCGCTCTCTTTCTCTCTCTTTCTCTCTCTCTCTCTCTCTCTCTCTCTCTCTCTCTCTCTTTCTCTCTCTTACTCTCTCTCTTCTCTCTCTCTCTCCCCCCCCTCTCTCGCCCTTTTCTATCGCTCTAAAATTTTGCATAAATCCAGCTTCAGATACGTGGGCGTAATTTGGAGCGTCGCGTAGCTCTAGCCATCCTTTAAATTTTTTCGCTGACAAATTCCGATAAATTCGGCTCCTTATCACCTTCTTCCCTCCTAAAATCTGACCTGCGATGTCCCTACCCCGCCCATTTATGCCGCTGAATCATTCCCTGCTATTCATATAAATCGTCACTTCTTTCCGCTGCCATACGTGTAGACGGCAACAAAAATTCCATTTTCCAGCGGTTTCAAAGCTAAAGCAATTTCCCCCAGTTTCGTGTCGGGACCCGATATTATTATTATTTCTTGTTTCTCTTCGTTTAGACGCCTTGTCACACATGTTCTCACAGGGCAAAATTGGGAATTTTTTATAGGTTTTTAGAACAACTTTCGAATTACCTTGCTATCACACGGCCTTTAAAGGGACGGAGAAGGGTCAGAATCAACCCCTTTGTTCGACTAGGTCTCGACAACTACGCGACAATGCGAACGTACGCGGGTGATTTTCCACAAAATTCTGTCTGTTCGAGGACTGATCCCTGGACTGGACTGATCCATTAAACGTATCAGAAAACCCGGTTTAACGATAAATTAGCTTGGGATAGTGTCGAGATGAGGGGACGATTTGGTTGTTTTTTTGGGCCCTTTAAAGGACCATTGAAGCCAAATAACAGAGCCTTTTACCGTGATGTCGACCATAAGCCTAAGATATCGCAATTAACGAGACCTAGCCCAGGACAGGGGTCGATTCTCCAGATTTCTAGGTCCATTAAAGACGTCGAGACCCAGCCGACTGCGGAGGGTTAATCCTGGACCTTCCCAGTCCCTTTAGACCCTTTTTCATCTGGTTTTTGGACTTATCCTCCTCCTCCTCCATCCTTCTCGGGTCCTTGAATAGACCGGAAAAAGCGCGCAGCTGGCCCTTTACCCTCCCCCCATCCCCCTTCTCTGTGTTTATTGGAGCTATCTGGAATGCTAATGGAATCTCTTGGCCTCTTTCAGCAGCACCCCCCATGTTTTCTGCCCTTCTGCCATTGCTCGCTAGCCCAGAATATCTATATTTATACATTCTGTTGCATCTGGTGCTAACAAGAATTTTTGAGAAAAATTGTAGTAATTTTTGAAGCCTAGAATCCATAATAAAGCCGAATTACTATAGGAAACATGAAAAATATTGTTGTTTACGTTTTTCATGGCCGCTAATGGACTATTTACACTAATCTGAATACGAGAATGGCCTAAATTGTTGTTTTCGCACATTTCTTTATTCAGTCTGGATATTGGAAACAACCGGAAAACATTCATTTTTGAAGCTTAGGCATCTGCTCCAAGTTTTAGCCTTTTTTGCTAGCTTTGGTCACACACCTTATCTCTCTCTCTTTCTCTCTCTCCCTCTCTCGCTTTCTCTCTCTCTCTCGCTCATTCTCACTCTATCACCCTCTCTCTATCGTTCTGGCGCTCTCTGTCGGTTTCTTTCCTTTCGCTCTTTCTCCCTCTCTCTCTCTCTCTCTCTCTCTCTCTCTCTCTCTCTCTCACTATCTCGTTCGTTATTTGCCAACTGTTCTCCCTTTCCCTTTAATCCCTTTAAAGGACTCGGGCTCCTGATTTTTAGGAATTCCGTGTCTTTTGGAATTTTGCCAAAAGCCCGTGGGCTCTTTTTTGCCTTTCAGCCCTTCTTTAAAAGCTCCCAAACCCTGTGGCATCCTGTTCGCATGAGGAGCAAGAAGAGGAGCATGATGACTCGTCTCCGACGCCACTTCCTCCGCTCCATGCTGCCCCTTCACACAAAATTCAGGGAAATCAGCCCTTTTTTGTTGGCAGCGGGCGTCTAAGCGATGGAAAGTGAGGCGAGAGAGAGAGAGAGAGGGAGAGAGAGAGAGAGCGAGAGAGCAATGTGCATGAAACGGGCCCCCAAACACATGTGCCCCCCTTTCCTCTGGTCTCTGCGGCTTCGAATCGTTCACCGCCCCGTTTTTCGGGTCCTTTTTCGTGTCGAGACCGCCCTCCCCTCGTTTTGCTCAAACACAGGCCCTCCACATGGAGAGAGAGAGAGAGCGAGAGAGAGAGAGAGAGACAGGCCGACAAACACTTACTCACACATTCATATCACTTCGGCTTTTCGACCCCAGCCGGAGAGGGAACGCCTTTTAACAGTTTGATTTTAGTGATCATTGTGGGTTAACGAGTTTTCATATCAAGCTAGGTTAATCGAGTTTCTGTAGCTCTCTCTCTCTCTCTTTCTCGCTCTCTCTCACACACACTCTCTCTCACAGTCTCTCACATTCTTTCACACTCTCTCTCGCTCTCTCCCTTCTCTCACACGCTCTCTCCCTACTCTTTCATATTTTTAAGTTGATTTTGATCTAAATTTACCATTCATTTTCTTCTATCATAATTTTTTTGAGAATTTTCCTACAGAATCTTTGCTAGTGGGGTTTACTTTCATATTTCCTCATATTTTCTCGTTTCGGTACCGTCTTCTCTGAATATTTTCCAAAATTTCAAGGGTTTGGCCCGGAACGGCAATCATGATGACCGACCAACGAGCGGTGAGGCTTCAAGAAAATTACCATTTTCTGGAAAAAGAAGCATTAAAGGAGTGTTTCAATCATGTTTAAAGGGGCTAGAAAAAAGGAAACCGACCCCATGGGTTTGTTACGGAAAGCATCAAATGGCGCGCTCTAGCTCATTTTTGTCGCTAAAGGTGTATGGCGTTGGAAAAAAAGCCGTCTAAGAAACCATGTTCTCGAATAAGCGTACTTGGCCAGAAATGCAACTGGGCGATAGAGGGGGCCATTCTTGAGTGAACAGTCCGTTGAAAATCCAAAACAAATTAGAAATTAATCATTGCTTTTTTAGATGAAAATCGACTACCGCCAACTGCACCATCGCGTCGAGACCCTAAATGGGAAAGAGACGAAAAACGAGGGTAGGTCTCGTTTTTGGGGAACGGTTTTTAATTTACAAACCGGAAATTTGTTTGACCAGGAGGAGAGAGAGTCACAGAGAGAGCGAGAGTGCGAGAGAGATAGAGGGAGAATGAACGAGACAGAGAGGGAAAGAGCGAGCGAGAACCCCCAAAAACGCCTCGTTTCTAGCTTTTTCGCTCCAACCCCATGAATTCCCCCTAAATTTTGGCGCCGACCCAATTTTGTCGCAACATTTTTGATGAAATCGAATTCCCTAAATTCAATTTTATCCACTTTCTCCATTGCAGTGGCCGTGCAGCAAATCTCGAACGGCTTCAACACGTTTCCGGGCGGCAATTTCCCAGCCATCGAGGGGGGCTTCGATTTCGACAAGTCGGCCCTCAAGTTGAATATGGATGATCCACAGGTTGGAATATGCGAAAAAATCTATAAAATATGAATAAAATGGGGTCAAAAGTATCGGGAATGGCAAGAATCTACCCATGTTGTCCACTAGGCCTCGAAGGCTACGCGATACGCCTAATGACGCGATAAAACGGATTTTTTGTTTCAGGATCTCCGGATATCCAACGTCCTCAACCAAACCCGCGATGCGTTCCTCGGCATTCTCTCCCAGGTTTGTCGGCATTTTTTTAGGGTTTTTTTTGTGGTGGCAGCAATTTTCGACCTTAGTGTTGTGACTACTGTATTTATTCAACTTTTGAAGTTGATTTTTCTTCCAGGAGAAAGCAGAGTGGATTGCCAAGTTCCCGGATCTGTTCTCCAAAATGCGGACTCAATCCCAATTAATCCCCTCAACGACCACAGAAACTGTTGTCAATGCTGACGGGTCGGTGACGACGAGGAGTCGATCTCATCAGAGTGTTAGGTGAGTTTTTCGTAGGTTTCAAAGGGCCGTGAAGCTTTCAAAAAGCTTAACGACTGTTGCCTTTCTAGTTCCTTTAAAATCATAATTTCGATAGTTTGGCCTCTTGGAAATGTCTACTAAATTGCGGTCCCTGAAAACCACATCGTTTTGTCAATCGTTTAAATTCAGTTTTCGAGCTTCTGCTCCTTCTCAGGCTCTCAGGCTCTTCCATATTTTTATCGTTCCAGACGTTTAGAGGTACTGACAAGACTTTGCGATTTTGAAGGCTATGGGTTAGCCATAGATTTTCCGGCAACCGCGACACGCAACGCGCGCTATTGCCTTTCCATCGCGTAATCGCTTATTACCGCTCTCCTTACAACAGAAGGATTCGTGCGTTGCGTGTCGCGCGTGCGGAAAATTCAGAGGAAATACAATGGGAACAATCCTTGTAATATTGTCTTTCCAGTCTCTTTAAAAATGCGTTTCGCTATTCGACGTGAACTAAATTCGCGAAAAATTTTCGTATGGCTTCCTACCCCCCTTTAAAAATTAATCCGAGGTCCGAAGGCGATTTTCCAAAGATTTTTGGCTGGAGCCGGCCCGGCGGCGCGTCCGTAGATTGTAATCCCCCGGAATCGAAGGGGATGGCCAGCCGCCATGAGGGCACAAAAACTGTTCTCATAACTACCTCCTGCTCGTGCTCCTCCTCCCCCTCTTGCTCCCCTCTTCTCGTAAATATGCAAATCGAGGCCCACAGGGGCCCATCCCCTTTCTCCATTGCCCTGCCACCCAACCAACACCACAAAATACACACGACGACATCGATTTTTTCGGGTCTATCATTACAATTAGATGCTGTTGACGTTATTCCTTAAATATGCCAGATAATCTGACGTTGGATTGGATGCCGTAAGTGGTTAGGGAGGGCTTAAAGGAGCTGGCAAGTGAGAAAATTTACCTATTTTTCCGCTCTTTCCCATAATGCCTTAAAGGTAAAGGCAAGGGACCCAATCGACCCTTTCTATGGTCTGGATCTCGACAGCTACGTTACGCTCCAAATGACGAGTTCGATCTGCTTGTGAGAGCCGTGATACTTGAACCTAAAGCTAAAATCCATTTGCGCGTCCAGGCGTTATTTGGCTTTTTACGTAGCTGTCTAGAACTAGTCGAGTCGAGGGTCCCGCCTATTTTGCTCACTTTAACGGTTTTTGAAGCACATTTTTATCTATCACTTTTGATTGAAAATGGGGCAGGCTAGCAGAGGTTATTTAGGAAATAAACGGCACGGTTTATGGCGAGCTGTCTACTCTATTTTAAAAACGCGAGAATGGCCAATTTGATTGTCCAATGCAGTTTTTGGAACTTTTATAATTTTCGTCTTTTCAGCTCGCAGTGGTGTCGGCAGGAGACGTACATCAACGGCGTCAAGCAGACGTCAAAGAGCAAGTGGAGGGCTTTTGTGGAGTACAAGGTAGGCATTTTTGATCTTCTACCGTACCTGGGTACTGTAGCGAGAAAAATGAGACTTACTGACTTTTCGGCATTGAGCATCCCTTGCGATTTGAATCCGGTGTACTGCATTTGCATAAATTCTTGAGCAAAACTCATTTGTCTTATCGAATTTTACGATGGGCGGTCGCTCGGCAAAACCGGAAAAACCGGTCAAGCCCAAAATTGAACTCGTCCAAGTCGTTCAGCCCACGGTCGAGGCCCAAAATAAGGTTCTTTATTTTAGAAAATTTTTTACTTCCTAGTTCTTTTAAACTAAATATCAATGTGCTTTGCAGGGCCCCGAGGGCGGCTTCAAAGTGAAACTGTCAGACGAGGGCGAGGACGAGCTGTCCGAGGAGGAGAATGACGATGATGAACGATCCGCGTACGTTTTCAAAGCGGTTAGCAGGCACGAAAATCCACACCTCAATTGACTGGCCTAGACAGCTCCGCGAAATTCCAAAATTACGCCAATAACTCAGTTTTTGTGCTTGAAATTGGCATTTTTTGCGAAGCAGAGTTTGACCGTACCCGAAAAGCTCCACTAAATTAATCAATTCAAATTTTTAATTTTGCGATTAAATGTTTGAAACTTTTTAGGCACTCCGATGACAACGAATCTGTCTTCTCCATCACTTCCCAAATCCCTCGAGGCGCCATCAAAGCCCCAGGAGGGAAGAAGAAGACCGATAGGGCACAAATGGCTGCCAGGGAATTGGTCGATTCCGAGCAGAGATATGTCGACAAATTGAGACTTCTTGATCAGGTAGAGAGAGAGGGATAGAGAGAGAACGAGCGAGAGTGAGAGAGAGAAAATTTTACGTCTTAAATTCAGATCTTCCGCGTCGACGTTGAAGCCCTGGAGAAGGCGGGCGACTTTGAGAGGGCGAAGGTCGGCAAGCTGTTCTCGAACATCTCCTCCCTCCACACGTTCCACAACACACATCTACTCCCTCAGCTGATGGATGCGAATCGTGAATGGAATCATACCAGAAGGTGAGCTCTCTCTTCTGTCTCTCTCTCTGTCTCTCTCTCGCTCTCGCTCTCGCGCTCTCTCTCTCGCTCTCTCGCTTTCTCGCTCCGTTTAACCGACGATTTTTTAGAATCTCACATGTCATGAAGAAGTTGGCGCCATTCCTGAAGATGTACTCCGAGTACACGAACAACTACAACGAGGCCGTCAAGGTGTTCGAAGAACAACGGGTGAAAAATCGAAAATTCGCCGACCTGGTGGCGAAGATCGAGCGGTGAGTCTGGTTTTTATGGAGGCAAGCTAGCAGACTTGCTTTCGTAATTTCGGGGCAGGCTAGCGGTAATTATGGGGGAACTTTTGAGACCTATCAATCAAAAAAACAACTGCTTTTAGACTGCCCGAATGCGATAACCTTCCTCTCTCCTCCCACCTGATCTGTCCGGTGCAACGAGTGATGCGATATCAGCTGTTGTTACAGGTGCGTAAATAGGATGGAAACGGAAATCCATAAAATTGGGTTTTAGGAATACAAAAAACACCTCAACAAATCCGACGTCGACCTGGCAGACACGGAGGAGGCACTTCAGCTCGTGCTCAAAGCCGCTGAACACGCCAATGAGACGATGAAGAAGCTGGTAGGGTTTTTTAGGAAAATTTGAAAAGGCAAACGAGCAGAGATTTCTGAAGAATTTTGCTGGGCAGGCTAGTGGCGGTTTTCCGCATTTTTAAGCGGCCAACTAGCGGTGATTTTCGGGGAATTCTGGAAGGCAGGCTAGCAGAGGTTTTTGCGGATTTTGGAAGATTACTCACACTTTACTTGCCGAAACCTGGCCAACAAGTCAAGTGACTCTCAGTGGTAGAAATCGTGCAAGAAAATTCCCTTCGGGACCACTCATCCTTCGAACTCCGAAATTGTATGGAATTTATAACGTGGGCAAGCTAGCAGGGAATACTAAGGAAATCCAGAGCATGATAGCAGCGATTCTTAATGGATTTTTGGCAGGCTAGCAGGGATCCTTGGGGTACATTTGGCCAATCTAGCAGAGCTTCTTGGAGGGGCCATAGCTTCATTTGACTTCAATGGTCCTTTAAAACCTGGTATTCCAATTCTGTTTTTCCGTAACAGTCCCAACTCCAGGAGCGCTACCGGAAAGTGATCGAGATGCAAGAGATGCTCGGCAATTCCCTCCCTCTCGTCTCGGTCGGCCGAGAGTTCATCGAATCGGGCCCAATTCAGAAGATCTCATCCAGCACACAGAAACCCGAGGAACGGTAAGAAGATGTTCAGAAAATCAACGCAATTTTTAATTTTTAGGTACCTCTTCCTCTTCAACGACCTGATTTTGCTCGGCGTCAAGGGATACGTGTCGAAATATCGAGTGCGAGCACGATTCGAGGCGCTTCATACTCGGGTAAGCTCAAATTGACTTTGCTAACTTCGGAGAGAGATAGGGAGAAAGAGAGAGAGAGAGTGAGAGATAGAGAGAGGGAGAGGGAGAGACGGAGAGAGATAAAGTGAGAGCGAGGGAAATTGTACAAATCTCTAAATTTATGTAACTTTTAGGTATGCGAAGGAGACAACTTGGAGCGCGAGCACTCGTTTTATCTGAGGGGCAACTACGGCACCGAGCCGCCACGGTAAGAGAAAGAGCGCGAGAGAGAGAGCGAGAGTGCGAGAGACATCAAGAGAGTTAGAGATACCTTTTTTCCAATTCCAGGTGCGTCGAACTGTTCACCGACACCCAAGAAGCCAAGGAGAAATGGATGCGAAAGCTGCAAGAAGTCATCACACGGGCTCGGGACAATTCGGCCACGTTTTCGAAACACGACTCAAAGGTACAGATCGCTAATAATTTTGAAAATAGACCGTTAAATCAGAATTTTGGAAGCTTGGTAAATTTTAGAAAGCCCGGCGTCTCCGGGACCTATTTGCCCGTGTCCCATTTGTGGAGGGAGTCGGTTTTAGCCAAGCAAAACAGCCGCCTAATCGCGCAAATTTTTCTTGGCTTTCGGAGCTTATTTTCCTAAAAATTAGCCTGTACATCTGCTTCCTTTTTAGCGAAGCTCGATCAGCGAGGGCAAGTCGAAGTCGCCGAAGCATTGTGCAGAGTGTGACATCGAACTGAGCTTCTTGTCACGAAAGGTGGGCGTCTCTCGCCGTAACTCTCTCTCTATCTCTCGCTCTCTCTCTCTGTCCCTTTCTATCGCTTCCTTCAAAACGTCCCATTTTCAGGTGTTCAAGCTCAAATGCAGCAAGTGCCAGCGAAAGTTGTGCGACAAATGCTTTGGCCGATACAAGAATGATGGAAAGAAGGGAAAACTTTGCGAGGGATGCGTGAAGAACACTGTGGTGAGTGAAGCGAGAGAGAGAGAGAGAGAGAGGGAGAGAGAGAGAGTGAGAGAGATAGCGATAGAGAGATACTAAAGATTCCGAATTTCAATTTCAGAATTCCGACACGATCCGCAATGCCGTCTCGAGTGTGGGCGACGTCTTGGACAAGCCGCCACGAGGAGCGGGTGTCCTCCACGGTTCAGATGTTCGATTCAAGGGCTCCCTCGGCAAAACCTTCCACCGCTACTTTGCCGTCCGCAGCGACTTCTGCCTATATTCGTATGAGGATGAGAAGGTATCGACGATCCTCTAATTTTTTCATGCAAAATTTCAGCAAACTCGTGCCGTGGCCATGCTCCCACTCCCTGGCGCCGAGGTGAAAATGTGCGGCGAGCGGAACAGCTTCCAGGTAATCATTGCAATTTTTCGAAGAAGCTAGGAGCTGGGAGCTAAGAAGCTGCTCTTTCGATGTGTTGCTCTCAGCACGAGCTCCCAGCTCCAAGATCCTCCGCCGTAAAGTTGTAGTTCGGAAAGATACGGTAACCCTCCGTTTTCAGCTGCGTGTCGGCACCCGCCGTATCTACACGATCACCGTCGACGACGAGAAGACGCAGGCAAAATGGATGGCCGTCCTCGATCTCGCGGCTAATGCTCATATGGCACAGTCCGACTCCGAGTGACACCCCCCGATTCCGTTCGCATGTCATTTTGTATTGTCTCGTACGTATTGTACTACAAAATTTGTTGCCCTGTACAACATGCTTCCTCCCCTTTTGTTTGCATACACACACTGCGATTGACCTCACATTTTTGCGATTTTCGCAAAATCTGAATTTTACGTTTTATATCGATTGCCATTACGGATTTTGTGATTTTTTTAATTTTGGCCTTTTAAAGGGACCGGAACACTGTAGAAATGATGAAAATGCAGTTTTTTTTACTTTTAAAGGGCCGCTCAAGGCACAATTTTCTATAGATTTTGATCTAGACAACAAGTTTTGAAGGGTTGATTTAAAGAGAGATTCTGATATTCCGGTCCCTTTAAAATTTTATCAGCCTCTATTTTAGTCCTATTTCAATAGCGCCCCACCTCACTACAGCGAACGTTCCATTATACGCTTAAAATTAAAATTATTTTATTGAAATTTTTTCGAGCCATCTATCGATATTTTTCGTCGTTTTTGATGGAATTCCCCCTTCCCCTTGTCAGCCACATATCACACGGATTTTCTTACTGTACCCGTACTACAGTACACTACTTTCCAAATTACACATCTATCGTAGTCCTGTACTGTACCGTAATCCGGCAGAAAATTCGTTTTTCGGCTATAGGATTACGGTATCTTCGCCAAAAAACTGGTCCAACCACGCTTTTCCCACTTCCCAAAAAATTCCTGATAATTTTGGACCAAAAATACCCTATTTTTGCATCCATTACCGCACCCTTTCCGCAATCTCAATTGTGCCAAAAAATACCGTACCCAACCTACCGTACCCTACAGTACCCTGCAGTACCCCTTACGCACAGATTTATCCTGATTTTTGTGATTTTTACGGTTTCTAGCACAACCAACCTACCGTAAAATCCCCCTGCTGTACAAATACTCGAAAGTGAGCGCCATTTTTGTATTTTTTTCGCGCAGACTTTTCACTAATCCCTTCTCTCTCTCTCTTTCTCGCTCTCCCTTTTTCGTTTCTCTCGCTTTGTGTGCAATTTCCATCCGCGAACTACTGTGACAGATATATTGATAAACGAATTTTGATTAAACGAGCTCCAATTCCGAATTTTTGGAATATGGCAAGCTAGCAGAAATCCTTTGGGAATTTTGAAAAACACCGGCAACGACTTGACAGGAATTCTGAAATCCCGACATCAAAAATCCGGCAGCCCCAAAACACCCACATTCCAAAATCTCGACAGCCGAAATCCTGAGAGCAGAACACCGACAAGCCAAAACCCCCCGACCGCCGAAATCTCGACAGCCAAAGCACCGACAAGCCAGAACCCTAACAGCCGAAACCTCAACAAGCGTAAATAGCGATATATTCTGGACGCTAGTTCATCAATGAAACTTCTTTTTGAACGGCTTTTTTTGCATGTCGGGATTTTTTCTGTCGAGATTTTGGGTGTCGAGATTTCGGCGTTTTTCCCATTCGCAGTCAAAAAATCTTTTTATTTCGTCCTTTTTATTGGCCAGCATTGACAAAGAAACACCTGTATTGTTTCAAAGACCCATATCGCGAAAGAATGACACAGCAATGGCAAATCATCAAAAGCTATCAAAATGGATAGATGCTCGAAAAAAGCAGCTTATAGGGTGTAGGGTGGTGGGGGCTCGTCGCACATCGTCTCTTTGTACGGTGGTGGAGCCCGGTGGACATGGGGCTGAATTATATGACGTAATCGATACCTCTCCAAGGGGCATACCTTAAAATCGAAGGCTTCACTTTCGACTGACAGGCTTCTTGTCCTTCTCCTTTGGCATCCGCCAGTCCTGAAAATACGTCTGAATGGGGTCGGGAAGCGCGTGCATCAACCCTTATCGATTAGGTCGCGGCAGCTACAGTACACTCCAAGATACGCCAGCAATAATTAAATTTAACGCGTAATTTGCAGACACGTAGCTTCCGAGACCTAATGGACGCGAGACCGTTTTGGCACTATCGACTTCCGTTCAATAATTTTGTCTATAATTCTATGGTATTCTATGGTAGTTGATAACCTCAAAAATACGATTTCTACTTTTCGATACTGCGCTCACAAAAGAATGGCTTCCCTGTCTTCCCCTCGAAAACCCAATAATTCAACAAACCCCAGCGCGAAAATAATGCCCCATTTTCACCCCCCCATATTGGTCCGAAAATAACGACGGAGGACTGACTGCAAAAACAGGCGTAATCCGCAGAAGAGAGCCGAGACGAGAAGGATTATTGAAATGAGGAGCACGGCCTGTGGAAGATATGGAATCGCGTCGGACCAGGCTGAAATGGGGATGGATTACAGTAGGCATGGCGTGCTATCTCTCTCTCTCTCTCTCTCTCTCTCTCTCTCTCTCTCTCGTTTTGAGGAGCGGCTTCTTCAAAGCTACGCTATTAGTTACGGACTGATTTCCATGGATTCCTTCCTTCCCGGCACCTTTAAAGGGAACCAGAAGCCGGGGAATCGACCGCTGCCCAGACTAGGTCTAGACAGCTACCTTTCGCTCCAAATAAAACGTATATCTGTATTTTAGACTTCCTAGCAAGCCAGAATTCGTTGAAAAATTTAGTCGCTCTCGCATGCATTATTTGGAGCAACGCATTGCTTTCGAGACCTAGTGAAGCTGTGATCGATTCTGGTAGTTCAAAAAATCCGAGAACTTACGGCCGAACTGCGCATCCGGAATTGCATCTAACGGTGCCTTGTCGCAGTCGGCGCCCCACCACGGTGCCTCGCACTCCTCGCAGAACGGCATCGCGAAGTGCGAGCTGAAATTCGGCGTTTTAAAGGGACTAGTAAGGCAGGGATCGGATGATTTTTCTTGCTCATTACCATAGAGTAGTGTTCCGGAGAAGTAGAGTTCACTATCTACTATCTCTCTCACTCTCTCTCTCGCTCTCTCTCGCTCTCTCTCTCGCCCTCTCTATCACTATTTCTCCCTCCCTCTCTCTCTCCCTCATTCGTTTCAAAAGTGAAAGAAGGGAATGTGTCCCCAGGGTGTATTCACTTTTTTTCTATGCGCTCCATCCGTTCCACCCCAAAATATGAATTTTTCATCAGCCAAACCCCCCAGGGAATGCTGACTCCCCGGGAGGTCACGGAATTCACTCGGAATTCCGCATGAATACCGAAAGGCGGTGTGGCGTGTGGTTCGCCTGAACCGGAACCGGCCGTTCCGCCAGTCTCCGAATTACGGCCCGAAAATGGAAGGAAAAAGAGCCCGGAAGCCAGAAAAAGATAAATAAGTTTAAGGAGACCAGGACGCGTCGAATTAAAGCAGATTTCGGCATTATGTTTTCGACAACATGAATTTCGACATTTTAAAACCCTGATCTTACCGGCATATACATCTCCTCGTCGCCGAATCGATCCTCCCATTAATACATATCGGCCAATCGCACGAATCGCCCGAGTAGTGTGGCGGGCAGTCTGAAGGGAAATACATTTTCGGGACGATCGGCGGCATGAACACCATCTTATAAAATGCCCCCGGTCGTGGAATCTACTCGCTTCTTGAGAGATCAGAGAGGGCTTTTCAGATGATCCGGATTTTTCCTGTCGACCGGTGTCTTTAGGAGCGGAGTGGAACTCAAAAAACAAGCTCCACTCTTCAGAATGATTTTTAAACGGCCACTGAAGGCAAAACGCACGTGAGAATGCCTATCGAAAGTCAGGGCCTTTAGCAAGTTTCGGATTTTGGCTCTCTCTCTCTCTCTCTCTCTCTCTCTCTCTCTGTCTCCCTCTCAGCTCTCTCTCCACCTTTCTCGATCTCACTCTCTCTCGCTCTCTCTCACTCTCTCTATCACTCTCTCTCTCTCTCTCTCTCTCTCTCTCTCTCTCTCTCTCTCTTTCGTCAATTGTTACCGCCAAAGATTATCATAACTTCCGTAAATAGTACAGCCCTCGGAATCAGGGCGTCCCCCCCAATCTGTCCCCATCGGTCACTGTTCCCCCAATTACACAACACAACCAGGCGTAGGGGCTGAGGAACAGAGAGAGAGAGAGAGAAAGAGCGAGAGAGAGAGACGAGCTTTTCCTCCCCACCTGGACGATTCATGGTTGTGGCCGTCGGGATTTATAGCCCCCGTCCATTCCACTCGACACCAAATAACAGCCCCACCCGCGAATCGAAGCTCAGATCGTATCGTCCACTTTTCAATCAAATGGGTGAGGTGTTTGGCTATAGAAAGCGAGAGAGGGAGAGAGAGAGCTAGAGAGAGAGGGAGAAAGCGAGAGAGAGAGCGAATTTTTTTCATAGGGGGCTTCAGAGTCACGATCCTTTAAAAAGCTCCCAAAAACACATTTTTCACACTCCGTCCATAGGAAACTACGTAGTCGCCAATGCCGCCTGAATGACCAGCCTTCCCATTCTGACTGCCCAGCCCGCTCAGTCGGAAATTCGATCTGTGAGCCCGTGGGGCAAATTCGGATGCTTGGAAAGAGCTGTGGGGTGTGACCGTCGGCGCAATCCGAGACCTTTGGTGAGCAGCGGGAAGGCATGAGCTTTTTGCTATTGGCGAGCGAGAAACTACGCAACGCTACACTTTACGCATGACGAGAGAAATTTACGGAGACTCCTTTTAACGCATGAGGAGATGTGAGACTTTTTGAAACTGGAGAGCTCCAGACAGTAATATTTTGGCGAAGAGCATCGTAATAGACTACGCAAAACACCCATTTACGCCTGATCAGACGTGATACGTTTATGGCTTTTGGAGCTCCAGAAATTGTCTATTTTTCGGTTCAAACACGTCGAGCTGAGAAGCGACTTGAGAGCTACAAAACAGTTCGCTTTAAGTCTGATGAGATGGGAAATGTTCGAAGCTGGTGACCTCGACAAACTGATTTCATTTCGCTAAAAAACATTGGGTGGCGCTACGCAATGGCCCAAATTACGCCAGCGTGCATAGCGGACTTACTTGGCATTATTGTGGTGATGTGGTGGTGCTGAACAACTTGCTCGAGCTGGTCAGTAGCGACAAAAAAGAAATACGGTGGCTACCCGTTGCCTGGCCGGGCGGCAGGAATCTGAAAAAAAATTAGAATAGGGAAGTTTGGCACGGTGAAATATCCGGAAATTTGGAATTCTGAAGGTACGGTAAGGTCAAACTTTATCGAAGGAGCATGAGAGAAAAGAAGCGGAGGGAGAGAAGGAGTGAGGGAGAGTGAGAGAGCGAGAGGTATAGATGCTAATAAGATACAGAGCATGAGAGATAGATGAAGCCTGAGATGAGGGCATAGAAGTAGAGGGAGTATGAGATGGAGAGAAAGAGCATTAGAGAGAGAGAGAGCGACATACTAGCAAATTTCGAAAATTCCAGACAAAAAATAGCTCATGAAAGACCTCCTAACGAAAAGGTCAACAGCTTCCACCCAGCCATACCCAAAACCCAGGGAAAAGCCGAAATATGGGCCACAGCCTGCCCCCCAAGAAAGGAGGGCCATATCCGGGGTGGCCCGGGTTTTTGGGGGCTTTTTGGGGGTGGGGGCTGGGCGTGGGCCCTGGGGGAATATTTGGGCCCCAAGGGGCGGTGGGGGTGGGCCAAGGGATATAGAAAATAACATGGGAAAACATAGAAATGTCAGCGCGTAAATAGTATCCCATGGTAATTTTTGGAAAAGTAAAAATTCATGAATGGTCGCTGCTAGCTTGCCATCACCCTCATCTGTCCTCTGCTAATTTTCTAACGGCATTTTCGCTTTGCAATTTTTTAAAGAAACCCGGGAGCCCGATAATGGACGCCTGGAATCGACTAGGTCTCGTCTGCTACGCGATCCTCTAAATTACGTTTATTTAAGTTTGCACCAGGGTTGAAAAACCGCTTCGCGGCTTTTCAACCCTGGCCCCGTCTAACGCACATGATAGTCAAAAATATGCATATTCTTCCAGGACCTTGATCGCAAAAAAATGAAAAGAACCCCTTTCGCGCCCTTATATAGGCTTACCGCACTTCCGGCGCATGCAAATTGCCTCCTAACAAAGAGGTTTCTCGATATCTTTACAAAAACTCGATTTTAATAGCGAAAACAGTAATTTTTCCAAACTTTTATGTGCGTGCACTTATCTCGGCGCCATTACGCATCTAATGACGTATCATATGTGCCTTAAAAGCCTTCCCCTGATCCGATACGTGCGGAACAGCCGGACGGAAGTTGCATGCAAATGCACACACACAGACACTATTTTTTTATATATAGTAGGATATTTTTCTACTTACGTCCGTACCGCTATAAAAAGCAAGTCCAGGCGTCGTTTGACGTAGCGCGTAGCTGTCTAGACCTAGCCAGTTAAGTAGATTGATTTTCGCCTTCAAAGCTTGCTTAGTTGAATATCTTAATAACGCTGTAAGGAACTCTAATAAATTCCCGGCAAACAAAGATAAATATAGCATATCTTAGCGTGTTGAAAGTACATCCTCAAAGAACCCAAATTAAGTTATTCCGTGTTTTCGGTTTCTCGAATCCTTTTAGGAGATTTCCCAGGCTCACTCTCATACTAGCATAGTAAATTGTCTCTACCAAATATGAGAGGATTGAAAGTGCAATCTATTAATTATTTCGATGTAGTTTAAAGACCCTTGGAAAGATACAGTCCATCGATAGCTGTGGGCTTTTCTCGCTGCCGTTTGAAATTACAAAAAGCCTTGACCGGTACCATTTTTCCATTTTATCTATTTCCCCTAAAAACATGTGAATATGAACGGGGAGTCTGCTTCAAAAAGATCTAAAGAGAAACAAATCGCGGAACCACAAACTGTTCCTACATTTAATGTACCGAAAGCCAGCAGCAGACACGTAAATGGAATCAAGAGGGCTTGTCGCCACAACAAAACTCAGCCCTTTTCTTGTACTCGGCAGAGAGCGGAACAAGGGCGCAAGGACTAGGAAAAGCGCAACGTGACAATGTAAAAACGACAAAATACAATTTCCAGGAATTCGAGATATTTAGCGTCGATTTTTGCGTAAAAACCGAGATTTCCGGATTGGCAAACGGTCTCTGCAAGCTTGCCCTTCAAATTTCAAGCCAATTTTGCTGAGGGGTATGAGTTCCTGAAGAGTCTCTGCTAGCCTACCTCTCTATGAGAACAATATGCTGTTAGATTGACCTCCGGAATTCGGCAGTGATCATTGCTGATCTGCCTTCCTCCGATTCCCAAGTGCTCTCCGCTAGCTTGCCCCGCCCCAAATAAGCCTCTGCTAGCTTATCCATAATTTTTTTCAATCCTGGCTTGATTTCTAAAAATCATCCCATCTATCATAACCTTTTTAGGCACCCTACTCCTCTGGACCCTTAAACCTTGAAAATGACAAGCCCAGGGGGCTTTGAAAGGGCCTAGAACCCCAAGGGCCTCCCTCACTCTCAAATGGTCCCTGCTAGCCTGCCGTAGCTATTCGGTTCTGCTAGATGTCCCTCAATGACCTCTGCTGGGCTCGCGTCCCCAACGATCTCTGCGAACCTGCTTCTCCAATCCTAGAATGGTAAAAATCCATCGGTGCGCAAGAATTGCCATACGGATTTGACATTTTTGACAAAAACGTTGAAGAAGTTGAAGACGTAGATTTCCATGACTTCATGGCTCCTTAAAATCCCAAAAATTACAAATCCGGCAGTGATGACCATAAACACGCATAAATCGGGGCAAATCCGGAATTCCAGCGTGGATCAGCCCGGAAAGGGCCCAGGACCCATAGGGCCCACACCAGCCCTCAGCCCTCTGGTGGCCATTCCCCCAGAGCAACAAATGTGGCCACAACCCATGGGGGAATGTGGGAGGGAAAAGCCCGGACACATGGCCGTCTATCGCCTCTCTCTCTTTCTCTAGGCTTCACAGGGGAAAAGCCAACCCCTAAAAAGAGACCCCAACGACCAGGAAAAAGGCGATAATTTGCTTCGTCCGGTCTGGGCGGCGGTTGTCGAGATTTTATAAGGGAAAAGCTGCAGTTTTTATTTCCTTTTGGAACTATTGGCGCTTGAGTAAGTCTGCATTTCCTGGTTTTTGGGTTTTAAAGGGCCTGGCGAGGGGGTGTATTGGTGAGACTCCCGACAGCCAAGAAATCGACATATTCTTGACGACAGTTTGCATGTTCTTTCCCTTGACTTGAAACAGCTATTTTAGATGTCGGGATTTTCACTCTCGGCCCTTTCCATGTCGGCATTTTTGACGTCGGGATAATAGTTTTTGGGATTTTGAAGGAAGCTGATAAAAATAGTGAGGGGTAGGCCAGCAGAGATCGTTTCGGAAGCGTGGGTATGCAGCAGAAATCTTGAAGGGTTGCTCCCTCCCAAACGAAAAGCGGAAACAAAGGTGCATCCTCGAAAAAATTCCATTAGATGTTAGATCCTTCTCTCTCACTCTCTCTCTCTCTCTCTCTCTCTCGCTCTCGCTCTCTCTCTCTCTCTCGTTCTTTCTCTCTCTCTCGCTTTCAAAAAAATCTGAACAATCGAGCCGAAGAAACGCCTCAACCCCAAAATCCCAGGAACCAACGTTGCACACAGAATTCCGCCAGAATTCTCGGGAACGGAAAGGAGCGGAATCAAGTAAAAAATCAAGCAAACAGGCCCTTAGAATCCGGCTTTTTCTTGTGGCCCTTCCGGCGTGGCCGTCGGGAGGAAGAGTGACAATGTGCCCCTAATTGGTGTTGGCAAAAGGCCAAAAAAGCGCAAGCCTATAGAGAGAAAAAGCGGAGCCGCTAAAGCGCCGGAAAATGGCTGGAAAATGGAGAAATCGGGGGGAGGCAGGGGTTCCCGAGATGAATAATTTATAGAATCTCTCCACACCCCCAATCCCTCTCTTTTTATGGCCATTGGAAATGTTGGAATTTGGGATTCCATAGGAAATTTTGGGGGAAAGGCGGAAGCTGGAAGCTGATGGAATTTTGAGGAGGTATAGACTTTTGAGGTGGAGATTACGGTAGAATCAATTTACAAATATGGAGCAACGGCTAATTCATTTTCATCAACTTTTCGTTCGCAACTTTAGAAAATATACATAATCTAGGGCATACTAGCAGAGTTTTTTTAGGAAATTCAAAGGGCAGGCTAGCAAAGATCATTGGCGAAACCAGGGCAAGCTAGCAGGGTCCATTTGGGAAATCATGGGAAACCCAGAAGAAACTGCAATACTTGACAAAAGTGGGGGCAAGCAAGCTGAGAACATTTCGATAAGGAGACAGCCTGGCAAAGGCCGTGTAGGAATTTCGGTAAACTAGCCGAATTCCTAGTGCGGAATAAGGATGTGCTAGCAGAGATCATTGAGGAAATGCGAGCAACCTAGCAGAGATCATTGGGGATCAAGCGCAAGCTAGCTGAGATCATTGAGGAATTGCGGGCAACCTAGCAGAGATCATTGGGGAATCTAAGCGCGATCAAGCAGCGACTCTCTGGAAACGAAGGAGGCTAGCAGAGTTTATTTGATAAGTTGGGTAATACAGCAGAGAGCATGTGAGGAATGAGGTAGATGGTAGAGATCATTTGGGCAAACGCGCAGAGATTACTTGACAAAAAAATCGAACTTTTCTGCGGCTAATAAAAACTGACACAGACAAGAAACTTCAGTGGTTCCGTCAAATTGGGGCAACTTGTTTGCCCCACAGCGAAACCAGCAGCGGGCAGCAGCAACTCGTTGCTTTGAGAGCTTGGATCTCGAGAAGGATGAGGCGAGAATGATGGAGCGGGCAACTGCCCCTCTCTCTCTCTCGTTGTGGATCTCTCTCTCTCTCTCTTTCTTTCTCTCACTCGCTCGCCTGCCATGATGTCCACAAATTGCCCAATCAGCTGTAGAGCCCCGGGGCAACGGGAGAGAAGACGATGATTGTCTGCCGTCGTCCCGCTGCAGTGATTTGTGGCTGGCCACCAAAAAAAGCAGAGCATTTGGGTGCTGAGCATGGTTGCAAGAAGTTGGGAGAAACAGGATGGGTCTTTGGACAGATTTAAAAGGAATAGGAAGGCAGGATCAACGAGAGAGAGAAAGAGAGAGAGAGAGAGAGAGAGAGCGAGAGCGAGAGCGAGATAAAGAAAGAGAAGATAGTTAGAGACCGTCAAAAAACCGTTGCCTGATAACTCCCCCCCGGTAAGGCAAAAGCTCCAACAGAAATCAATAAACTACGGTAGGTTGTTGTCCCGATTCAGCATCTGGGTCCAATTTGTGTGGGCCCATCAGACAAAAAGTGATGAGGTATCGTTTAGCCTTCTCCGTGCATCTCTCTCTCTATCTCTCACTCTTTCTCTCTCTCTCGCCCTCTTTCTCTCTTCCCTTCAGGCTCCCCAATTGTTTATGCTTTCACAGCCGGGCCCGATGGATCGTTTAAAAGCCCATCTCGATCGTTTGGTGCTGTCTGGTCATTTCAGTCGTTGGGCTTTCAATTGGTGGTTCGCAACTTCATTTTGTTGGTTTTCTCTGCGTTTTCTCTGTTTTAAAAACAGGATCCAAAGAAACGGACTTCCGGGCCAGCAGTGTAATTTTAGCAGCCTATTAGCCGACGTATTGCGTTACTTACGAAACCTTGACGTACGGCCTGCGCGACGCGTTTACGTCGATCGACAAATTTTCCCTTGCAGACGTTTCAAACTATTGATTTTGCGCCTAATTTCTAGATGTCGGCCCGTCTCATTACCACGGTATTGCTGTGCACAGTATCCGTCTTCGGCCTGGAGACGATCAAGTTCCGTCCGTGCAGTAGGTTTTTTAAAACACCTTGAAATCTTCGATTTTATGAGCCTTACAATCCACCAAAAAAATCATGTCTTTTCAGAATCCACCTTCACGGTTGATCGAGTGGCTGTCAAAGGAGCGCAAGTGGTAGCTGTTTGGTTATAAATTAGTATGATCGTGACATAAGAAATAAATCGTCAGCAAAAAAACCAGATTTTACTACATTTTCTTGTACACATTTATTGTATTTTTAGACGGAAGAAGACGGAAAGCAGGTGCTCATCTTCAAGCCGGACACCAAACCGCTGATGCACATCGAATTCACGCCGAGTAGGGAACTCTCACCCCTTGATCAGCAGCTTTTAGCCATCGACACCTCGGCCAAGTACCTGACATCAGTCAATGCCAAGGGTAAAGACGGACTATTGAAGTGGACCCTTCCCCAGCCCGAGTCTTGCGAGGTACTGTAGAAGAGCTCTTTTTAGCACGCCATGCAATCGATTACGCCATTTTAATTAAACTTTTTAGTTCATGGAATGCCCGTTGGAGAAGGGCAAGCAGGTCACCTACGAGCAGGAGTTCCATCTGAAGGCACAGTACCCGAAGGTGAGCAGGAGTCAGAGCGAGAGAGAGAGCGAGCGAAAGAGAGAGCTAGAGAGAGCAACAGAACTGTCCAACGAAAACGAGATAGTAGTATACATGCCTAAAAGAGCGCGGGCAAACGAGACAAGGAGATGGAGAGTGAATGCGAGTTATAGAACCAGAGAGAGGAGAGAGAGAGAGAGAGAGAGAGAGAGAGAGAGAGAGCGAGAGACAGAGATCATAGCTTTTATCAAGCGAATCCCCATAAATAATTGTATTTTTCTAGGGTCACAACATGCAAGTCAATTGGGCCCTCGAGCGTGAAGGCCAAAACGAGAAGGACGTCTGCATCATCTTCCTCGCCAAGATTCTTGAGGCCTAAAACAGCACATTTTACTTGGCTTTAATAAATATTTCTCGAGTCTGAATCACGCCACATATCCCCTCAGCGTTGTACTTCACCCAACGCGGCAATTGGGTGACCGTACGCCCGGAATTAACGGAGGCTTATCACCGCATACATAGTCAGCCATTCCGTGAATATGGCAATAAACAGGCGATCGCATGGTTAGAGTGATAACGGGGGAGGTGGGCATATAGTTAGCGGGGTGGCTGGGAGACTCCATATAAATGACCCAGCCTGGGCTTATTTCTAGATCGGCTATAAGCCTAGGAAATACCTAGATTATTTTCGTTACCTTAGCGTTATATTTACAGGCTTAACAGCTCCCAAAATGCCAAAAAATGCTTCGAGTCCTAACGATCTTGATCTTGATGGCGCATTCACGTTTGCGGGGGGGGCAACCTTTTTCTTTCGCATCCAATGCTTCTAATAAAAACAGGCAATTGTTTCTAAACCGTTATCTACTAATCCTAAACGTCAAAGCTTTAGAAAGTTTTATTAAAAAATCAAAAGAAAAATTTTAAAAGATTTTTGCCAAAAATTCCAATTTATAATTTTCCAAGTTTTTACGCTTAAATTGTCATTAAATTTCACTAAAAAAACTCCCAAAAGCTTACTATTACGCTACTAGGTATTTCTGGACCGATAGGAAAAATCCCGGATAATGCGAAGAACCATTTTGACTAACACGTGCATTCTTTGCTACTACGAATTTTTGCTTCTCTCTAATCTGCCAAGCTTTCTAATAATAGCTTCTCAGTAAAATCTAGACCTTAAAACACGATGCTGCGTCTTTCACTTATCATCTTGGCCTGCTTTTTCGCCTCAATCCTCGCCTTCCACGACGTCAAGTTCCGGAATTGCAGTAAGTAGGAAACTAGCAAAGCGGTTGTATCACATTCAGAATCTCTCTTCACCGTCCATTCCCTCGAAGTTTCTGGTGCTCAATTGGTGAGTAATAGCATTCTTTTGCTCCTTCGCCGCCGTCAAGTTCATAACTCCTTTAGGTCGAAGACAACGGGCACCACATCACCGTGCTCAAGAAGGGCACCCACCCGAAGATTCGCATAAAATTCACACCGGGTACTACAAGTCCAGTCCAGCCAATAATTAAAACAATGATAGCTTCTTAAAAATAAAGCTTTTTTCCCAAATTTTCAGATGTTGCCCTGGACAGCTTCACCACGACGGTCAACGCCAAAATTGACGGCGCCCTGCTGAAGTGGAGCATGCCGGAGCCGAATGCTTGCAAGGTAACTTGAGATACGTATCCAACCCAACTATGGTTTTAGTTTATGGATTGCCCGGTAGCCGCTGACACCCAAAACGTCTACGAACAGGCCATCCACATCAAAAACGAGTACCCGACCGTAGGTGGAAAACGCGGAAGCGTCGAAATTTTTAGGACAAAACCGTCCAAATCAATTGGGTAATCGACGGGGATCGCGAAGATATCCACCACGACGTTTGCGTCATCTTCCTCGCAAGAATTGAGAAGTGAAAAGTTCGGCGATCCTGAATAAATTATCGAGTTTGACAATGTGATACATAGGATCAGCAAAAGTAGGTACTGAAGTAAAGTATAGATTTTATCGGACTGTACCATACCAACAACAACAACGACCCATCAGCAACAAAAACAACAAGCATAAACGTAAAAACAAAACAAAAACAATTTCATAGCCTATTCGATCAATTTGCTCTTTTTCGATTTCTTCGGTTGTACCTCGGGCGTCACTTCTTCGGTCTTGATCTCGGTCTCGGAATGCTTCCTTGAAAAAAAATTATATTAACGAAACGCCGGCACCTCTTTTTCTTTGTTCGCTTCGGAGTCTCGGCTTGGGAATCAGCTGGAGCTTCAGCTTGGGTCTCGGTTGGAATATCCGTAGGCGCCTCGACTTGTTCAGCTGCTGGCACCTCGGCTTCATCGTCCGGGAATATTCTAAAACCAAAAGAAATGTCAAAAGGTAAAAAACGTACTTGCTTCGTTTAAAAGAATGGCCTGCAGCGACTTCTCGTTCAGTGGCCGTACGCGTCAACACCTAAAGAAACTTGAAATGAAAAATATATCGAAAACACCTTCATGAACCCGGCGACGACAGCCATAGCTGTACCGCGCGTCTCCGTATGGAGCGGTCTAAACGGATGTATTTTAGTAGAACGTTTTTATTATGTTTGGTATCTCCTACAAAACGCTCACCTGACTAGTAGCTGATCCCCTAGTTGCAGGACATGCCCGTTTAGCTTATGTTTCCACTGAAAACAACATTCAATTTTCAAAAAATTATCTGACCTTTTCGGTCCCAAAGATTTTGACCTGCACGCATTCCAAATAGGTGAGCGACATGAAATTCTTGGAAATGTGCTGGATCGTGCATCGGATCGGGGTGTCTTTGTTAGGCCTGAATAACAATAAAATTAGCGAATAGTCAATATTTACTTGAAAACAATCATCTTTATCCGGTAGTCGGCATGGTAGACGGTTTGCTCGTCAAGAATAATCGGAAGCCCGACCAATTCGACGGATTTGATGGCGAATACGACACCGTCAACCCTAAAAAACAAGTTTTGATGATCTAAAAAAACTGCTACGAAAACCGCTACGCAAAACCACTTACGTTCTGCGATATTTGCCCAACGTGCTGTTCGCGATGAATTGCGGACCGGCGTGGAATTCCTCGTCGAGCATCGTGTGGTAGGGCAACGCCATGTGTCGAATTTCTGTCATCTACAACACTCCGCATTACCAAAACAACAAGATATAACTCGCCTCGAACAGACCACAATTTGGGTGCTTTTTCAGATGCTTCAGGTAGACGTCATAACTCTTGTAACGCGACCGCGACTCCAGGATCCCGATTTTCGTGGTTCGGTGTATCTAAATAGGCGCAATGCCTAGAAAATACAAATCACCTCCTTCTTCTTCTTGCCGATATCATCGAAAATCCTGCGCTTGGGCGCAGCCTCTTCCGGCGCCTGAAAACAGTGTGTACTTTCAAAAGTCACTAAAATGTTAACCTTCTGGGGCTCAGGCTCCTGAATCATTCCATCATCCTCCACGGGCTCGAGCTTGATCTTGTTCTTGTGCTTGCCCATCTAAAAATATCGTCGTCATGATTGAAGCTGGGAAAGAAAGCGCCATAAAAATGACAAGGCTTGGCAACCCTGCAAACTGAACGAAAACTTCAACTGAGCGAAAAAACTTTATCAGGATTCAATCATGATAAAACGTCGATAACCAGCAAGAAACGAAGAACACGAAACTATAACTAAATAAACGATACATCACACGATCTTGACGTCAAGAAAGGTTATTTTTGACGGCGAGCCCTCAAGACCACGTCCTGGTGGTGTCCGTGTATTCGCCGTCAGGTGAATCGTAATTTTCGACTGGCGCGCTCAAGGAGGGCCCATTTATCGTCTGCGGGAACGACCTGGAAACAATTATCTACATAGAAGCTGCAACACAAGAAATTACCACGAAAAAACAACGAAAAATGACCTACCCAGTGTCTGGCTGTATGGCGGCCTCATAAAGCTTTGGGTCGAGCTTCTTCAGCTCGGCCAGCGCCTTATTTTGAAGAAAAATCGAAGTCCTGATCCACTTCTCGTCGGCCTTCATCAGGTGGCTTCTGGATCGGCAGTATTCCTAAGCAGGCATATGTTTTAACCACCAAAGGAACCAACTTTTAACACCAACGCCCGCTCGTCAACGACTTCGTCGGATAACTGCGTTGGTGGCCGAATGCGTTCACTAAAGTGCTTCTTATTACACCAAGCAGCGGACATACCTCAAATTTTTAGCCGACTTTACATCGAGCGCCATCTCGTCGACGGGCTTCGGCTTCTTGCTGTGACGCATCATCTCGCGAATCTCCTTCTCCAGCTTCTTCCGCTTTCGGATTTCACGGGTTTTCGCGATCTAAACGAAGTTTTTCTACCCAAAAAAGAAACGACTGCCGACCTCAGGATCAATTTTCTTCTGCCGCTTCATAAAGACCGAACAGGTGGCAGGAGAGGTGTGGATGAAGCGCTGATTCGACGACGTCAGACATAGCTTGCCAAACGCGCTCGTGGCCGTCTTCCAGGGAATCATCTGAACGAATTGGAATCCTTAGTAAAGTTTTGCCAAAAATTTAGCACAGCAAGATGCATTAGGCCGCCCAAAAGCAACGACAAGGGACACCAAACGACGCCGTAACCAGTCCCCCCAATTCCTTGCCAAGATCCCTTCCTCCCGAACGTATCCCCCCCTAACTACCCCAAAGAGATAATTCACCGGAAAGCTCTGAAACTCCTTGTTCTTGTAATGCGTTCCGCCCAATACTAGTAAGACAACTTTATCCACAAATTGCACAAGGTCAGAAAGCAGGGCACAGTTGAATCATAAGGCACAGATGGTTAGTTCAAAAAAGTCACAGATCACAATGCATTCACAGAAAATTGAGCGATTCTTCAGGCGTTGATGCGGCAGAGCTTGAACACGTCGGCAAAACGGTATTCCAGGTCGCGGTTGAAGTCAGTCCTTGAATCGTCCATGGTCTTCCTAAAAGAATAAATCATCAATAACCGCGATGATGCAACAAATCCTAGGCGACAAAAGGAAACTTACAAATATTGGGCAAAAATGCGGCGCCCGCGGTCGCCATATTCAGCGGCAATGCGCAGCGGGCTTGGGAGGGCAGTCGGAAGATTGACAATCTGGTGCATGTAGCAGAGGTCGTAAGTCATAGCCTAAAAAAGCCATACACCGAAAGCGAAATCTGAAATACCTGCAGATCATCCATCGACAAGTTGGCGTTATCATAGATCACGGTGTACTTGGGAGCCTTGGCCGTGCCCTGCAGGGCGGTGTGGGCGTTCAAGAAAAATTGTCGATGGTTCGGGTTGATCACATTGCTGTCGACGACAGTGCCGGGGCCCACGTTGTTCTTGGCAGCGCTCTGGTTTCGGTCGATCTAAATTCAAAAGTATTATTTAATCAAAGGTTGTCTCTTACATTCTTTCTGAAGAACCGGACATTGTGGTCCTTGTGCGCCAAAATGTAGGTCAATTTGAACGGCTGCGCGCCGATCGTTTGGCTGATGACGGTCTGCATTCTGGGGATCTCGTTTTCGAGGATGTCTTGCACGTCCCAGTCAGTCGTTCCACTGCGGTAAATCACGAATCGGGTTGGAGCAGTCGTACGTCCGGAACAATTCTTCAGCGTATCCAAAGCTGCTTCCAAGAGCAAGCCTCCGGATGTCTAGAAAAAGACACTGAGCTAATTAAAATGTTCAAACCCTAGCTCCATTAACGTCAGCCTGCTTGATGAGGAAATCTCCGATGAACGATCCGGGCTCCCGGCCGAAGTTGCCAGCATACTAAAGCACAAAAAAATGATAACGCAAAAATCGTACCGATAAGACAAAGGGCTTGATGTCGCGCTTCATTCCGTCGGAAGCCATAGGTGGCACGGGACCCGAGACTGCTGGCTTCGGGCCACCGAGGGTGAGGTTCTGCATCTTCGCGTAGCCACTGTCGTCCAGATCCTTCAGCATCTCGACAGGACCAATGCCAAACACGAAAACGTTGCCATTGTGCAGCTCGTTCGTGAACTGAGAGCCGGCCCTAAAGAGATTTACAGAAAGAAACAAGAAAACGTACTGTCGCCTGATAGCAAAATTCTGGCCGCCTAGCTTGACGTTGAATTTCTGGACGATGTTTTCCATAGTCGCGGCCTGCTTGCCAGTGAGGATGCGGGTGGCGGTTGAGAGCTTGATGTTTTGCGTCGTAATTTGATATTTCCGTTCCATGTATTTCAGCTCGTCCTGCATTTTCAGCTGGTCGTCCATCGCGAACAAGGCAAACGTGAAATTGCCACTCTTGAGGTTCTCGAATGCCCATTCCAGCTTTCCGCTTTCCAACGACTAAAAAAAATTTGGTAGGCAATGAAAAGCTTACCCCCATATGTCCGCATTCCGGGATTTTGATTCCACGTTTGAGGCAATCCGCCCGGAAACCATTTGTGAAAGCATTGGCATCGAAGGAGCGCTGAGAACGGTCGCTGAGCACGAAGAATGCCCACTGGCCGGCTTCCATTGGGCGAAGGAAGGATGAGGTGTTCGGCTTGCGCCACGTCCCATTCTCGGCGATTGGCGCCTGGTTTTGATTGCTGTACACGGCCAACGGGCGCGGGATCAGCCTGGCTGTGACCTAAACAAATGATTAGAAGTTAGACAAACACCAACTTCCAAGGGCTGACGAGTGTCAACTTGGTAACGGGCATCCGCGATCAGATCTCGTCCGACTTCTTGTTCGCGAATCAGATGCATGATGGCGTCTTGCCGTTTCTCAGGCACCATAGCAGCAGACTATATTGCGTACTAAATCGATAAAAGGGTGATACCTTGACAAAGGTCTTCATGATTTCCGGCGTTTGCTTGGCAGTGGCGACGACATGCCCCTCGCAGATCGTGAGAAATTCGAGCGGGAAATGGCTTTTGTGGCCGCCCCTCTTCAACTCAGCCAGAGGAGCCAGTGGCCAATTGAGAGTAGCACCACGGCGGTCCTTGAAGTATGCCTCGATCGTCCAGGTTTTCCCGTCCTTGTCCTGGAACTGGGCAGCGCGAGCGGACGTTGGCATAATGCGGTCGATCCGGAAAGTGCGGTATTGATCACCATATGATGCCGAAACGAGAACACCTAAAAAAAATAACGTAAGCGCAATGAAGCTAAACAACCTTTGAGAACACGATGTAGCATATCGATTTGGTCCGGGCGCCACTGGGCATTTTGGTCCTTCATGTGCGTGATGTTGGTCGCAATTTCGATCACTGGCCCCGGCTTCAAGAAACATCCTTTTTCGGCATCGAAATTGAGCGCCATCTCCGGACGGCCGCTGGAACCAGCAATCAACTCGACGCTCTTCTTCGATCCAAGCAGCAACTGCTTCATTTCCGGCAGCTAAATCTGGATAAAATTCGACATAAAATTTGCTCACATTTTCATCCTGGGCTTGCTGCGGCTTGCGCATGAAGATGCGATTCTTGGAGTAGCACAAGTATTTGCGCTCTTCACTCGGCAGCTCGACACTCTGGTCGAAGCAAGACTTCGACAGGGACACCTCAATGAAGCCGCTCGCGGAGTCTTGATCCTTGAAGCCCGCAATCGAACCGCTCAACTGGGCAATGGCAGCTTCCGATAACTAAAAACAATTTTATGCTAGGCCAAAGGCATTACCGTCATCTCTCCGCTAAACGTGATATCGAGCTTGGCGACCTTGAACGGATGATACAGACGATCCTTGGGAAGGTTGTAAGTGGCAGTGATGCAGCCATTCTAAATTAATGTAAACGACACTAAATGAAATCCAACCCCATCATCGATGCGGCGTCCCATGATGTAGAGCAAGCGGTGCTGATCATAGAAGATTTGGGTGGCCCAATTCGGCAGTCCGGCTTCCTGGCTGAAGCAGTGGCGGACAATGTTCGAGCAGATCTCGCGATAGACCAAGCGCAAGCCACTGCAAAAGTTTTAATAAAAGACTTTAGAGAATTAATTTACCCCTGAACCGGCTCCCTCGTCAGGATCAAATGCGTCTTCGTCACATCACCGATATCCTCGAAACGGCTGGCCGTGACGTCGACGTTGTAGCGGTAGACCTTGGTCGTGTCGACGACGTTGATCTTGAAGTAGTTGGTCCAGAGGTTGAGCTTCTCGCCGAGGGCGCCCGGTGCCAGCGGGGTCGGCAGGGTCATGTCGCCGCCGCTGCCCTCCGAAAGCTTGCGGTAGCGTTCGGCAACCTCGCGCAGCGTCTCGCCTTGAGCTTGCATTTGAATCACTGAAAATGGAGAATTATTTGCGAACGCACGGAAGCAGAGAATAAAAAGTATCGAGGACATTGGAAATATGCGCATAAAAGGAATTCAGGAGGAATTATCACCGGAAGTGAAAAGCCTTAGACCGCAAAGGGAAAAACAAATAAAATTACGACGACGGCAACGACCAAAATTATGGGGACGAACTAAACAAATGGGCAAATCTGAAAGCTCTGCGCAAATCTGAGCGTCCCAGCACGAAAATACCTCCTTCTTTGCGGGACCCACGTGTTTAGTAGTGACGCGTACTTATCAGAAACCGGTTTATATTGTCTTTTTCGTTTTACCGTTTTTTTCCAAAATCATAATTATTCGCCGGTTCTTATTTCTCTTGGTCATTATTTGTTCATAAACCCAAAATAAAAAACTTTTTAAATTCCACCTTTTGATTATTATAACGTATTTGTGAACAACTTTTTTTGGCTGGTTTTTTGCCTAGTTTGGTAGTTTTTCGCGGCTAGTCTGGCACAATGCTCACCTCCTAAGCCTAAGTGGTGAGAAGTAAGACGAAAGAATTGGTTTTAAAATGAGACAAAACCATTTACTCCCCGCACAGACTGTTTATGCTTTTCTTATCTATATTTTCGATTGCTTTTTTCTGGCTGACGCTGATTTCTACCTCGTTTTTCAGCATGGATGGCAAATTGAAAGCCCTGCAGGACACGATCTACTCAATCGTGGCCTCTCACCAGGAGCCCTCGACGGCTTTCAAGATTTGCCGCGAGTATGAGGTGATTGCCGATTTTTCTCTTGCAACATGCCGCTTTAGGAGGAATACGGCTCCATCAATTTTGCGGAATTCGGCTACTACAACGGCGTCGACATGCTCAAGAAGCACCCCCGCATCCAACTAGTTGAGGGCGAGGAAGGACGCGTGGTATTTCGCGCCGCGATCTCTACCACCGGCGCCGCGTACGACATCCAGAAACTCATCGCGCATCAGCGCAAGAAGAAAAGCCGAAGCGGAGGAAGCGGTCGTGGGCGGCCGGTTTTCCACAATAGGTATACTTCCTCATTGCTACCAACACTGACTTCAGATACGCTACGCCAAATCGGGTTAGCCCGCAAGCTTTCAATCGGACATCGACGCAGTTCGTCATGCGACCTCGGCCGCCGATGCCGGCCCTACAGCAACGTCCTGCCCCCTCCCCGCTCTTTTCGCCCGTGCGAGCGTCGTTGGCGGGCCGAATTACGATTGCAGCGGTTCGTTTTTACCTGCCGGAATATGGCTGAGCCCAGATCGAGCTCGGAAGTGATCCAAATGAAAAGCCGTGGTTGCTGATAATTTCCTTTTTTTAAAGGTGGTGCAGGCGTTTAGAGCTCAAAATAATAGCCACGTTTCGAGATTTTGCGTTTTTCGTACAGTTTGAACGTGTGAATTTGGATGTTCAACACTTGTTCGAATTCAGAAGGGGCCACAGTCGCCCCTTTCTTGTGACGACTTCGAGCCCGATCTGAATGCAAGCTTATCTGTAGTCTCCTAGTTAGTGAATCGCCATGCCTAGAAAAGCTCCCCTTTTTCGACCATTCCTTTCCTACCACTTTTCAATAGTTCGTTTTCAGCGTCCATCGCCATTGAAGGCCGCCGTGCCGGCTGCTCCTGTCGCTGCGAGGCCAGCAGCTGCACCATCTCAGCGAAGAAACGTCTTCGCCCCGGTCCCCGTCATGGCTGCCAAGCCAGTCACGTCGCAAGATGGTATCAAGCGCTTCGTCACTCTGATCGACGACATGGGCGGCTATGCGACGCTGACGGACTTCCGGAGACGTTGGTACGAGCGCCACAGCGAACTCCTCACCGCAGAGGTCTTTGCTCGTTACTTCGGCGAGCCGAAGTTAAGCGCCGTGTGGCAGGCGTTGGAAGGAAAGGTTCGAGTCTTGAGCGTTACTCTTGCACAATCCTAGGTCACATTCGAATTTATCGAGACTGAAGGCGAAGAGGATCTGGGGATGTACACGGTGAAATACGTTGACCGTGGGCGAACGTTGAAGCCAGCGCACCCCTCCCTCAGCGAGATGCTCAACAACTTGATCAACCAACTGACGCACGTATACCCGGCCCCGCTTCCGGTAACTGCTTCTAAAATGCTGTAAATTTTTTAGTTTGACAAAGTCCCCATCTACTACGCTCGTTTCTACAAGCAACAGCTGAGGCCCGAGGAGCTCTTCTCAAAGACATGGCGCGAAGTGTTCTTCTCCGTCTTCATGTCTGCCCTGCAAGTCGATGAAGAAGATGTAAGCTTCAGCTTTAAATTCTTTATTTTTGTTTTAGAAAGTAAGATTGCGCAAGAAGCCGGCTGCTGTGACGACGGCCACGCCATCAGCCACATCCAACAAGCCGCCGCAAAAGACAATGGACGACAGCTGGTGACCGGACAATCGCACTTTTTGTTGAAATAATAATCATGCATCACTTTTCTCGTTTTCAAGGTGCTATTTGGGTTGCGAGGGAAGAATAAATACTTTTAACCGTCCGGTTTTCAAACACATCCACCACGTTTATTCCGAGAAGCGAGAAAATGGGGAAAGCCATAGAATAGCTAAAAGTTCTAGCGCTTTTTACATCATTCTGCGTCAAGACCGGCGGGCTCGGGGAGGACCTGAGGAGTCTACGTGTTTTTTTATTCTTTTACCTCGGAAGCGGACCGCCGGAAACGAAGGAAGGGGTGGAGCTCGTCCATTGCTCTCCTGGAAGTATTATCTCTGACGTTTGGATTGGCTAACCGGAAGCGGATGAACGGCTGCAGGGCATCATCGCTTTTGCGGAAACGGATAAAATGGTGGACCGGATCGGAGGATGGGTCAGATTTCCTGAAATCTTTTTCTTCTGCAACAACAGGGCCCAACAACCTTTGAATTCCAGGTTTGATAACAGAAATTTAGGATGTGACTACCTTTTCTACAAGTCAAAACTACGAATTTTTGTGTTAAAAAAACAAAACCTGGTTCTTCAGAAAATTGACAGATTTTTATAGATTTTCTAAATTTTTTTGGGTTCGATATAGCAATGTTTTACTATAAAAAGCCTATTACGTGCTTGCTGTTACATGCAAATCTATTTCCTGTCCCGGTGAGCGGGAGCTATTTGGAGCACGTTCTTGGCATCGGCCATTCAGAATTCCCGGTTTTGTTCCGGAAACGCGGCCAAAAGTGGGGTGGCGGACCCGTGGGAACGCGCCCGAAATGGACGCACACCCACCTGAACCGCAAGAAGTGCTGCAGATCCTCCTCGGGGGCCCCGCGGCGGAACCGGATGAATGGCTGAACGAGGTCCGGCGACGAGAAGTCCACTGAATTTTGGTGTTTTAGGGATAGTTGCATATAACTCCGGCTTTTACGCTATCGAAAAACTGGAGGTCACTCGATTTTCGCGTCTAAGGGCGTGTCTACAGCCTTTTTATACTTTTTCTAAGTAGTTTGGCTTTCGAAAAACTGAATTATACTAAAATTTGGTGTTCGAAGCATAGGGCAGGGTTCTTTTTGCTTTTTCAGCTTATTACATCATCGAAAAACCCTGTGTTTTCGACGAACCATAGGGACTCTTCCTGATGCGCCCATGTTCGTCGACTGGACCGGCCGATGCCTGCTGGGCCACGAGCAGCAGCATCGGGAGCGCCAACAACGACAGCTGGGCGACGACCATCTGAAAATTTGTGGTTTTTAAGGTTTTAAAAGCCGGTTCTGACTGGTATAACCTAGCTAATTCCAACGAAAGAAAAATTAATCGCCTTCTAATTCTAGAAAAAGCTAAGAATAATAAATTATACCGCGGGAATCATCTTTTCTAAGGCTTCGAAGGTATCGAATATTTGGAGGTTTTCCTAGGTACTTTCGAGTGATTTAGACAACGTAAAGCCTTTGTAAGCTTTCCTAGGCACCTAATTTAATTTTTTTAAGATTTCCTAGGTACCTAGAAGGCAAATCAGGATTTTAGCTCTGATAAAGCCCTGTTTTAATTTAGCTCCTAGTGATTCGTCAGCACCCACAACAGAAGCCGTAGAATTTCAATTCCTAGGCACTGCCGTATTTTTGGGATTCCCTTACCCGGGTTTTTAATCTATTTTTCGGCATATCCAGCCCACGGGCGTGTGAGCCTTCATTTTTGGGGTGCCTTGCAGAGGCAGCAATTTTTGGGCGTGAAATGCGCGGGCGGCGAAAAATGGTTCTCATTAATAACGGTGGGTGAGACGTCAACGGGGGGTGTTTCGCCGGCCTCGAATCGGTCATTTCAAGGAATTTCGAAATGGGATTTTACCCCGGGGAAGAGCCTGAGCTCAACAAGCGGCTTGGGAGAATGAGGTTTGGGCGATGACGAGTTCGACGCGTTTGCATTGGGTGTGTTAGGCCGTCTGAAGCGTGCATGGCCTGTACGGTTTTGTAGATCCTTGCTCTTCGCTATACAAGTGCGCCATTTAGGATCCAAAAACGCTACACGGATTCTTAGCTAGCTAACAAAGTTAATTTCCGGAAATCCCGTTTTCAAATATTATTTTGGCTTTTGATATGTCATTTTTATTGCAAAATTTTAAGTGCAAATTTTGATGCTCTATTGAATGGCGTCAAAAAATCTCGAAAAATAGCGAGAATACCGAAAATTTTGGGAATTTGCCGAATCTAATCGCAATAAAAAAAATTTGATGTTGAACACCAACGTAGTGTCCTTTTTGGGCATTTTCTGGGCATTTGAAAACCTAATAAAACTATAAAAATGGTACGAAGTCCTCAGCTAGCTAAAAAGCGCGCCTCGGCCTTCTTTTTTTAAAATCTCGAACACTATTTTTAGGTAAGGAAAGTGGGCTGACGATGGGGTTGATGATGGTGGGTGGCCGTACGGAAGCGTTAATTGGAATGGCTGCGCGGAGGGGAATTAGCAAATGCTGCCCTCTTTTGCTACTCTTTTTTGGGTCGTCGACGCCAAAACAACGGCGATATCTTGATTTGGGGCTAGAAATGGAAGTGGCCATTTGGAAGCGTTGACGATCTTTGCTTAGAACTCGCCAGAAGTTCAGGGTGAACCGAGCGATTTTTGGGGGTTAAAGGGGCGTGCAAGGCTAGACTAGGGATGTTGCAAGTCTGGCCGCCCGCGACACGCAACGCACACGCGCGATTTTAGCAGAAAACCTAGATTTAGTTGAGAATTACGCAAATCAGTAAAGTGTTACAAACTAGAAAAGAGTGTCCTCTTCAGCTAATCATTTTTGGGCCGAAATCCGTCGAAATCCCGGCGAAAATGGCAAAATAAACCTTAATTTGGCCCTAAATTTTTTTGTTTTATCATATTTTGGCTTGAAAATTCGGGTGTACATAGTTTGTACGCATCCAAATCGCTGCTAAAAATTTGAACCCGATCAGATGCAAGACAGACAAATGCGAAGCGTTTTTTGTAGATTTTTCTCAAACGAGGCCCCACAGCCATTTGAAAACCTATAAAAATTAATCGACCAAATTTTCGCACTCCTACCGTTAGAATTTAATAAAAAACGGCTGAGGCACAATGCAGGCAAAACCACAGAACACTAAAGCATGCCCCTACCGACCTACCGTACCTTTTGGAGGGGGCGCGGCACGGGAAGAGCCGAGATGAGTGGCCACGCGGGCCCGACCACAAGCCCCCAGGGCCCAAGGGGAAAAGCTGGGCGGGGCCCACGCTCGGCTCCTATCCACGAAAGCAGCGGAAGGAGCAGCGTGATGTCAGCAGGGCAAAAGTAGAATAATTTTAAAGGGGCTGGAAAGGCAGTTTTTCAACTAAATTTTTGGCCTTTTGGCAAGCTGCCAGGTGGTGAGGTCTTACTGGTATGCTAGCTATCCCGATAGAGCGGACATAATCGCTTTCGGAAAAAATGCTATTTTTCAGTACGATATGCTACCGCGTACGGTAAGCTTTTCACGCAGCGTTTTTGAGAAAAAACTACTAAGTTGTATATTGCAAGACTTGAAAACCATTGGAAAGGATGAACGTGAATTTTTTGGCTATGGATTCCTTATGGTTTTTGCAGCACACGCGCCGCGACACGTAAGGCGCGGATGATGTAGGCGTTGCGCGTGGCGACGGCGTCAAAATCCTTGGTTTTAAAGGGCCAGGCAAGCCAGTAGTAGGGCTTTTTATGGATTTTTCCGCACACGCGACACACAACGCACGCGCTGCTCTGCCGTTCAGTATGTCCTAATCCATTACGCAATGAAATGACGTGCGCACACGTCGAAACGCCCGTGCCACGTGCCAGAAACTTCAATAGAAAACTTTAGCTTTAAAGGGGGGCAGGACAAATTATCCTGTTGCGTCAGGATTATCAACAGATTTGCCGCGCCGGCTATACGCAACGCGCCGGCTTGCACCTCCATTGCGTCATCGATTTCGATTCTGTATAGGCGGCCAGATGTGCCTTACTGTAACCGTTTTTTGTTGACCGTGGGATTTCGATACGTGAGATAGCACATTTTATGCAGAATTTTTCGCTGGTTCCGAATCCGTTTTCAAAAGTTGCGGAACCCCTCTAGATAAAAAGTTACAGCCGGTTTTCTACCCCAAATGACCGAAAATTACAAACTTTAAAGCCTTATAAAAAACTCGTGGAACATTTTGTGGGATAAAATACAGCACTCTTAGGGGTAAAAAAACGTGCACTTTCGAATGGGCTACCTCACGAACCCGTAGCTCAAAATTCATGAAAAAAAGTTTTTCGGTGGACCAATGCCCTGGATGGCCAATTTTTGAAATTTTGTGAATTTTGAGCTACGGGTTCGTGAGGCAGCTCATTCGAAAGAGCACGTTTTTTACCCCTAAGAGTGCTGTATTTTATCCCACAAAATGTTCCACGAGTTTTTTATAAGGCTTTAAAGTTTGTAATTTTCGGTCATTTGGGGTAGAAAACCGGCTGTAACTTTTTATCTAGAGGGGTTCCGCAACTTTTGAAAACGGATTCGGAACCAGCGAAAAATTCTGCATAAAATGTGCTATCTCACGTATCGAAATCCCACGGTCAACAAAAAACGGTTACAGTTAGGCGTCGCGTGTCGCGGGCGCGTTGAAATCCACCGGGAAAGCTTACCTGTTGCAAAACAGCTGATTATGTTTCATGACCCACATCATGTTCCTCAACTTCCGCCCGAGAATTCAGAAGCGTCTTCCTTTTTCCTACAGAATATTTTCTCAGCTTTCGTTTTCTAGAATTCCTAGAAGTCACTTCTTCTTCATCATTTGCTTCGAGCTCCTTGCTGGATTCGGAAGGCGTCGAGCCCCGAGGCGTCCGGAGGTGGGCTGACGTCTTCTTGGGAAAGCGGTACTCGAGGATGGGAACGACCGTCTCAAGTAGATGCTCAACTTCTCAACAACCACCCACCCATCCGCCGCTGGCCGTTTGGAAACTTGCAACAAAATGGGGGAATTGTAGCCAGAGAGCGAGAGAGAGATACAGCGAGGGAGAGAGAGAGAGTGAGAGAAAGCGGAAAATAGGCTGTTATAAAAATAAAATTTTATTAAATTCACCCAGCCATAAAAACATTGTTTATTTGTCTGAATTTACAAAAAAAAAAAATTTATTCAAAGTTCCTCCATATTTCGAGACTTCCGCTTCGAACCCTTCGGCTCTTCGCGCCATTTTGCCTTTACTGGCTCCTGAAATACGGCTGATAGGAAAATTTAGCGAGAGAGCTGGAGAGAGAAACGCAAGAGAGAGTGAGTGAAAGAGAGAGAGAGAGAGAGAGGGGTGAGAGAGGGGGAGTGAGAGGGGAGAGGGAGCGAGAGCGCGGGAGAGATAAACCGATAGAATTTTGGCTAAAAAACCGATAAGGAATCGCCGGGCTTCGCGGCGTACACGAGTCCCCAATCGATTTTCTATCCTAACAACTTCTATGAGGTAATAATGCTCTGAATACCTGCCAATCGTCGTCTTCCTCCTCCTCCATCTCGTCTTCCACATCTGCTTCTTCCTCTTCAATCCACCCATCTTCCTCCCTCCTCCTCTGAACTGCTTCGTGAACTCCGTGCAATTCAGACGTGTCCGTCTCGGCTTCTGTCAGGTTCTGGCCGGACAGCAGTATACTGGTGAGCTGTTTGAATAGGGTGTGCCGCAGGTGATCCCTCTCGGCCTCCAGTTCGGCTCGCATTGGATTGGTATATCTTCTCACCAACTGGCCGAACATTACTAAATTGTTGGTAGAGCATTTTTGTAGGTTTGGAAAAATTGTAAAATTTTATAAGAGACTTTCCATTGATCCTTTCATGCTTTCGAGGCAAAAAAAGGCTCTTTAGAATTAGCGTAAGACCAAAAACCTGCTGCAAACGTAAACATCGAAATTTTCCGGTACTGACCCGTTAGTGGGGGGAAACGGTAACGGAGTGGAATTGAACTAATTTTTTTATCATCTTATCATAAAAATATCGCAATTTGGAACATTTTGACTTTTTGCCCACATTTTTAGGGAAAAAACTGCATAAAATGGATTTTGTGGTCGCCCCCACGCACCTGGCAAAACCATATCGGCCAGAAAATACTCCATCGAGTCATCCTTCATTTCCTAAAAACATTTCTTAGAATAGCATTTTCAAGGATTAGGATTTTTAGTGAAAAACCAAAAAGATAGAATTTTCAAGTACAATTTGAATTTCTAAAAGTTGGAAAAGTCTTCAAAAGGGCGTTATGCTGCTTAAATAATGATAAATTTCACCAAGCACGCTATTAAAACATTTTCTAATAACTTGTTACGAATTTCGTACGAAACCCCCCCCACCCGATATTGCAAAAGCCCCGACACAGCTATAAAACAAACCCATGTGAACACTTGCTGGGGCAACATCTTGCCGGTGATCAGCCACTGCACGGCCTGCAACATGGGGCCCACGTCTTCCGTAAACAGTTTCAACAAGTTCTGCATGTACTGCTGCGCAAGGGGGCACGCTTTCTAAATCAGAACTAAGGTTTTCGAGAACGAAAAATGCTCTCAGGGTTTGACCGACCTTTGAAACCGCATCGTCGCCACAACACTTTCCGACCACGATGTTGTACATCTCCGCAAAGTCGTCGAATCCGCCTTTTTTAGGCGGGGCTGGTTTCTGAAAAACTCCCTCCCGCTCACTTTCTTTCTCTCTCTCTCTCTCTCTCTCTCTCTCTCTCTCTCTCTCTCTCTTTCTTTCTCTTTCTCTCTCTCGCGCTCTCTCGCGCTCTCTCTCTCTTCGACACTCTCGCTCTATTTCTCTCTCTCGCATTCTCTCTCGCTCTCTTACTCGCTCTCTCTATCTCTCCTCTCTCACGCTCTCTTTCTGTCTTCCCACCCTTTTTGCCTTTGCTGCGTCAAACCCCATCGGCAGCAGCAAAAGTAGGGCCAGGCACACGGTCTTCCAAGCCATAATTTGTAAGAATGGGCCCTGAAATACGACAAAACAAATGAGCAAGATCAAAAGGGCAGAAAAACGCATCAAACTGGCAGCAAGAAATGCCGACATGTTTAGGCAACCTATTTTCGACAAATTGAATTGCCCTATCGTGATAGCAAATCGTAGAAACCGTAACGGATCTATAGCCTAAAAAAGACAGATGGCTTCCCGGTCCCTTTAAAAGTTGTACATCGGCCTGGTGACCCCCGAAATGACTTATCAGTTACGGCCCTCCGCCACTTTACCCCTCACCCCGCGGGCATTATGAAACAGCGTCTGAATACATTCTATTGCGACCGAAAATTCTTAGGGGAACACGGGAAGCTGATAGTGGGGGTAAAGGAAGACGATACAACCGGATGTCGCTAGCCCCACACTTTTTCTACAGACAGTGAGGGCAGAGATAGAGATTTTTAGGGTTTGATGATGAATTTGGTGCTTTTGCAATATCGGGGGAGGTTATGATTACCAGGTTTGATGGGCATCAACAGGAGCTCAGAAAATCGGCAATTTTTTAAAGAAAAAAATCTAATTAAAACCTTTTTGCCATCCGATTTTTCTGATATTTTGCAATTTGCAATAATTGATCAACTGCCATCTTTCTATCTCACTCACGCTCTTTCACTTACTCTCTCTCTCTCTCTCTCTCTCTCTCTCTCTCTCTGTCCCTCTCTCACTCTCACTCTCACTCCCTCTCTCTCTCGTTCTCTCTCCCTCGCTCTCTCTGACTCTCCGCCTCTCCTTTTTGCATTCTTTAAAAAAACTATCCATCTTCACTCCTTGGCTCGGTCGAACTCTGAGGCGATAATTCTTTAGTCATCATGACGCAATACGCACCCTGTATTTTTCAATGTTGCTTTGTGCAAAACAATGAAAAACAGAAGCCAATGGCCTTAGAATCGTAAAGTAAGAATTTATTAGATTTCGAAGTCAGACTAAAATCACAGAGACGCTGAGTTACAGGAAGGACCGTTAGACGTTCACAAAATCTTCGAGGTCATCGTCTTCATCATCTTGAACATCTTCATCACTGTCGTATTGGAAGTCGGGGTCGAAGATGTGGTTGAAGCACTCCTCCCAGTCGGTCAGCTTCTGCAGAATTTGACGGTTGAGACGGAAGACAAAGTCGAGGAGGAGGGCTTCGAAGAGTTTAGTGCGGTTTGGGGGCTGAATTGAGAGATATAAAAGTATGTTAAAACTAATTAGTATTTCCGCCTCAGAAAATACAAAAAATTCTTCTGGTTTAAAGACGTCCAGACTAATGATTCGGTTCTCTAGGATTCCCGGGGCGGGGGGGGGCGGACCAAGTTTTTCCTGGCGACCCGGGTCGGCCTAGTAATCAAATGTAAAGTGTTTTACATTGTTTTTGGTACGTTTTAACTATATTTAAAGTAGAAAAACTTTCGAAAAAGTTTGAAAAATGTTTGAATAGGTCGAACACTTGGTCAATTCGGGTCGAAAAATGATCTTTAGGACCTAAAATTACTTTTTTAATTAAAATTTGTAGTATTTTTATGCTTAGGAATAGTTCAAAACAATGTAAAAAAGCGGCCTTTATAGTTTCGATCCCTAAATTATAGAAAATTCGATAATTTAGGGATCGCCTTATCCCTAAACCTAGACCCTAGACGGGGTAGTTGCTTCGCTTGGCCCGCTAATCTCTATCAACGGCGTCAGAAGGCATTCAGAAAACTTTGACCCACAGAGTCAGATATGCCAAAGTTGTGACTCGCCCCCTACGGGTGTTCCAAGGTATTCTACTGAAAAAACAATGACGTGAGTGCTCTGATGGATCTCGAGGAAATGACGAGTTTCAAGCTTTTTCTCCAAAAATCAGACCCCTAGAAATTAAAAAACCCGGTAGAAAAATGGCTTTTAATTCCTTCTGGGCACCGTCCCCTCGATTTTCAAGTCAACATTCTATTTTTTAAATAATTTTCTATACGCTCCGATCGTCAATACGGAAATTAAGTTTTTTGCCCAAAAATTTATTGTAAACTGCATTTTTCCTCCAAATCAAATAAAACAAGAAATCTTAGCAGATTTTATGTATTTTAAGAGAACCGACGCCCGAGCTATCGCTTTTAGAATTATCAGCAAAAATGTGCTGGCCCGACGCCGGGGTTGGCTACGGGGTGGCATCGCTGCCCCCTAGTTTCTTAGCCTAAAAAGCGCTATCAATTGGCATAACCCTGACTGCTTGGCGACGTTCTTATCTAGAACGATGACAAAACATTTACCCACCAAAAATTCTAATCTACTTTTGGCTCACCGTTCCCCCGCCGCCCTTTGCTTGCACAAGAAAAATTTTCCGGAAGTTTGTTGTTGTTTAAATAGACTGTACTTCATTATTCAAAGCCATCTCAATAAAGCATCCAATTAGAAGGATACGTTGTCAAAATATGGCTTATTTGACCTAAAAATTCCCGGAATTCGCGCAAAAGGCCTTGTTTACAACGAAAATACATACTTTTTTTTTACCGTAATTTTCGAGAGAGAGAAAGAGCGAGAGAAACAGAGAGAGAAAGAGAGAGAAAGAGCGAAAGAGAGAGACTGAGAATCCCTCATCCCTCCTTCCGCTTAATTCAGATCGGGGGCAGTTTTGCCTTGTGAATGTAACACGTTTGAATCGGTTTATTGAATATTGAATTTAGTACGTTTATCAGAAAAATTTTTTTAGGATGGTTTGGCGCAACATTTCCACTTTAATTCATAGGTTTGTTTCCCACGAAGTTCTTCGAAAACCATAAAATAAAATTAATTATTTGGCGCGATTTTACACCATTCGAAAGCCTTCGAAACGGTGTGCAACAAGAGCTTTTCGTTTTACAAATTTTTTTTAGTCCGCGCTCGCTATTGAACGATTTTTAAAACAAGTGTCAAATCAGCGTCGTCTTGTTAGCTTGAGCAAGTAATTCACCTGCGAGTTTTACCTAAAAAAATGCAGTTTTCATGGATTTTAGTCCGAAAATTCGCTAATTAAAATGGTTATATTCAAAAATGCGTATGTTTCTCCTCTTTTTGAGAGCTTTCGATATTTAGCTGAATCGTCAAAACCGGACACTTCTGCGGCCCGTGAGAGGAGGGTTGATTTTTTTGGGGCACCTTGTAATGTAAATGATACCTTCATGCCAGAGTGAATGAGATGTTTCACAATTCTTAGTTTTAAATTAATAAATTCCCCAAATAAAAGCTCACTTTCTGCGGTTGAGGTGAAAATCCGGCGTTAAACGCGAGTAGGCACAAAGCCAAATATTGATCGATTTTCATCAGCTTCCGCAGACTACGGTATTGCAGACGGGCGGCTAACCTGAAGCCCGCCTTTTATGGCGTTATCGCATTATCGCCTCTAATTTTTGCGGACGTATCCAGTTTTGTTATGTCAGCCCGCTGACACATCGCCGGAATTTTGTGGGGAAATGGGATTCGCATTCGCATTCGACGCATTCGAGCTTTGGTACTGCTTGGACTCGGCTTGGACTTGGCCCGGGCCCGACTTTGCTTAAATTTCCCAAGCTTAGCCTCGCCTTCGCTTTAGAATTTTGCAGCTAGAGGATTTATGAAGACTTTTTAGGGGGTTTTTATTTGGATGGACAACGTCTTCGGGGAGTTCAGGTATTGGGCTGCATTATTGAGAAAAACCGCGGGTAAAAAAGCGCCAGTTCGGCGCCGATTTTCCAAAATCTCTGCTAGCTGGGCCTGTCCGAAACTGCTTAGGAAGCGGTAAATTTTCTTTTTTCGCAATTTTTTCACTTTTTAATTCATTAATTTTGTTTAATTAATAAAAATTGATTAGTCAGTAATGTTTTATGTATGCATCAATTCTAAATTTTTCAGGTTCCGTTTGCTTTCTGTCTGCTGTTATTTGTTTCACGCAATTTCAGGTCGTCCGCGTTTCTGCCGTTGAAATTTTCAAAAATTTATTCGACATCGCCGAATTTTATACGTAGGGATTCTGTCTACGGTAATTCATTAAATACATTAAATACACGGTAATTTCAAACAGATGCATACGGTAAATACACAGCATTTTAAAATATGTACAGTAATGGAATAAATACATGCTCATACATTAAAAAATCAGCACTCAATCAGTTCCATCCTCTTCTCGAGCATCTGAAAGATCCTGGCGTCAAACTCGTCTTTCCCTTCCCCGCGGTATTCGATGCCGAAGAACAGGATGCAAATGTGGAACGGGTAGATTGGGTCTTTCTCGATTTTTCGCAGGATCGGAAATGCATCGTTGACGACGAGGGCTTCAAACACTTTCGGGGTGTAAAGCGGCTGAAATGGACAGTTAGAGGTGGTTTCTGGCGATTTCGGTTCTTTCGCATTAGCGGGGGGGGGGGGGCTAGAAAGGATATCAGCAAGCTTTTAGTGATATTTAGCTATCTTTCAAGTAGATAAGTAGATAATGTTATCTAAAAACTTCAATAGATTTGTACTGCTTGAAGATGTTGTCGAAAATCGACCCTTATGGTACGAAAATCGATTTTTTTTTTGTATTTACAATCAAATGGTCGCATTTTTAAACTCAAAATAAGAAAAAAACCGGTTCTCTATATAGATCAGGAACTGGTTTCTAGGAAACAAGGTGCGTGGCCCCCATCCCATCCCACCCCTCCCCCCCACCGATAACGCATAAGCACGGAATGGATGTTCCACTGCTATCTCGCGTGGCGACTGAGTGAGTGAGTATTTTTTGGCCAACAGGATGCCGGAAGCCGAGTTAAAAAATCGGAATTCCTTATCAGCGAAGTCAACCCTTAGCTTGCACAAGGGTTTCAGGGTCCAGTTTTAGGATTTCGCAAACTTGGAATACGTTTTCTAACACTATGATAGACTCGGCACCGCTTTTCCTCTCAACCGTTGCGTTAACATCAGAAAAGTTACGAAAATAATCCGAAAACAGTTCGCAGTCTCGGGACAATATGAAACTAAAACCGCGGCAAAAAGTGTTTTAATCATATCTTCTATTGCTAGTCTATCCGATGCCATTTTTCGCGCTGATTCCGAAAATGAGCCTGGTTTTTGGCCAATGCAGCAGCCGCTGCAGCGCATTCCGATCTTTAGAAACCTGAGTTTCAGTCTTTTAGTGCGTTTCGTTGCCACGTTTCGTTGTATCTTAGTTTTTGCGTTAAGAAGAACATTTTAGAAAACCGTCTTGATCTAATAGAGCCCCCCATAATACAGCTCCTCGCCTGCGGGGGTGATCGAAAAATAGAAAAGCCCCCCAAGGTTAGACTATTAGAGAAAATATTGCACTCTAAAATCCAATAGAATTGCAGGGAATGGATATACAAACAGCGACATTTTGATAGGAAAAGGCAACAAAAAATGCTGCATTTTAATTTTTCCCTTACCTTGGTAGGCAGGAATCCGCGCAAGGCATTAGATAGGACGAGAGCGATGATGAAAGACCGGATCAAGGCCCAGACGTTTGGGACCTTGTTAGTGTTGGAAACCTCTTTCTCCTCAAAAGACATCTCTGGGCGTTCTAAAGAAAATGCAGCGAGGGTGGTGGCTGTGGGACTTTTAAAGACTCTGGCGGAGCGTTGCCGATAAGGCACCATCCCATTTCTATGTCGAAAGTTTAAGAAATGTAAGCTTTGTGGCTTTATCAAGCTACTATAGACCGCCGAAATACAACCGAAATTCAAGCTGTCAACGCCCCCGCCCTTGTCAGAGGAGTATGAGTAAAGCTCGCTACGGTCCGGAACGTATACGGGCATGCCTATCGACGTTTAAGGCATGCCTGCGAATCGACTGAACTGGCAAAAGACAGGCCTGAAACACTTGCACAAAGCGTTTGGGAGTGTGTTCAACTGCGGGGAGCTGGAGTTCGGCTTATCGTAATCAGAAATCAGATTTTGCCGAACTGCTTCGAATTGGGCGGCATCAGCACTCCAGGGTTTGAGCTCGACAGGGATGAAGCAGCCCCTCGTTTACAGGTCTCTCATCAAGATCATCAACATCTCATCATCAGAAATTACTTTATCGATACTAGCGTCTAGAAAATGCCTGCAAAGGCGTCGACTTCAAGGAGTTCAGGGGAAGAGCTGTCGTCTGAACGGGAGGACGTTGGGAAATACGTGTATTTTGCAGATACGTTTCGAGTCACTCATGCACGTGTAGATACGTAATTTTCCACTGCAACCAGATGGTTTGCGAGTAAGCTTTTACTGAACATAGCCTCTCAAAGGACTTAGGAAGTGCAAAATCGACCCTTGCTGTCGACTAGGTCTCGACTAGGCGAAACTACACACGCCAATTCAAAGCGCGATGCGTTTGCTATTCAGCTCATCACGTGAAGCCAAAAAGGATCCTGTGCGCCTCATTTGGAGCACCATCTAGCTGTCCATACCCAGTCGACGGAAAGGGTAGATTCTCACACTTCCCGGTGCCTTTAAGAAAACATTCCAAATGTGACCCAGGTTTTTCTAAGTTATAACAGTTTCTGGTCTTTCGAAAGAGAAGCAGCTCGTGCTCCGCTTCTCCTCACTCCGGTACCTTGTTGTCTGTTTGTGGGGCGGAGTCTGAGTTCGTCTGTCTGTCTATCCGTCTCTCTTTCTCTCTCTCTCTCTCTCTCTCTCTCTCTCTCTCTCTCTCTCCGCCCCTTCGAGATGTGCAATGATCCATCCCTCCTCCTCTTCCTCCTCCCCGCCCCCAGAAACCACAAAACCGACACAGGAAAGTGTCTCTATGTGGTTTTGGAGAAATTTTTGGGAGCATTGTTGTCCTGAAATTGAGCGCTGGTTTTCCTGGGTAGTATCAGGGAGGGATAAGCTTCTATTTTGACGCCCCTCGCCCTCTCAACACTGATCACCACAACGAGCTCACCTTGAAAAATCGAGGAGTCGGACTCACCCTCAGTCTCAGTATTCCCTAATTTGTTTACCTCACCTTTTCCAGCTTTTGCTTGACATCATTCTTTTGAGTTCCAGCTTTTCCTGATATTTTCTGATTTGAGTCCAGCCGCTCACTTCACTTGGGTTAAAAAAAATGTCGGCAGACGGCGGGCTCCGACCGACGCTCTTCGTGCGGCTCCTCAACAAGTTCGTTTTTCCCAGCGCTTCTTGATTATCAGAAACTTGTATCCATTAAATATATTGAAAGTAGTAGGTTTAAAAAGGCTTTGTCAATTTGAAAAATTCGAAAAATTAAATTCCTATTTTTTAGGGTCTTCAAACATTGGGCCCCGTTTCTTGTCAAACACGATGTCGCAATATTGATAGTGAGTTTTTGATCTTATTACAACTTTCTTATTATTTTCTGATGTCTAGAATTTTTGCTACACTCCGAGACTTTACTAATGACATTTCCAAACCACCAGGAAAACTGGATTTTTGCTTTCGGATGCCTTTAAACTGTCGCCAAGTAACTGTATCGTTCTCTCTCTCTCTCTCTCTCTCTCTCTCTCTCGCTTTCTCTCGCTCTCTGCCGGATATAGTGCTACGTGCTCTCGCTCCCTGCAAGTCATTAGCTAGTGGCTAGTGCTGGATCTAGTTCTTCTGACGTCCGCCTGTTCGGCCAATATCCCGCCGTTTTAATGGAAAGAGAAGAAAAGAGGGTGATGGCCAGTCAGCTAGTCAGTCAGTCCGCTTGCAAGACAATCCGATCCGCCCATAAACAATACACAGGAAACCCCCCCCCCCCCCACCAGTCATTTCGGGGGGTGGTTCTCTCAGCATGGGAAATGGGTTGATCCGAGCTAGAGGGGGGAGACTTCGCCCTAGACTACAGACCACAACTATTCGCAACTTGCAGAAGACGCTGGGATAATGGCTAGGGCGCGGGGAGAAAGAGCGAGAGAGATAGAGCGAGAGAGATAGAGAGAGCGAGAGAAGAGATAGAGAGAGAGAGCTAGAGAGAGAGAGACAGGAAGAGAGATGATCCGTTTCTCGGTGGCCTTTTAAAGGCAGCGGGAATTAAAAAACCAGCGATGCTTGGCCTACACCTCTTGATACCATAATCTTTAATTTTTCAATTTTTTTGTGGTAGATTGACCTTGTTCGATGTCTTTTCAGGGTTTTCTTAAGAAACTGCCCAGAACCACTCTTCCCCTTAAATTTTTTGAACCCAAAACGCCCTCCAAAAAGTGCCGATTTTCGGACGATTTCAACGAATCACTTGAGATTTCCCACGTTCTTCTCTTCCCTTTTTTGGCCTCCAAAAAACCAACCAGACCAACTGGTTTTTCGATGGTTGTCTGTGCTATTTCGTAGTCCTTTTCCCGGTCCATCAACCACTTTTCAGTTCTTGTAGCCCCCGACCTCTGGTTCGATTGGGGATGCGGGGGTGAAAAACGAATTTCCATACGAATAGTAAGAGGGAAAGGGGTTGACCCTGGTAACAATACGAATCCCTCGCTTGTTGATGCGTGGGAGGAATATTTTTGTCGAGAGAAAGTGCGTGAATTTCAGGAGTTTTTGTACAAAAATACCAAAATCTCGGTACTTGACTGTTAGCGGGGGGTGGTGAATTTTTCACAGAGCCGGGAAATTTTTAGTTCTCCGATTACCTGTTAGCAATATGTATGTTTCTAGCGTTTAAAATAGTTGTTAATTGCTAGAAAGTTATAACCAATAGTCTTGAAATTTTAAATTTTCTAATTTTTGTACTTTTCACCTTCCATTTTTGACCAAAAAACAAGAATCTTCGAGACTGTTTTGGTCACTACCATGCTTTTTGTATCCGAAAAGTGTGTAAAATGCTATAAAAATTATTTATCATGGGCTAGGGGCCATACCGTATTACCCCCCGCCAATAGTCCAGTACCAGATTTCTAAGAAAGGCGGCCAATGGTTTTTAGAAAACTCTACAAGTAGTTTTGTATTCTTCAAACTCGCTCTTCAGTATAATTAGTGTAAGATAGCTTTTATTATGTTGAGATATGTCATCAGTCCGCGACCGCGACTTGCCTTTCCGGCCCCTTTAACCGCCCTAAAAACAACCCGCGATCCAGCTCCACCCATCTGAGTGATGGCTGTGATGATGACTAACGTCTCGTCACTCTCAAAAAGGGCTTCCTTCCTTCGCTTCCACCCCTGGGCAATTCACGTGCAAACCGATTTCTTGTCCCCATCTTTAGGTGTTGGCAAATATCACCCTCTCCGGCCATTTCCAGATATGCAAATCAGCCTTGTTCGGATACCCCCAAAATTCATGACACACTTTTTCTAATACCGAAACACCGAAAAAGGATGCGTAATCGAATGCATATTGGGGGTCGGGAAATCGTTTTTGATTGCCCCCGCTGGCTGGCTACCTTTTTCCATATCACTCCGCCCCTGGCAGGGGGAAAGGTCGAAAAGTGAAATCGGAAATGCGGAATAGTTTGTGCCCCCGGAAGGGTGTACGGAGTATAGATGCGGGCTATCAATTATGGGACAAAAGAAAAGCCCCTTTCCGGGGGCGTAAATCAAATGACGATAGTTCAGAAACGAAATTTTCCCCTGGCTAGGCCCTTTAAAAATAAGCTGGTTACAGTAGTTCTACAATTCCGGATCTTTGAGGGAGAGAGAAAGAGGCAGAGAGAGTGAGTGAGAGAGAGAGAGGAGAGCGAGAGAGAGTCAGAGTGAAGGGGCGGAAGGGTGAGAGTGAGAGTGAGAGTGGCAGAGGGAGAGGGAGAGAGAGAGCGAGAGAGGGATAAAGAAAGAAAAAGAGAGAGAGAGAGAGAGAGAGAGCGAGCGAGCGAGAGCGCGAAACGGAGAGCTGCACCTAAAGCTACCCCGTGTCGCTGCCCCTTTAATTTACTTGTATACCATTAGCTGCCATTTTTACTATTTTTAGCCTGGAACCCTTTTCAGCCTTTCAAAGATCAAAAGCTCAAACTAAACCGCGCTGCACTTTCGAGTACGGATACTCCGCTCCGCTCAATTTTTCAATTTAAAAACTGTTTTCAGACGCCTCTTTCGATCCGTCATGATATGACAATCGAATCTCGGGTTTTCTTGGGGGGCTTTTCCCATCCTTCGTGCACCCTCGACATATTTCCCAGCCAATTTCCATCCCCTCGGGTTCCCAGATGGCAACAGACACAACGGAGTGAATGATATTGATATCGGAGGGGTGGAAAGAGGAGTGTAGTGGAATGGTTGGACTGTCCTGACTGAAGATTGCTCGTTCCCACGGCACCCACCAGGGGGAACACTGCTTTTTTGTGGTCGGGAACCGCTGTGAGATGCGAATTATTTTGTGCTGGCTGTCTCTCAATAACTCTCTCTCTCTCTCTCTCTCTCTCTCTCTCTCTCTCTCTCTCTCTCTCTCTCAGGTGAAAGGTGCAACGGGGTACTGTAACTCGAGCTGGGGAATGGTGGAACCAAGATACTAGGGGTCATCGCTACGGGCAAGCTAGCAGAGAATTTGGGGGAACGGAAGTATGAGCGACGATAAATGAGGTAGCCAAACCTAAGCCTAAGCCGGAGCCAACCTAAATCTCAGCCTAAGCCCACGCCTAAGCCTAAACCTAAGCGGATCCCAAGCCTATTCCTAAGCTTAAGCCTAAGCCTAACCAAGCCCAAGCTAACCTAAGCCTAACGTTAAGCCTATGTGTAAGCCTAAGCCTGCTCCGAAGCCTATGCCTAAGCTTAAGCCTAATGCTAAACCCAAGCCTAAGCCTAAGCCTAAGCCCCAGCATAGGCCTCAGCCTAAGCCTAAGCCTAGGTCTAACCCTAAGCCTAGGTTTTTGAGCTTTGGCCTAAGCCAAAACCTAAGCCTGTGTCGAGCCCCAAGCTCAGGCTTACGCCTAAGCCTAGGTCTAGCCCAATAAGGCTAAGCCTAAGCCCAAGCCTAATAAACGAAGCCTTTCAAAACCAGAAAATCCCTTTCCTCCTCGATCTCGGGCAGAAAACTATAGAAAAGTGCGCCGGTTTCCGCCGCCCTTTTTTGACCTTTCATCCCCCTCCCCCCGCCCGGAGTTTCATTTTTCGAGCACGAGCCAAGACGTCGACATCGGGGGCAATTTTCGGCTTATGTCTTCGGGGTGCGCTCGACCTGAAGGAGGATGACTTACAATAACAAAAAAGGGAACAGGGGCCATTACAGGACCATGAAGGTTTTCTTTATCCAACGATTCAAAAAACCCATTTACTGGCAAATTTCCAAAATAATCTCTGCTGGCTTGCCTGCTGGGACTACACAAGAGTACTCCTGACAGCAGCAAACATCAACAAAACAATCCTCATCTCCCTCCAGTAACTACTGGCAGTAAAATTTCCGTGTTCCGTTCTGATACCTAAAAACATCCATCCATCCCTCATTCACTCCCCCCATTCCGTTCCATTCCAAAATACCCCCAGTGAGTACGGTAGTAAATCAGCTGCTATCCCCCATTGTCCTGAGAGGATCGGATTTCGCCCGGCTACGCGAGGCTCCGTTCCGCGACACCCCAAAATTACCCATCACTCTCGAAAAAGTGTCGAGTTGCCCGGCTCAAGTTGTCATTTCCGAGACGAAACGCGGGTCATCATTCACACCCTCCCCAGACAATGGAAACACGTGATCCATGGCGCACATCATTTCGAGCGTCCCGTGTTATGTGACGTAGCCCAGGGAGACTACGAATCTTTCCGCTCCAACGAACTCCCCGCAATTGAGCATGGGGTTGGGTGGAGCATGGTGACGAAAACAAGATACAGATTGGATCAACAATTGGAATTAGAGCTTTGCCAGGGATTAGCCGGAACTCTTTTCCGGACCTGAATGGTTTTAAAGGGGCTGTGTAGTGCGTCATCGACCCCTTCCGTCGACTAGGTATAGACAGCTACGCGACCACTGGTAAGAAAATTAAAAAATCAACTTAGGCTGTACTGACGCGTAGTTGTCGAAACCTAGCTTCCGATAGAAGTCGAATCTCAATCTCCTTAACCCCTTTAAGGACCGTAAAAACTGAAACGTTGCAAGCGATGAAATTTGGAGCTTTTAAAAGATTTTGTCGAGACCCAGACGCTTAGAGACGTCGAAATTGTCGTTTCCTAACCTTTTGACGAATTTGTCGAGACCTAGTCGACGTAGTGGTCGAATCTGGTCCTTTAATCTCTTAAAGGCAACGTTATGATTATGCTTAACGGATTTTCCTCGTCGCTAGCAGCTGTCGAGACCTAGCCGGCGGAAGGGGTCGATTTTCGCACTTGCCAGTCCCTTTAAAAATTGAGTGGGGTCAAACTAAACGTGTTTGGTTGTAAAAAAGACGAGTAGGGGGCAGTAACGCAACAGAACTAGCAGATAAATTCGAGATGGTCAGAGATTCCAGGCCATTTTTCTCCCCCTGACCTTTTAATCTCCTCAAAAATCCGGGGAATCCGAACCGTTGGTGCTCCTCTTTGTGCCCGAATGTCCTTGATGGATATATGGTTGGCAAGTAAGGGCGGGGGGTGAGATATCGGCCTATATCGCCCCACCCATCGACACCACTGGACGAGCCGGTGGACAGCCTTTTTTCGGCCGGGTTTCTCGGCTGCAAGGAGCCTTGGATGGATGCGGGTAGAGGGGCCGGATGTGACCTCATCACCGCTACGAAACCATCCTAGAGACGGACACCGGCCAGGAGGGAGCGGATAGTTTGTGTGTGTTCTCGGGGTAAATTGTGACCTGGTGATGATGATGGTCTGATTCTTGATCGGGGTTCTTTGCGTAAATTCGTAAATATGATTTGAGCAATAGCTTTAAAAAATTAACTGAAATATGCTTGAAACTTCCTAAATTTGTCGTATTTTTGTAATTTGTAATTTGGATACATTGGTTTTTTTACATAGCTTGTCGGGCTTCAACCACTGTTTTGAAGGTCCGCAACTCAATTAAAAAAATTTAGTTCAGGGAATTATAACTAAAATAAAATTACAATGGTAGAAAGACCCCGTTTATACCAAAAAAACTGGGTTTAAAAATTATATTTCAGGCAACCCTCATCTTCACCCTCGTCACCTCCATCAAAATCCCATTCACGAAGCAACAGGATGACGTTCGGACCGGTTTGTCATTAAAGGGGCTCGGAAGTCAAAATTCGTGCGTCCGGAGATTGACCCCCCTACTGGTCAAAAACCGAAAGGATCACTGCCTAGAAGTGCCAGTAAACTGATTTGATTGCGAAAAAACGTAAAATATTTGAGAAAAACCGAACCCTTTTCGGGGCGAAAACGACATTTTGAGTGCGCGGCGATTACCTGTCGTAATGCCTTGTAAGGCACCCAATCTCTCGATCTCCGTGGTTCTCTGGTCAATTCTCATAATTTAAAAGTCTAGAATGATCAAAATTCGATGAGGATTACAGAAATGGCTTCAGAATTTTTAAATTCAAGCGTTTTTGCGTCCAACTAAGGCTAAATGGTCAGGCGACGCGGTCGCGTTGCGGCCGCATCTGGCTATTTGCCAGGAATCACAGCAGGGGGCCGTGGACCAGATTTCGGAGCCCCTTTAACGTTTTTGTGCTGTTTTTACTGATTTAGTTAATTTTATTAGCAACGATATTCAGGGTGGTCCCCCGACGGTGCCCGCTCCGTCTCCGAAATGCACCAGTACAGCAGATACCTTGGCAATAGAGCCTCTGACCCGATCGCCGCTATGGTATTCATCGAGGCCAGGGATCATGGAAATATGCTGCGACATGAGCATTTGAAGCACAGTAAGTAAATGAGCTTACTTTTGTCTTATATATATCAAAATTTTAATGTATTTTTTTCATATTTGTAGCCATTCAATTGCTCGACGACCTCTCGGCGGCAGTTTCACACAAGAATCGCACCTACAACGATTTATGCGGCTCGATGTGCGCGATTAACGACCCGTTTCGATTGTTTTACGTGAGTTTTGAAAGTTAAGATTGAGGGTACTGGTCTGTTAGCGGGGGGGGGGGTTTAGAGAGGTAACCAAACTTTTCCGCAATACTCCCAGTACGAAATATGGACGATTTACATGGCATTTTACCCAGTTTTCCATATTAAAAAGGCATAAAAAGTTACGAATCATTTCGAAAAATTTTCCCTTTTCAAAAATGTATAAAAATGGCGCTAAGCCAAATATTTGGAGTTTTTAAACTATTTTTTTAGCTTCCTAGCAATCAAAAACCACAAAAAAAAGCTATAAAAATCCGTTATGCTCCCCCCCGGCGAGGAAAATCCTCTGCCCCTTCCCCTCCCCCCCCCCCGCCATCAGTCCAGCACCCAAGGCCCCTGAATTACTTGTTTTCACGTTGCTGAAATCATCAATCCTTATCGATAGAATTTTCGTTATCAAATTTTTTAGAACTCCTTCGAAATGCGTGAACTGCGCGAAAACGACGACGGCGAGACGGCGGGCATTGCGTTCCCGACGATGAGCATCCTCGGCAAGGAGATCGACCTCAGCCCGCATCTTTTTGGCGTGAAGCTCGATGAAAATCATGGTTGGTGAGCTTCAACTTTTTCATATAAACTGCCCGTCTAGAGCTTGCGTTCGTCCGTGTCGTCCAGCTGAACCTGAACACCGGAAAACCGGACGACTGGACCCGCGATGATGTCATGCAGTTCGAGAGGGCGTTGTACAACTACATACACACGTGAGTTTTCGGTGTATAAATGAGTTCTTATATTTTCACGTCCTAAAGTTTTTTACCGACCTTTTTTAGTACTTTCAAGAGCGAGGTGATCACACCACGATGCTTGTCGCTGACGTTTGCCACGGATGAGGTAAGGAAAATAGACTTTTTCATAGTAGGTAGTTTTTCTATTGCTTATTTCGATCATTATTTTCGATTTTTAGATCGTGCGCACCGGCGAAGCCATCTTCCCCTTCATCGGCGTCGGCTTCCTCATCATGGCCACATTTGCCGTAGTTACGGTTTGGTGGGGCAGCCGGAAGCTTGGACAGGTAAGCCAAAAAGCCGTATGGTTACGCTTGGCTTAGGTTAGCTTAGGTTTAGCTTAGCTTGGCTTAGGCTTGGCTTAGATTTGGACGAGCCTTGGCTTATGCTTGGCTGAGATTTGGCTTAGTCTTGACCTATCCCCTTGGCTTAGTCTTGGCTTAGCCTTGGCTTAGGCTTGGTGTAGCCTTGGCGTAGGCTTGGGCTTAGGTTTAGGCTTAGACTAAGGCATATCTTGAGCTTAGGCTTGGTCTTAGGCTTAGGCTTAGGCTTGGTCTTAGGCTTAGGCTTAGGCTTAGACTAGGGCATATCTTGAGCTTAGGCTTGGTCTTAGGCTTAGGCTTAGGCTTGGTCTTAGGCTTAGGCTTAGGCTTAGACTAGGGCATATCTTGAGCTTAGGCTTGGTCTTAGGCTTAGGCTTAGGCTTGGTCTTAGGCTTAGGCTTAGGCTTAGACTAGGGCATATCTTGAGCTTAGGCTTGGTCTTAGGCTTAGGCTTAGGCTTAGACTAGGGCATATCTTGAGCTTAGGCTTGGTCTTAGGCTTAGGCTTAGACTAGGGCATATCTTGAGCTTAGGCTTGGTCTTAGGCTTAGGCTTAGACTAGGGCATATCTTGAGCTTAGGCTTGGTCTTAGGCTTAGGCTTAGGCTTGGGCTTGCTTAGGCCTAGGCCTAGGCTTGGACTTAAGCTTGGCTTAACTTATCTTACGTATCATTTTAGTGGAGCTTCTCCCGAGCTCAGCTAGCCGTCCTTGGATGCGTTTGCCCATTGCTGGCCACGTCTTCAGCCCTGGGACTACTTTTCTGGATGGGCTTCCGGTTTGGGACGATTCTGGCTGTAACACCGTTTCTGGTGTTGGCTATTGGTCAGTTTTAAAAGGGTTTCACCTCGTATAACTTCTCGATTTTTCAAATTAAATAAAAAAAATTATGCGCTAATTTTCAGGGGTCGACGACGCCTTCCTGCAGCTCCAATCCTGGGCCAGGCTTCGCGATGAGAGCCCGCATCTATCGCGCGAGGAGAGAATGAGACTGATGCTCGAAGATATCGGTTAGTAACGATTATACCTCAAAGTATGCTCGATTTTTCAGGCCCCTCAATCTCAATCACCTCACTTACAAACTTTTTCGCCTTCCTCGTCGGCTATTTCACGCCCACCCCCGAAATCCAGTTGTTCTGCATCGGAAATGCGGTGGCCATCATTTTTGACTATCTCTATCAGGTAAGAACTTTTAAATAATTATCGTTAAAATTCAAACTACATCTTAAAACCATGAAATTCATTTAGATCTCAATGTTCTGCTGCATGATCTCGATTGGGGCCCGACGCGAAGAGGGTCAGCCCAGAAAAATCGCTCCGGCGCCCGGAAAACTGATCATCCCCATTGCGCACAAGAAGCATGAAGAGGTATATAAAAATTTGGATAATTTATATTTCATTTTTAAGCTCGAAGAAGCGCCCTTTATTACTGCCTATTCGAAGTGGATCTCCTCGCCTTTCACCACGGCGCTGCTCTTCTCTGGGCTCCTTGTCTATTGGTTGGTAATGAAAAAGAAGCTTAATTTTTATAAATAGACATATGCATAGACATAGACACAAAAACGCTGGATTAATACGATTACACTAAGTTTTTTAGGTTCATCACCGCGCGCGGGGCCCTCCAAATGTCGGTCATTTTGTCGTCGAAAAGCTTGGTTATCGAGGGATCGCCTCTAATTGATGTAAGTTTTTGATATTAAAGATATCGTAAATATTAAAAGATTATAAAAAGGCTAAAATACGGATAACTTCCAGATCGAGAACCTCCGCGAGCAGTACATTCTTCCAAATTACACCAACGTCGTCGTGCTGGTCAATGGGGTCGGTTGAAAGCCTAGCATCCAAAAAGCTCAATGAATAGAGATAAAATTTAGGAGTCAAAATACAAGTTATTATGTATTTTAGAAATTTTGTCTCTAAATAGTTTTAAAGTTAATTTTAAAAATTGCCGTTTTAGAAAGTTTAATTAATTTTTAATGTGTAATTTTTATTTAGAAATTTACGATTTCTATTTGATGTTTCAGGTCGGCGACTTTGCAGACCCGGCACGGCAAGGCCTTTGCGAAGATTTGATCAAAACTTTCGAGTCGTTCCCGGAAGCCATCGGGCCCGAAACGACACATTTCTGGCTGAGGGACTACCGCGCTTTCCAGGTAGGTACCAGAACATCCCGAAAACTCCAGGTTTAGGAAATCACCGAAGAAGAAGCCGAAGTGACGGAAGATGGTGTCGCGGTCACCACCGCCGATCCGTTCACCCGAAAATCCCTGAAACAATTCCTGGAATGGCCGGAATTCCGGCACTGGGCCGGATTTATCCAGTTTGATGATATGGGAAAGTAAGGAATCTCTGGTAAATCAATGCGTAACCTTACTATGTATAGGCTTGACCGGTTTATGGCTACGGTATCCTTCCACGGTGAGACGCTAGGGCGATTTGCCGTCCGGAAGGAGATGCTCGAGCGCTGGCGGGCGGTAGTTGACCGATTCCCGCAGCTCAACGCCAGTATTTTTGACGATTTTGCGTCGTTTGTGGATCAGGTATGTTCGAAAATAGTTGCGGCACGCACTTAATGTACGGCAAAATCTTTATGAAACGCACCATTTTCAGACGGATTCGATGGTCCCCGCCACGCTCAGCTCCTCCGCTGTGACTTTGGCGACGATGCTGGTGGCCTGCTTTTTCTTTATGAATTCGCTCTTCACCATCGTAATTGCCGCACTCTCAATCATCTCGATTTGCCTAGGTAAAGTGCAAAACCAGAATTTTGATAGTTTGGAAAACCTCAAAATACATCCAAGCTCGGTCTTTCAGGAGTTTTCGGTTTCCTAGCCCTGTGGAACGTAAACCTGGACCCAATCTCGATGTCGTGCCTTATTATGTAAGTTTTGTTACAATCAGCTTTATTTTTGACCTCCAAAATCCCCAAAAAACGCGCTTTTTTAGGTCTATCGGCTTCTCCGTCGATTTCCCGGCCCACATCTCCTTCCACTTCCACCGCGAAGGCCTCGAGCACCCGGAAACGACACCCGCAGAACGGGTGGCCAGGTGCGAAAACCAAAAACCCATCGAAAACCACGACTTTCAGATCATTATTGGCAATCGGCTTTCCCCTGCTGCAATGTGGCGTCTCCACCGTGCTCTTCGTGCTCTGCTTGATTTGTATCAAGACCTACATGGGCGAGGTGGGTCATCCGCAAAAACAATGAATAAATTGCTAAAGAGAAGAAAAACTTACATGAAGCCCGAAAGACCAAAAGCTGTTTCAGGTCTTTGTCAAAACCGTCTTCCTCGTGGTGTCACTTGGGCTTCTCCACGGTCTCGTCATTGTCCCATCGTTCTTGTGCTCGCTCTCCAACCTACACACCCTTTTTCTAGAATGGAGGCAGAAAAAGGTTAGAAACCGGGTTTTCGCTATGAAAATAAAACAGATCCAGTCTTCCTTTTGTTGCAACGAGAATTTTTGTAACTTTGAAAATAGAAATAACTTTAAAGGAATACTTTTCTAGCCGCAAGAAGCTATGTTGCGAAGAGAAATTACTCTGCCTCAATCTTCGAAAACCCTTCAAAAAAACACACATATTTTCTAGCGCGTCACAAAACCCGTCGGCAGCTCCTCTCCCTCCGCCTCGTCAATCTCAATCTCCCCGGCTTCATCAGAAGTACGGTTCGAGACGGAAACGCGAGTCCGGTAGCGCCCGACCCATCTCAATAATCAATTTCACTTCGTACAAAGATGTTGTAAATTTGCGGTGTCATTTTTGGGCCCCCGGCCCAACCTTCACGATCCCTCTCTCGGTTCTAAAGCGTGGCCTTTGAAAGCGGGTTTTCTAATTTCTCCATTTTCGATGCTTGTTCTTTCATCTTGCCGTACCATTGATTCTTTCAGCATTTTGATAAATTCTTGATTGAAGGGGTTGTGGAATCGCGCAATTTTTCAAAGCTTATAGAGTGCAGTATAAATAAAAAGAATGATAACAGATGATGAACACCAAGGTCGTGAAAACAAACAAAAGTTTACAAACTTTTTAAAAAGTACAAAAATTTTGGTACGTCAAAATCCTATTGACGATAGGCTGCGCTTCGCTAAAGAACGCCCTATCGATCGTATCAAATTCACTGTAATTTCGATCCGCTCTCTTATTTCTATTTTCCTGTCTTTTTGGTATTTTTCGCATTCCCGTCTTTTCAAAGGTTGGGGTTATTTGTGTATGGCTGGAGATTTATAATAGGTTTATAATAGATTTCTTACGTTTTTCGACCCTCTATGACATTCCTATTTTTGCTGTGCTCGAATTAATCTATCAAAACTCGATCGAGCGCTCCGCCTCTTTATGCTGTACCGTAGTTTGGTACTATTGAAGTTGGGGGGGCAAAATTTTTTTGGGTCATTTTTGAGCTAATTGGTCAGTTTTTCTCTGGCTTAGGCTTAGCTTAGCTTAGTATTGGCTTGGCTTAGGCTTAAGCTTGACTTAGGCTAGGCTTAGAACTAGTTTAACCTAGGCTTAGGCCTATGCTTAGCCTAAGCCTTAGTACCAGGTCCGTAGCTTGGCTTCGCCACAGCATCATTGCTTTTGGCTTTGACTTAGCTTTGTTCAATCTCAATTTAACTGTGCTTCGGCTTAGCTTAGCTTAGGAGTTGAGTATTGCGCTGGATTAGCCACGAAAAACTGACCAATTAGCCCAAAAATGACCCAAAAAAAATTTTGCCCCCCAACTTCAATAGTACCCGTAGTTTTTTTACCTCGTTTCTGCAGCATGCTCCTTTGTGAGGACTTGCAACGCGATCTTCCTACGCTTTTCTCACTCCATGACATTTGTATTTCCGAAATTTAAGCTAATGTTTGTTTTCCAGGATGGCCGAGCCCGAGATCGACAAGGAGCCAATCGAGGGCATGCGGCAGCCCGATGTGCTAGGCATGATGCGGCTCGAGATGGTCGAGCAGCCATTCAAAGAAGTGCTAGCCGACGCTGCTCTACCGGTAATTCGGATTTTACTTTTTATGATGTTTGTAGCCGCCCACTGATGCGGATCGCTTCTACCAGTTTGCAATTACCGGCGACTACCAACACTTCTCAACCATCCACTATGCGGTCATCGACGTCGGCACGACAACGAAGGTATTTTTTTCATGACATTTGTTCAAAATCGTGTCTAGATCGGAAAAGAACGCATGCGCGACGTCCTGACGCAACTCATCAGCTCACCGGAGTGCCGCCCGCGGAACTGCCAGATATGGCTGAAGGACATTGCTGCCGACGAAGTGTGCGACATTTTGAAGGTAATTTTTGGCTTTTGAACTTTTTTTGGGCACGGATTGACATATTTAGTTTTTTTAGGGCATGGTTACCACCCCGTATGCTGAGGACGTTGGACGGAGTCTCCTTCGCCTCGAGATGCGAGATGTCTGGGGAAGTGTGGCCGAACTTGCGTCGTCCCTACAAAGCTTCGTCAAAATCCGGACGACGCCCGTCTACGCGACATTCCAGGACCCACGTGACGTCCGGAGCCAGGTATCAACTTTTACCCTTCATGTAATTTCGTTTCCTTTAGGTCAAAGGCAAGGGCACTGTGCGGCAATACATCAGCGAGGAGGCGCTGCTCACTTCGGCACGCATCAACTACCTGATGCACTTCCAGCTCGAAGTGCCCGGGCGGCCCCACGTCGAGCTGCAGCTCACTTGCAACGACCGTGTGCGCGAGAGGAAGGACCATAAAGCGATGCGGCATCGTGTAAGTGAATTTCTTTTTGGCTTGATTTACTTTATTTGCAGTACATCACGGTCGAGCAAGTGTTGGGCACCCGGAAGACGACCTTCGCCACCGAATTATTCGAGACGCACCCCTTCGACGTGGACGCCACCGAGGACGAGATGTCGAAAGCAGCCGACGCCTACCCAGCAATCTATACCCTTCAAGATCTCTACGAATGCGTCACGGCAATGCCCGACGGTACTTTGGCCCCTTGAACCCAGCGCCTTTCTGTGATTACCCCCCACATCCCCCCTGATCTGCAGCATTTACCCCTAAATAAACCCGTAATTCTTTTGAACTGGAGATGTGCATGTACATTTGCTAACACGCTCGTTTGTAATTCACCTTGTCACGTTGTCTATTGATCCACGATAAATGTGTTCACCGGCTACGCAAAGGTTTTCAAATGCATAGGATGTCATACCAAATAGACTACCTCGAAAGAAGCTCTGAACTCGGAAGCATTCTTCAGTCTCGGTTTCGAAATTTTCTGGGCCCGTTCCAATTTCATAGATGCTTTTGGAGGGGTCAAGCAGAGGGGCGAGAAGCTTGTTTGGTTAGTCAGCCTTTCGGCCTCTCCACCCGCCTCAAACACACCTCCCTTCCGCCCCACGTTTTTTCGCAATTTGCGTCAGTTGCCACCAAGATCCGGGGGCCGGGGCACTTGGGCTTCCCCCAATTCGCACAAGGATCTTCTAACTTCCGAGAGCGGGTCCCAACTTTAAGCGAAAGTTCATTCATGGGCTATTTCTGGTCTCGAAATTACCGGCTCCGAAATGTCGTCAGTTTTTGCGATAAGCGGCCCGGCTGGCAGCTCGCTCCTAACCTGGATTCTCCCTCTCGCGATCTCTAGGTCTCTTTGAACTGACGAACGTTTTAACTTTGAACGCCTTGCCGTCAATTTCCCTCAAGCCTCATTTTTGGGTAATATAGTAAATCTCGAACGGCGGTAACATCCGGGAACGGAAAATAAAATTTCGGCTTTCGTCAGGTGTTAGGTTGCGGCAACGTTGCGAGCGATTAGAACATGTGATCGGCGATCTCGGCCATCTTTCTTTCCCACTGCAAGGCTCTCGGAAACAGAGGAGCTCAAGAAATCGGGCCCCTATCCCATCGATCGCTTGGGTTGGGCCATGTGCGAAGAGAGGCTAGGTTCGCGACTTCGTTTTTGATCTTTAGAACTCCCCTTGAACAGCCGCATTGGAAGAATTATTCGTTAGCAAGATGTAATCACGTTTTTTAGATCCAACGCGTTATTTATTCGAGTTTGTTAGAGAAATTAGAGGCTAGATATTTCTCAAAAATTACATTTTGAATAAAGGGAGGCTGGTGGGGCGACTGGGTTCTGCTTATCATGCATGTTGCATGTCTTTTCGGCCAAGTGTGGGGGGCTTCTGGTGGAAAAGGGGCGCCCGTTTTTCGGCCCTCAATACAACCAGCCGCGAGCCTTGGCCGACGATCGATTACTTGCCCAGAGCATCGCCTGCGTCATCCATTCATGTGCACTTCGCGTAGTTAGCACAACCCGGAACGGTTTTCGCAAAGATTTCGCAAAATTATATATTTCCCAAACTTTTTATTATAATCCGGAAATTAACATGAAAATTAGCAGCGTCTTTCTCTAGTGGTTCTAAAAGTTCTAATCTTTTCCCTGGTTGTTTTAGTATAGGTTTGTTTTTGAAATGAATGATGTATGAACGTGGTTTGGATTTTGCACTGCGCGCGCGGGAGGCAACGTTGATTTCTCACCCCCGCAGCACTTTCCTCCTCTCCCCCTTTCTCCATCCGACCCACTATTTTCGCCCTGTTTCTTTTCTGCGATCGGCGTTTTCATTCGACCATCTTACCACCAAAACAACACCCATATTTTCAGCTTGGCGTAAAAGGTGCCAAAATGCACCGAGCGGGCATGCTTGCAAGGTTTGCCAGCCCTTCGCGGGCAGCTTCGATGGCCAGGTGAGCTTTCGATTCTCGATTTATTCATGTTTTTTTAGGTCGCGATCGACCATGACCACGAAGTTGGCGAAGCCGATCACCGCGGCGAAGGATTCTACTCGGCCTCAGGTTTGGAATTGACACTTTTTGTAAAACTTGGTTCAGTCTTCTGCGGCCACGCTCAAGCACGAGTCGTTCATGAATGGCTCAACCTCCGTCTACATCGAGCAGATGTATGCCGCCTGGCAGCAAGATCCCACCTCCGTCCATGTGGTAGCGCTTTGTTTGTGTTATTTCAACGAATTTTTCAGTCTTGGGACGCCTACTTCCGCAACGTTGACAATGGAGCGGCTCCGGGACAAGCCTTCCAAGCCCCGCCAACGGCCGCGCTCAGCTTGACCGGCGTTCACCAACCAGCAGTGGGCAGTCACATTCCCACCGACCTGACCGCCTCCGACACGCCGGTCAAGTCGATTTCGGACCATCTCAAAATTCAGCTTCTGATCCGCTCGTATCAGGTTCGTCAATTTCCGCTAAAAACAATGCTTTTGTTAGATGCGTGGCCACAACGTCGCCGACCTCGATCCGTTGGGCATCAACAGTGCCGATCTTGACGATACGATCCCGCCTGAGCTCGAGCTTTCCTTCTACGGGCTGAACGAGAACGACTTGGAGCGGTACGGCAAAGACTCTCATAGCCAAAACTGTCCTCTAGGGAATTCCTGCTACCCCCATCGACCTATATTGGCGGCGCCGAGTCCAAGATGAAGCTGAAGGACATTATTGCACGCCTCAAGGACATCTACTGCCTGCGCACTGGTGTCGAATACATGCATTTGACCAACTACGAGCAGCAAGACTGGATCCGTCGCCGTTTCGAGGCTCCGCGCGTCACCGAGCTCTCCCGTGACCAGAAGAAGGTTTGCAAATTTTCATACTTTTTATTTTTGTTCAGGTCCTCTTCAAACGTCTCATCCGATCGACGAAATTCGAGGAATTCCTGGCGAAGAAGTGGCCCAGTGAGAAGAGGTTCGGTCTTGAGGGTTGCGAGGTGCTGATCCCGGCCATCAAGCAGGTATTGTTGATCAGCTACCGTTTCATGCAGAAGTATTTTTAGGTCATCGATTCTTCCTCCAATCTCGGCGTCGATTCCGTGGTCATTGGCATGCCGCATCGCGGTCGTCTCAACGTGCTGGCCAACGTCTGCCGTCAGCCTCTCTCCACCATCCTTTCTCAATTCGCCACTCTCGAGCCAGCTGACGAAGGTGTGTAGCTTTGTTTCAGTTTTATGAGGACCCTTTAGGATCCGGTGACGTGAAATACCACTTGGGAGTCTGCATCGAACGCCTCAACCGTCAGTCCCAGCGCAACGTCAAGATTGCCGTCGTCGCCAACCCGTCGCATCTTGAAGCCGTCGACCCGGTCGTACTTGGAAAGGTTAGCTATCGCGTTTCTGCCAAAAATTAATGTTTCAGGTTCGTGCCGAGGCTTTCTACTCTGGAGATCACAACTGCGACCGCACGATGGCCATCATGCTCCACGGAGATGCCGCTTTTGCCGGTAAAACTCGCAAAATTTTTAAAATCCCGATTTTTAGGCCAGGGCGTCGTGCTCGAGACCTTCAATCTCGACGACCTGCCGTCATACACCACCCAGGGATGCATCCACATTGTTTGCAACAACCAGATTGGCTTCACGACCGACCCTCGCGCTTCTCGGTATGCTTTGCTCATTTTGTAGGATCTTTTCTTTAGATCATCCCCCTATTGCACTGACGTTGGCCGTGTCGTCGGCTGCCCGATCTTCCACGTCAACGCCGACGATCCGGAGGCCGTGATGCACGTGTGCAACGTCGCCTCCGACTGGCGCAAGACCTTCAAGAAGGACGTCATCATCGATTTGGTCTGCTACAGGAAGCACGGACACAACGAGCTTGACGAGCCCATGTTCACCCAGCCGCTCATGTACCAGAAGATCAAGAAGCATAAGAACGTCCTCGAGCTCTACGAGGCCAAGATCACCAAGGAGGGCGTTGCCGACTCGCAGTACGTCAAGGTAATTTTGCTATTGAATTGAAGATTGGTAAATTGGGTTTTAGGATGAACTGACCAAGTACGGCGCCATCCTCGAAGAGGCCTACGAGAACGCGCAAAAGGTCACCTTTGTGCGCAATCGCGATTGGCTCGACTCGCCATGGGACGATTTCTTCAAGAAGCGCGACCCACTGAAGTTGCCGTCGACGGGAATTGATGGCGAGCTGTCGAAGCACATCATCGACAAGTTCTCGTCCTACCCCGAGGGCTTCAACCTGCACAAAGGTGCTTTACAGTTTAATTTCGTGTGTGAATGTGCTATGAGGGTTCACGTTTTCTTTACGTTGCCGTCCAGTTGAAATTCCGTTTTCGAGGTCTTGAACGCACGCTGAAGGGCCGTAAGCAGATGGTCGTCGACAACTCGGTCGACTGGGCTGTGGGCGAGGCTCTTGCTTTCGGCTCGCTGCTCACCGAGGGAATCCACGTGCGTCTGTCTGGCCAGGATGTCGAGCGCGGTACCTTCTCCCACCGTCACCACGTTCTCCACGACCAGAAAATTGACCAGAAGGTATTTGCTTCTGTTTTTTAATTTAACAGCCATCTAGGTGTACAACCCGTTGAACGATCTGAAAGAGGGCCAGGCTAACTACACCGTCTGCAACTCGTCACTGTCCGAGTACGCTGTCCTTGGCTTCGAGCTTGGCTATTCCATGGTGAGTAATTTTTCGCGCTTGCAATCTTTTTTTTTTTAGGTTGACCCGAACTCCCTCGTCATCTGGGAAGCCCAGTTCGGTGATTTCTCAAACACCGCCCAGTGCATCATCGACCAGTTCATCAGCAGCGGGCAGAGCAAATGGATCCGGTATGAGATTCTTTAATTTCCCATCAAATCTTTTTCATTCAGTCAATCTGGCTTGGTGATGTTGTTGCCGCACGGCTACGAGGGCATGGGCCCAGAACACTCGTCGGCTCGCCCGGAGCGCTTCTTGCAGATGTGCAACGAGGACGACCAGATTGACTTGGACGTAAGTTGACCTGATTTGACATCCAATCTTTTTTTGTTATAGAAGGTCGCTTTCGGCGGTACCTTCGAGGCCCAGCAGCTGCACGACACCAACTGGATCGTCGCCAACTGCACCACCCCGGCCAACATCTACCATCTTCTGCGCCGTCAGGTAAGGAAGGGGGCTATCAAGGCGTCATCTCCTTCAATCAGCTCTGAATTATGAACAAGCCCCATCTTTCAAAAACTACTGGTTTATGCTCTTGAAGAAATTCGCTCTAAAAGGGCTATTTTTTTGGCTCATGCTTGGCAGTCAATTTACAAACTATCAGCTTTGAAACACGATGTGGAAGATCGTTCTCGTTCGACGATTTTTGAAAGATGGGGCTGGTTCCGAATTGCATGTTCTATCGGATGAGCCATGCCACAACGCAAAACCCGTCAATTGCCTAAAAAAAGACTATCTTTGTGTATTTTTAGGTGCTTATGCCATTCCGTAAGCCCGCCATCGTCATGTCGCCAAAATCTCTTCTCCGTCATCCGCAAGCTCGCTCGCCAATGGAGGACTTCGCCCCTGGAACGCACTTCAAGGTTCGAAAACTTGGAAAATATAACTTCCCATTTCTAGCGCGTCATCCCCGAGGAGGGCGTCGCCTCGCAAAACCCATCTGGTGTTCAGCGCATCGCTTTCTGCACTGGTAGAACCCGCTTTCGATTTCCGAGTAATTTGTCCGTTTAGGCAAGGTCTACTACGATCTGGTGAACGCGCGCAAGCACATCGGCATGGAGAAGGACATTGCGCTCGTGCGCGTCGAGCAGATGTCGCCCTTCCCGTACGATCTGATCCAGGAGGAGTGCCGCAAATACCCACAGGCCGAGCTCTTGTGGGCCCAGGAGGAGCACAAGAACATGGGAGCCTGGGCATTCATTCAGCCGAGGTGAGGAGCCGGAAACTCCAATTTATTTTTATTTTCAGGTTCAACTCGTTGATGGCTCGTGAAGCCCGAGGAATCAAGTACGCTGGCCGTCACCCATCTGCCTCGCCCGCCACCGGTTTGTAAAATTTGCGATTCTGAATCTTCTCCTTTTAGGTAACAAGTACACCCATCTCCAGGAGCAGAAGGACGTTTTCGCACAAGTCTTCAACGTCACCAAAAAGGATTTCGAAGGGTTCAAGCCCTAATTCCCCGTGTCTGCCCTTCCCGTTGTAGTTCTCCGAGTGATTGTGCTGATTGTCCTGTTCTCCACCCTCTAGTTCCCGTACCGCAATGTCTAGACCCTTCCGTGCATATTCCATTTGCCCCCGTTGATCCGAGTCTCAATGCAAAAGCCTTGCTTTATACAATTCGCCGCTCGAATACTCGTCTGTGCCCCAAATTTTTATTAAAATTGATAATATTACCGCTCCCAGTTGGTGTGCCCATACTTTATGATAGGCCCTAGTTTCAGTTTTATAGGTCATTGCCCCTTTGATGCCTCCCCTGTTTTCGGCAGCCACTGGTAATTTTGCATTGTTTTAAGACAGATTTTTAGAGAATAAAGATTTTCGTTCTGAACACTTTTGAGCCCATCGCATACTGCACCAACGACGCAAAAATAAAAATTTCAACCTAAACTAAACAAACTAAGCGACGCCCAGTCGTCGACCAGCCAACGAAAACCGAACGTGGAAAGCTTGAATAGTTCCGAATCATGTGTAGAATTCCTTTACCAATGTTATTACAAACCGCAGATGTCCAGAAACAATTTATAAATCAACAAAAACGTAACAAAGTTAGGCGAAGTGGGTCTTCGGGCGGCGGGTGGTGAATTGCGTAAGTCCGATCCTCTTGGTGACGCGGTGGGCAAGCGGGAACTTGATCTTGGCGTCGTGGAACATCTTGATCGGGGCACGACGGCACTCGTCAGCCTTGATCGTCTGGACCTTGAGGATGTGGATGCGGTCGGCCTGGGCACGATGGCGGGCACCCATGTCACGGTAGCACTGGGTGACGGCTCCGGCAACGGTGACGTCGCGGTACTCGCGGTACATGTTATGGTGGCCGGTCCTGGAGTCGTACTTCAGCCAGACTCCGTAGTTCTTGACGGTGTTGGGCTTCTTCTCGAAGACCTGAAAAAAAAGAAATAAAATAAGATCGTCAGAAAGAGAGCTACATCAAATAGGACAGACTCTGGGTGTTGGTTTAGATATACGCCCAAAAATTTCGTCTTGTTTTCAGCGGAAAAACCTCTAATTAACAAAATCGTACCTCCTTGACGGAAAGGATCTCGCCGTTGGCCTTCTTCACACGTCGGAGCATAGAGACGAAGTACCAGAAGCGGGACTTGGCGATAACGTGGTTGCTGGCAAAGATCTGCATCTTCCAGACCGGCGTCACGGGCTCCTTCTCGGTGGGGAGCTTGCGTCCGATGACGATGAACTCCTTGAGCGTCTCTCCGAGAGCCTTGGTCGGCATGTTGAACCCTGGAAAGGGAAAATATATAAAATGAAGTGGAAAGAAGAAATATATGAATTTGGCAATAGGAAACGGGCAGAAATTGATCGGAACAAGCATTGGTTATATGAAAAAGGGAGCGGAATTCGATTCTTTGATAAATTATGGAATTTAGAAAACGAAAAAACCTGAAAAATGACAGCGACCTGAAAGTCTGGAGCGCTAAATTTTAGGAAAACGCTTGGCAAAATACGCTGGACGCTTGCAGCGTCTCGCTATCGTACCCCCCTTGGGGCGCGCTGTAGGCGACAGCCTTTTGATGGCGTTACGCGCGGGAAAACGGAAAGCCGCCGGCCCGGAAAAAGTTTTGTTTGTGATCGAAAAATCCTATAAAAGAATCTTTTCAGGGCTTATGCTCCAATTTGCAACGTGGAAGGACACGGTAGTTAGAAGAATCATCACGTCCGCCCGCCACTACGCCTCGAGCCCGTTTCCCCGACAGCAAACCGAGGGACTGATCCATGTCGAGAAGCAGTTTGAAGCCCACCCACCCGCTGAACGGAACAAGGAGAATTTTCTGGCCGCTATTTGTAGGTTCTAGAAATTGTACGACTTTTATTTGCGCATATTTGCGGCCTGGATTTAAGTAAATAACTTTTCAGTAATCTTCAAAGAACGAAAAGGGCGCAGCTATGTCGATTTCATCAACTCTTCCCTGAAGTACATGAAGGAGTATGGCGTCCACAAGGATATAGAAGTGTACAAGGCCCTGTTGGACATATTCCCGAAGGGCAAATTGATTCCGACGAATCAGTGGCAGGTATGTCGTGCTTTTATTTTCACTAAAAGTAGTTTAGAAAGTTTTTATGCACTACCCGCTGCAGCAGAACTGCTGTGTGAAAGTCTTGGACGAGATGGAATGGCACGGTTTGAGATTTTTTGTCTTTTTGATTATTGTGCTTCAGGTGTCCATCCTGACAAGGAGGTGCACGACATCGTGGTGAACGCATTCGGCGAATGGAATTTTGCGTCGCGGAAGATTAAGCGGATGCTCTACTGGATGCCAAAGCTGCGCTACTCAAACAAGTTTGTCTTTCTTGTTTCACCCAACGAATTTTTTAGGTACATCGACCGGCGACAAATCGAAAATAAAAAATTGTCACCCGAGCAACTCGCCGGATTGGCACTGAAAATGATGTCCAGAGACCCGGGGAGCACGTATCATTTTTGTAAAGTAAGGATATTTTCTTTTTTGCTTTTTACGATTTTTAGCTGCCCAAGCGCAACCCCGTGGTCGAAGATGAATGGATCGCATGGTCACAAAGTATACTGCAGCAAAATCTCCTGAGCAGATTACCGGAGAACACAGATGTAAACCTTCTTTTCTTTATCAAACTTTTTTTAAAGATTTTTATCGACACGTCAGAATTAGTTTACGTGATGGAGCACCCTGTGAAATATGTCGTGTTGAAGTGCAGAACGCAGGGCGGCTCCCTCGCCGACTTCAAGGAGGAACGAGTAATTTGTTCGGACTTTTCCAAGCAGTCTTTTAGGATCCACTAAACTTTGCGAGCTGGTACAAGGAGTGGAGTGAGTCCAGGGAATATCAAAATTCCATCCACGAACAACCGCACGAAACGATATTGGCGATCGCTTGCCTCAGCACTTCCAATAATGCGACGGCAGCAAAGTGGATAGACTTATTAAAGGTATCCTTATCCTACTTTCTGTAAAGATTTAGGAAAAAAATCCGAAGATCGAGAAGATGAACGTGCGCTTGAGATTGGATAAATGAGATTGTTTTCTTGTATATTTTTTTGTTTGTTTGTAAATACGGGTTTTGATAGATAAATAGTTAGGATCATTGTTGTACGATTTCCGGAAATGCCTCTTATTGGTCGTTGTATTGTGAAAGCGGACTTATTATCATCTGATCATTTTTTCAGCATGAATGAGGCGGGGGAGAATGCAAATAATAATGGTACGTGTTACGCATAGCTCCTATATTCGTTTGTAGGGTCACCAGATGATCCGTCTCTCCTGGAGGGTGTCGATAACATTTGTCAAAATATCATAGCACTACGCGAAAAGTACCAGCTTACGCCTGCAAATATAAAATCTATGTTGAAGGTATGGAAAACCTTTGGAAAAATCAAAGATATTGTTTTTAGCAATTATACAAACCAGAGGTGATGGCACAAGTTCTGGATCCGAACGGCGAGAACATCTCTGCATTGAAGCTGACGAGGTCCAGGGTCCAGAAAGTGCAAACAAAGGTATTTTGCAGCATTGTAACTTTTTCAAAACATTGTTTTAGGACGATTCTAAGGCTCAAGTCCCGGTTGCTCGCGCGCAGCGCACCTTCCTGACCGTCGACTATGCGGACGAGGATCAATTTGACGACGACTACGTGCCGGAAAACGATCCCGCGGGTAGCCAAGATGAGGAGTTGCCGGAGAGCAGCTCGTCCTCAGCCTTTGACAGCGACGACGATTCGGCGATGGAGCTGCAGCGGGAGCTCGAGAAGGAGTTGGAGGCCCTGAATGGAGAACCAACTCAACGATCCGAGCTGATCTCACCCATCCCCCACGCTGCCAGTCTTACCTTGGATGTGAGCATCAAAACCTTACTATTTTTGCCCATGTTTCCTGCTTGTGCCTGGAAAACTTTATCCTTCTAGCTCTCCGACATGATGCACGACTCTCCATCCACGTCACGAGCTGCAACTGTCGACAAGCGCCCGAATCTGAACCAAACGGCTGGCCAGGATGCGTTGAGAGAAGAAACGCAGGAGCTTTTCGCTTCTTACAACAACCCAGAAGTATCTAAAAGCATTTTTCCGGAAATTCGCTTCAGGTCTTCACCGCCGTCGATCCGGACTACCTGACGTTTTGCAGCTCGTTGTGTGGTATTGGCACAGGGAAAGATTGTGAGTATTGAAATAAAGTTCGATGGTTTCTCTTCAGTTTTCGGCGATGACGATGACCCAGACGACACCGAATTCATCCCGAACCCCGAGGAAATTGAGCACGAGCTGGAGACCGATCCTTTGGAGGTTCGACGGGATCGTGCAACGGAGATACCGAGTGAGGAAATTAGTTTTTTTGCAAGTTTCTATTTTTCAGGGAAGGAGACCGATTTTCTGTACACCGACCTGACGGACGCCGAGACGGCACTGATGCTTCAGAGCTTTCCGAAAAATGCGGTCCAGGCAGAGGTGCGAAAGTGGAAATTTCCACGAAAAAAAGGTTTTAGATCATCAAAACGAAGAAACATCGCCCTCAAGCCGAACAGCGGACAAACGAGGACGACAGCGCGGATGTCGTTGTGTTACCAAAACCGGTACAAGTGATTGTTCGCACTGATATTGATCCTAGTCCTACCATCTCCCCTACCCGGCTCTCAGGCCGAACACCTCGGATTCCCTGCTCCCTGCGAACCGTTCGATACGTTTTCGGCGGGAGGAGCTCACGCAGTTGAGGATACAGTTGGAACAGGTATTTAAATTATTTTTTTTGCCCGACAAACTCCTTTTAGCACACACAATTGTTGGCCCAATCGGCGGTCGCGATGTCGTTTGATAACCACCTTTATGGGCGGAAACCAATTTATGCGATGATGGTAAGGCTTCTTTGTTTTGGTTTTTTAGTGGATTCCATTTAGAGAGAACTAGAAGACCTGTACACTGATTACGGACCCGGCAGTATCTTTGACGTCAGCAACATGGCCAGCGCTATCGACTTGACCCATACGGCGTTGAAGCTTCAAAAGGTTTGCGCTGAATGTGTTTGGGGTAATTTATTTGCTTTAGTCGAACGATTGGGAGCCGAACAACTATCGTGTGACGTCTGGCCGCTTTTTGTGTAGGTAGTTTTTGAAAATCTAGCTGATCTTGGCTTTTTCCTGAGCTCCATTATTCTTTTTCAGTACCCCGATTACGACCGGAAGCGTGCTACCTGCTAATGAATTCACCAGCAATCCTCTACCCGGCTTTGGTGCCACAGGTAAATGCCCTTTCGATAGCTATTCACTATTTTTTTCTAGGTATCGATGCACAATGCGCCGGAAGTCACCAGCCCGCTCTCCGACTCCGAGGATCTGCTCCTCCTTTTCGGGCTCGTCCAATTCGGTCATCTGACTAAACGGCGCAGTCGCGTATCGATTAGCGGCATCAACAAGTACGAAATTTCCCTATGTAACACCATCTTTTAGAATCTCCTTCATCGCTCGGCATCTACTGGCCGGCCGTGAGGAGCGCCAAATTGTGACAAGATTGAAGAAGCTGAGGGCGAACTTTGACACGGGTAGAATTTTGCAGGTTGGTTTTGGGCTTACAATCAGATCAATCCTCATTTTCAGGCAGCCGAAAGTGGCCACACCGTCTTCCAAATCGCCTTTCAAAGGCCACTACGGTATCCGGGCACGATGCGGCAGTGGCCGGCTAGTGTAAGACCGGACTGGTTTTCGGTAAACTATTACTGTACCTCTTCAAAGTTTTCGTTTTTCAGTGGTTTGAGCAAAACTGGACGTTCACGCCGGATGGCTTCTTGGTCACTAGACAGACGCTGGCCCAAATGATCCCCTACCCGTCGCCGGATAAATGGTTCTTCGAGCGAATCGCTTCGGAGGTTTCGCCAGGTAATTTATGAACCAGTGGAAAATGTCCGCTTCGCGGCCCTTTTCCACTGGCCCCCGTCTAGGAACCATATAATCTCCTTCCGTTTTTCAAGCCTGCGGCGCAAGAGCCTGACTCTAGGAATGCTTCTCTGGCCTGCGGCGCTGGCTACTGGTTTTTCTCTAGCATTTGGCCTGCGGCGCGAGAGCCAGGGCCAAGGGACTTTTTTTGGCCTGCGGCGCTAGAGCGAGGGACTGGCCTAAATTTCGGATACTGAGAGTCTCGAAATAAGTTTTGTTGTTGAAATATCAAAAAGCAAAATGGTAAATTTGCCGAGGATCCGAACCCTCGACTATGGGCGTGGTAGACCGGGCGCCAAGCCACTATACCAACGGGGGCATTGGGACGGCTGGCGGGAAAGGCCTCTTCTGCCCTGGGGGTTCGGGTCACGCCCGGTCGGGGTTATTCTGGTAACTTTACAAAATTAACTTTTTTGATCTGAATGCGCCGAAATTTTGTAAAAATAATGAGATGCGCGTGATCCCCACCATCGAATACATAAGTGGTCCAAATTACAAACCGAAATTCCATCAATACTTCGAGTTATGGCCCGAACACCACGGCGCGTCACCCATTTTGTTAAGGATTTTCACTTTTTTGCTTGTAAAATTGTTAAATGAAGGAATTTCAAAAAATCCAAAAAAACCGTTTTTGGCGAATGTGTTTCTTCACCTCCATGCCAAAAATCAGCGCGGTATTCGGCCTGACGGCCGAGAAACCGCCCGGACAGAAAACACACATACTTTTCTCGCTTATAGGATAGGATTTTATTGCACGCGATTAAAGTAAACTAATGTATGAATTTGCTTTTTCTATTAATTTCCCAAATTTAGAAGTTCCCGGTGGCCCAGTCAATATCAGCAATTTCCATGTTGACATTGGGAGGAATCCACAGGAGGCTAGGTAACAGTAATTATGTTTTTCTAACTGAAGCTCTATTTGCAGCTGTTCAGCCAGCGTACCTATGGCCAACTTTGGAACCAGCGCGATGTCATTTTCGGTAGTTTTAGGGTTCCGGAATACAAATATAGTTTTTAGGCGCTGGAACCCGAACTGGACTATGACTTTGGCCATGATGATGACTCCTTTTCTGCCTTGCAAACCGAGCCAGCTGAGCATGTGTCCCGGATTCCCGAACCTGAGAACGATACGGACGTGATTGTGCTCGATGAAACAACAAACGATGTCGGCGTTTTGAAGATGGGCGAGCCTGGACCGGAAATTCCTGCGCATGAAAATTTAGCGGTAAGCTTCTACAGTAGTTTTTACACGAGTGCAGGTCCACCAATCCTTCTCCGAGCCGACAAAACGCCGCTCTAGCCCGAGAAAGTTTTCAAATGCCGAGACGCAGACCGATTACGTTCGCATCTTGGAGGGGCCGGAGATGGAGGTAATTTTGTCACAATTTCTAAAGATGATCGAAAGAAACTCCGTTTAGCGCAAAAGGCAATGAAATTTTGATGAGCTAAAATTTGAAATAGTAAAAACCGGCGTAATCAGAATCGCTAAAACAGTCAGTTACCCCTTTTGCAACTTGAATAAAATATTTTAACCCCGAAAACTCTTAGCTACAATTTGCTAGCAGCCGCATCGCTACTTCATTATGCGCTACCCTCACCGTACCCAGCCCCCGCTTTGTAGTCTCTCGCGATGCCCAGCGGCGGGCCATCGGCTCGCCCGGCGCTGACCCCCGGGGTCGGGCCAAAATTTGGCTTATTACGGGTACTCTAAGGAATAAACCAACTAATATATCTCGAAAGCATATAATTCCGGGTTTCAGGAACCCCAAACAAATGCTGACCAGCCGACAGAAACCCGGACTTCAACGAGAAAGCGGAAGCCGGCGAACCCGAAACGACATAGCGCCCCGTCCCCGGATGCCAAGCGCACGGAACGAAGCTCGAATGCACATCCTGGAGAAGCGGCCGGTCAACCGATTTTTGTCCAGGTTTTTGTAAGAAAATTGTCTTAATCCATGGGTTTTTAGGAGACGACAGAGCCAAGCACACCTCCACCGGCTGCACAAAAACCTGTCGAGGAGATGAGCACGCCGTCGCCATTCCATGTCGTCACTTGGGATACGCTTATTTCGCCCGAGAAGCGCGCGAAGCCACCGGATACGCCCGATAATCCACCGACACCGGGGTGCGTTTTGAATTGATGTTTTCCTAGTTTTTTTGGTAAGAGAAATTCTTTGGTTATTGGTGTGGCTATTGGTGTCAAAATGTCCTGGGGGATACTTTTGGAAAGGTTGGATATCTGCCCACCATCTGGCTCGGCTCGTTAGGCGAAAAAGCTTTTCTTAGACATTCTCGATCAACATCTTTATTTTCCCCTCCCACCAGAACTTTTCGAAAATGAACCCCGCCTGGGTCAGCTTTGTAAGTTTTTCAATCATCAGCTAGCTACAGTGTTCCAGGGCGGAAACTTTTTCTTTTATGCAAGGGGTTCAATTGTTATATTTTTATCAAACTTTACGGCTTGTTTGAAATTTTTTTAGAATTTTTTGTACAAAGTTTGATTTTTCGAAGAAAATGGCGAAAATGTCCTTTTTCGGACATTTATGAATCTTCAACATTCCCCCATTTTCAGCTACAGCGCCGAAGTTGCCGAACGGCTGGTGCGGTCGGGAATTCGAACGCCGAGCTCGGCTCGACCACTTCGACGGGGCCGACGACTATTTTTGGACTCACCGGCCAAACTCGACCAAACGCCGCTCCGAGCGCCACGCAAGATTCCAACACCGGAAAAGCCGGCTCCAGCTCCTGAAGGTAAAAAATTACCCGCTTGGACCTCCTAATCTTGTTTTAGTCGAAGAACCCCAACGCCTGACTGACGATATCAATCTACAACTGATTCATATTTACAACGATGTTAGTTGTTACTGTTACACTTTTACTATTCTTTTTTTTTAGAATCTCGGCGAAGATCTCGACACAATTGCCACTCTCGCCACCGAACGCCTCAACGTCCCCTTCCAACCCGTCAAAGAACGACTAGAATTTATTCGCAATTTTTGCTCTCAAGATTCATAGACCATTCCCTTACTGCCAAATGTATTTTTGATTTCCTATGGGTCACAATTTCTCGCCTTCTATGCACTCATGACACCCTCTTGATCTCAACGCTGCCAATTAATCTAATAAACTGTTTTATCAGAGCACGCCTTCCTGGTGCTCATTTGAAAAACCTAACCGTTTAATCGGCTGATACTTTGCGTATATTTTTGATGATCTGAAAAAAATTTTTATTTACAACCCCCCGCATATGCGCGTGCTTCCACCTAAAAACTGTTTGCAGGCCAGTCGTTTGCCTAGTGAAGTGGTCTAGGCCGCTTATTCGGTGGAAAAATAAAACGTCCGGCGGAAAGTGACAGCGTGAGTTGGGCGTTGCGTTGTCGTGTTTGCATGCGTTTCGTGTTGTGTGGCTAGAAAATAAAGAAATCCTTCTTCTTTTTTTTACGGAAAAGACTAAGCAGATTGTAACGTTTGGGCGGTTTTGTTGCGCCTAGTGCAGATGTTGTAGCCGTTCTTTGTAGAAAATGAATCTAATTTTAAGGAGCTCGATCTTGTCCGTTTGCTATCTCAATTGTTACCTTTTTATAACCTGGGAAAAGCTTTGTTTCACAGGCACAGTTTTATCGGAAAGGAAATCGTCTAGTAGTTTTTTCCACTGAAACTTCTTGGGCGAGGATTGCGCAAGTTTGAGATCGTAAATTTTCTTTTGCACCGGATGCCTCGTAGTAACTATCTGAATCGAATCCAGTAGTTCTTTGTCCAATCTGACGTTTTCCGATGTATTTTCCGTCGTTATTGTCCCTTTGGATGTCCGCTTCCCAACTTTCTCATTTCCAGATGTCCGTCAGCAGTGGCGACGAACAAGGCGGCCAGCCCGGCAAGCGGCGCACAGCTGCCCCTCCTATTGGCCCGCAGCGCCCGCGTCGCTCACCACCGCAGAACAAGCCGGGCGCGGCGGCACCGGCAAGGACGGGCGGTCCGCCACCCGGCGAGGAAGACATTGCCAGCAAGTGCCTGCAGCTCGGCTTCAAGCGTTTCTACGTCGACGTCAAGCAGAATGCGCGCGGTCGTTTCGTGAAGATGGCCGAGGTTTGTTTTGTTTTTACTTCGTCGTCGTTTTTATTTTGGGAATGTCGGAAACCACAAATTTCTGATATTTTATAGATGGGCAGTAGCATCCCGTCCCGCTTGACGCTCTCCATGTCCACAGCCGCCGCCTTGACGGAGAAGATCGAGGAGTTGAAGCAGTACTCCGAAGCCCACCCTCCGGATGCCGAGAATGTGGGCAAAATAAAAATTTCCTTTTACAGACGTTTTTAGCCCTACATGGAGGCCAAGTCGATTACGCTCACCTTTGACACTCGCCGCTACTACTTGGACCTGAAGCAGAACCAGCACGGCCGTTTCCTGCGCATCGCCCAGACGATCTCGGCCATGACGGCGCACGACAACCGTGCCACGCGCAACCAGGTACAGTTTTCTCATTTATTTGTTTAAGTTATTTGGAATTTCTCATTTATTCATACATTGTTTTATATAGTGTAAAATTCAAGTATTTGTGTGATTGACCGCCTTTTTCAGGTCGTTGTCCCCGACGAGGGTATCGGCCCGCTGCTCGAGACGTTGCGCGAGTTCATCCGCGACCATGGGGAGGGCTACATGACCGAAACGACGTCTCCCGACCTTCCTCCTTCCAAATCGGTATGGATTCCCAAAGCTATTAAAATATTTTTGCCTCAGATTCGCGGGGTCGGCGGCAAGACCTTCTTCCTCGATGCCGGTGCCAACGATCGTGGATCGTTCTTGCGTATTACCGAGGTTAATTTGTGGTTTTCAGAAAATAACCTTTGTTTTAAGTTCAAAAGTGCGTCCGGCCAGCGACAGTCGGTGACGATCCCCTCCCAGACGCTCGTCCAGATCCGCGACGCCATCAACGAGGCTCTGGAGAAATTCGAGGTAAGGAATTTGGTACTGGCAGCAGGGGGGAAATCTGATTGTGGTCTATCGCCCCTAGGGCTCCGGCAATGCAATCCACACAGTTTTTTTAGGTTTTTACTCGTTTTACGTATAGAATACCCTGACAAGGTGGCAAATTTTTGGATTTGGGGCTGCCAAAAATGTTTGTATGAATTTAGTAATAAAAAACCACACAAAAGTCCGTGAAAAAGGAGAATTAGATGCTAGGTTAGGCTGGATAGCTTTTCCAAACCCGCTAGGCAGATTTTTGGTTTTACGGCCGTCAAAATAACCTCTTTTTTTAGTCGAAGGCCACTGACGGATCGGCTGCGCACGTGGACCACGAACAGATGGAGACCGCGGCCAACTAGCATCAAACCGGCGCGGCCACGGATTTAATTTATTGTTCATATTCGTTTCGCACGATCCTTGATTGCCCCCCATAATTAATTGTTATCGGTTCCACATAATATAGGTCTCGCTTTAGTCTGATCGGGCATTCTTTGATACATACTTCTCATGCGACATTTGCCCCACACACACGGCCACCATGGGCCGGCAACCCATTGTGCTATTAGTCCTTAAATTTCCGCGTCGCCCTCCGAAAACAGTCCGTCCATTCCCTGCCCTACCCCAACCCCACCGAATCTTGTCCGGCGGCTTCACCGCCGTCCCCACTTGTATTTCGTCTTTTTGTGGCTTCAGCCCACTCTTCCGCCCCCCGTTCTCCCCATCCATTTGGCTTGTTGTTTTGTGCCGTTTTCCGGGAAATACATTTTATTTATTCACACGAGTCGTGGCGGAGTATTTGAGCTGGGTCATTTCCTTGGACTACGTACATTGAAAGTTGGGCTGGTTATTCATGGAAAATTTCGTGTTGTCGGACGGTGTGGAGGAATTTTTGAGACAATAGACAGTTAGAAAATGTCGTACGAGAAAATGTCGTACGGTTCGCAGGGTTTTGATAATGCCCAGATTTAAAAGTTTTTAGACCCCAAAATATCTTATTTGATCTCTGAGCTACCCTCTGATAACTCTGATTTACGAACTAGGCTATGTTTTTACATAGTACAACGTAATGGTATTATTGTAAAAAAGATTACTTGGAAATGCTGCCGTGCGAAGCGTGCTACGTTTTCTAATTGCTGAAACTCTTGAGAGTTGTCTAGACAGCTTGGACATTTTTTTAGGGGGTCCTGAGTGATAATGTTGTGATTTTAAGCAGTTTGATAATGTTATTTGCTGCTCAGAAACCTAACTCTTTCTCCTGTAGAAAAACATAAAAAAGACTCATTTAATACCTTTAGCGCCGCCGTGTCGCTCGTCACGTTGCCTTTCACCAGCACAGGTGATGGGCACGATGGACTGGAGCGACGGCACGATGATGAACGGCAATGGTAACGGCACCGAGGCGGCGGCTTCGATCGACAGCGTCGTCGAGGGATGTCGGCTCTTGGTGCGGATGGGGAATGCCGATATACGTTAGTGGAATCGTAGCATTCTGTTAATTCCCTTTCAGGTGATGCGGAGATCATCTCCGTGCGGCGCACGGCCGAGGGTCCGATGTTCTACGTGCATTACGTGGACTGCAATCGGAGGTGTGGTTGTAAACTTTTTGGTTAAAAACGTAGTGGAAATTATCAAAATGAAAAAAGCATACTAAAAGGATAAAAACACACTATTTTCTGTCAGCTACGTCTAGGCGATAGAAGTTATTTCCTCTATATAAAAAGTCGTATGGCGTTTCGCGCAACACAACGACTATTTTGTTTCTATAAAAAGTTCTCCGTAACAACTGCAACCTAAAAAATTATTTTCTTCAGATTGGACGAATGGGTCGGCCCGTCAGCCCTGCACCTATCCTCATTTCGACCACCGACAAAAGCGCCCCGAAAAGGAGCCATCGGGCACCGCGACGCCTACATCCCAATGACCGACACGCAAAAGTATGCTATTTTTAAAGTGTCGAAAATTACTGTTTTTTTCAGTAGCTCAGCCAGCCAATCGCCAGAACGAGAGCTTGTGATGAGGAAACAGGGCCGAGATATACCCCTTCCACAACTTCCCTCGACGTCGGGCATCTCAAGACGAAGAAAACTCGACGAAGAAGAGGCACCGCTAAGCCCGATGATATCCACGCCAGCGCCACCGATAGCCACGTCTTGTAAGCGTTTTTTCACGATGCTGAACACATTTAAAAACTTTTCCCTAGTTTAGAAAGGAGTCGTCTTTAGGAGATTTTGGAGTTTTGTTATATAGTTGTTATAGTTAATTCGACAGAGCTTGCCATCTTCGAGGGTTCCAAACGTTACTTTCAAAAGCCTTTTCTCAAAGCTTCCATTTTTTCAAACGGGGCGAAAATGGACGAAATCGGCCCTTTCTAAGTCGTTTAGCAATTTTTAAGATTGGGACTCGTCCAGAATTTCCACCTCTATCGAATCAGAATATGGCAAATTGAGACTCTTTGTGCGAAAATTTGATGGATCGTAGAAACAACATTTGCTCCTTTTTCAAAACCACATTTTCAGCACCGCGTACCTCCGGTTCAATGTCGATGGTCGGCCACAGTGAAGACGTGCTCACCCGGATACGTAACGTCGAGATGATAGAGTTGGGAAGGTACTGATTAGCTTTTTATCTTTGACTTCTTTATGTTCCAGATTCCGAATGGTCCCCTGGTATTTCTCGCCGTACCCGCACGAGCTGACCCGGCTGCCCTGCATATACCTATGCGAATTTTGCCTCAAATTCCACAAAAGCTCAAACTGCCTGGCGCGGCATTTGGTTAGTGATTTCTCTCTCCTTTTGTACAAGCCCGTTTTAGGAGAAATGCCTCATAAAACATCCACCCGGCAACGAGATCTATCGCAACGATCACATCAGCTTTTTCGAGATTGATGGCAGAAGAAATAAGGTAAAGAGAGACTTTGCGGCGCTTAAATTTATAATTTAGTTCTACGCCCAAAACCTGTGCCTACTTGCCAAGCTGTTCCTCGACCACAAGACGCTATACTACGACACGGACCCTTTCTTGTTCTACGTGCTTGCCGAGCAGGACGAGCGGGGCTGGCATCTTGTCGGGTATTTCTCAAAGGTAAGTTTTTTTTGCACATTTTAGCCCTCCCTTTTGATAAGACCCTCTCTTCTTTTTATGTTCATGTAGTCCGAATAATGGAATATTAACTATTTTTATAGAATTTTGCGCATTTTTGCTCTAAAAATTCACAATTTTTGGGAAATTATTGACTTTTTGGTCGAAAACTAAGAAAAACTGTTCAAAGAAGGGTTCAAAATCGGCTAAAAAACTATAGTAATGTTTTATGGAATACATATTAGGTTGAATAAAGGAAGGTAGTCCCCTCGCTAACGAAGCGACGCTGAAACGAAGCCGTTCTTGTGAAACCCCCTAACTTTTCAATTTTAGGAAAAAGAGTCGGCGGACGAGTACAACGTGGCCTGCATCCTCGTCCTCCCCTCATACCAGAAGAAGGGCTACGGGCGACTACTCATAGAGTTCAGCTACGAGTTGAGCAAGGTTGGGATTTATTTTTGCCCTCATCTATTTTTATTTCCAGATCGAAGGGAAGACGGGCTCCCCCGAGAAGCCGCTCTCCGATTTGGGATTGGTGGGTTTTACAAATTGCCGGTTTGCCTAGGCGCGTAGTTTATCACATTCCGAATAGGGATAATTGGTGGTTCGGCCTTGCGCTACGGAACTAACATGGCTGAGCAGCTTTTTTTTTTGTTCTTATTTTGAGTTCTTGGGGCTATAGCTCTTGGGCTAAACTACAAATTTTAGGTCTTGTTTAGGTCTACAAATTCTTTTATTTTTATTTATTATATTGATTTTTTTTCAGCTCTCCTACCGCAGCTTTTGGGCGGCGACTATCATCGAAACGCTGATCCGCGAGAAAGAGGTAAGAAAAGAGAAAATCCGTTTCGTGTTTTTTTTTGTTATTTTAAAGTTGCCTTAACTTTTGCCAAACTTTGTTTGAGTTTTTTTTTGTCTAATTTTGACTTTTCAGAGCCATAACCGAGAAGGCCTTTCCATCCTCGACATTTCCTCGCAGACGTCCATACGAAAAGAAGACGTCATGTCCACGTTGCAGGTGAATTTTTCGGCATTTCAGATTTCGCTTCTTTTTTCCGGCTTCTTATATGTGGTCAAACAATCCCATTTTTCAGCTAAACGGACTCTGCCGCTACTCGGCCCGCGGCCAATGGGTATTCGTGCTGACCGACGAGATTCGAGCGCGCTACGAAAAGATGCAAAACAAAGTCCAGGTATTTTTTTATTAGGTTCTGATTCGTTAGCGGGGACAGGGACGAATTTTTTTCTTGCCTACCCGTAGACGCCGAATAATGAAATATATATGATTTTACGCCTTTTTAAAGATCAATGTTCTTAACAAATTAAAAAAGTAGACGGCAAAAATGTAGTAAAAATATTAATAAACTTGATTCTTGAAAACATTTTTTCTAACATTTTCTAATAACGTAATCGAAAACTACTAAAAAAAGTATAAGAGTAGGCATTTTTTGCAATAGAAGTGAGAATCCAAAAAACTGAAAAAGCCAGACCACCCCTAGGATCCCCTCCCCCCGCTAACGCACCAGCGCCTTTTCTTATCCCGAAAAATCGAAGCTTCCTGATTTCAGTTGCGCATCGACGCGTCCAAGATCAGCTGGCATCCGCGCGACTGGGCCAAGCGGAAGGCCTAAAGCCATTATTTGTTGCTAACTTACTCGATTGATAATAAAATGACCTAGTTCTCCGTCTTGTGAATGTCACCTTCGCGCTTTTTCTATGCGTCAGAAGTTTTTTTGGGGAATGATTTTATACTTTACTATACTCGTATTATCTTTTAAATCACGATCTCCGCTGTTAAACATGTGTTGTGTCCATTTGATCCTTGTTGCTGCTCGTTTCCGCTGCGATCGGCTTACGACGGCGGCATCGGACGGGATTTTTTTAATTTCTAAAGTTGGACGCGTCGTCTTTTTCCGGAGAAACTGCCCGTATTTTTGCCTGTGAATGTCCCGTGATGGTTTATTTTCAAAACATTTTTCTTATACGTCTTTGCTATGTTTGTAATATCTTTACGCGCCGATCTCTGATATTGACATGTATTGTGTCTATTTGGCGCGAGGGCCCTTGCTTTGGCGCATTCCCACCGCGATCAGCTTACGACATCGCTACCCCTGGCCCATACATTCTGCTTTGAGGTACAATGAGGCGCCCTCTAGTTTCTAGCACCCCGTTAATACTTTGTAAAAAGTATTAAAAATTCGGTTCTTTGAAAAATACTTGAAAAATTACAAAAACTAACGCCTCGTTTGTGACCTCAAAATAAATATACCGCCTCTTTTTGTTCGCTTTTGTATGTATTCAAAGTCCGCCCTCCCCCCAAAATGACGTAACCCCATTTAGCAGCGTTGGGTCGGTTTCGCCCTACGGCCTTCCCCCCTTTTTTGGCTTTCTTAGGGGATACTGGCTAGCTGCCTTCTTTTTCTGAATCAATCCTTCCAGCCTCCCCCAGGAGGATCCCTTTTTGGGCTGCGCGGACGGACCTTTCTTCTCCTCCACCTCGACTCCCAAAAGTTCCGGCGCCCTTTCGCTGAAAAATTCTGAATTTCCAACGCTCCCGCCACGCCGAGGCCTAGGGGCGAATGTTGCGTTGAAACCCGAGTTAACTTTATTCCCCCGACTCCGGTATTAAAAGTACCCTTCCCCCTATCCCCTTTCATTTTCGATGCTGCTATGTATTTGATACGGGTACCTCTTGTTTCCAGGAATAAATTGAATTTCAACGAGCCCGTCGAGAAGCTGTACGGAAAAGTGATATAGCAGAAAATCGTTACATCGAGTCGGACCCTCCTCCATTATATTTCTTGTTTATGATCGCGTTGCCATTTCAATGCGGTTTCCCCGGCCGGATCCACTCACCCACTGACCGCGCTACACTGCCCTTTATCATCCTTTTGACCGGGTCGTATCCGGCAAAGGCAATTTATGGCCCAACGGCCAGCATGTGCAGTTGGCCGGGCAAACAGTCCGCTGTTCATTCAGCTGCTCACCAGCGCAAATTTTGCCAACTGTCCGCCGCCTGGCATTCCATTCTTGGTAAATAGCGGTTCGTTCGATTTATGGCTGTCCCGGGGGCGATTCGTTTGATTTTTGCCCTTTGCTAGCCGGAAGCCATGTCGAAAAGGGCCATATAAGTCCATTTTTGCGAACCTAGCATGATAAAAATTGCCGTATTTCTCCAATGTAACCCCGCGGTTCTATTTTAAAATCACTCGAGAGGTATATTAGAGGGAAGGCTGGATCTTTCGTGACACTGAGCAATTGCAACGAGTTGAAGCAGTTCGAACTACGCAAAACCATTTAGGAAGGTAGTCCAAAGCAGAAACAGAAGCGTTTTAAAAATTTTGGGTTGTTGAAATTTTTGGAATTTTGTTTTGGGGGCAATATTAGCAGGAATATGATGTGTAGAAGATTGCTGTAAATTTTAGCCTTTTGTTACTTGTGGCGAGTACGATTCGTACGTTACGCGCCTATGGTCAACCTCCATTTTCCGAAATCCCACACATTCCAGCGCTTCCGAAATTTGCCAGAATTCTGGGACGATGAGACATCTTGGCGTGGACAAAGGTCACCACCCAGCCTCACCCTCTGATCGCTAGCTATGGATCTCGGATATTTTGTCTCCTTTTAAAAAGCTGCGTTTCACGATCGCTTATCATCTCGCCCCGCAGACAGCTCGGTCTTGCCCCCGCGGCTCTACTCGCACTTGCCCTTTCACTCAATTTTTGCTGACTCTCTTGCTTGCTCCCTTGAAATTCGTGCTTCCGTAATTCCTGCTGGCTTTTCAGGGGCCAAGCCCTACCGCACGATGAAGTTCGACGAATTTTTCTTCGGCACTTTTGGCGAGATGGGCCGGTAAGAAAGGAATTTGATAAAAAGGTACGTGTTTTTTAGGTATCAGAAGATCCAGTTTGCGCTGGTGACGATACCGACGATGATATGCGCCATGCACAGCTACAGCTGGACATTTGCCGCGCAGAAGGCCCCTTATAGGTATGAAAACTATCTGGCTGACGAAATCTTCCCACAGGTGTGCTCTGAACAGCGAGCTCGGCCACACTGACACCGCCAACTATCTAACCAAGGACAAACATATTAAGGTCAACGTGGACGACTGCTACAATAAGGTTTTGCTTTGCGTACAGGATTCAAAATTTTTTAGTACACCAAATTACGCGCGAATTGGACCGGCATAGATGATACAAACACGACCTGCCACTACGAAAGCTGTAATTTTGCTGATGGAACGAAATGCCAGGAGTACGTCTTCGACCACTCGAAAGTCAAGTACACGGCCCTGGAAAAGGTTTATTAAACTCGATTATTGGTATCATTTTATCTAGTGGAACTTCGTTTGCGAGACGCAGGATTTCTTCAAGTCCTCTTTCCAAGCCGCTTATTACCTTGGCCAGATGGCAGGCAGTATCATTTTTGGAATTCTTGGCGATAAGTAAGTGCTTCAGAGTTTTGCTCTAACAAGTTACTTTTAGGATTGGCCGTAAGAAGTGCTTCTTCTTGGCGCTGGTTCTGCAGCTCGTCTTCGGCCTGCTCCAAGCCGTTGTCCCTTGGTCGTGGATGTACTTCATTTTCCGGTAGTTCGGAGTTTTTTAAGTGAACTTTTTTTCAGAGCCATAACCGGCTTCACCCACCCTGGGATCTTCATGATTGCTGTCATCATCGGCATGGAGCTGGTCGGCCCGTCGTACCGCAAGCTGGCCGGCGTCTTCTCCGGCATGTTCTATGCAGTCGGACAGGTTAGAAAATTCTCAAAGGTCTACAAAAATGTTTAGGTCCTCCTCGGCGTGTTGTCCTACTACATCACCGATTTCCGGCTCTTGCATCTGGCCATCACCGGCCCGACGGTCATTTTCCTGACGTATTGGTGGTACGTTTTTGGTTTGAGAACTTGCTGACAGATTGACCTTTTCAGGATTGTCCCGGAGAGCATCCGCTGGTTGATCACGATGTCCAAGTTTGAAGATGCCGACAAGGTGCTCCAGGAAGCCGCCAAGGTCAACAAGGTCACCCTGCCCGACAAATGGTAAGCATCAGACAATTTTTTTTTTAATGTAAGTTTAGGTGGGAGACCATTGATAGTTCTTCTCACGGCAACACGACTGAGCGATCGGCCGCTACCGAGCGCCAATACTCGTCCGCCGACCTCTTCCGCACCCCGCAAATGTTGAAGCGCACGCTGACCGTGCTCTACCTTTGGTAATAGTTTTCAGCAAAAAAGATTTTTTTTTCTAGGCCTGTCGTGTCGATGACTTATTATGGACTCGGCATCAAGCCTGATGTCCTCGGCGGCGATCTGCACGTCAGCTTCATCCTCGGCGCCCTGATCGAGCTCCCGGCGTTGTTCATTGTCTACTTGACTGTCGATAAGATTGGTACGTTTTTGAGCGTTGGGAAAATGATTAGTTTTCTCTAATTTTTCTCAAGTCACTATTACTATTTTGAATAACCATTTTTTCAGGCCGCCGTCCCGTTCTCGCTGGCGGTTTTGCCATCACCGGGATCACACTGCTGTTGAATCTTGTTATTCCGGCTGATCGTGAGTTTTACTCTAGATTTTTTTACTTTATGATTTTCAGTCGGCGATTGGGCAGCCATCGCGCAGTTGATGATCGCGAAGGGCGCCATCACTTCTGTCTACGCCGTCATCTACACGTTCACGCCGGAGCTCTTCCCCACTTGCGTATGAAAGGTTATTTTTTCGACGTTACCGAATTTAGGTCCGTAACACGGCCATGGGCTACTGCTCGACGATTGCGCGTGTGGGAGCCATTGCCGCGTCGTACGTCTCATTTTGGGTGGTACGTTTTATTAGCCTTACGCTTTGACAAATCTGTTTTTTAGGTCGAGAGATTCGGAAAGATCGTGCTCGTCATCCCCTTCGGCACGTTGGCCATCACCGCCGCCATTGCCACCTGGGTGTTCTTGCCGGAGACGATGGGCAAGCATTTGCCGGAAACAATTGCAGGTACGTTTTTGTTTCTGGACTGTTGCCTAACGATTCTTGTGGTAAGCGGGCGGTTTCTGGGTTTGGTGGCGCTTTTTCTAGTGTTTCGTAGCAGTTTTTGATTACTAAACGCTCATCAAAAATGCTTTTAGCTGTCCAGAATCCGTATTTTAATAAACCCATCTAACAATAAGAGTTATTGTCATTCTCTATATAATTTTGCTTTTCTAGAAGTCGAGGGCACCAATGTGGATCGTGAACTTCAACCGCTCGCCCCCACCTCCGATTCGACATCCGCCAAACCCGGCTCTAGCACCACCGATTAACCAAGCACTAATCCTTAGCATGCACCTTATTTATTTGTACAATTCGTACTTTTTATATTTCTTATTCGTACTTTTATTTTTTTTTATCGCACTGCTCTATTTGATCCAGGTCCCCCCTCCATTGCCCCCCTGACCGGCCAATGTCTTTTTCTCAATTTTGCATTTTGCCCTCCCCTGATGCTTTCAGCGTCTATATATGCATGAACGCGTGTAAAACTGACACAAATGTCGATCTCTTTGAGAATAAAGAGTTTCAGCCTGTCTCTACTCATAAAATACACACGCTAAGGCCGGAACTCTGGGGCTAATTTTTGCACCAAAAACCTTTTGCTCCTTCGAATATTGAGTTTCCGCACGAACATCGAGTACGCTAGCACTCTGTAATACAACTAGCGAGCGACTACAACTTTACAAAAACTCGCAATCCCACTTTTTCCGTCGATTCCTGCTCTTTGCCGTGGACCTCGTGCTCACATCTTCATACTCCACTTATAGGGGCCAAGCCCTACACCACGATGAAGTTTGAAGAATTCTACTTCAGCACGTTTGGCGAGATGGGCCGGTAATAACCACTTTTAGTGAAAGAAATGCGGTTTTTAGGTATCAAAAGATCCAGTTCTGGCTGGTCATGATACCGACGATGATCTGCGCCCTGCACATCTACAGCTGGACGTTTGCCGCGCAGAAGACACCCTATAGGTGCCGGAAATGATATCTGTTTTTCGATTCAGTCTGTAGATGTGCTCTCGACGGCGAGCTGGGCCACACAGATGCTGCCAATTATGTGACGAACGATACACGGATAAAGATAAATTTAGAAGAGTGTTACGATACGGTAGCGTTATTCTTTCGTAGTTTTGTATGACCGTTTTAGAAGACAAAACTCCGCGCGAATTGGACCGGCTTAAATGAAACAAACACGAGCTGTCATTATGAAAGCTGCAACTTTGCTGATGGTACGAAGTGTCAAGAATACGTCTTCGACCACTCCAAAGTCAAGTACACGGCCCTGGAAAAGGTTTTTTTGTGCGGTCGATTTTCTAAAATAGCTAATTTAGTGGGAATTCGTTTGCGAGAGCCAGGACTTCTTCAAGTCCTCCTTCCAAGCTGCCTACTATGTCGGCCAAATGGCGGGCAGTGTCATTTTTGGGATTCTTGGTGACAAGTATGTCTCTGAATTGTGTAATCTAACAATTTGTTTTTAGGATTGGTCGTAAGAAGTGCTTCTTCTTGGCGCTGGTCCTGCAGCTCGCCTTTGGCCTTCTCCAATCAGTCGTTCCGTGGTCTTGGATGTACCTGATTTGCCGGTACTTTTTCACGTTGTCTTAAATTTGTCTTTGATGTTTTAGTGTAATAACCGGCTTCAGCCACCCGGGCATCTTCGTGATAGCCGTCATCATCGGCATGGAGCTGGTCGGGCCTTCGTACCGAACGCTGTCCGGTATCGTCACCGCCGTGTTTTTTGCATTGGGACAGGTAAAACCGGGCTAAAAAACTTGAAAGGATTGTTTCAGGTGCTTCTCGGCGTGATGTCCTCCTACATCACCGATTTCCGGCTTCTTCATTTGGCCATCACCGCCCCGACCGTCATTTTCATGACGTATTGGTGGTAAGATATAAAGAAAGCTTCTGGACTTGATCGTAATCTTTTAGGATCGTCCCCGAGAGCATCCCCTGGCTGATCAGCATGTCCAAATTTGACGAAGCCGATAAAATTCTTCAGAAAGCCGCAAAAGTCAACAACGTCACACTTCCGGAAAATTGGTGGGTATAGAATTTTGCAAATTTATTGTTTTTAGGTGGGAGATCCTCGATAATTCGGAAAGCAATTCGGCTGATGGTGATCGATCCGAAGAATCCGACCACCAGTACTCATCAGCCGACCTCTTCCGCACCCCAAAAATGTTGAAGCGCACGCTGACTGTTCTGTTTATCTGGTAAACCCTCATAGATTTCATAAATCCAATTTTAGGCCAGTAGTGACAATGACGTATTATGGGCTCAGCATCAAGCCCGACGTCCTGGGAGGCGATCTGCACACCAGCTTCATCCTCGGCGGCCTCATCGAGATGCCAGCGTTGTTAATCGTCTACTTAACGGTTGATAGGATTGGTACGTTTTTGAAGTTCGTGGATTATTAAAATGTACGTACCGTACTGTTAACGGGGGAACCACTTTGACTTATTTACCGCTAGGGTGGTGTTGGTGAAATACACCGAATTACGTTGCTTTTTACGCCGTAAAGGAGTATAGAAAGGTCATAAACATTATTACAATTAGTTTTTTGTCAAAAACGTAGAAATTGGTAAAATTTCAAAGTTTCCAAACCCCGTTTTGGCCACTCTTTAGCAGGGAAATCAATCTGATTTAAAGGGCTAGTTCAGCGAATAAAACAAAAGAATTTCCGCGGCCAGGAGTCGAACCCTCTCTGTGTTTTTGTGTCTGCGCCTCTCTCATTTCCCCGATCTCTAATAGCTGTCGTAATGGGGGACTGTTCGGGCGCACTGTGCCTACGTCCATAGTTTCCCAAGGTACCAGCCCAAGCTCTAAAAGTTGAACTAGCCCTTTAAGATTGATTTCCCTGCTAAAGAGAGCGAGAAAATCTTTAAGAACACATGGAAACACGGCATAACCTTTATAAGATATGTAGAAGAGGCTAGATAAGCTCCCCCTCCCCCCGCTAACAGTCCAGCACCACACCTTCAAAAAGTCAATGATTTCAGGCCGTCGCCCTGTCCTCGCCGGAAGCTTTGCCCTCACCGGGATCACGTTGCTGCTGAACCTTGTTATTCCGGAAGATCGTGAGTTTTCGTTCTTATTCGGCTTCTCTCTCTCTCTCTCTCTCTGTCTCTCTCTCTCCTCTCTCTTCTTACAACTATTTTCGGTCGGTAACTGGTCAGCCATTGCGCAGCTGCTTGTGGCAAGAGGGGCCATCTCATCGGTATATGCTGTCATCTACTCATTTACGCCGGAACTGTTCCCAACTTGCGTATGATTTCGATTTTTACTTTTAACCTTTTTAGGTCCGGAACACGGCGATGGGCTACTGCTCGATGACGGCGCGTGTTGGAGCGATCGCTGCGTCGTACGTCTCGTTTTGGGTGGTACGTTTTCGATCTTTACTTTTTCAAAAAATTTACGTCTTTAGGTGGAGAGATTCGGGAAGATCGTGCTCATCATCCCCTTCGGCGGGCTGGCCATCATGGCTGCTATTGCCACATGGGTGTTCTTGCCGGAGACGATGGGCAAGCCGTTGCCGGAAACTATTGCAGGTACGTGGTTTAATCCTACTATATATAAAAAAATAGTGTCTGTGTGTGTAGACACTTTGCATAAAAACCCGGGTTCCAGCCATAATTCGACGGGGAAAGAATTTTTTGGTCCAGAAATAAGGTAGTTAGGGGTAGTCGAGGGCGTAGATTACTGCACGCTTATCAGATTTTTACTAAAATTTCGTTTTATACCTTATTTTAACGTTTTAAAAACATATGGAAATAGACTAATTTGCATACGAGGGGCTAGGAGCCTCATTTTCGCTTTTGTCGCGCTCGCGGCCGGTTTCTCTATTTTTTAGGGTTCGCTCTAGCTCTTCGCCCGAATTATGCAAGTCTCAACTTTTAAAGATCCCCGCGCAAACCCCAGGGGTGAAAAGCCGCGTAGCGGCTTTTCAACCCTGGTTGATCATAAAAAGCTTAATTATTTTCTTCCAGAAGTTGAGGGCACCATCACGGATAGTGAACAGCAGCCACTTGCCCCGAACTCCGACTCGACTTCCGCCAAGCCCGGCTCGAGCACAACCAACTAATCAATAAGCACCTTAGGATGCCTCTTATTTATTTGTACAGTTGATAATTGATCGCATTGCCCTATTTGTCTTTACCGCGGGTATAACCTGGTCTCGAATTTACGCTTCTCCTGTTCTCCTGCTCGATGCTTTCAGCGTCGATATGTATGTACATATGCATGTCATCTTGTTTTGCTAATAAATTCGATCGTTCGAGGATAAGTCGCTATCGACTAGCATAAACAAGAAGAAGCGTTCAGAGGGACGACTGATTTTTCTTATCACATGCTTTGCTGTGCCGTGCTGGGACGGCATCCAGCTCTTGCTGCACAAAATTATTACTTGCGCCAGAAAATGAATACAACGCCCGGCGGGTATTATTCGGACGAAACGGGCGACTTCATTTTTCTCGCCGTCAAATCCCGTAAACCTAATTGTACGTTTATTAAATGTAAAATAATTTCTAATTTGTAACGCGAGGCGAGAAACTTCCTTTTTAGCCGTTTAACGATGGGATCGGAGTTTGAATGCGTCATCTGTCGCGAGCGATGTAAGTTTCAAGCCCAGAAGGCAAATGCTTCTTTCCAGACACACCGCAGCGGCGCCCGATGTCGTTAAATTGCGGTCATTCGCTGTGTGAGAGATGCGTTAATGGAACCGGGGAGCAAGAGATGTAAACATTATATATAATCATTTTTGCGTCTATATAGCTTCTAGCTGACCATTTTTTAGAAGCGTCTGTCCGATCTGTCGCACCGACATCACGGCGAAAGTGCCGAACTTTGCACTCCTAGGTGGGAGTAGAAACGACTAGGATAGACTATTTGAAAGCTCTTTATTTGTTAGAAAAACAGGACTAACTATAAGGATTGGCGAGCTATCGCGGGATAATGCAAAAGGCTTGATTACCGATTTCGCGCAAATTCTAAAAATTTTCCAAGTTTTCAGGAAGAGGACTTGAAAAACATTTAAATGTTAGTAAAACACCTAAAAATACTTGGCGCTAGGCATTTCTTAAATTATAGGGAAAAATTAGGTACAGCCGTTGATGCGAACCCGTTGAAAAGTTGTTTGGCTTCCAGGATAAAACTGGTCCTATTTTTTTAAACAAAGTTTTTGAACAGGTGCGCTGGACGAAGTATCCGAGGCTCTTCGCTCGGCTCCAGCTTCTGAGAAGGTGAGCCCAGAAATTTGTTTACTTACTACTGATTTTCAGTTTCTTATATTTGCGCGAACAATTGAAGGAAAGCTGATCGCGCTTGATGATCTTAACGAGAATACGACGATTCTCACCGTGAAACAAAGGCTTTGCGCCAGAACTGGGCATTCCACGGCGGATCAACTTTTAATGTTCAACGGCAATCGATTGATGGAAGATCGCTCTCTGCGCCAATCGATGATCAATAAGCATGACACGATCGAGATGAAATCTCGTCGTCTTGTGACGGGAACAAATCGTTCAGCCCCGCCATTCCGCGAGATTTTCGCTTCTGCAAGGTGGGAACGAGAAAAATTGGGCTTCTTTAGAATTCGCGCGCGGAGAAGCATTTTTTTTCTGGCGCGCCAGGTTCGCCGCGTAATAGGTTTTTTTCTATTGTTAAGTTTAAGTAGAAAAAAACTTTCAAAGAGTTGGAAAATGTTTAATAAACTGGGGTTGGGTCATCTTGGGATCAAAAAAATAAATTTTTCACTTTTTGGCACTTTTTGCATGCTTCAAGCTAAGCCGCAATTCTTGGCTTCTTTTCATTAAAAAGTTTCAGCCATCGTCATGTGTTGGAAGAAGAAGAAGAAGCCGAGGGTGGAGAGTTAGCGGCGGTGCTCGAAGAGTTGCGGTCGTTATTCAATATAATAGGTACGATTCCAGCCGATCTGATTTGCGTTGTTGATGGAATTACGTTTGTTTTGCGAAAATTCTTTGTACCAACACTTTATTACAGATGACAATGCGAACAGCGTGCGCCAGTCTCTAAGGAGCAGCCGGAATTCAAGGCCGGTACGTTAGAATATCGACACGTAAGTCAAAAAGTCTTAGGGGCAGAATGAAGAGTGCGCGATTTCGTAAGCTGAGGAAGCCCGACATCAAATTGGTAGAAACCGGCTCTTTCGCGCCATTTTTTAATGACTTTTATGTCGTTTTTTGCATATGTAACGCACTTTTATATATAACGCATGAAATGTAATAAAGACGTATTGTACCCGACTTTATATCAGCTCGAAAAACTATTTAAAAGGCCGTCCGCCAGCTACCCGACCTGCCCCCATTCTGGCTTGGCACAGTTTTTTTCGACCCCATTTTTTCGATGCCATCGGAAAGAGCATGTTCGAATTAGTAGGGCTGCATAGTTTTGAAAGTTCAAAAAATTTATTTTTATGGTTTAAATGGGTGTTAAAGTTGCCGACCACGAAAAACTATCTTGGAAGTTACCGAATAGAATTGGCTGAAACTTTCTGGGATACACCTATTTTGGGACGGGGATCATTTCTCTAATACATTGCGAAGCCTGAAAAGGACCGGAACATGGTTAAATAGCGTACTAGAAACAGTTTTTCGGAATTTTTGACTATGCGGGCGATCGAGCGCCACTCATACGTGGTAGGAAAAGATGCGCGACATTTTTCTGCGTTGAATGACGTGTCCATTATGCGGCGCTCGGTCGCCCGCATATCTTAAAAATCGCGATTATGACGCCCAAAAAGCGAGTCTTGTCACGTCACCTCAAACCATTGATTTTTTCAGAATTATCTTGCGACAGAAAACAAGGTGGCACCTTGCGACAGAAAATGCAGCCCGCAAAAAGGGTTCGGTTATTGGAGATAAGGAAGCGGGCGTCAGCTAGCGTCAGCGCCTCCCCGAAAGTCACCAACAATCGTCTATCCGTATCTATTGCATGGGAGAATCGGAGCCAGGTGCGAATTTTGTTTAGACGTAGAAATAGCAGCGGCGCCTGCCTCAGTACTGTCATTTCTACCTATGCAGAAAATCTAGAAATTCTGCCGCAACACAAAAAAAGCGTCTCCTTGCCAGCTGTAGGCCAGGTCCCAAGCCATTCAAAATCTTTTTCAGCGCCTGCGCCATGGTTTCTGAGTTTGTATGCGTAATATGCCGCGATGGATGTGGGTGATAGGCCTCCATATTCTATGCTCTTGTTCCTTTCCAGATTCGGCGAAGCGCCGGCCGATGGTGATGAACTGTGGGCACACACTGTGCGAGAAATGTCTCACTCGGGATGGCGGTCGAGCAATGTGAGTGGAAAACTGGACCATTTTTCTAAACGCTGACGTTCCAAGTACTGGCCCTAATCATCACGTATATTTAGAAACAAATGCCCGACGTGTCGGACCGTCATCTCGTGGAAGGCACCCAATTTTTCTTTGCTAGGTAGGCCGAAATGATCGTAAATTTTCCGATTTTCGGTTACGCGGTTAAAATACAAAGAATAAAGAAAAGCGGAATTCCAAACAATATGTATGCATAGGTGCCCTTGACGAAACGCGGGAGACATCAGTAAAAGAATCTTATGAATGTGAAGGATACGAAGACGACGACGCGGAAGACGAAGAAGAAGACTTGGACTTGCAGGTCTCCGATGACTCGATAGATTCGGAAGATTCGGACTCTTCCGAAAGTTCGGAATCTTCGGAAGATTCCGATTCTTCCGAATCTTCCGATTCTTCGGGGTCGTCCAAATCTTCCGCTTCTTCGGTGTCGCACGAATCCTCCGATTCTTCGGCGTCTTCCGAATCTTCTGATTCTTCGGAGTCGTCCAAATCTTCCGATTCGTCGGAGTGGTCCGAGTCCTCGGAGTCTTCGGAATCCTCGGACGACTCGGAAGAAAATACTGAAGAGTCGGAAGACTCCGAACATTCCGAAGACGCCGTGGATTCTGACGTCTCAGACGGTTCGGAAGAGTCTGAAGCGTCCGAAGATTCTGAAGACTTGCAAGATTTTTCGATTTTCTCCTCGATACGTCGATTGGTGTTAGAGCTATCGCCGGTACATCGCGTTATGCGGAGATAACTAGCACTGAAGCACCAATATTTAGCCAAAATTCTTGGAGACATTTCTCGACATCCCTCAATTTTCGTGTCGTAACGTGTGATCGCCGCGATAAAATGTTTCTCTGACCTATCAAATGATGTCTTAGTCGTTCACATTGTTCGTTTATTTTTGTTTTCCAACCTGCTGCTTTTGCCTTGTTTTTGACGTTGTTATATTTCAAGCAACCCTCCAATACCCTTTGAATAAGTTTGTATAGCTTCCATTTAAACTGATTTTTCTTGATTGAACCATGCAATAAATTATCTGCTGCACTCTACAAAATCGTACTGACCATACCTATGTATTTTGCCAAGCTTACGAAAACTCACGCACACCACGATCGCAATCCATTACGCAACGCGCCTTACATTTAGGCTTTGCTTGTCAGGCGAAAAGGGTTGAGTAAATAGAATTTGCCCCTTTTTTCTTTCAGGATTTCTCAACTTTGCAGAACTCAATACCAAAGTCCTTTTTAAGTCAGCGAGATCTTTTTAAATTTTGCCAAAGCTTCAGCCCTACCGCCCAGACACTCGCTTCAATTATGTTGGTTTTTCGTGCCCTCTTACGAAATTACCAGCACCCGAATCGGAAGCGCGAAGCATTCGAAAAAGGGGTACTGGGGAGAGGAGGAAGCAATTTTGGCCGTACCACGAGGTCAAGAGGGGCGCGGCTTCTTCTCCGGTCATCCCGATGTGTACGGGCCAATTTGGGGGGAAGGTTTCGACGGGTTAAAGGGATTGGTAACCTTGGGTTGGGATGGGAAGGGACATTTGTCGTAAGAAGAGAATGGTTATGGGTTCGTGGGCTGTGTCCGTTGGTTTCCGGTTTGTTGGTTTTACGTCCGTTTCTTGGTTCTCTTACGTGTTTTTGGTTTGTTTGTTTGTCTGTATGTCTGCATGTTCGTCCAAGCTAGAATTGCAGTCTGTCACACAGTAGAATTTTGGGTACTGTGCTGTTAGGGGGGCGGGACTTGGCGTGGGATCCAATTTACGAGGTTAAGAGGTTCGTACGAATTTCTTTCTCTCTCTCTCTCTCTCTCTCTCTCTCTCTCTCTATCTCTCTCGCTCTATCTCACTCTCTCTCTGCCTCTCACGCTCGATCGCTCGCTCGCTCCCCCTCTCTCTCTCTCTCTCTCTCTCTCTCTCTCTCTGCCTCTCTCTCTCTCTCTCTCTAGCGTCCTTTTTATCATTTCTGTTGATATTTCCGACTGCATGTCCTCAAATGGTCGATTTTAAAATGATTTACGCTTTTGATATAAGTGTCAGCCTGTCTGTCTGTCTTCTTCACTGTCTGCTTGACTTCATCAGCTCCAGGAAGTTGATGTCTTTTCTTCTTTTCTGCATAATAACTTCGGCACGTTCGACTTTCTAACCATCAGAGTACTTCGTCCTCTGTCTGTCGCTATATGTCTTTCTGTCTGTCTGTTTGTCGTCGCTTATGCTAATAGTTAATAGATATGTCTGTCCGCAAATACCACAAATCGTCTTGGATCAGGTGTGACCCTGTTTACCAAGCATTCTTGGGATGCATACGTGTCTTCCCGTATGTCTGTCTGTCTGTCTGTCTATCCCCCTGTCCGCCATCCTCAATTCTCGGGCGGTAATCGTCAATTTCCATTCGACACCTCTCGACCCCCGTGCTGCCAAGGGCATGTTCCTAGACATGCCGGGAGCCACACCCAGCGCATATTAGCGCCTCCCCTTCCCAATTTGACGTGACCAGCGAACCAAGGCAAAACGGGTTATAAAATGGCTTATCATACCGTAGCGTTATTACTATCGACATTTCTGAAAGATTCAAATATTCTCGTTTGTATGGTTCAAAATAGAGTACAAAGTTGCGGTATTTGGAAACTTGAAAAATTCTACAATTTATATTTTTTTTGAAAACCCCGAAAAACTAGATCTTCGCCTTTCGACTTCCCCGGGTAAGATAAGTTCCAAAATCCTCCGTCTGGAGTATTTTTGTGCCTATTAAAACGTGCTAATTGCAAAAGGTCTAAACCAACACTCTCCACAACGCTACAATTTGCGCTTCACAAAATTCTTCTGCTCCCCCTGGGGATTCAAATAAATTTCGGTTTCCCAGAAGGGTAAATTGGCGTGTTTTGTATCTTCCGGCCCTGAAAAATAAGATAGAAAATTAAGCAGAGCCAAAAATTGCAAGAATGGTTTGTGATTGTTGATTTTTGGAATGCGAATTCTGCAAAAAAGCCTACCGTATAAAGGCGCCTTCTTTGCGTTTTTTTTTAGGTTTCCGAGAGCGTACTGTAGCCGTGAATGGACCGGAATTAGGGGTCTTGGCGGATTTAGACTTGGACTAGAGCCCTGCTTTCCTAGTTCCTTTAAAAAAGTTTGGTCAAGGTGCTTTTAAGGATATTAAAGATTTAGAAAAGGCGATGATCCACCCCTGCCTGCAACTAGGTCTCGACAGCTACAAAACGCCCCAAATGGCGCGGCAACCTTCGATTTAGTACCGGCTAAAGACGTTGATTTAGAACAGAAAATATTCACACGTCATTTGACGCGCTGCGTAGTTGTATAGACCTCGTGGGTCGAACAGGTAGATTCTCGGGATTCTCAGTTCCTTTAAAACTAGAAGAAGAAAGCCGAGAAACCGGTCGTACCTCTAAAATATGGTCATCCCCAATTCAGCACTTCCATGTGTTCTTTTGCGCTTTCCAGGGCTTTCTCGCGTTATTTGGAGTGCCACGTAGCTCTCGAGACCTAGCGGCATAAAGGGTCGATTCTCTCACTTTCCGGTCCCTTTAAACTTGTAAAAAATGCGAAAAATCCGGACGAACCCTCAAAATATCGTCTTGCTATTCTCGTTCCCCTTCGCGCATGTTCTTCTGCCCTTTCTTGCGCCTACACGCGCCGTGCACCGGAATTTGTAGCCCGGCGGAAATTGGTGGTGCTGAAGGGGGGGGCAGAGGAAAGTAAAGGAAAAGAGGTATGGGGGTATGGTATGGGCATTGTGGGTGGTGTTGGGGCAAAAGAAATGTGGGCAAGACGGCAAGAAAGGGCACTTTCCCCTTCGCTACTACTGCCAGACGCACACGACCAACCACCACTACCCAATCATCCTCCGAACAGCCCCAAAAGGGAATGGATAGGAAGGGAAAAGGGCAATTGCAGGGGGGTGGAACTATAACATGACATAACGCATGATTACCGTAACAAAGGGAGGTAGAGGGAGGGAAATTCTGGAAAGATAAGGAAGAGAATCGGGAATTGGCTTTTGTCCTTCCGGGAAAAGATTGGGAAGCGGTCAAGCGGCTTGATTGGTACTTGGCAAGCTGCCAGGGAGTTTGATTAGAGTAGGCTTAGGCTTAGGCTTAGGCTCAGGCTTCGCTTAGACTTCGCGAAAGCTTCGTTTAGGCTTAGGTTCAGGCTTCGGCTTAATTTTAGGCTTCGGCTTAGGCTTCGGCTTAGCATTTGGCTTAGGCTTAAACTTAGGCGTAGGCGTTGCACAGTGTAGTCTATCAAAAGCTACGGTACAAAACCTGAAACGCCCTCCGTTGCAGCGTATAGTGTTTTCTTCATTTTTCAACGAAAAATTGGTAAATTTACGTTAGTAAACAGGTAGCGTAAGCTGAGAGGAGTGAGAGTTAATTTTCTGAAGACTACGTTCGACTACAGTAACCTCAATCATGGTCACTTCTTTGCGAAAACAGCTTACGTACTAGGGCTGATTTTTTTTGTTATTTTATGAAATTTCCAGGAGAGCATGGTATCCCATCTTGGCCGAAAACTAAAAAAATTTAGACTGCAAAAGTTTCATGACTTCCAAGTTCAAGTTATCCCGTATCAAACGTAACAAACGGGTTCGTTCAAGTTCGACATCTCATCTTGACCCCAAGGCATCACTATAATTCATTTTCCACCTCCCTGTCCTTCAGCCTAATCTATGCGCAGTGACCTCAAAATTGACATATTGCCCACCTCGAAAAATTACGCTCTACTCGGGGAAGGGTGCTGTTCGACCTGTTTCCCAAAATTCAAGGGCATCAATTCCGGGGGAATGACTCTACTAGGGGGGAGAAGCTGATTTGAAAATGATGGCTAGAGGGGAGAGAGAGAGAGAGAGAGAGAGAGAGAGAGATAGAGGGAGAATGAGAGAGAGAGAATGAGAGAGAGCGAGAGTGCAAAAATGGGTGGAGCTCGAATGGGGAAACCATTTGCCCTGCCTTCTTTGCATGGTTCTCGAGATCTGCCTCGCCTACCCCCATATAAAAGCCGCCGAAAGGCATGGGTCGGGAATATTCTTGAGGTTATACTCGGGTTATACTCCAGGGCTTACCGGGTTTCTTTTTGGGTTTCTATTTTCCTGATTTTTTCGATTTTTGGGGTTTAACCAAGCTCGCAAAATAAGAGACTTTGGATTTTTTTGGAAAATTGTAAAAACTGTGATGTTTAAGTATTATTTTGTAGTTCCTATTCCTTCCAATATAACTTTAAAAACTTGAGGCTGCAAAATAGTGGTAATCTCGAGGCAAAAATGTCTTTTTTTTTTTGGCGTGACTCGTAAATTGAAGGCGCCGAAACATTTTATGGGCCGATTTTCTGGGGGTTTAGGCGGATGCTAATCGACAGCTCTCAAAGAGTAGATGCTCATAGATCGCAAAATCGTCAAAATCGAGTTTATTTTGGCAACGTTATGGCCATTTAACACGTCAGGGTATCAAAAAGATTCGTAAAATTTCGTTTTGCGCCCTTCTGTTTTACAATTTAATTCCAATTTTTAAAGTATAGAAGCGTATTAAAAAAGTTGCCTTTCTTACCTTTTAGCCTATACATGGGTCGACGCTTGCATGCGCCGCATAAGCGTGGCCGGCCACGCTCTTCCGGAGCGTGGATCGCCACGCTGGCGCGCGTGCCTCTTAATAAACCACGCCGAAATGAGCGTCGCCCGTCACGCTCCGGAAACGCTTATGCAAAGTTTCTAAAAATGCAAAATAAAATTTTTCCAATGGACGTGAAAGCAAAAACCGATCCGTTTTGGAGCATCTAACTAACAAGAAGTTGAACCACGATCTATCTTGTTTATTTATCAAAATTTAAAGATGACACTGATAGTTATGTATCGGCAATTCATTTTTGCGAATCGAAATCATAACTATATGTCCTTTAAATTTTTGATTTGCATCTGGAGTTAAATCGCGCGCGTGAAAAAGCACGCATAAAGCGCCGCATAAGCGTGGTCCTCCACGCTCCGGAAGAGCGTGGCCAGCCACGCTTATGCGGCGCATGCAAGCGTCGACCCATGTATATTTTAGCCCCAGTCACAACCAAAACCAATTACCCACCTATTGACCATAAGTAAGACCACTCCAGCAGCGTCCAGAGATCCGGATCCGGATCCGGTCATTTCCCCCGGTCTCCCTAAATCGCAGACACACCTACCGTACCCCCTCAAATCGTATCCCCAAATTTTCGAGTGTGGGCAAGCAGCCTTTCACTTTCTTCGGATAGGTACACGTGTTTGGAAAGGTATGGCACTAATGGCTTTGCCGAATGATTCACACTTACTAGGGCCGTGCACTCGTAAAAAGTGGATTCACGGCAGATTTTCCGAGATTTCTCTCCTCCGATCTCACCGGGACCCGGCCAATTTCGCGCGCCTAACCACATCATGGCGAACAAACATCCGATTTTAGCGGGTTCGACGGGGCTAGGGTTACGGTATTTGGCCCGGGATTTAAGGAGTTATTAAAAGTTGGTAAGCTTAGAAGGCTACGGTAGTCGCCCAATACATTTCACTTTCCCCTTAATTTCATTTTCATTTCCAGATCGAGGAGTACGGTAATTTTTGCGGTAATTAGGGTTAAGACTACGGCATTTCGGGTGCAATTTAGCGGCCAGACATACGGTAGTCGGCCCGCAGTTATTTTGCTCAGGTGTGCTGGGAAGGAACGGCAGCCTGATGCATTAGATTTTCAGCGTTCAGCAGATCTTTTCCGGTTTGGCTGCTTATCAAGCTTTTGCTACGGACCATAGTTCCGTTCCACTACTATCTACGTCTACGCAGCTACGTCATTTTGCTAACGTAATTTTTCTATTTTCTCAACATAATGTAATATTCAAACATCTTTCCAAAATTCTAAAAAGTATATACACTATACTCGATTCCCCGATCAAGTCTGGCCGATCATCTGTTTTTTTTGTATTCTTGCGTACACCTGAACTCCGCAGGTTTCTCTCTCTCTCTCTCTAGCTCTCTCTCACGCTCTCTCTCTCTCCCTCTCTCTTTCTCTCTCTCTCTCTCTCTCTCTCTCTCTCTCTCTCTCTCTCTCTCTCTCTCTTGCGGATTCCGAAGGCCAATCTCTGAATTAGACGAGTGAAAAACGGGCATTAGGAAGCGATTTGACGGGGCATGTGATGGGGATGCGGACCCTAATTTGCGTATTTGTAGATGCGCCACTCCCATGTCTTTTCTATTTGGTTTTCATTGCTTCAACTTTCATCTCTCTCTCTCTCTCGCTCTATTTCGCTGTTTCTCTCCCTTTCCATGTTCTCCTGCAATTTGACGACGACACTTTTACACGATGACCGTTCCAAGCCTTTCTTCCTTCTTTAAAACCACCATAACTTGATTCCCTGAACTTGTTTAAGTCGTTGAAGTTATTGAATGAGTCTTTCTATCCATTAGATTATAATTATAATTTTTCCTTAATGCTTCTACTTTCTAGATGACCGAGAAGGAGGCAATCCGGGAAGCGGACGCGTTGCGGCGCATCGCCTTTATTGGGGTAGGCGTTTTAAAGGGATTGTGCCGCTAAAAAACGACGAAATACTACTACTAAAACTCCAAAATTTGTGTGACCGTAACCCACAGCACATTTTAGGTAGCCATGTCCACAGCGGCGGTGCTGACCACCGTAGTAGCCGTCCCCCTATTCTATAACTATCTCCAGTTGACGCAGTCGAAGATGTCGGCCGAGGTACTGGAGATACAGCAAGACGTTAAGAACTGTCGATTTAGCTCGACTTCTGTAAATCCCGGTCCGCCAACATCTGGAAAGAGGTCACGAGAACACAGGTTTTGGCGAAGTTGTCTGGAGGTGTCGTGTCGAGAGATAAGCGGTAAGTATCGCTCGATCTCTCTCTCTCTCTCTCTCTCTCTCTCTCTCTCTCTATCTAACTCGGTCTCTCTCCAGATCTCGCGGCTCCAGCTGGTTTGAGGAGGGCCGCTTCGAGCGTCAAGCCCACCAAGGAGGTTGCTGTGGATGCGGTGTCTCCCCACCTGGACCTCAGGTTGGCTTTAAGTTGAGCATGACCCCCAAAAATTTAGGGAGCCCCAGGTCCGGATGGAGATTCTGGAGCCGATGGACAGCCTGGTGCACCCGGAAAGGATGGTCCTGATGGACCGGAAGCCACTCCTGCTCCTCAGCACGAATTCTGCTTCGACTGCCCGGATGGTCCGCCTGGACCTGCTGGAAAGGCTGGACCGAAAGGTATGGTGGTTTTGGACGTCAGCCTCGCTCTCTCTCTCTCTCTCTCTCTCTCTCTCTCTGTCTCTCTCTGTCTCGCTCTCTCTATTTTTCTTTCTTGCTCCTGGGTGCGCATAATAACTCGTGCTCCAACTTTTCCGCGCTCTTTCTCATGCGTTATTTACTGTAACCAATTCCTTCCAGGACCTAATGGCCAAGGTGGTGCTCCCGGAGGCCCAGGAGGCCCAGGCAACCCCGGACCCCGAGGACCCATCGGACCTCCCGGAAACCCTGGTGGAGATGGACGACCTGGAGAGGCTGGAGCTCCTGGAGCTCCTGGACAGGTACACATCAAAATCTAGAGAGGACGTTACTCAAACCCTTATAATTTTCAGCTCTCCGAAGTTCCCGGCCCCGACGGACCCCCAGGCCCGCCTGGACCCGCCGGACCTCCCGGAGAATCTGGACCTCCCGGAGCTGATGGACACCCTGGAGATGATGGATCAGAGGGAGGAGTTGGAGACAAAGGAAATGATGGGTCGAATGGACTACCGGGAAGGGATGGAGAGAAGGGACAAGATGGAGAGGTACGGTTGGAGAGAACGAGAGAGAGAGAGAGAGAGAGAGAGAGACAGAGAGAGAGAGAGAGAGAGAGAGAGAGAGAGAGAGCAAGAGAGAGAGAGAGAGAGAGCGAGAGAGAAAGTGTGGGAGGGTGATAGTCAGAGAGAGAGAGAGAGAGAGAGAGAGAGAGCGAGAGAGAGAGCAAGAGAGAAGTGTGAGAGGGTGAGAGTCAGAGCTAGAGAGAGAGAGAGAGAGAGAGGGGGTGATGGAAAATACATTACCGTATTCTTTCGTATAGGTCGGACCCCACGGAGGCTGCGACCACTGCCCGCCACCCCGTACCGCCCCTGGCTATTAAGCTACTACCACACGATACTCATCACGTCTTTCGAGCGAATAAATATTTTATACACGGAATTGGATTTATTGCAGCACGCGTAAACATACATCCGATTTCCGGTCGGTGTACGGATGGAAGTTTTTACCTGAAATGAGCCGGAATTCTGACTTGCTAGCTCCTTTAAACCTTTTGCTGAGCCGGCTGATCTAATTTTTAAAGTTTCTAGCTGCTTCTGGTCGTTCCAGAGGCTAGTCGAAATCAGATTAGAAGCCGAAAATGACCGGATTTTGACCGAAAAGATGAACAAAAACACAAAAAAAAGCGACCAGATTTTTCAGGTTTTCAGCTAGATTCCCGCGCTTTTGGAGTATTCGAGTATCTTGATCAAATCCGGCCGAATTCGGGACCGGAAAGGCTCCGGAAGGTCATAAAATCGTTTTAGCTCGGCAGATATCGGGGTTTCTTGTCTTCCAAGTTCATTTGCAGCCGGACCAGCTTTTGTGTCTTCATTTTCGCTAAAAGCCGCTACCAAAACTTTTCCGGAATATTCCGGAAAGTGTATTAGACCGGAAAGTTGTAGGATCCTGGCCCAAAAATCTCAAAAAATACTGCAAAAAACGGACAAGAATCAGCTTTTGCAAGCTTTTTTAATCACTTTCCGGACTTTCTTGCAGATTCCGTTTCAAATCCGGTCAAAATAGCTTCTTATGCCACTTCCGGCAACCCTTAAAAATCTCTCCTCTTGATGCAGCGCCCCATAAGTTCAATCGGCGCCCGGGCACGGATCGCCCGGGCAACAAATCAATATCCAGCTGGCTGGCCGGGCGTTTATATTTTGCCACACATTTGATGTTACCCCTTTTTTGCCCGGGCCGCGTGTGCGGTGTGAAATTTATTGCAGCATCACCCCCTTGCCTTGCAGCGCTAGTTTTTGATCGGGGACCCTGGACTCGGGAGAGTACGCAACGCTCCAATGTACACCCATAAACTGCGCTCTCTGGGCAACGGGTGTGAACGGGGGCGCCGGGAGCGGGGGAAAGTTTGCCCGGCAACCCGCAAAATAGACTGAAAAGATGTGTTTTTTTAAATGCAGCCTTGAATATCGTTATATTAAATTATAGCTTTTCTACCATTGTCTACTAAAGTACCAAACTTTACTTCCAAACATTCGTTCATAGATTTATTTGTTTTCAATTCCTTTAATTAGATGTATTTCGACCTGTATGTATTCTTTATCTCTCTATCTTCTATTTCGGGCTTTTAATTAGTGATAATTTAAACGCATAATTAAGGTTATTTCTCTGCCAAAGATGCGTTCAGTTTCAATAGGTTGATTTATACCTTTTTGTCGCGTTAATGGGACTTCAAGTACCAAATTTTACTTCCAGAAACCTCGCCTCGGCACATTTGGAGTTTTGACTCTTTTAATCCTCTGTGTTTAAAACGTTTCACTAGTCGTTTTTCTGTGAAACACGCCCTCAGTTTCCATAGGGGCGATCATAGATTTTCCTACTATGATTCGGATTCCACGTACTAAATGATACTTCCAAGCAGTTATGATATATTTAGAGCACTAAGTTTACTTAATTAGAGCTATTTTAAACTTTTCGTGAGATGTAGTCTTCTATAAAACACCCTGTTTCAATGGGTGATAAGTATGATTCTGCCCTATATTAATGCGTTACTATGTAGTTAATATAGGTATTCTATGGTAATAGCGTTATAAAAAGATAGATATTACATGCGCTGGAATTCGGCTTGTAAGTTAAAAATGGAGGGTGTTTTTGAGTTCTGCACTGTTAGCGGGGGGGTGGAGCGGTACTTAACGGTTTCGATCTGTTTTGGCCATTTTTAATGGATTTTTGACCATAGATGAGATTTCCCCGTAATTACTGATATGCGTTTATGACTAAACACCCCCAACTCGCCGCTAACAGTCCAGCGCCAAATACCCCGCTTTTTGGCTCCTTCCCGGCGAGAGGCGCTAATGGAAACCCCGCGCGCCGGAGCCCCGCGCCGCGCACCCATGGCAACATTCATCAAAACACACAGGCATACACATACATACAAACAGAAAGAAAGCAGCTACATCGACACCTACTAACGAACTGACAGATTTTGGAAGGGAGGGAAGCCAATTCCCCTGGGCCCGAATTTGCCTGTCTTGTCGACTATATATATTCTTGGGCACTAATCCCTCCCATCTATCTATTTCTGAGCTCGCGGCATTTTAGCGAGATTTTCGACTTTGATGTGCTTTTTGAGGGTGTCAAATTTGGTGGGATTTTGGTGTAAAGTATTCTCGCTCTCGCTCTCTCTCTCTCTCTCTCTCTCTCTCTCTCTCTCTCTCTCTCTGATTCGCTCTCGCTAGTTGTGGCTTTTGTGCTCTATTCCTCTCGATCTCATGCTCACTGTAGTTTTTCCGAAAAAGTTGTGAGTACAAACTTCTGCTTTAGAAATGCCGACGGGATGAACGGCTGCCATCAATATCTCTGCTCGTTGTTGCTGCTCTTTTTGTGCCATGTCTACGTCGGTGCCGGGGAGCAGCAACCCGGCGTGGCCGTTATCGACGTCAGTGAGCAACAGGAAATCTTAGAATTTTGTGTTGGAAAACATTTTAATCAAACTTTTCCAATTTGGAGCCACCAAAAAAAAAACACGAAAAATCATTCTTTTTCTAGTTCACCTCCGTTATCCGGGACCACGATGCGGGAAATAACAGCGTGGTGACGGATAAGCCAAAAGTTGTAGGTTATTTGGAGGAATTTTTGGGGTTTTTCGAAACCGATTACGACATTTTAAGCGGATTTAAGATGTATGGAAAGTATGTAACAAATAGAAGCACTCTAATTCTCAAATTTTAGACCGAAAAACCCCGTTTCCCCTCGTACTACAACGAGACAAAGGACAAATCGGAATACACCCAAGAAGAACTGCTCAGCTGGAAGGTATTTGATGTGCTTTACGAAAGAGGTATCGTTTTTGGGCTTAATGGAACGGTTAAAGATAAATTTTTTGGTACTGGTCTGTTAGCGAGGGGGGGTTTAACGGGGCATTCCGTACGGCCCTACAAAAAAAGTCATCGGTATAGTCTTTCGACATTTTTGGTATAAAAATCACACCAACTGAATCGAAATTCTCGAAAATTTTTGATTTCGATTCCAAAATATTGAAAAAATGGCCATGAAAGATAAGAATTGCCAATTTTTCAAAATTAAAAAGACTTAAAAATACTTTTAGGCCAGCGCTTATTGCTGCCGGGTGGCCTGAAAGCTGAGCAGCAGCTCTGCAACTGCACCGCCCCCATGCCCGTTTGCGAGGAGGTCAGCTGAACACAAAAAATCTTTAAAAATAGTGTAGTAGCCTACGAAAAACGATAGTGTAGTGTAACGTAAAAGTATATCGTAACGTACCGACGAAAAAAAGAAGGAAAAAGGAAATTTAGAAGACTTAAAACATTTTACGATTTATTTTTTTATGTTTGGGAATAGCAAAAACGTTTTAGGAACATTTTCGCTATGTATTTCAGAATAAATAGGAGCCTAAGAAAAAAAGAGCTTTAGCTGCACGCCCTGATGCCTGGAGAAGACATGCACAAGAAGTGCTGGTCACGGTCCGGCTACTGTCGCGTCACTGTTCATCGACTCGAAGATGGGAGCAGCCACCCAGTGTACAAGTGAGTACGGTCTAGCGTAATTTGGAGCCCAACGTACTTCAGAGATACGATTTGTAAGGTTTTTGCGCGAGGATTTTTTGTTCAGTAACCTCGTACAACGAAATGTAAACAATTCTTCTAGCTTTTCACACATCTTGAGATATAAAAACACATAAAAATGGCTAAACCTCACCCCATTGATCGTATCTCGATTCTCCGTGATGCTACGGGGCAGTAGGCTAGACGAAAATACTCGCCATGGCAAGACGAGCATTTTGGTATACTTTACACAAACGTAGACCAACAGAGACGCGAGATACGAAGGTTATATAGTCACGTAGATAAAAATCTAAGATACTTCTAGCTTACAAAACTTCTAACTTGCTTCTAGTTGCGTGGACGAGGAGGAGGCGCAGTTGATCATGTTCTGCACATACACCCATAAGGATAACGTTGCACGGTGTTGCAAAGGACCGCTGTGTAGCTGGACGATGGAACGACCGGTAAGCGAGAGAGAGAGAGAGAGAGAGAGAGAGAGAGATAGAGAGAGAGAAAGAGAGAGAAAGAGGGAGAGAGATACCTTCTGTTTTCAGCTCCTCGCCGGCGAGACACGCGACAGCAAATTTGTCGCCTGGACGAAGGAGCACTACATTTTGCTGACATTCAGCTCTCTGGTATTCATCGCCCTGTCCGTCTTCCTCTTCTTCTACATCACCTACTCGTCATTTAGGTATGCAGCGAACTTAATTTTATTTTTATGCTATCAAAATTCTGGGACTTTTCTTATTGTTTTTTTCCAGGAAATCGATCTGCGACGCGCTGACGAAGGCGCACAGATTTATTCTGAATCCACGAGAGCCGGCAGCTCCGGTAAGGATTTTTCTCTCCCTTTCTCTCTCCCTCTCTCTCTCCCTCCCCCCTCTCTCTCTCTCTCTCGCTCTCGCTCTCTCTCTCTCTCTCTCTCTCTCTCTCTATCTCTCTATTTGCCTCTCAGGTATTGTCGTTCTCGTTCTCGTTCTCGTTCTCGTGCACGCTCTCTGTCTCTTTATCTCGCTTACTTTCTCGCTCCGACACACACTCTCCCTGTCTGGCTCGCGCTCTCTCTTTTCTCTCACTCTCTCTCTCTCTCTCTCTATCTCTCTATTTGCCTCTCAGGTATTGTCGTTCTCGTTCTCGTTCTCGTGCACGCTCTCTGTCTCTTTATCTCGCTTACTTTCTCGCTCCGACACACACTCTCCCTGTCTGGCTCGCGCTCTCTCTTTTCTCTCACTCTCGCTATTCCTCGCGCGTTATCTCGCTCCATCTCAATCTCTCGCTCTTATTCACCTTCTCCCTCACTCTCTCGCTCTCTCGCTTTCTCTTTCTCTGTCTCTCTCACATTGTCTCCCGCTCTCCCTCCCGCCCTCTCTGTCGCTCTCCCCCTCTCTCTCTCTCTCTCTCTCTCTCTCTCTCTGTCTCTCTCTACCTTCTCTCTGTTTCCAGCCCCCATCCGACGACACTTCCATGGACCATCCAATCATCGAAATGTCTCACCGCCCTCCATTCCATCAAAATCCAGCTTTCGAATCGTCCGGCGGATCCGCTACAGCAGCCTCCGGCACCCCGGTAAGTGTCTGCAGTACTTTCTCGTACTTTTAATTTCTAGGGCACGGCCACCACGTACATCAGCGAGTTCGGGTTGCCACTTCCTGCGGGACCAGGTGGGCTTTTTGAGAATTCAATGTTATGATGGGGCAAGCTAGCAGTGGCCCTTTGCGGAATCGATCCATTTTTTTTCAACGTAACCAGTTGCAGAACGTAGCGTCCTCTACGAGCCGGCCCCTCGCTCGGCGGTCCCCGGCTTCCAGCTGAACCACGACGAGTGGGCGTTGCTACTGAACGAGCAGCAGCGGACGGGAGGACCGTCACCACGGCTTCCCCCTCTACCTGATGATGATCACGAACACTCGGAAACGGCACCGCTGATCGGCGCACGACTCGGAACAGGACATGGTAAGGAGGAGGAGTATAGAGAAACGAACGTTGGTTCTTTTCCATTATCGGGGGTGGGAGCCATTTTGAATGTTAGTTCAAAAATGCCTAGTAGCGTAGACAGTATTTTCAAAAGCTTTAAAATGGATCGTGACACCGAAAACTCTCTAAGAATGTCCATTTTCAGCCCCGAGCTCGGCCAGAAGGCGTGGCTCCCCGTCGCTGATGCTCCCTGATGAGGATGAGAGTACGGTGGTAGCTGGAGATCGAGAGGCGGAGGAGCAGGAGCCGGAGAAAGAGAAGGATAAAGAGGAGCCAGAACCGGTGGTGGAGGAGGAGAGCAGTGGTGAGTTTTTTGATGGGGAATTCGGGGGGTAGGCTAGCAAAGGTCATTTAGGAGAGCGTGAGAAAGAGCGAGAGCGATAGAGAGACAAAGTGAGAGATACGAGAGGGATCGAGGGAGAGAGAGCTAGAGATAGAGAGAGAGCTTGTTTTTTGCACTATTCGGAATTTTAAACATCCCGTAATCTATCGTTTCAGATACGACCGATGATGACCAAGAGCAACTCTTAAAAGACCCGAAAAAGAAGAAGCCATCGTCGAAAGATACCGACAAGAAACAGACGCTAGCCTCCGCCCTGATTCGTTGGCACAAAAAACATAGACGAAAACTGAAGAGAGCAGAGATGGGTCTTGCAGATACGAGTGCCGGATCCGGGACTACCGAGGATTTATCAGGCAGTGGCGCTGGTCAGTTTCTCAATTTTTCTAAGCGTGATCAGGAGCTGATCAGATTTTGGCTTAATTGGCTTTTGACGTGCCAATTCTTACCATTTTACGACAAAATACCAACTTTTTCTTAAAGGATTTTCCTTGTTATACATTTATTAACTGGTTTTGATGTATCCTAAAAATTTTTTCTGGTTTTTTAGGCGCCTACTCCCTGGTCCGTCGCAGTATCGCCCAGGAGATCGTCATCAGCGAGGTGCTGGGCAGAGGCCGATTCGGAGAGGTGGGCAGAGATTGCGACTTCTTAAAGGCGCTAGCAAACACGCGAATCGATCCCTGACACGCACCAGCTCTAGGCAGCTGCGGAACACCCTCCAAAATACGCATAACCGCGAAAAATGACAAATATCAGAGCTATCTACCGTCTTTTGGAGTGGTGCGTAGCTGTGTCGAGACCTAGTCGGCGGAAGTGGTCGATTAGAGATATTTCCAGTCCCTTTAAACCTACTATATTAAACGCATCACGCGGGTATACTTAATACCGTAATTGCCGAAATTTAGGTCCGACGTGGGCTGTGGAAAAAGCGCTTTGTCGCCGTGAAGATTTTCAGCTGTCCGGGGGATATGTCGTGGAGACGGTAAGTTTTTAAAGGTAGCCCGGTTTATAATTTTTATTTATTTTTAAAAGAAAATTCTGAGTTTATTTTATATAGGAATAGTAATAGCGACTTCATTAATCATAAATCCATTTTAGTGAGGTTGAAATCTACAACACCGACTATTTACGGCACGAAAACGTTCTGCAAATCATCGCGGGTGATAAGAAGAGCGGTACGTGGTTGATAAGCTATATTTATTAACTGTAATAGTCTGTAAATTGCCATTAACCATTCAGTAGATTAAGCATTTTAAATCCAGTTTAACTATTAAAATTTTTAGACATCATCGAATCCCTGCAAAGCTGGATCATCACCGAATTCCACGAGCGCGGGTCTCTCTATGACTATTTGTCGACTCATGTAAGCTCTTTTTAAAGCGCGTTTTGTAGTGTGTAGTTTGGGGCCGTTTTTTGGAAGGTGACGTCAGCCAAAAAATCTAATCTTTTTAGACCGTCGATCGACATCAAGCTATTCGAATGTTGCATACCTTAAACGCTGGAATGGAATTCTTGCACGGTGCCCTGTCCGGAGATAAAGGTGAGAGAGTGAGAGAAAGACAGGGAGAGAGAGAGAGAGAGAGAGAGAGAGAGAGAGAGTGAGAGATATAGGAGGGAACGCGAGCGAGACTCAAATAAACCTCTAGTGTCACTCTCCCTTTAAAGGAAACCTCAAGAATCGACCCCTTCCAATCAATAGGTCTGGACAGAGTTGCTAAAACGCCAGACGCCACTTAAAATCCTTAAATCACGCTCAATCCGATCCAAGGCGTCATTCAAGGTTTGTAGTTTGTGGTTTGAAGTGGTCAAGACCTAGTACAGCCGAGGGGTCGATTCCTGCGGCTTGTAGACCCCTTTTAAGTTATCAGGAATGCTGTTGTGACGTAGCTTAAACCTGCCACGTTACCTCCCCTTATTTTTGACATGACGTAACCGGTTGGCATTTTGCCAATAGGGAGGAGGCCTGTTTTACTAGACGCGCTGTCCTGATCCCCTTAAAACCATTGCCATTTTAGTGAAACCCCCAATCGCCCATCGAGACATGAAGAGCAAAAATGTGCTGGTACGGTACGATGATAGCTGTGTCATTGCCGATCTGGGGATGGCCATTCGGGCAATGGACGGAGGCGAGCTCGATATTCCGCAGAATACGCGATGCGGGACTGTGGTGAGTTGTCGATCGGAATACCGTAACCGAGTCCTCGGCTCATTTTAGCGATACCTTTCGCCGGAAGTGCTCGACGAGAACTACCTCTTCCACAATTTTGCCGACTTTGCGGTGAGTTTTTAGGATTACTGAAAGCGAGAGAGTGAGAGAGAGGGAGAGAGAGAGAAAAAGAGAAAGAGAGAAAGAGAGAAAGAGAGAAAGAGGGAGCTAAAACGTTTGAGAGAGAGAGAGAGACCGATAGTCTGAGAGAGAAAGCCAGAGAAGAACGAAATAGGGAATCAGAATTAGAGTGAGATAAGGAGCGATAGAGAGACATAGAGAGGGGGAGAGCGAGAGAGAGGGTGAAAGCGAGCGAGAGAAAGGGAGATATAAAAAGAGAGAAAAATATAAGGTAGAGTGTGAGGAAGAACAAAGAGAGGGGGAGAGCGAGAGTAAAGAAGAAAAAATAGAGAGACGGAGAGAGTCAGAGAAAAAGCAATGAGCACGAGCTAGAGAGACAGAGAGAGAGATTGAGAGAGATAACGTGCGAGTACATGAGAGGAAAAGAGAAAAAGCTATAAGGATGTTTTTTAGCACTCCGACATGTATTCCGTCGGCCTTGTGATGTGGGAGGTAATTACGCGATGTAATGACGTCGAAAACGAGCTGACCCTGAACGCCCTGCCTTTCTCGGAGACGTTGCCGTATTGGGAATGGGTTGGCAGGGACCCGACGTTCATCGAGATGCAGCAGGTAGGGTGACAAATGGATTCGGGCGCTTAAAGAGACTTGGAAGCGCGGGAATCGACCCCTGGGGCTGTCTAGGTATCGACAAGTACCCGGAGCGAAATTAAGTGCTTAGAGGACATGGGCCTGTCTCTTTAAGACGTAATTTTCTTAACTTTTAGGTGGTGGTCGTCGAGAAAAAGCGGCCGGTCATTCCGCCGGAAATCTTGGCTCGCCAGTCGATCCCGGACCGATCATTTGGAGAGATTGGACCGGAAGGACAGAGGGAAGAGAAGGTAGGACCGTGTTTCTCTCCCTCTCTCTCTGGCTCTCTCTCTCTCTCTTTCCCTCTCTCCCTCTCTCTTCTCTCTCTTTCCCTCTCTCTCTCTCTCTCTCTCTCTCTGTCTCTGTCTCTGTCTCTGTCTCTGTCTCTCTTTCTCTTTCCCTCTCTCGCCCCTATCGATCCTTGTCGTTCACTCTCTCTCTCTCACTCTCTCTCGCTCCTATCTTGCTCTCCCTCCCTCTCTCTCTCTCTCTCTCTCTCTCTCTCTCTCTAGCTCATCTAACATTCACCAATTTTAGACAATCCTCGGCGCTGACAACTTCTGGTACAAGGTCGGCCAAATCGTGGCGGAATGCCTGCGCGCTGATCCGCACACACGCCCCGCGGCCGCGACGCTGCAAAGCGAGCTGGTCGAGATCTGGAGTAAGATGCCGCCGAAGGAGCCGTCGATACAGCCGAGCAGTCCAAGGCCTTCTGTGCCTGATACTCCATCCACCTCAAGACCAGTGTGGTCGACGAGTCTTGATTTGGACAGTGGGGTTGCTAATTCGAATGGGTAGCGTTGGGGGGGAGCAGCTGTTAAAGGGAGCGTGTCAGCATGGTTTATCTGATTTGAGGTTGTGGGGGCGAGAGAAAGCTAGAGGAAGAGACAGAAAGAGTGCGAGAGAGACAGAGGGAGAGAGCGCGCGCGAGAGAGATAGAGAGAGACAAAGAAATGGTGAAAGATAGATAACGAGGGAGAGAGAGCGAGAGAGACACACAGAGGAAGTGAGAGGGCGCGAGAGAGAGCACATAGTGAGAGCAACAGAGAGTTAGAGAGATATAGAGAAAGGCGGAGAGTGAGCAACAGCGAAATGGTGAGAAACAGAGAATGATAGACAGGCATTGAGAGCCAAAAACCCCTCGAAAACCTCAGTTGACATGCTCCCTTTAAGATCGAACCAGCTTGCCGATATTTTCTATTTTTTACTGTATTCTACCGTATCCCCCGCGTAACCCATCGTACACCCTACTCTGCAATTTTTCTTTGATAACTTTTCCGCCTCCCCATCCCCTCGATCTCCTCCATATCGCCAGCGCGCAGAAATTTGACGTCTGTTTTTTTTGTTACACGAGAAACTGGTTGCATAGATCGTCTACCTAGAATAGCAGGGTCGGGAAATGGCTTGGAACTCGAAAACGCATGTAGTTTCATAATGATTTTGTTTCTGAAGCTCAAAAGACAGTTTGATCTACACCAGTTTATTAGTTGTATTTTTTTACTAATCATCCCAACCAATTAAATTATATGTTTCCCATTTATGCAGATTCAAGCAATGCCAAGCCCTTTTCCACTCGGAATTATCTACCCCCCCCGCCCGGACCTCGTACGATTTTTTCCTGTTTTCGGGCCGAATTTTTTTGCAATGTTCACCAATTTAATTATTGTGTTCCTATCAGTGAAAATCGCCAATAAGCAGACCCTATTCCGCACAAACCGGTCTAAACTTTAAATTTCTATTACCTTTCGCTGCAATTTCTCGGAATACGGTGTTGACCACCCCCCTTCCCCCCCCCCCCCCCAGCCATCCCTTTCTCCCACCTGAATGAAAATACAGACCTCCGACACGGGTTCTTGACTTGGCCACGCCTCTTTTGCCGGAACTGTCACGGTCCCTTTAACGCAGGAAATACCCGGAATTGTAGTCATAAGTTATCGATTTTTGCCTTCCCCGTTTGGAGACACAGTGATCTTTCGCTATGATCGTCGCTTCCGGCGCGCTTTTGTCGTCCTCGAGGGACCTGTGACCTCCTCAAATTTGGCTCTACCTTCCTCGCCCATTATCAAACCGCTGAACTACCTGAAAACCTCGATCCTTATGCAATGATCCCGTTAATGTGCCCAGAGTATCATCAAGACTACCGTGAATGCCATGGATGAATAAATAGTCTATTTTTAACCCGATTTTGCGAAGAGCGAGAGAAAGAGAGAGAGAGAGAGAGAGAGAGAGAGAAAGAGAAAGAGAGAGAGTGAGAGAGAGATCCGGGGGTGAGAGGGAGGGAGAAACATAGTGCGAAACGTAGAGAATGCGAGCTAATTAGCATACGGCGAAAAACTGCGGAATCCCAGTCCCGAAACAGGCGCTCTAGGATGCGGTTGCGCGCCTGAAAACGCTGGTAGGTTTTTAGTTGTTCAGTTGCCGTAGCCCAACACTTTATTATTCACAATCATGGCACATAGTAATGATACCGAAAAAAACAACCCAATTCAAGATTCACATATTAATATCAAATAATTAGCGGTCATCTAGATGAAGCCGGTGCGGATGATGATCGACTCGGTCTTCAGCGTCTTGTCCTTGAAAGCCGCCTGGGCGTCGTGGATGCTGCGGTCGGGCACGTCGCAGTAGACCACCTGAAAACAGGAAATTAATGTTCGAGCAGTTGGTCGCTACCTCGATCCAGTCTCCTTTATTAGGGGCGGGAATCCTGGCCACATCGAGGCGCTTCACCTGTCCACTTTCGGCGATCCAAAACACAACCGGGAACCTGCAAATAGCTCATGGTAAAGATGGTATTCTACGGAAAATTACCTATAGATATTGTTGTTCGAGCACTTTATCTTGAAGGCTCGGCGCGGCCCCGGGTTCGTGATGTCGAAGTGGCGCGCGCCGCCCAGCTCGCTCCAGTTCAGCTCCGCGGGCCGGGCGAAGGGCTTGTCGTCCCGCTTGTCCTGATGCTTCTTCTCGTCTTCGTCCTTCTCGTCCTGCTGCTCGGGGTAGACTCTAAGATCTGGTATAAAGCCTCGCCAGAAAGCTTACTTGAATATCTTTGTATTCGACACCTTCACCTTGACGGCCATCTTCTTGTCCGACGTGTTCTTAAGCTGCAGCCTCGCTTCACTGACCGGAGGCCAAAAGTTCAGGCTGCGGGGCTCCAAGGTGAAGCTCAGCGCGGGTGGGGCCTTCAGGTCCAGCTCCTGTAACAAGTTCATGGAGCCGATTCCCGAAAAGCAAAGAGCATGCACCGGGCGGGTGTCGAACCCTGGTTACTCCACCCAACGACTCAAGGCACTAACCACTACACCACGGTTGGCAACCGTGGAACCCGCTGAACCGGTGCGTTACCTCTGTCTGTTTATCCTTCTTCTTCTCTTCCTTCGTCTCTCCCTTCTTGTCGTCCGTCTTGTCGTCCTTGTCGTCCTTCTTCTCGTCCTTCTTGTCGTCCTTCTTGTAGTCCTTCTTCTCTTCCTTCGTCTTTTCCTCCTTCTCCGGCATCATGGCACCATCCTCGCCGTCATCTTACTCCTAAAAAACGAAATTGATCAAGAAATGAAATGTATTTACCTTTTTCTGGTGGCCTCGTTGTAGTGCTTCCAGAGGGGACAACATGAAGGTGCATCGGCAACAGCAGCGATCTAAATTGATGTTACTGGGCGGAAACAAGGAAATCGTTACCGCGCAGCGATGCCAGCACCTCTTTGTTGGTGCCCCGCTCCTCCATCAGGTATACCGCCAAACCGATGCACTTGTAAGTTTCCAGTGCCGGCCGCCGACAACCCTCGTGTCCGCCAGCCCCCTCGCTGGAAACATCGGATTGGACAAGTAGAAAAAAAGTGACGACAGAGAGCGCGAGAGAGAGATGGAGAGAGAGAAAGGACTTACTAAAAGCGCCTTGCATGTGCCTTGCACAGAGGGTAGGCGACGTCGACCTTCCCCGGATCATGCACGTAGCCGGCCGGCTTCCCCGAACAAATGTAGCACGTGACGTCTTCGCTGTGCGTTGACATGTCGACGGCGATGTCGGGTATGATGGAATGATGGGTGGAGGATGGAATGATTCAATAAACGCTGCCAACACTCACCTCCCCCGGAGGCGGGAATGCAAATCCAAAAGAAGCATGCAAAGCATCCATCGAAGCTTCCAGAACGCCTAGTCTCAATATTATTCAGTATGCGAAATTTCTACTAACTTCCGGCTGCCTAACCTGCGAGGGCGAGAGAAACTAAGACAGAGAGCGTTGACGAGACATAGACAGTGATCCGGCGAGAGAAACGCAGGCAGAGAGAGTGAACGAGAGATAGAGGGTGACCCGGCGAGAGGAACTGAAACAGAGAGAGTCAACGAGGCATAGAGAGTGGTCCGTTGATCCTACCGTTTTCGAGGTTACTGTAACGAAAAGGGCTCGAAATCTCTCGGCGGGTGACTCTCTATGTCTCGCTCACTTTGTCGCTCTCGGTATCGCTCAACGGGTCACTCTCTATCTCTCGCTCACTCTCTCGCCCTCCGTTTCTCTCGCCGGGTCACTCTCTATCTCTCACTCACTCTATCGCCCTCCGTTTCTCTCGCCGGACACGATTGAGGCGGCGACCCCTTCAAGGGCTGGAGGAAGATGGGCCGGCGTCCGTCGGGGGTGACGGACCGCCGCGGCGCTACCATCGACGCTTTCCCTCGCGTAAGCGCCCCCAAAACCCCTTCTCGCGTTTGAAGAAACCAGTTTATTGGCTATAACTTTTACATTTAGCAATGTTTTCAAGTAAAAATTTCCTGAGACCAAGGAGTTAGTGATACCCACCGATGGTAAAAATGGGTGCCCTAGGGTACAGGGGCGTAGCCAGAAAAAAATTCGGGGGGGGGCGGGGGCCCCCCAAAAACTTTTTCCAAAAAACTCAAAAGATGAACGAGAAAACAGCGCCGCAGGCAAAAATTTTTGAAAAAAAAGGTTGCATAGCTCTACAAATCGCCGTAAAAACGTAAAAAAATAGCGCCTCAGGCAGCAAAATTTTTGAGAAAATGAAAATCATAAGGGTCCCCCCTTATGAAATTTTCGGGCCCCGGCCGATTTCGGGGGGGGGGGGGGCCGGGCCCCCGGGGCCGGTATTACGCTACGTCCCTGCTAGGGTATGTGGGGGCCCTCCGCCGCCCCTCTCCACTCGACTCTTTGGTGTACTGGCTAGCGCAGCGGACTGCGGGGCGGACCATCCCTGGTTCGACCCCCGTCCGGTGCGACCCTCTTTGCACTTTCACCGATTCCATCTTTCTCCAGCCCTAAGCGCTAAGTAACCCTAATTAGCATATTAGGTCTAATTAAGATAATTTACCGAATTTGCATTTCCGGTTCCTTGTGTGCCCCCGGAGCGCGGGAAATCTTTTTCATTCTGTTTTTTTTTTGGCGGGGCCTTGACTGGCTTCTTTTCCCGTTTTGACTTTTTTATTCCCTTTTTGTTTTCCATCTTTTGTTTTCCATTCGATATGCTAATTACATATTCTTTGTTTCAGGATATGCCAGTCCTGACGCGCGCAGGAAGAGCCCGGGCCGCTGCCGGGCATCCGCCGACTCCTCCGCCGCCTCCATCCTCTTCATCCGCTTCGTCTGGATCAACTACGCCGCCGTCTGGTTTCCGCCCGCCGTCGCCAAAGCCTCATCGTGAGTTTTTCTGGCTTACGTTCCCAATCCTTTCGTGGTGCTTTGGTATTATCGGATTATCGGCAACAACGAGTTGTGTTTGAGATTCGCATACGCTAGTTATACATTTTCTGCTTTAGGACAGCCCGCCCCGGCCCGTTCTGGTCGCAAAATGAAGAAGGGTCGCGTCACGCCCAGCCCCTCTCCATCACCTACCCAAACGCCATCGCCGGTACCGTCAAATGGCTCCTCTACACCGAGTTCGGCTACCCGGTCGCCCTCCCCGGCTTTCGCTAGAATGGCCCCATTGAAATGTGAGTGTTTATTGCTACCTATTTGCTCGATTGTTAATCGGAACTGGCGGCCACAACTTTTTACTTTTTTTCGTTTCGCCGACGATTTCTAGGCCCGAATTCCGTTTGGCAATCGAGCAATCAGCCGTTTCGATCATTCGATCTTCTACGGTTATTGACTTTATTTTACAGATGTGTATAAGCAAACCCTAACCCGTCGCCCACAACTTGTTCTGGGACTCTACGGCCAACTACTGTCCGACGGTCCGACCGATACGCTTCTCAAAGTGCGACATTTTTTTGGGCAGTCTAGCAGAGATTCTTTGAGGCATTAAAGGGAGCGTGACAGGAGATGACGGGGCAGGCTAGCAGAGATTCTTTGAGGCATTAAAGGGAGCGTGACAGGAGATGACTGGACAGGCTAGCAGAGGTTCTTTGAGGTATTAAAGGGAGCGTGACAGGAGATGGCGGGACAGGCTAGCAGAGGTTCTTTGAGGTATTAAAGGGAGCGTGACAGGAGATGGCGGGACAGGCTAGCAGAGGTTCTTTGAGGTATTAAAGGGAGCGTGACAGGAGATGACTGGACAGGCTAGCAGAGGTTCTTTGAAGTACTAAAGGGACTGTGATAGGAGACGACCAGGGCAGGCTAGCAGAGGTTCTTTGAGGTATTAAAGGGAGCGTGACAGGAGATGGCGGGACAGGCTAGCAGAGGTTCTTTGAAGTACTAAAGGGACTGTGACAGGAGACGACCAGGGCAGGCTAGCAGAGGTTCTTTGAGGCATTAAAGGGAGCGTGACAGGAGATGGCGGGACAGGCTAGCAGAGGTTCTTTGAAGTATTAAAGGGACTGTGACAGGAGATGACGGGGCAGGCTAGCAGAGATTCTTTGAGGCATTAAAGGGAGCGTGTCAGGAGCTGACAGGGCAGGCTAGCAGAGATTCTTTGAGGCATTAAAGGGAGCGTGACAGGAGATGGCGGGACAGGCTAGCAGAGGTTCTTTGAGGCATTAAAGGGAGCGTGACAGGACATGACGGGGCAGGCTAGCAGAGGTTCTTTGAGGTATTAAAGGGACTGTGACAGGAGATGACGGGGCAGGCTAGCAGAGGTTCTTTGACGTATTAAAGGGACTGTTACAGGAGATGACGGGGCAGGCTAGCAGAGATTCTTTGAGGAACTGAAGGGTGATTGGCGGCATCAAGATCAAATCAATTATTTTTCCAGACTGGCGACGTGTTGAGTGGCTACTCCGCTCAGACGACAATCAGCGGTCGTGAGTGCGCGCCTTATATCTACAGCTGGAGCACCTCCACTCAACTCGGAGCTGAAGTGGTGCATGATCTACTAATGCGTTCGTTGTCGATCTGGGAGAATAAGGACGTTGTTCGATGCTGTGCCTGCCACAACAAGGATCTCTACCATAACATCGGCATGTGGAGGGTGTGCCGCAAATGTGGGACTAGTGTGTTGTAAGTGATTCGAGATTTTCCAGACGTGATTCCCTTTGTAGGAACTGGCGAGGCGTAAACGGCAGATGTTCCCCAGACGAGGCGTTCCACCAGGAGAACACCACCAACATTTTGGAAGGTTAATTTTGTCATAATCGAAAAATAATTACTTTTTTAGCCTTGAAGGGATCCTGCCTCGAATGTCGGATGCGCCGCTGCATCATTTTTGGATACACCCCGGTAAGACATTTCGATATCTCTGGTTCTTTCGCTGATCCCTTTTGATCGCAAAACTCAAATATATTCTTCTTCACAACTTATTTCCTCCATTTCAGGTGCATCCGCGAGTTCAACGCCTCTTCAGCGTCTGGCCAAAAGCCGGCGCAAGCGTGCGCACCGCGGTTGAGCTCGACTGAGGGGACCAACAAAAGCCAACGCCACCTACAACACATCCCGCTGGCCCATCCGCTTTTACCCTGATGCATAACTCTAAATAATGATCTCCAAAATCCCTATCCCCGTTCATCTATAGTATCTACGGTGTTTGAATTCTTTTATTCGTGAAATGTGAGATGTCAGATAATTATTCCTTGATGCGCCATTCGCGCTTCCTTTTTTCTGTTGTCTACCCGCTGTTTGGGCTAATCAAATCGTGATAATAAAGTGCAATACGCGAGAGAGTGAGCGAGAGATAGAGAGTAACCCGGCGAGAGAACGAATGGCGAGAGAGTGAGCGAGAGATAGAGAGTGACCCGGCGAGAGAACGGATGGCGAGAGAGTGAGCGAGAGATAAAGAGTGACCCGGCGAGAGAGTGAGCGAGAGATAGAGAGTGACCCGGCGAGAGAGTGAGCGAGAGATAGAGAGTAACCCGGCGAGAGAACGAATGGCGAGAGAGTGAGCGAGAGATAGAGAGTGACCCGGCGAGAGAACGGATGGCGAGAGAGTGAGCGAGAGATAAAGAGTGACCCGGCGAGAGAGTGAGCGAGAGATAGAGAGTGACCCGGCGAGAGAACGGATGGCGAGAGAGTGAACGATAGATAGAGAGCGACCCGTCGAGAGACTACCCCATATTCCGCCGCGCTCCTTCTGACACATACTTCTTAACAGCGATATCCCTGCCAAATAAAGCAGTTATTTAAATAACTGTTATTTTCGAGCCTTGGCCGTTACCGCAACCTCAAAAAAGCAGTTATTTAAATGCCGCATTTCCTCTAATATAACCCCGGGGGTTATTTATTTTCAATCACCTCAGGGGGAGGGGTTGTATTAGAGGAGATCTAGATTGGGGAAGGCGACGAGCATTATAATAGAGATTTCCACGGCAACAGAATTTGCATGGGGGATTTAAGGACGGGCGGTGAATCTTACAAATGCACCTTAATGGTGGGACGCTATCGTGCGCTCTAACTACAATACCCCACCCCACCGGGCAACATTTCGCTAGCTTTAGCTTTCCTTTCCAAAACCAAAAGTAAGGAGAAAGAAACAGATCTGCCCTGCTTCAAGGTTTTCCTTCGAAATTGCCTGAAAAAGGTGTGCGGAAATCGGCGATTTCCGCACACCTCTGCTTCAAAATTTTTGTTAAAAATTGCCATAAGGAATCTCTGCTAGCTTGAGCCGTCGTCATCGCCTGTCACTCTCCCTTTTAGGCCTCAAAAAAATCTCTGCTAGCATGCCCAGCCATCTCCTCTCACCCTCCAATCAACACTTCAAAGAATCTCTGCTAACCAGCCCCGTCATTTGCTGTCACTCTCCCTTTAATGCCTCAAAAAATCTCTGCTAGCTTGCCCGGCCATCTCCTGTCATCCTCCCTTTAATGTCTCGAAGGTTCTCTGCTAGCGTGCCCAGCTCTCTCGATCACTCTCTCTCTCTCTCTCTCTATTAGAGATGTTATGCATACGAATACGATGTACAACTTCCGGCAGATTAGCCCGACTTGCATACCCGATTTGAAAAAGAGTACCGATAATTCGAATACGACGATCGTATTCGAATAGGCCTCGGCTGATTCCGACGCGATGATCTGGCAAGTCGGCTTCACATCGGGATACAAAACTAATTAAAAATTCAAGACGGCGTGCTATGTAAACATCAAAATATTGACACAACCAACGGAACTGAACAGGAAATCGGCTCCTAAATCTCTTCGTAATATCGCTTTGCATCTGAATTAGATTATTATCCCGATGTGACTCGTTTAAACGAATACGGTCGTAGCATTCGCTTCGTTCCGACCCCAATTCGAATACGATGATCGGGTCGCTACCGCAGCCACGGAGACGCTGGACATTTTTACATTTCGAAAACATAATTTACGCTGTTTTTAAATCGGATTACGGTAGCTGGCCAAACTTCAAAAACTACCTAATCTCGCCGCTGATGGGCGCGGAGCGCTTTTGCAGCTCGGCGATCAGCCCAATTTCGACCCTCTCGAAATCGCTGGCGGCTGACACGTTTTTCACCTTGTCGTAGCTGAAAAAGTCCAATATTAAAGAGTCGTCTTCTCTCTCTCTATCTCTCGCACTCTCTCTTTCTCCTTCTCTCGTTCTCGCTCTATCTCTCTATCTATCTCTCTCCCACTCTGGCTTTATCTCTCTCAAAGTATCACACTCTCGCGCTCTCTCTTTCTCTCGCGCTCTCTCACGTTTTCTCTCGCTGTCTCTCTATCTCTCTCGCTATCCCTCTCACTCAAGCGAAATATCCAAAAAACGAACTCCTTGGCGTTCCTCAATCCCACGGCAGAGTACCCTGCACGTCCCGACCACGCGCCCTCTGCAACTCCGGCTTTCAGGGCGAACTAGCGCGCAAATGACACAAACTTGTTAAAAAGTTTTTCGAGAGTTTCAAAAACTTGTAAAAACGAGGAGGTAAATCACACAGGCGGCTCGATTTACTTACTGCAAACGGCTCGATTTGTTTAGTATCAAATAAGCAATTCGCCAGAACGTTCGAACAAACTCCGTTTTGGTTTTTCTTAAACGCAATTTTTTAGCGCGACGGCGGCGCCAAGGAGCACGTGGAGCTAACGGAGAGAGAGAGAGAGAGAGAGAGAGAGAGAGAGAGATATCTAAAGAAGTTATGAATATCGAATACAATTGAGCCATGCAGACTAAGTCTTCGGCATCGCAATTGCATCTTTTTTGGCATTTGCATGCATCGCACGCACTTCCGGCGCCCTAATCTGAAGGATATCAAACATTACTACCTGCCTGGACGCGAGCCGGTGTATGCCTTGTGCACGACGCACAAGGGACGGGTTTAGTAAGTTGCTCCCTGTTTTAGAAGTTGACTAGCTACGAGATTTCCTGCATAATATAAGCCCCCTCACAAGGAGCCGCTTTTAGGTGCTTTTGGAGTTTCGGGACGGGACTTAGCTAGTTCGATAGAGAAAACAATTCTGAGCAAGGTACCGTTTTCAAAAAGTGCTGATTGATAAAGTTCCTTTAGAAAATTTAATTTAATTTAAAATGTTGCCGCCAGCCGGCGCCTCGAGGTGACTTGAGGTGCTTTGAGGCGGTGGGCCGCCCCTGCCAGATGGGGGACTTCACGGTCCCGATCCCATCGTGAACGTGGCCAAGTGGCTAGCGCGTTAGCCGCTGAACTTTTTTTTCACGCTTGCCGTAAGTTTGATGCTTATTTATCGTAAACTTTTTGCTTTTTTGCTAAATGAGATTTGTTGCACCGATAACTCGTCCAAAAATCAAAAAGCAAAGGGTTAGCCAGAGCGAAGTTTTGAACCCGTGACAAAAAATGCGAAAACGGCGATAAGCAAGCACACTACCAATGCGCTACCGTGTCATGTGCACGACGCATTGGCAGAAGGCTATGAATGGACCCTGGCCGCGCCCCCTCAACGGCGTGAACCCATGGAATGGACTCGAAAACTAGCCAAAACCACCAACTGTAAATTAAATTTTCTAAAGCACTTTTATCGATCAGCACTTTTTGAAAACGGTATCTGGTTCACAATTTTTTTTCTCTATCGAACTAGCTAGGTCCGCGCCCGAAACTCCAAAAGCACCTAAAAGCGACTCCTTGTCAGCTGGTAAAATCCGTGGAAGACCGATCAAAATTCGAAAATCTGAATACTAGCGCCGGAGTCCGTTCCGTTGGTTTGTATAGTTATATTTTTTGTCTAAATGGTAGATTTCATTAGTGCTTGATTCTGGGCGATGTCCTACAGCCGTTGGAAGGAGCTCTGTCTTAACATTTCCATATTAAATAAATTACTTCAGCCTCGTCACTCTTCCGCGATCAGCTGGCGGTGATGGCCGCCAATGCTGATGAGGACCGCTGCGCCCTCTGCCCGGAACCGAAGGAGGGCACGATCGTCGACCCGCAGCGCCCGGCGCGAAGGTACTCCTTGTGCTCGATGCACAAGGGGCGTTTTTAGTAAGTTACTCTCTGTGTTAGAGGATTCGCAGTCACTATACAAACTCCAGTTCTTTCGCACTCTCCGGGGGTGGGGAAGCAAACTTTTCCCTGTGATTCCCTAAGGCCCTAAAACAAAATCCAAACAGTTTTGTTTGTAGCTACTTACCTAGTTTTTAGATATCAAACAAAATAAAAAAAAAACGATAAAAATTTTGGACTTTTTGTTCCAAAATGTATGGAAAATGACCAAAAATAGTCCAAATCTTCGAATTTTACAATTTTTTATATAATTTTCTAGCCATAAAAAGCTACTAAAAACACTGTAAAAATCCATGTAATGATCTATTTCCAGCGACGCGACCGAGAAGAAGCGGGGCTGCCGCCGCCCGATTTTGGAGACATACAAGTGTCTCGGTCTCCACGTCTACGTGGAAGAGGTGGACGAGCCGAAGAGGGAGGAGGTCCTCACCTCCCTGCGGAGTAGGGAACAAAATCGTGACTCTATAGACATTTGTTTAGTGGCGGCCTGCAGCCGATGCACCTTCCGCGGGACGCCCTTGGAAGCTCTGCAGAAGGCGTGGCTGGAGAAGCAGGCGGAGAAGGTCAAGAAGGAGGGATCGAAGCAGAAGAAGGAGGCCGAGAAGAAGGAGGGAGGGAGGGAAGAAGGAGGCCGAGAAGAAGGAGGGAGGGAAGAAGGAGGGCGAGAAGATGGAGGGCTGCAGGAGGCCCATCCTGCACCTTCTTGGGCACCCCCCTGGAGCAGCTCCAGAAGAATTTTGTGAAAAAGGTGAAGGGAACTTGTAGTCTGCTTCTTAAACCTTATGTTTTCGGGGATCTCCCAGCTCATAACATTTTTTCAGGAGAAGAGGTCGAAGCAGAAGGAGAGCAAGGAGAAGAAGACCGGATCGAAAGAGAAGAAGAATAAGAAGCGCACGAAGCAGTCGCAGGAGAGGGAGAAGAGCCATGAGAAGGAGAAGGAGGAAGGAAAGAAGGAGAAGAAGAAGGTCGACAAGGCCGGAAAGGAGGGCGAGAAGAAGCAGGGGAGGAGGTATACTCTAACTTCCAATTGTCTTATGTCATAAGGTCATCGGCCTAGGCAGTACAACAGTACTCTGGAAAAGGGGGCCGGAGCGGGTTTTCAAAATTTTTCTAATTTTTGGGCACTGGACTGTTGTTGTTGTTGCTGTTGTCCTGTGGTGACATAGATTTCTTGGTCGAAAATCTCTCAAAAATGACCGAACGGCAACAGTTTGTAACGTGCAGGAAACATTGAAGAAGTTTTCTTCAACCAGGAAAACTATGTTAAAATCTAGTCTACAAATATGTGCCCACGTTGCGTTGGTTAGACGTTGAATTTTTTTTGCCTTCTCAGCATTTCAAATTTTAGAAATTTCGCGAATTAAACAAATTTAGGCATGAGCAGAAAGTGAAGGAGAAGGATGAAAAGAAGGAAGAAGAAGATGAGAAGGAGGAAGCTAAGAAGGAGGAGGAGCCGTTCGTCTACCCGGCAACCCTCTACTGGGACGAAGTGAAGGAGGCCAAGCAAGAGTTCGTCATCCAGAACACGGGACTGCGCCGTGCGTTCAGGGTCAAATGCACCGACATCAAGACCTACCAGTAAGCTTGCGTCGAAAATATCCTTTTAAATGCGCTATTCACAGGTTCGGTCCGATCTATTGGCTGGACCGCCCCGGGCGGAGCAAGAGCATCAGCGTCGGCAGGCTGGCAGCGCCCTTGAAGCCGGACAGGATTGCCGTAGGGAACATCTGCAGGGTCATCATCACCGCTCTTTTAGGTCGAGTACTGCGAGGTCGACCACACCATCAAGGACGCCCAGCAGTACTTCAAGGACAAGGGCCGCAAGACGAAATGCCTCGCAATCCCGACTGGGCGCTGATCGATACCAATTTAAAGATCATTTTTCTTTGTCCATTCATTGTGATTTACATTTCGGGTTGTGTGAAATAAAATTTTTTGGGCATGGGAAGAGGCAGAACGGACGGCAACTTACAAAATACCAGCGCTTTTCCGAAAAAAACCAACTCTCGAAAAGCGCAACCGCATCCCAGCGCGAATGTTTCGAGACTGGTAAACCTTGTTTTTGCCGTATGCTAATTAACCTTACGGAAATTTGAATGAAGAATTGGAAAAGGGATTGGAAAAGATGCGCTCTGTCCCTATTTCTTTCTCTCTCTTTCTTGCTCTCTCTCTCTCTCTCTCTCTCTCTCTCTCTCTCTCGCTCGCTTTTTCTCTAGCTCTCTCTTTCTCTCTCGCACTCTCTCCCTAGCTTTCCCGCCAAATTCTCTCTCGCTTTCTCACACTCTCTCCTTCGCATTCTCTCTCTCCCCCCCTTTCTCTCTCCCTGCCCCTCTCTCTCACTCACGCGCTCTCTCTCACTCGCGCAATCTCACACTCACCGTTCTGTATAGCTATCTGTCTCTCTCGTGCGCTCTCTCTCTCTCTGCTTTTCTCTCTCTGAGTCTCTCTCTGAGTCTCTCTCTATCTCCATCTACCCGCTCTCTCTCTTTCTCTTTCTCTCTCTCTCTCTCTCTCTCTCTCTCTCTCTCTCTTCGTAAATTCATATTTATTTCGGCAACACATATATGATATGAGAGTGACCAAAGCGAGCCGGGAAAAAATTCCGCCGATCGCGCGTGGGAAAGCCCATATGATAGTTTTTGACTTGATAAGCTGATTGGGGGCCAGTAGGCCAAACACGTATACAGTACAGACCCGTAGTCGACAAGAGTTACAATTGGGTATAAGGATTTTTGGGTGCGGGCAAGGAATGGGCATCGGATATGTGGTAGAAAATAAATAAACAAAAATATACATAAATAAATAGCGAAAGATACAGAAAAGAGCAGAAAATTGAGACTCTCGACTCTACGAGACTTGAGACGTCTTCCTTGGGTCGAATAAATTGTCGTAGAAGCACATCTCGCACATCTGAAAATCGGAAAATTGATTTAGACTTGGAAGACAATCCTGGCAGGCTAGCAAAGATCGGGTGTTTTAGGGATTTTCCGAAGCTCAGGGCAAACTAGCAGAGATTCTTTGGTATGTCAAGAAAACACGCTCGCGTCTGGCAGAGGATCTTGTGGAAGTATAGCTCGAGCTCGTCGATTGAGGGCGAGCTGGCAGAGGCCATTTAGGAATGCCTACAGGGTAAACTAGCAGGTGAGAGGGAGTGAGAGCGTGAGAGAGAGAGAGAAAAGTGAGACTGCGAGAGAGAGAGTGAGAGTGAGAGAGAGTAAGAGATGGAGGCAGATGGATAGGGAAATAGATACTTGTGAGTCACGGTGCCGGCAGTAAAATTTCAACGTGACGTGACGTAGCAGTGAGCATTTGGGAACCATCCATCTTGCAATTAGGCAAACTAGCAGAAAATTTCCGGGAATCGCCTCTCTAGGCCAGCTAGCAGAGATGATTTAGGAATTTTTGCTGGGTGGCGCAACCCAGGATCTTCACCGACCTGCTCAATATTTGGCGCATTGCAAATTTGGGATTTTTCGACGAGCCGCGGCGTCTCGGCCAGCTCGTATTCGTCGGTGGACAATCGATGACGGTATCTGGCTGCCACGGAGACGCTGGAAATTTTTACATTTAGAAAACAAAATTTAAACTCCTTTTAAATCGGATTACGGTATCTGGCCAAACTTCAAACACTACCTAATCTCGCCGCTGATGGGCGCGGAGCGCTTTTGCAGCTCGGCGATCAACCCGATTTCGACCCACTCGAAATCGCTGGCCGCTGTCACGTTTTTCACTTTGTCGTAGCTGAAAGAGTGAAATAATTAGAGGTGTTATCGCCCGCTCTCTCTAGCTCTGTCTCTCTCTTTCTCTCTCATCCTCTCTCTCTCTCTCGCTCTCTCTCTCTCTCTCTCGTTCTCGCTCTATTCCTCTATCTATCCCTCTCTCCCACGCTCGCTTTTTATCTCTCTCAAAGTATCGCACTCTCTTGCTCTCACTCTTTCTCTCTGATCCTCTCTCTTTCTCTCTCTATTCCTCTATCTATCCCTCTCTCCCACGCTCGCTCTTTATCTCTCTCAAAGTAAGGCACTCTCTCGCTCTCCTCCTTTCTCTCGCCCTCTCTCATGCCTTCTCTTGCTCGCTCTCTCACGTTATCTCTCGCTGTCTCTCTATCTCTCTCACTATCCCTCGCACTCAACCGGAATATCCCAAAAAACTAACTCCTTGGCATTCCTCAACCCGTGCAGCACCATCTGGTTGAGCGTGAAAATCTTAAAACCCTCCGTTTAAAGGGCCATTGAAGTCAAAGTGCCACCTGTAGCGTCGAATATCTCGGATGCCAGTGAATCGCTTTCACACATGGGAGAGCCATGACTTGTTGTGAAAGCCGGCCGAACAGCTGCTGATACACGGCCGTGTCACTGGAAAAAATCGCGTAAAAATTGTGTTTTAAAGAGACGGGCAAGGCGGTTATGTACTTTTCTGGCTCAGGATTAGAGGAGCTTTCAGAAATAACGTCATACTTCCTGGCCTCGGCGCTCTTGTTCTCCTTGAGGTCCATGCAGAGGCAGAAATTTGGCGGGATATGGGCCTCCTCACACATACGACTGTTGGATAGGGCGGCTGTGAAGAGGTTTTGACCGTAATTTGCTAAAATACAAATTTATTAAAGTATCGTAATCGACTGCCATAGCGAGAGAGAGAGCAAGGCCGAGAGAGTGAGAGCGAGTGAGTGAGAGAGAGAGAGAGTGAGTGAGAGAGAGAGAGAAAGAGAGGATGAGCGATAGATAGAGAGAAGGAGAGAGAGCGAGAGATAGAGCGAGAGAGAGAGTGAGTGAGTGAGAGAGAGCGTGAGAGGTAACGTTCAAGATGATGAAAATAGAGCAAGAGCTAGTAAGAATGAGCAAGAGAGTAAGACAAAGAGAGGGCGAGAGTGAGAGATAGAGAGATAAAGAGAGAGAGAGAGAGAGAGAGAGAGAGAGAGAGAGAGCGAGAGAAACTTACATGGTTCGGTATCCGGCTGCCCGGCTAACGCCAAGTGCCGAAGTGTCTGATGGAGATCAAAGTTGGAGACGAGCCTAAAAATCAATAATTCCGATAGATTTCACCTTCCAAGTCCCTTTAAAACGATTTTACTTACCTATTGGCGTTTGTCCTCAAATATTTATCTTCCAACGGATGCTTCTCCCGCCACTTTTCCGGGATTCTCATCGAAAATAGAGGCGCTCGCTCCTCGACTCGACCGGTGGTTGTGCGCTAAAAAATTCGAATTCCTTGAGAATCTCTGCTAGCTTTTCCTTGTTTTTTGCACTAAAGTGAAAAAAAACTGACGAGAAAATTACCTGAATTCCCGAAATCCTGTTCCCATGGTCGCCCATAATCACCATCACCGTATTCTGATGCAAATGATGCGCGAAGAAGCTCTCCAGGGTTTGCCTAAAATTTTAGCAGGATAAAATTAAATGTTTTGGGTCTGTTGAGCGTTCAAAGTTGGAGTTTCGATGTATCTATGTACTCCGATTTAATGCAGGCACTCAGCCGATATAATGCCGAAAATTACCGTATCTCCTTGTCCAACAGGCCGAGCAGCGATGGCTCGTTGTGAGTGAGGCCGGTCAGAAAGCTAAAAAGCGCCTATGATTTTCTCATTTCGCATAAACGAGGTGAGCAAGAGAAAAAGAGCGTGAGAGAGAAGGAGAGCGAGAGAGAGAGAGAGAGAGGGAGAGAGAGAGAGAGAGAGAGAGAGAGAGAGAGAGAGAGAGAGAGAGAGAGAGAGAGAGAGGGAGATCGAGCCACCTGAACCGACCTGAATGAGAAATGACAAGCTTGTCCATAGGCCAGAGAAAATCTCTTGGTATAGTCGAGATATTCGATTGCTCCTAGCTAAAAAATCCGTGTTAAAGGACGATGGCAGTCAGCGTTACCGTCCCATCCTTTAGGCAATTTTGCGTCTTCGGGACCTGACGCCGGAGGACGTTGAAGAGGTGGCTGGCACGGAGGTAGAAGTCAGTAGGCTTCTTGCGGAACCCCTGAAATGTGAGAGATAGTTAAGTACTCTCTCTCTCTCTCTCTCTCTCTCTCGCTCTCTCGCTTTCGCTCTCTCGCTTTCTCTCCTCTCACCTGGAAAGATTTTGCCGGATAATGAAACAGTCCGCGAGCTGCGTTGTCAATATCGTCATTCAGCAGCGTGACACACCCTCGAGCTGTAATTTAAAGGGATGATGACATGTAGAGTAAGGAAGAGGTAGAGAGAAAGCGAAAGAAAGAGAGAAAGAGAGACATACCTTTCATGAGATCCCAAAGAAACGTCGTCTCCTCCAGGTCAACCTTCTCGCCTTCCGGGTCGGTGCTGTTTGGGTCTGAAATCGGGTTCTATAGTATAAAAACTTATATATGAGCAAAATACTGCTATATAATTCTTAAAAATTGCAGTTCTGGTTGTTCATAAAAGTGCCCAAAAATTACTTCTTTGAATCGGCCTTCCAGCGGTGATCGGCAAGAGGTTGACCCCGGAATTGTCGGCAATCTGAAGGAGGGACTTTTAGAAAGAGAGAGAGAGAGAGAGAGAGAGAGCGTGAGAGATTGAGAGAGAGGGCGCGCAATGCCATAAAAATATACCTTGTTGTACATATTAAACGTCAGAAAATCGTTCTCCTGCATAAATGCGTAGCTATCCGGAGCGTGGCGCTGGAACTGGTTCAACGAGGTCGAGTCCAGGACGAGGATCACCATCGAGGGGCGCTCCTGAAAAAGTGGAATCTCGAAACACAGTAATTTCTTACCGGATCCGCATCAACCATCGGAAGTGCGTCAGCCAGCACGACTTTTTCGGCATTTGGTGCAAAGTGGACAAAGTTCTTCTCGTAGACGATCTCTTGCTTTGGCTTGGACGTGCCGTTGACGATTATTGAAGGCTACAAAAAGGTGTACTAAATGGGTTACTGTAGCTTTAAGAATCCTTGGTTTTACAATTTTCTTGGCCAATTCTGTGTTGTAGACCACGCAAAAGTAACCTATCGGCTTTTTATACGTTTAATAGGGTTTAACCTTTTAAAGCGCACGTTCAGGGAGGGGCCGTGTACTCGTCCCAACGTATACACCCTATGGACGTAGGGACCGCGCGCACTGCCTGCCCGTGCTGTGACAAACCATTTCCCTGGGGCGCCCCTCACCCCCTCGCCAGGTTGTAGCTGTGGCTGACTGGTATCCATCCGCGCCTCCCGAGCGGGGGCCCGGGTTCGAACCTCAGCCGCGGCAAAACACTTTGCTTTTTTCCAAAAAAACGTCCCTGAACGTGCCCTTTAAAGGATCTGACAAGGCAAATCTATAGAGTTTGCCGCCACGGCTTACTGTAATTTTTTCGCAACGTGCACGAAAAATTTTATCGTAATCGATTGCGCAAAGGAGGAGATTTGGAGGCTGCTCCGACGGCCGGTCAGGACGCTAGGGATCACAGCCAAAATCCGGAGTCTTTCCCGCCCCTTTAACCCTAAAAATCCACCCACCACAACGTTGTAGCACCGAACCGCAAACTCGTCATAAGATACTGGCGTGGGTGTGTCGAGCTTCACCTCGACTTCAGCACCAAATAGCATCTCGCGAGTCCGCGGGTATAAGCCGCCGCTCAGCCCGGCCATTGTGCACCTGAAAGTTGAGTTTCAAAGGGACTAGGAAGTGCGAAAATCTACCCATTCCGGCGACTAGGTATCGACAAGGGGGTAAACCTGGTTCTTACAGTTAAAAAGTCTAGGGTGGCGCAGGTGAATTAGCTTAAAGGGATGCCCAACCTTTTCGGGGCTCAAAAAGCAAAAACCAGGCGGGGTTCGAACCCGGGCCCCCCGTTTTGTAGCCCTAGATGCTATCCATTAGGCCACAGTGGCGAGCCATTGGGTGTGATGGGAACGCCACAAGACGGAAAGGGGTCCGAATTCTGTGCGGCTGGGGCCCATCGCCGCACAAAATTCGCGCGTCATTTGCACTGCCCGGAATACATAACTATATATTTGCCGGCGAAACATTGGGTATCCCTTTAAAACGAATGGTACGGTAGAAAACGCCTGAGGTCAATTTTTAAAAACTTGCTTCTCGATTTTTGCATTTTGTAACCGGGAACTTTTAGATTAGCTGAAACAAATTTAAAAACAATTTTAGATGATGCTACGTGATACTCCAGAACGCAGGGCGTCGGTTTCGCTCGGCATTAAAATGCTTTTCCGTAGTTTTTGAACCGTAGCGCCCCTATCGAGAATGGGTCGATTTTGATGCTTCTTAGTCCCTGCAAAACGTTTTTTACTATACCTAATCTTCGGGAATTTCTCGTTATTGACCGGCGACGAGATCAACAGCTTCCCGTCGTCAAGCAGCGAGGCGAGGGGCGGGATTTGGGCCACGCAGTTGGGATTTCTAAAACAGAGGCAAACGGTCATTTTCGCCAATTCGAATTAAAAACGAACCTGTAGTATTTGATGAATTTGTTAATTTCCGGCTCGTGCGGCTGGATTATTGGCCATTTACACGCGTTCATCGTGCTGTTCCAGTAGAGCACTGAAAAAGGAGAAATTTACACCAGTATTTTTTCTATTTTTTAAAATTTTTCTGTGATTTTCATCCAGTTTTGTGCTTTCACTTTCCTCCTCTCCTATCTCTCGTCTCCAAAACCCATTCCCAAATGGTCTCTGCTAGCATGCCGTTTTCCAGACGCGCCAAATTGACTCTGTCAGCTCGATTGATTGCTGGTTTTCACAGAAGATTTTCCCTTTCTGTTTCTTTCTCTCCCTTGCTCTCTCTCGCTCTCTCTCGCTCTCTCTCGCTCTCTCTCTCTCTCTCTCTCTTCTACCGTGCAATATTTCGCGACTGGTATTTTTTGAGTAGTAATAAAAATGTCCTGAAGTAAGCCAGAATTTCGTTGCGTTCCTGCTCCCTTAAAGATCCATCTCAAGACTCCCGACCCTATTTATCTACATCACGCTCAACCCCAACCAGGTGCTGATCCAAGATCACCCTCAAAATTGAGGCTGATTTGTGGGGGACGGCCGTTGGAAAAGGTCACACAACAGGAATGAGGACCGGGTTTCCGAGCCCTTCAAATCGGCGCCCAACCCCCGGGCGGGTTGCTATCAATGGACCGAGACAGAGAGAGAGAGCGAGGTAGAGAGAGAGAGAGAGAGAGAGAGGAGCAGACAGACAAACAGACAGAGCCAGGCTAGACAGTCCCTTTAGCCACCCCCCGAGGGCAGTACGTACGGACGGGGAAGCGCGCGGAAAACAGCCGCCTCCACCCGGCGGTTTCGCGTGGTGGATAATCCGGTAAGTTCGTTGCCGCCGGCGGCGCATGGAAAGAGAGAGGGAGAGAGAGGAGAGAGAGACGGAAAAAGGGTGAAACCGAGCCAAATGGTCGTAACAATCTCAAAAATACACTCACGCTTTTCTTAAGCATGCTAGGAACTTAGAAATCTGAACATAAATAGAAAGTAAGATACTGGAGAGAGAGAAAGCTAGAGAGAGAGAGAGAGAGAGAGAGAGAGAAAGAGAAAGAGAGAGAAAGAGAGAGCAAAAGCAAGCGACAGGAAAAGATTGTATGGAGCCTTAGAATCATAAAAGCTAGCCGGATTCGCAGTTCTGCAAGTACAAAATTCAAGGTGAGAGAGACTAAGAAAAACGAGAGAGAGAGAGAGAGAGAGGGGGGGAGAGAGACAGGGAGAGAGAGAGCGCAAAGTGCAGAGAGATAACCATCTACACTCACATCTGCGCGACGTAAGTCCAGCAGGTACAAAATCCAGATCCGGAATTTCCAACTTGCAGTGAATTTTCAAATTTTTTTCCGCAACTCCCGACATATTATTTGATTTTTTGAATTATATCAAAACCTGTGTCAGTTCTGAATAATATTTAAGAATTTCCCCTATTAGTTTCTTTCTGCAGAAAGTTCACTCAAAAGCACCAGAGCGTCCCGGGCGGAACTGCCAAAAACTGAAATGTGGGATGAGGCAGGTGGGCTGGGACGAGGTTTTGAGGTTGATCTTGATGGATTTTTGAGAAAGTGGCTTCGCTATGGATTTACTAGCCTATTTGGTTAAATGAATGGATGTCGTAACCAAAAGGTAGCAGTAGAAATACAGCGGAAATTAGGGGAATGGAAAAAGGAAGCTTTAGGAACGCTTACCAGATTGCGTGTAGGGCTGCTGGAGCTCGACCTCAAGCTGCTTGGTTTCGAAATCGTATCTAAAAAAATCAAATAACGGATGAATAAATGGTAGCAGTTTCAAAGCACCTTAAACTTGAGAAAAATTGTGCAAAATCTGAATTAAACGTTTTAACGTAATAAAAGTTATTCTTAAAATATTGAAAAGCCACTTACTTTAATTCCGGCCGCTTCATCACGTGAAAAACGATAAAGCTAAAGATGATCAGGGCCGTGAAGAAGACGCCTAACTGAAAAAAATTTAAAATTAATACTAAACTACTCAACTACTAGTCTACAAAAACGGATATTCCGCCCCGATACACATTACATTTACCGACAGCTGTGTGCTATGGACCCAAGTTCGAACTTCCTGTGCCCAGCCTCGGCTATGAGACCTGAAGAAAACCTTCAGCTTCAAGTCCCCCTCCTAATGCTTTTTAGAAAGTTCTCATAGATCCGCGTGACACCCATAGACGGTACAATGCGGAAGTTAAAGGAACTGGGAAGGCATGGTGTTGGATTTTTTGGAAGGTTGAGCGCAGCGTTGCGTGTCGCGGAGGTGGATGCGGCAAAACAAGATACCTTGCTAGTCCCTTTAAAGAGGCTCTAGAAGATTTCAAAAATTTTCGTTTACAAAAAAATTATGATAAAGTTTTTGTTAGTGACAAGATCCCTTCCGCAAAGATCTCTGCTAGCCTGCCTTTATTTGGCTCAATTTTGAATTCGTCAAGTTAAAATATCTTGGCATAAAATTTACAATAGGAATGCTGAAAGGTAGACGCGGCTTTGGAGCCGTTCTCTCTGGTGGTACCCTCATCGGATCGTCCTTTTCGTTGCCGGCGGCGATTCGAAAGGTGGAGAATATATACTTAATTCCCGGGCAAGCTGTCGGCTTTGCCGGTGGGGCCTCTTTCTGAGCTGCCAGTTTCGAAAGCGGAAATTTAGAGAAGAATGCTTTCCAAATCCGCTTCCGATTTCGGAAAATTTAAGGCAGCAGAGTTTGGGGAGATCTTTGTCGGCTTCAAATCCCGGCTTCAGAAACTTTGAAAGTCAAGTCAAAAAATAGCGTAAATAGAAGCACTACGGAATAGTCAGAATTCCAGAGGTTGAAAGCCTGTAAAGTACGTTGCAGTACGCAGCAATCGGCACTGAGGAGTGTAGCGGAATTCCTGAATCCGGAAGTGAAGTGACCCCGCAAAAACGCGGAAGATTCCGACAACGTACTTAGAACGTACAAAGGAATGCGGCGGAATATCTCAAATTCGAGGCTTTATAGCTTGACAGAAAGTACAGTAATCGTACTTGAGTACGAAGTAGAATTCTAACGTACAGCGGAGTGTAGCGGAATGTCCTAGATCAGAAATCGACGATTAAAAGGTACGGTAAGTCGTGTAGGCCAATCTGTATATCGAAAATTGGTCAGGTTCAGAAAAAATTAAGCGAAGTTTCGAGTAAAGTACGGTTCTGTTCCGTTCCGCTCCGTACGTACAGGCAACTGTTTGGCAGCCGGTGTGGCGACTACTTCCGACACCCAGATGACGATAGAAGAGGCTGAGGACGGGGGCGTGCGTGTTGGTGAAGGTGTCGAGAACTTATGCCACCCTTCTACGGTCTGTTAGGCGGTGTATCGGTCTCTCTCTCTTCCTCTCTCCCTCTCTCTTTCTCTCTTTCTCTCGTTCTTCCAAGCTCCTCCCCCTTGGATATTCGGACGTGCCTCCTCTCCTGTTCTTCCTACCCGCTCTTTCGGGTTTTTCTGTTTCTTTACGGGGCAACGCGCGACTGTGTGGGCAGTTTCACGCCGTTGCCTCACCGGCGTCGCGAAAAGCCGCCCCTTTTTGGGTGAGGGTGGGTGAATCTGGGTGGAATTTTGAAGAGGGTAGAAAAGAGAGACAGTCATAGAGAGGCAGACACTGGCTCTTTGGACAAATGCCCCCAGGGCACATCAATCGATCTGAAAGATGGGAGGAAGGGCGGGCAATGGATAATTCGGATCCACGACCGTCTTGCGATTCGCGATCCGCCAACGAGGATCCGGGTTTCTGGGCAAGTCATTGTCCATGCCGGGGAGGAGGTGATTTTTGGTGCAAATATAAGAGGTTTTGGGGTTTCGAAACATGATAGACTTCTTGGTTTTGGCTAGCATACTGCCTTGCTGTAATTCAAGGGACTGACACTTGGCAAAAGCGACGGATTTAAGGTGCAAAAAGCTACACTTTGCTTCGAGTTTTCACGATTGGTATGGATTACAAGGTTAGGCGTTAGATTTCCAGCTGTATATGGCCCATTAGACGGCTTCGAAAGGCGATCAAGCTGCTCAAAACCTGTCCAAAAATTCAGAACAACCGGATACGCATCAGGTTTTGATAAACGGAAAAAGCCCGTTCTTTAATTGAGAAGGTCAATGGAGACCGTACCATGCCTTGAAAATTGCACTTTATCGCATACGTAGGTAAGCGCATCTGGCGCCCAGAAAGGCATTTAAACGCGTTAATTCGTCTGATTAACCGTGATTCTCGATTATCCGGAGTTTTAGGAAAAAACCGGAGCCACGTTGATCGCACGTCTAAATTTTTGAACTTCCAACTCCCCTAAAATCCGCCGCGCGTCTCGAAACTGGTTCACCACTTCCTCAAAATCCCCCAGAGCGCATCAACCGATCCGGTGGGGTTAGTCAGTGCTCCGGGGGCGAGGGGATAAATCGGATCCCAAACGCGATACCCCTAGAATCCGTAGCGGCTCAGCCGGCCCGGGATTTTGGCGTGAAAATGGGATTCGAACGCATATGGGATTGGAGGTGAACCCGGAACTTAAGCGAGTCAGGGTAGCGCTGCCGTTAGAGAAAAAGCTTAAGCCAAAGCCAAGCCTAAGCCAGGCCTAAGCTAACCCCAAGCCAAGCCAAGCCAAGCCAAGCCTTCGAGCCCTCATGCTCTCGTCAAAAAGTCAATTCCCTAGCTTTCTCATTCCATTTCCTTTAAACCCAAGTTCCGCGTTGTGAGGTGTGCTTCGTATGGGAACTTGGGACCCCCAGAAGCGCAGTTCGATGCCCCTAGGAAGAACCTGGTGATACCTCAGAACTTACATACACAAAACGGAACAAATGCCTAATGCCTCCCTCATTTGTGATGCCATTCCCTGATGGGGTCATTGTCGCGATTGGCAGCAAGTTCTGGGAGGGCCAAACGAGGCTTGCGAGGACGATAATAACGAGATAACAGGCACACGGAAAGCACAAATAATGCTACTTCGGCTGTGCTTTTCCTAAAGAGGCACATGGACTACGGTAAGTAGCAGGACGTGGCGGTAACGTTCGAGAAATTTTCGTTTTTCGTACAACCGGCAGTCGAATTTTTTTGTAAAACGGGGTGCCATGCTCGCTCGAAAATTTTCTCTTGACGTTGAATCGCTCAAATTTTTAAAAAAGTCTCTCTTCAGCCACCACGACACGGGCAAACAGCAAAATCCCGGCATCTAAAACAGTCTTAGTCCCGACAGCCTTAATCCCGACAACCAAAATCGACAGCCAAAATCTCGACAGCCATAAGCCCAACATGCTATTCGCTTTTTAAAGGGAAATATATAGCATTCAAGTTAAGCGTTCGGGATTGCGTCTGTCGGGATTTGGACCATTCTAGATCTCGGTTGTCGGGATTTTGGCTATCGGGATTTTCGATGTCGGTATTTTGGATATCGAGTTTATGATATTCGTCATCACGGTTGTCGGGATTCTAGATTCCGGGATTTTGGCTGTCGGTATTCTGGGTATCTGGGCTAAGGCTACCCAGACAATCCCTGTTTCTTAAAGCACGATGATGTCGCGTGTCGATACCAATCTCACGACTTGGCTCGATCCACTATCAGTTTTTCAAGTGCTAGATTAGGCGCCTCCCGGTTCCTTTAACATTTTAACATTGCGGCACATTAACGGGCTTCCCATGTGTTGCGTTTCCCTTGAACTGTGATGCGTTCCGAACGTGCTCGTTTCGAGTCGTTTCCGTGCCATACATCCCCCCAATGTTTGCAGTGCGCTCCCCACATAGGCAAATCCCGCAAAAGAGGGCAATGGAAAGCCAGAAAAAGCCGCAAAAACAGCCGACGGTACGTTAAGTTCCTAAAGACGAAGGGGAAGGGTGTAAGGATGGAGAGGTTCGGAACGGGATTCCCCCTTTTTAGGCCTATTTGTGGGGGGGCGACAGTAAGTTCCTGGTGGGGTGGCAGACTTGACAAGGATTTTTGAGAGGGAAGCAGATGGCATGGCACCACTTGATCGGCTAAAGGGGGTGTGACAGCGTGGTGTTTGTCGTCAAGGTTTTCGGAAGAATCTAGAGTAGCTCAGGTGTACTGTAGGAGAAAGTGGGGGGATTTAATCAACCTGTTCGGGTCGAATTTTTGGTAAATTCTTGGCGATTTCCCCTTTCCAGTTATAAAACGGCCCCAAATAATTATAAAGCGGCAAGATTCCACAAAAAATTTCGGATTGAATAAAGTGTCGTAATGAGTAATAATCGTAGTTTGTAGAGAGAGAGAGAGAGAGAGAGAGAGAACGCGAGAGACCGCGAGAGGGAGAGAGATTGAGATATTGGGGAAGAGAGAGAGAGAGATAGCGAGAGAGAGCAAGAGGGAGCGAGAGGGAGAGTGGGCGCGAGAGAGAGCGAGAGGTTTTAGCCTCATCAGATTATGGATATTAGCTTGGGGGTTTTACAAAATGGACAACATTTCTGCAAAAATTGAAGCAATAAGCCTTAAACATACCCATGCAAGGGAGATTAAATTATCGTAAAGGTGTGTCCAGGTAAATTTACAATCCCACGCTAGTTGTGTTTTTTTGATATTTTTGTTAAATAATACGTTTAGAGTTATTAGAGTTCACAAAACAATAAAAAAATATCGAAAACGTACCCTATTCGTGTGCTGGCTCTTCATGATGGACCGAAAGGCCCGCAACGGAAAGTGCATCCTGAAATGTATCAATTAGTACATAACTACTTAGCGATCTAATCCACAAACAATCGTAAGTAGTAGCATAACGGAACCAAATCAATAAAGCTCGACAAGCTCCCCCTAGGGGGGATGTGGCTATGTGCTAGTTTTGGTATCATTCTCGTCACTTTCACTGTCCCTCTTAATTTTTCCCTTTCTCGCTGCGAGCTCTCGATTTTGCGGGGGGTGAAACCCGGAAACAGGATGTTCCCTTTTTGAAAATCCGGTCGCTCAGGTTTGGTCGAGAATGCGCACCTCTAAGATCGTCAACTCAGATGGTAGATGGTACACTCTTGACCAGGCTTGGACCCAACTGTATCGGTATCGGTATCGCATGGTATCGTATCGGTCGATAGTATCGGTATCGGTATCGGTATCGTATCGTATCGGTCTGCAAATTTAGATACCGATACCGATACCCGATATCGATACCGATACTTTCCGATAGTATCGGGTCCAAGCCTGCTCTTGACACTAGAAAACCCTACAAAAAAGCCTTCAAAAGCTGCATCTCGGATTGGCACGCAGTGATTTGCGACAGCAATGATGCCTTTCAAAGTTACGGGAATAGGCCAGCCAAAATTCCAAAAAAGAGCTTTCGCATCCTTGCGCAAACAAAAATCAAAAGAATAGTGCTGCCAAAAGGCCTGAGCCGGGGCAGTTTTTTAGTTTTTTTTAGTGGCCGACGTTAACTGGCTACTCGGCAAAAATTGATGCAAATGTTTTAAATTCAACCTTCACAGCCCATTCACAAGCGAGCGGTCCAAAAGCTTACAAATGACGAAGAAGTGCCCAAGCCTGCTTGTTATACATTGTTGCTGATCATTGATGAGCGAATGGGATAATAATGGCTCTCATCTTCCGATTCTTCGCTCTCTCTTTCTCTCTCTCTCTCTCTCTCTCTCTCTCTCTCTCTCTCTCTCGCATCTTTCCAAAACTCAAATATCAGCCGCCGATTCGCGGTGGGAATTTCGTTGCTGCTGATGGCTCCGCGGGACACATTAGCACGACGACGAATTTTCCCCGATAATTTTCTTGGTCCTGATCTCTGGCGCGTATATTAGCAAGACGGTGAGAGAGTGAGCGAGAGAAAGAGCGAGAGAGAGTGAGATAGGGCGAGAGAGAGAGAGTGAGAGGGAGAGGGAGAAGAGAGTCAGAGAGAGAAGAGAATGAGAAAGAGAGTGAGAGAGAGAGAAGAAAGTGAGAGAGATAGAGAAAGATAGTGAGAGTGAGAGAGAAAAACAGAGAGCGAGAGATAGAAAAATGTGCAGAAAATGGATAAGTCTTTCCTACCTTCCCTATTGTCTATTTTTCGGCAATCTTAATTCCGAAAGGATCTTTGCTAGCTGTCCCCTGCGTTCGGAGCTAAAAAAATGAAAACTGATAGGAAAGCGTCTAAACTTTGAACTGAAATTCGTTTAATGCCCCCCTAGATAGTTAGATGCAAATCCCTTCCGGGGTTTCGTTGCACCCCCGCATCATCCAAACAACAGGCGAGGGAGCGCCAACTCTTTGAGCCCCGGGTTCACCTGCACCGCTTGAAGCACGAGGTTTTGTTGGCGTAGATCAAAATCCGCGTCAGTAAACCGGACCCCGAAATTTTGATACCGTATCTCATAGAAGAATAACGCGTCTACACCCATTAAAAGCGTAGAAACCACATTAAACGCCAAGGTACAATAATCATGATCTCTGGAGCAGTAAGTACGCTTTAATACGCTTTTAAAAAAAAGGAAAGTATCGAAAACACAAGAATCTGGAGCGGGGTTGGGAAAAAACGGTAGCGCGGCAAGCCAAAAACTACAAAAACGGCCTAGAGAATTCGGAATTAGCGAGACCATTAAAACAGAAAGTACAAGAATTGTCTCCTCACGCTCCCCTTCCCTGCCAACGGTTTCCGGTCAGTGATGTTCCCTCAAATAGACGACAAAAAAGGGACACCCCCGTTCCGAAACCCTTCTGAATTTTTCAGACATTTCTGTGCTCGCGGGGGATCTGTGTGGCCCGAATCACTTACGGCACTTTGCAGATGCGCCCCCGTTTTTAGGGGAGAGATGAGAAAATGAGAGAGAGAGAGAGAGAGAGAGAGAGAGAGAGAGAGAGAGAGAGGAGAGCGGGGAGATCCCCAACATACGCCCTGACCACGGAACCAAGAATCTTGTCTCAGATTTGGGAATGCTAAGAGTTTCTCTGGAATTCGAGCTTTTTTAGGGATTAGGTCAAGCCGGATGGAGCTTCCGAGGCTTAGGATTAGGCTTTGGCTTAGCATTGGCCTTATTTTTCCGCTTCTGAGCGGGTTAATCGAATTTTTCAAGCGACTTAAGAAAGATTTTTAAACTAGCGAAAATACCGTAAGCCGTGCCTTTCCATTATCGGGGGGAAGGGGGACGGAAACCGAATTTCGGAAGGACTCCAGAAATGCCTAATAACGTAATAGTCAGTATTTTAACAACGTGTTTAGTAAATTTAACTAGATTTCAGGTAGAAAAACTATCCAAAAATGATTCGAAATTATGGACGGAAAATGGATTTTTTTTGTAGTTTTTATGTAATTTGTAAAAATTTTGTGTTTGGAGGAAGATGGTAAAAAAGAAACAAAAAAAATAGGTTAGAAACACTTTCTTTATTTCTACTAGAAAATCGGATATTGAAAAGGTGGTATTACCAAGCCTTTATCCCCCCCCGATAATCGAAAAGAACCTGAATAAATTCAGAATAGTTTTTACAAAAAAATAAGGGTACTTTTTATATCCTAAAAGCTGGTCTTAAAAACGCACGCTAGCAACAGGCGGGTTCTCCAAAAATTGCCTCCTCCGTCATGGCGATTTTCAAAAGACAGCGTCTTCAAGGCCTCAAAAAAGCACAAAACGTCTTTTTGCGCAATCTGGGCTTGTAGAAAAGGGCTGAAAGCGCTGCTTCTCCTCCCTCCCCCACGGAGAAATTGCACCTCAGAATTTGATCCAGAACTGTGGTGCTAGGGGAATAAACCCTTTCAGAGTGGGGGGATGCTCTCGTTGCCCATTGAAACGCGATGGAAATTTGCCCCGTCGCTTTTTCTTTATTCAGGGCGGCGAGACGGCTAGATAGTAAGGAAAAAGATGGCTTGGACGTTGTGTTGCGGTGGCTGGAAGTCGTCCGATAAGTATTTTTATGTAAAATATGGGATGAGAAAAACCCATCCAGCAACTGTTGGGGGAAGCGAAATTTGCAGGCACTCGGTACGCCGATCAAACACCGAAATTTACTACAAAACGCACTTTTTGCTGTAAAACTCGGATTGAAAGCTGATCAATAAATTGGAACTTTTCCATTATCGGGGGGGCGGGGCGGTGAAGTTTATCAAGGATGACGATGACAACTAACTTTTCTTTTGTATCGTATTTTCTTAGCAAAGCGTAGAAAGGACATATTTTTATTTACCATACAAAAAATCGGCTTATCGAGCAAATCTCAAAATTTTATAAATTTCCTTTTGTTTTTCCGCTTGAAATACCCATAAATTTTAAGGTACAACCCCATTAAAGCCCATAATCCGAATTTACTCGGCATTTTTGGATTGATCAGAAAAATTTTGGTTTCTCCCCCGCCCGCCCGCCCCCACCCGATAATGCCGAAGAACCAGCGCAGGAATTAAATGGCTCAAGACAGAACTGAACGCTTTCTAAAATTTAATCGTTTTAATAATGCAATCCAGAATAAAAAAATTGTGCTAAAACATAAAATAGAGCTAGGTTAGCTCACAGTTTTGATTAATGAGTGTCAATCGAGAATCTTAGATTGACATAGTTGTGGAACATACACTTTGGTTAATTATACATTTAAAGTACGTCCTTTAACTTTTTGTCAAATAAAATTCAATTATTATTGTCGACAAAGGGCTGTTCAATTACGGTAGCGAAACGTGCAGATTTTAGTCGAGCGGTAGACAAAACGGGCTTTCCTGGGCCTTTAAAACCAATTAGTTCAAATCCCATAAATTAGCAAAACAGATGCATCAAAATGTTGCTGCGCAAATAGACAAAGAACAAGGGCGAGGAGTCATCGTCAGCTTGCTGCTGGCTACAAGCCCCATTTTTTGTATGTCTGTTTGTGCGTCTTTCTCTCGCTCTCTCTCTCTCTCTCTCTCTCTCTCTCTCTCCCTCTCTCCCCATTCCATTTGACGACACAACGACGAACAGGCCCCGTGCGCGAGCCACTATGATCCCATTTCGGCACAACGTGATGATAGCATATATAGCTTCGGGATTGCCCTGCTCCATGTCAAACATGTCACATTGATTCAGTCAATGTTGGGCGCAAAAAGCGCATTTTTTGACATAGCTTGAAGAAGTCGTGTTCTAACTAAAAAAAATGCGTTCTATTCTTACCTGCGTATCCTAAATGCCAGAAAATATAGCCTAAAATCGAGGGTCATAAGATATGTGTTCTTTTAAGGCCTGGGCGTCGATGTTTTCAGACGTATCGCTTGAATCTGAAAACTTTCGATTAAGATTCGAAAACTGTGGGGGTCTAGATGTCAGTCTTCCAAAATGTCACTGTCATAGTCGTAAAAAATTGTCCATCTGAAGACAGCCATCACATTCATCACGAAATGAAGACAATACGCATAAGGAAAACCAGATCCTGAGCCCAAGTTTTAAATTGTATTTAGAAGCTGACTCGTTTAGCTGATAATTCCAGTCGTGGTCTAACTGTAAAGTGTTTTTACTCAACTTGGAGTTTCGATTCGGGACCAAGTGCATCTTGTACAGAATTTTTCGCTGATTCCGAATATGTTTTCCAAATTTGCTACGGACCGTTATTCTGAAAGCTATACGGCAATTATGACCCTAGTTTTCAACAAAATGAAGGTATCGTTATAGTTTTCGATTTTCTTCATTAATTTCCACGTAAAAATTGACTAGACGTTGGTTCGACAAGCATCCTACAGCTCAAAACAAGCATTTTAGATCAAAAATGAGATTTTTATGCAAAAATCAAAAGAAATGATGCAGGGGGGGTTCGAACCGCCGCCCTGCGCTTGGCAAGCGAGTGCTTTGCCAATGCACCATGGTGCCAACCGGGTAGGGTGCTGTCAGAGGGTACTTCAGGGCCCCTGGGAACCATAGCCCCAAACAAGGAATAGTGGGCCAGCGTCTGAATTTTTGGCATTTTTCGCCCCAATTGTTACCAAAAATGCTTTTTTAAATAAAAGTCCGTAGCAAATTTGGAAAACATATTCGGAATCAGCGAAAAATTCTGCACAAGATGCGCTTGGTCCCGAATCGAAACTCCAAGTTGAGTAAAAACACTTTACAGTAAGGTGAAACAACTTGTGGAAAAGTGCAGCGAAGGTGGACTGTTAGCGTTGGGAAACATTGCTAATTTTAATTTTCCCTCATGAGGCTGCTGATGGACAATTATATATTTTATATTGTTTTTGACAGTTTCAAATTGCAAGAAACCTAAAAATATTTTTGGAAAAATGAAAAACAGCTCTTTGAGGGTAAATTGTATAACTTTTTGGCCGAAAAGTCAAACATTTTGTGGAATTTTGTGATTTTATGAGCTTTTCTGGATCTAGAAAATTAATAAAATACTTTAAACTGTTTCCATTGCTTTATGGGGCCGGACAGGATTAATGGAAAAATTGTCCACCCCCCGTTAGCGTTCTAGTACCGAGATTAAAGGGATAACGCGGGCATAACTAATCGGTGCCGCTGCCGCTGTTGGCTATTTGTCAAAAAGTGGATCAAGCGTGATCGACGATTCCGCCGGAATTAAGCCGGCGTCGCTCCCCAGAATCTAATTTTAGCGCATGGCCAAAAATCAACCAGCGTCTGAATCCTTGCACGTATGGGCCAATCATGTCTGAGATTCGTGTAGGTGGATCTCGTATTTTTCTCGCCCTAAAATCCGCCTATTTCCAGACTTCCGGTCGGTCAACCGGATGGCCGGCAACAGCAACAGCCGGCGGCGCATGTCTGCATAATTCGAAGGTGTCGTCGCTGCCCCCCTTCAGCCCATCGATTTGTCAAAACCATCTCCCACCTGCCGATCGCCGTTTTTTCTTCTTTTCAACATCCGTTCACACGCGCGCCCACACAAGGCGACATCGAAATTTTCGGGTTTTTAACTTTTTCTTGGAGTCCGATTTTCTAATTTTTTTTACTGTTAGCGGCGTTTTTACACTAATTTCGTACGGCCTTTAATGAAATATAAAATATTTGATATCACTTTACACGTTTTTCAGATAAAAACCCAAAAGACACGTCTCAAAATAAGTTATTATTTTTATTAACCGGTAGACGGAATAATAAAAATTAGCTTAAAAATAATAAACTTGTAAAACACGTATGAAAATACGTTATTATTTATTTATTAAAAAATACATATGTATTATTAGTACCAAGAAAACCTGAGAAATCGGACTCCTTGAGCTTCATTTCTCCCAAAAAAAACTCCAAGCTTTTTTTTCTAGACCGATACCGATAATCCCATTCCATTACGCACCTACTTACGAATTTACCCAAATGTTTATTTTTTAATAACAAATATCAGTGATTTTACAGGCGAATGGCTGCAGCCGAGCTGGAGCCGAACGCCGTCGGGCTGTACGTCTACCTGCCGTCGTTCACCCACATGATGGTCGACGAGAAGGAGTGTCGAATGCCGATGGTCGCGCCATATCGTTGTACGTATTTTTGAGCCATTAAATATACCTTTTGGCTTACCTATCAGCAATTATCGCAAAATTCATAGGCGACGCCAACTGGATGCTCTGGTACGATTGCTGCGACACCGGATGTTGTGGCCGGCTTCAGCCCTGGCTTTACGTGTTGATTCTTGGGTACGCTTTTTTTTGGGTCGGGGTCTGGTACGTCAGCGGGGGGGGCTAGCCACCTTTATTGCCACCAACAACTGCGGAAAATACTAAAAATTGTTTTTGGTAGTTTCCTCTTTCCTGAATCTTTTTTAAGAAAATTTGCAATTTTTCCACTTTTTAATACGTCTTTCTAACTTTTTATATCTAAAAAAGGCTTAAAATGTTGTAAAAAAATAGCACATTCTTCATTATAAGCGTCTACGGAAATAGAACGTTAAGGTTTCCCTCGAAACCCCCCCCCCCGCTAATGAACCAGCGCAAAAATTCCTACCTGATGCCTGTGTAATACACAGTGCATTTTTTTCCTGGAGAACACCAAGGGTACATTTCGGTGCATCCCACCGCCGAGTTCAAGGTCCACTTTACGCCGAAACACGCGGATTATGCGCGTATTTCAGCACCGTCATCGCTGTCATTGGGCTTCTCGTGGCCAAGCTGACGGTCTGGCTATGCTGTGGTGGGGATCGAGAGGAAGAGGATGTACTGTTCGACAAGAACCACTACGCCGTACACAACCATAACTATTTACGCCCGCCGCCGCCGTGGGTTTTCAAAAAAAAAATGAAAATTGATAACTAGAATCCCGATATAAAGGGTTTAACTTTTTATAAACTTCCCCATTGATTTCAAGCTGGGTGCAGATGGCCGAGTACTTGAATCAAAAGTGTTTTTAATTGTTGTTGTTTTTAGATTTGAACTTTTTAACCGTGATAAAAATTTTAAAATGGTCAAAAAGTTCGTCGTTTGGGTTCGAACTAAAATAGCAATTTTTAGCGTATATCTATAAACATTTTTATTTCATTAGTTTTGTTATTAAACATCTTAATTGAAAAAACCTTAAGAAACACATTTAGATACTCCTCCTTCTCTCGCAATGGCTCTCTCCGCAAACACACCCACGGCCACGGACATTCGACTTGAAGACTTGTGATTTGAATAAACCGTTAATACATCCAAAATAAGTCCCGTATTTTCTCCCATTTCCTAAACTATCGCCCGGCGATGCGTTTGGACGAGTTGACCCCCGAGAAACACGCGCAGATCATGGACGATGTGAGGAAGGTCTGGAAAAACATACATTTTTTATCTTTTTGCAAATAGGAGTTGAAAAACCCGCACAAACCGACGCCGATTCCCGACGAGACGCCCGTCCTGCTGCAGGATGTGGTACGAATTTTTTTCGAAGCTTTTTCTATACCTTTTTTTATAAAATTTAGGTATTAACGGGTCCGAATTTTTTCCCTTTCACTCGAAAAATGTCTAGAAACATCATGGCATGTATTTCGCTACTATTTTTTGTAAAATTTAGTCATATTTAAGTGCAAAAAATGTTAGAGAACTTTGAAATTGTTTAAAAATTTGAAATTTCAGTCCAAATCGACCATTTTTTGTCGAAATCGATATTTACGAGTATTTTTTCGACAGAGTTTTTACGTTTCTAGAAATCGCTCCCCCTGACGATCCGGCTGCACTTCCCGAACAACTTCGAGATGGCGGCCAAGCCGAGCCTCTCCGCCGAGTCCATCTCGTCCTGAACCCCAATGCGGCGCCCCGAGCCCCCGTTTTACCGTACCCAATAAATACGTTTGCTACTGAAATGTCTCCGAAGCAAAGCAAAAGTAAAGAAACTTTATAAAAAGTACTTTAAAACAAAATATATTGTTTATTTTTGGAGAAATGTCGCTTTTTATTGATTCTAAGGACCTTTCCGACAGTATAGAGCAGATTTGGGCCCGCTGGCCGCTTTCCTGGCTTTTTTATAGCCCTTCTTTAATTGAAATACTTTTTTGGCAATTCATATAAGTAGACCGGTAGACCGGTAGACCGCCTTTTCGTTCAAATTCATAAAAGTAGACCGGTAGACCGGTAGACCGGTAGACCGCCTTATCCTTCAAATTCATAGAAGTAGACCGGTAGACCGCTTTCTTGTATAAACGTGTTTTTACTTAATAAAACATTAAAATTAAACTTTTATTATTATAATATACCGTAATTAGTATTTTAACTTAACAGAGGGTACTTTATCATGAAGTCTAGCTTGTTGGGGTCCATATACTCATGTATCCGGGCTTTATTGCAGCTTTTTTAACCCAGTTTTTAGTTTTTAATTGAATTTAGCTATTATTTTATTAATATACTGTTTCTATGTTATACTGTTCTACCTGCGCGTTCTTTGTTTGCAATATTATCTACCAATTACGCGCTCCCCCCGTAATTTTTTAGCTTTTCGTGTTGTATATTCATTTATTCCTCGTTTAATACTTTGTTAGTAATCCGTAGTATTTAAAACTGAATTTCGTGGGGAAATACTTCAAATAGCACATATGTCGATACTAGTTTAGTAACCTGTCGATAACGAGCGCCTTTTTCCGCGCCTTATACGTAGTAGTTCGTGCTTATGCATCACCTGACCTTAAATATGAAGTCAGTCGTTGGTTAACGAAGGTTTTAAAGTATGTTAGCCCATCATAGGCGTCTTTTATAAGTTCCTTATGACAAAATCGCGTTTCATTATAACACGCCCTAAGCCAGCTTTGCTCAGAAGCCAAGCTAAGCAAACAAGCAAGCAGCAACAAGCTAGCTTAGCCAGAGCTTAGAATAACGAAACCTTGTCATTAACTTCCTGGTTAGGACTGCGCGAGATATAGCCATTTAGCATCCATTGCTATGAATGCGTAGGTATACAAAAAGCATTCTCATTTGCTGCCGCAAACTGATGATTTGACGAGGCTTGCTGAAGATTCGTCGCTTACTTCGTCGATTGAGAGTGTGAAACGATTATTCAAAGTGAAAACGCCGACTTTAATAGGGAATATATTAAAATTAAACTCACCGACTTCCAGTTGAATGATATGTGAGACAAAGGCAAGAACTACTATAATAATGGTATTATCATACTGTTAAATGCAAGACAAAGCGTTAGAGGTTAAGCATTACTACTTTACCAAATTAATAGTTGCTGTTTAAACTATTAACCAACATTACTAAAATATGAAAACCATGAAATACTAAAATATTGGACGAAATACCAGGAAGAAACTATTGTAACAAACGAAAAGCGTGAGAACTATGGAGCTAACGCGTTTTGAGTAGGTAACGCTACAAATAAAAAGAACGCGCTTGTAGGATAATAGAATATTACTAAACTAATAGCTGAATATGCTTCAAATAAAGCATTTTTCTTAATAAATGTATTAAGAAACAAAACCCGGGTTAAAAAAAGCTGCAATAAAGCCCGGATACATGAGTATATGGACCCCAACAAGCTAGACTTCATGATAAAGTACCCTCTGTTAAGTTAAAATACTAATTACGGTATATTATAATAATAAAAGTTTAATTTTAATGTTTTATGAAGTAAAAACACGTTTATACAAGAAAGCGGTCTACCGGTCTACTTCTATGAATTTGAAGGATAAGGCGGTCTACCGGTCTACCGGTCTACCGGTCTACTTTTATGAATTTGAACGAAAAGGCGGTCTACCGGTCTACCGGTCTACTTATATGAATTGCCACTTTTTTCGCGCATTATTTGCGATTTTTCCTTTTTTTCCCGAGATTAAGTTCATATAAAGACCATTTAGAATCGACAGATGATCAACCTGGGTTGCCGGAGATGCGGCCAGATCGCTACCCGCTTCAAATCAAGCACCCGACCCTCGATCGCTGACGGACCCTCCTTTGCCGATTTTGTCTCTTCGGCGTCGAAGGAAGAAGCCGTTTCCAAGCATCAAGACAAGCTGAAGTTGTCCAAGGGCGACAAGCGATTACGGCTGCCCGAATGGCTAAAGAAGGACAAGCCCTATGCCAGTGAAAACGAAAATGTCAAGCGGATGAAGCACCAGCTAAAGGACCTGAAGTTGGCAACAGTGTGTGAAGAGGCGAGGTGCCCGAATATTGGCGAGTGCTGGGGTGGAAGCAAGGATTCGTTGTCTACAGCTACTATCATGTTGATGGGTGAGTTTTTCGTTGTTTTTAGGCTCAAAAAGGGACGAATTTTCAATGTAACTTTTCAGGCGACACATGCACGCGAGGTTGCCGATTTTGCTCGGTAAAGACGGCACGAGCACCGCCGCCACTCGACCCGCTTGAGCCCGAGCACACTGCCAAGGCAATCGCTTCGTGGGGCGTGGATTATGTCGTGTTGACATCAGTCGATCGGGATGATATTGCCGATGGCGGCGCCTCACATCTTTCAAAGTGTGTCTCGGAGTTGAAGCGAGAGAAGCCAAGTATCCTGGTCGAATGCCTGTTGCCGGACTTTTCAGGTGCGTCAAAAAATATTTTAAACTTTGGTGCTTTCATATTAGATGAGGAGCGAGGCAACTTTTTCGGAAAAGCGCGCTTAGGCAGGATTAAATTTGACATAAGCGATTTTAATTTACGGTTACAAGCACTTTACGCTGTGTTTAATTCAGAAACACTTGGAATAATGGTACAAAAGCGTAGAAGTAGACCAAAATTGCTATAGAAAATAAAGTGTTTTTTATCGGCAATTGGCTGACGCTAAATTGAAGAATTGGCTAGCCGTTAAAAATGGTAGGGCGCTAAGCCTTCTCCAAAGTGCCCAAAAATCCTATTTTTTTAGGTAATCTCGAAAGCGTCGCCGTTATGGCCAACTCTGGACTGGACGTCTACGCGCACAACATTGAAACCGTGGAAAGCCTAACGCCCTGGGTCCGAGACCCCCGAGCCAAATACCGGACATCCCTGCAAGTGCTTCGACACGCCAAGTCCGCCAACCCGAAGCTCATCACCAAAACGTCGCTGATGCTCGGGCTCGGCGAATCGGACGCCGAGCTGATGACGACGCTGCAAGATTTGCGCGACAATGACGTTGATGTCGTCACATTTGGCCAATACATGCAGCCGACGAAGCGGCACCTGCTGGTGAAGGAATGGGTGACGCCGGCCAAATTTGACGAATGGGCTGCTATCGCGCAAGGCATGGGATTTTTGTACGTCGCCTCGGGGCCGCTCGTTCGCTCGTCGTACAAGGCCGGAGAATTCTACTTGAAGTCTGTGCTACAGAAGCGGAATAAAGAAGCTGCAGCCGCAAACTAGCCTTGAATTTGATTGTAATTACCTTTTGCTCGATTGTGCCACTGACCTTAGCCGTTCTCGTTTTAGTGTTGTTTAGGATCCTTGCAGTTATTTACTTTCTATCGCAGAAAATACCCGATTTCCGGCATTTTTCTGCCCTTTCCCCAGAAGCAACTTGTGATGATGGGTCGATTAGCAAATCAGTTCCCTGCTTAGTCGACGTTTTCCTATGTGCAAACATTTTCCGGCTCAATCTGTGTTCTCTAGTCTGTTGTCACGGAAAATAAAGTAGAAAATATAGATGGCCAGCCCCGTGCGCCTGCAGGCCGGCTCGATCTCGGCCACGCAGCTGCGAAGCCCGAACGTTGCCGCCGACGTGTTGGAAAGTGCGAAAGGAAAAGCGCGACGCGAGGTGATTTTTCTTTTTCGATCCTCATGAATTGTCTTTTTTAGCAAGTCCACGCGCAGGGCCACTTCAGCTTTCTCAGCGTGCAAGACCATATCATCTCGTCACAGTGCGCCCATCCGGCCGGCGAGCAGCGAGAAGACTGCGCGGTAAATTGGCCTTATAAAGTCGAGCCCAAATTTTAGATCTGCAGATACGACCAGCAACTTGCACTCCCGCATTTGCCCGAAATTCTCTTCCCCGAAAATGCATTTATCGTGCGGTGGAAGGACCATCCGAGTTCTTTGGTAATTTGCGCTTTTTTAGCTTCGAATTTCGATTTTTTTAAGATCCGGTTCACGGCCCTGGAAGCCCTGAAGCGTGTGGATACAAAGAAGTTGCCAGATATACAGGTATTTTCTGTGTTTTTGTCTCGAAATTATTCCAGGTCGCCTCCGCCGTCAGCTGGCAAGAATCCCGAAAATCGATGGTCGAATTCAAGGAATTTGCCAAGCCGTTCGACTGGACGTACACCACAGATTTTTCTGGCACGCAGCAGGATATTGAGGTGAGATATAGCTTCGAGTATAGATTACATTTTCCTTAGGAAAATCCCACCGACAAGAAAATCGACTACGATCTGCTGAAGCGCCAGGACCCGATTCTGTTCTACGACCACAACGTGCTCTTTGAGGACGAGCTGCACGATCACGGGATGGCACAGGTGGTTTTGGATTTTAACAACAAAGTTTATCTTTGTTTTAGTATAGCGTTCGGGTGCGCGTGATGCCGACGTGCTTCTTCGTGTTGGCGCGCTTCTTCCTGCGAGTTGATCAAGTTCATGTGGGTTTATTTGGCGCTTGTAATTTTGGGTCGAAATACGATGCTTTTTGTATTTTTAATAGTCCCACCCGATAATGCGAAAAACCTAATTCGTTTTTTTTGCTAAAAAGCATTTTTCCGTGCCAAATTTAAACTCTTCTTTTCTATACTCCTCTATTATCCTTTTCAGGTCCGTGTCTGGGACACACGGCTGTTCGGCAAAGAAGGTGAATCGACCATCATCAAGGAATGGAGCCACCGCGAAGCTAATATTGATAAGATTCAGCATCTAGTCAGCACTTTTTGCAAATCCTTAGATGTCTTTATTTTAGGGCGATACCGTCATCAACGACCCGAACCTGATCGTCGCCCATCTGCCGCTGATCGAGGAGACGATCAGCGAGTTGAGCCCGAAAATCTCGGCATAATGGCCTCTACCCTGCCCTGTACAGAACCGTAATTTTTATGAGTACCCGAATACGTGTGATCTCTTGAGCCGAGTGAATAAACTTATGCATTTTTATGATCGGAAAAGACGTAGAAAATGTCGCCTAAAACGATTGGTCTTTGTGCTTGGCTCGGATTCGCAACAGTTCTCGCCGTGCCTCCTCGAACTCCATGAGCACCTTCATGATGCGCCAGTGTAGCGAAGAGTCCAGTCTGAAATGTGGATTTATATTTGTGTTTCTAGAATTTATAGGAAGAACTCTAACAAGCCCATTTTGAGAAGCATGTCTTACCCGATTTTGTTCAATCGCGATCCGTATTTTAGCCGATTCATCATCTCTGAGCTTACAAAAGCTCGCGATTGTACCAGTCTAGATACATTGACGATAAGGCTTCCAGCCCCTTCAGTATCAAGTCCGGCCCGGGAGCTGCCATTCTAAGTATTTGCAATTTTTTTTATCATATTTCTTCCCTTACCAGTGCCATAGTTCCAAAATAGTCTGTCAACGAGATCGGGTCCCCAACAAGTAATTCCCTAAATGTTTTCATGTCTCTTTTTGGTTTTGGGCGTCTCACCGTAGTTGTGCAAAATTATCACTTCCAGATTTCAACCTCCAAATTGGGACCTCTAGCCGGTGCCTACAACAAATTTTGCTTCTGTCCTTTTAGCTTTTTTTAGATTTACGTGTTGCCCTGAACTGGCAGTTGTATCGAGCCATAGCCAAGCGAGAAGCTTCTCCCCCAAAAATCTCGTGACATCACGCGGAACATTATAGTTGGCCACCAGACTAAAACGCTTTTAATTTTTATTTTGAAGGATTGGGGTTACCAGAATGATCAGTTGTCATAGCCATCGTTGGATCGTAGCTGAAAGAAACTTCGAAGAGGTGATTCAGAACCGCCACTCTATTCTCAAAATTTTATTTTTGCAACTTTTTTCTGTCTTTTACCCTTCCTCGTCGATTTGCAAAAGCATTTGCGCTGGTGCCGTGAACTGTCCCGATTCGCGGATCATCATCGGCCAAAATTTTGTCGCTCATCATGTCATTCTAGAAGATTTCACTTTAATGTCAGAAAATTTAGCGATTTTGCCCATAAAACCCGTATTTCCTACCGGCTCCTTCCTCAAATGCGCGGGGAATTTCACGGAATACTCGACGAAGAGTGGGTCCCGCGGAAAATTGATGGCTTCTGCTAAAAGTCTATTGGTTTTCCCTAGGGTAATAAAACTCACACAACTCCACGAAATAGGTGTACTGCACGAGCTGGCCGGTCGGAAGGTAGAAGGACTCTTCGCTTAGGTTTTCCTAGTTTTATAATGGATTTTCGGCAATTCTGAAGTACCATTTCCCCAGCCGGGCTCTCCTGTAGAATATCGGTAAATTCTTCGTCAAGAACTGTCACTGTAGCGGTCAGTGGTCCATTCCAGGTGTCCAATTTATAACCTAGGAGAGTAGGTTTTTGCCTTGCTTTTGCGATGATTTTCAATACCCGTTTTTGTCAACGGCGGGCTAAAGATTAGGCTTCGATTTCGAAAGCCGATCGTGCAAACAGGGCTTTCTTCCATACTGGTGGCGCGCTCAGAACTAAAATCGAATAAAGAAAAACGAGTAATGAAAAGCGCGCTCAGAACTAATTGCATTAAGAAAGAAGTAATGAGTAGTGATACTTACCCTAAAGCCGTAGATCTCACTACAACAAGCATGGCTTCTTCCTTGAATGGAATGTCTCGGCGCTCCTTTGATAATGGCAGATCGACGATCGGGTTCTCGCGATTCCAGGCCCTTGAAAAATCGGCGTTTTCGCTCACCGATAGCTTACTCAATCGGCGTGATCCTCCTCACCCCCGACCGGGGCAACGTCTTCGAGTCCGGACGGCTTTTCGGTGTCTTTTCATCGTCCGAGCTGGGTCGCAAGTGCTAGAAATTGCCTAAAACTTCCTTTTCTGGTCGTGCTCACCCGAAAATGCTCGGGCCACATCTCCTTATTCGTCAGTGTAAATAAGCGAGGGTCTGTTCTTACGCTAAATCGGACTAGAAGTTATTTAATTTTTGCCTTTATACCTGGGTTCCTCGGTTCTTTGCGGTACTACACCGGATTCGGCCTAAAGAGCTAGATTTTTTTGTAAAAATAGGATTTACCTTCGGCTCGACCTTTTGCCCCCACGAGAACTGGATCTGGTCGACAAGCTGAAATTGTTTTTTGTTGCTTTTTCATCGAATACGAAACCGTACTCTCTACGCATTTACCATTTTCTAAATTTCGCTAGCGCTACCGTATCCTTTAAATCTCTGCCAGCTGTTGTCGAACGGAATCATTTTTCACTGCTATTTTCCGGTTTTCTTACCACTTTTTTTTGTCCAAACTCACCTTATTTTCTTCATCCGGCCCACCGCGCGCATTCTCGGCCACATACTCGTGGAACGATGGCAAATTCTGCAGCTTACTCCCCGAATGTAGCGTAACCCTGACAAAATTGGCCCGAATTGGACGCTTTTTAGCCTCTAACCTGACTTTCATCGCCGAAATCTCGCCTTGAAAATGAAAGACAGAAGTAGAAGTCATTTTGGCGAATTTGAGAGGCTAGAATCAGTAACTAAAGCTAGGGCGCGACATTGCAAGCCCTCTGTCTCCATGGAAACGCTTTAGGTTTAGCTCGCGTAAAAGCGTTTGCTTTCTCTTTTCGGATGCCGATTCCTTCTATTTTGGTTTTCTGCGTAACTTTATCAGTGTGAAGTTATTGCAGTGTCTTTGCCTCTTTTGTCGCTCTCTTTCTCTATCCCTCTGTTCAATTTTCGCGCCCAAATTCCAGCCCATACACGTTCCCCCAAGGCTGTCCCTGCTTTCACCGACCACTCACTAGCCCTGGCTCGATTACTTACCCATTCGCTAAAGGTTTTTGTCTTTCGAACGCCTAACTATTTGCGTCTTCAGACAATGTCGACGACCATCAACAAGGAAAACATTCTGGAAGGGGCCACCGGTGACATCAAGAAACCTCGTCTCTCTCTGGATAACGTAAGTTTTCCTTTGTTAGATTTTCACTGTTTCCTTTCTAGAACCTCTCCGTCCGATTTGCCAAGCTGAACGAGAAGGCGCAAGCCCCAACCTATGGCTCGGCTTGCGCCGCTGGTGCCGATTTGTACGCTGCCGAAGATTGTGTCATCCCTGCCAAAGGTACGACTATTTTTTTTGGAGATCTTACTTGATTTTTCAGGCAAATACTGCGTGGGCACCGGCATCCAGGTCGAGCTCCCATATGGGTACTATGGTCGCGTGGCCCCTCGCTCCGGACTGGCCGCCAAGCACTTCATCGACGTCGGAGCCGGCGTCGTCGACTCGGACTACCGTGGCGAGCTGAAGGTCCTTCTCTTCAACTTCAATGACAACGATTTTGAGGTAAGGGATTTCTTTTTCTACACTTTGTTTATACCCTCGAAAACTGTTGGCCGAAAAATTTGTTTGTTGATTAGCAGCGCGAATTTGCTGTCTTATCTTCTAGAAAGATTTTTCTTTCTGCAGCTATTATCGTTCTTTCAGGTCAAGGTCGGCGACCGCATCGCTCAATTCATCTGCGAACGCATCGCCCACGTGCAATACCAAGAAGTGGAGACGCTCGACAACACGGAACGCGGCGCTGGCGGATTTGGCTCCACCGGGAAGTAAACTTGTTGTTTTCTCACCCACTCTCCCTTTCACTTTCCAACTTGAACTTGTAATCACACGGGCCTTGTATAACTGTAAATGCAATTTTCCACTTTCTCACTTTGAATTTGCGGGTTTCCAGAATAAATTTCCCAGTGACCAATGTGCCCAGCCCAAAAATACACCTTTCAGTTGTATAATTTCTTTATTTCAAGGCGAGAAATGCGACGATTAACAGGGCGATGACCATGAGATTCGTAATGGAAGAAGCGTTGCAAATCTAAAAAAAGGTGCTTTGTGCTTTTGGACCTTTTCTTTACTTGTCTCAACGCCTTTTCGTTGCCGATCCGCATAGGTTGAAGCTGGGTGATGAAGTCGGCCACCGGGCATTCCGCCGAGCAGTTGGGTAGCCGAAGAAGCCACGGATCGTGCGAAGACGTGTTCCGGTAGAAAATCTGGAACCGCTTGATCGTCGCTACAATACGCTGGCTAACCTGCGCGTAGAGATCGCTAGAAGGATCCCGAACTATTTCAACGAAGATACATGCCGCTGGCGGTACGAGGAGATCATTGGAGACGCCGAGAGCGTAGAGTAGTGGTGTCAGCGTGCCATCATGCTAAAAATCGTGATCAGGGTTTGCCTTATTCTATACCGAAGAGTAGAAAACGGCCTTCGGGCCCTTCTTTTCGATATCAGCGGCTTCGATACGCTTCAACCAATCGTCGACCAGAAGCCTGAATCACGTGTTTAGTTGCTACATAGTTTAGTTAGGTTTTAATTTGGTTCAAATTAAAACCGCTTTAGTTTTAGTTAGTTCCACTGCCCTTACCCGGATCGCAATTTAGCTTTCTGCAAATTGTTGTATTCTTCAAGGCGTCCTCGTCTCCTCAATTCCCGGATGATTCGCATCACCGGCACACCTTCCCAAACGGTGTTCACCCAATCCGGTTGCGGTAACCTGTGTGTAATCTGAAGGCGACTTCATCAAGGCTCGGATCGACTTGCCTCAATATCGACATCGGCGAGCTTTTTGACGTTCATAAAGCTGACGTTGAGCTTCGTCTCCACGGATAGCCAATCGAATAGCGGGCCGTAGCGTCTGAAAATTAGAGTGTATACCTATCATATAATTTTTAAGAAGTATCCGAGAAAATAAACTCTTAAAGGTTCTAAACCTTACTTGTCCATCTTCTTTGCCAATCTACGAACATCCGAATCCCTGACATGCCGGTACAAAGGGCAATCGTAGCTCGTCGGTTTTAGGAGCTAAATATATTTTTTTGCTAGAGATTTGCGGTCTTTTTTCGTTTTTTTTCCGCTCGATAAAACCTGGTCGGCTTTCATTTGAGCTCCGACTCACCGGGTCCTCCCTCCCATAGCCATTTGTATGGATGGGGATGGGCTGCCAGCCGGTGCTCGTGTTCCACCTGTTCCAAAAAAACAAGTCAATCCAAAATAAAGGTGACCCACACTCGATTGTCCTCGGCTGGGAAAAGCCCGGCCATCACCGTTTGCGCGGACTCGATGGCCCGCTCGGAATCGGAGGATTGGATGAAGACCTGGAAAATTAGAGAGAAACTAGCTATTTGATGTTCTTAGCTTACCTGCTTGTGATCAAACTGCTTTGAGAAGAGCCTTCCTGCGTATCGACTCCTCAAAAAGGTTCCAAGCTCGTAGGACCGCTTCATTCCGAGCTGCAAATTCGAGGGTTTTTGATTAGGCTAGGGGGTCTTTGACAATAACGGGGGTGGAGGAAGGGCTTTTTCCTCCGAGTTCAGAAATGCCTAGTAACGTTTAGAAGACCGAAATAGAAGAAAGTAGTACGCTTTTACAACTAAAAACGTCCGTCCTTTAAAAATGCGTCATTTTGGTCCAAAAAATTATATTTTTCGATTTTTTCATACAAAATTTGTAACGTTTTTGAGCTATAAAGTCGTAAAAAAATAGTGTAGGTACTACCTCTATCTATATTCGTTTGGAATTTAGGATTTTCGGATTTATAAAAATTCAGAATTCGGTTTGAAGTTTAGAAGAATTTAGCAGAAAAAAATAATTTCAGAAATTTTAGCTGTAAAAACCTACATTCGTCAGCTGATCCCATCCTCGCGGCCACGCATCAATGCTATTCTGGTCGTTCGGATAAGGCAATTGACCGGGAGCTCTATCTCCATGCCGCCAGATTGCCAGCAGCAACACGAGCTCTAAAACAGGAGATGAAGCTTTATTAAGCCAACCTAGTAAGATGCAAGCCTGAAAAAAAAACCTAGTAATCGCTCTGTAAAAACTGTAAACCCTACCCATGCCCATCCCAACCGCAGCGGAAATGATGCCGATCCGACCCGCGTTCCACAAAAATCACCCGGTCAATTTTTAGCCTCAACTCGATCTCTCTCTCTTTTTGATGAGTCAAGCGCGCGGCGTAGTTTTCCTTTTCGAAATGAAATCTATTGATTTAGCGCGCGGGGTTTGCCAGGGGATTTGCCTATGCTTTCCACGCTTGATATTGACTCTAGCGAGCGTGGAGTGAGGCCAGAGTTTGCGTGGTCTTTACGTTAGTCGTTCGAAATTCTATAAACGCGCTAGGGTTTAAAAAAGGTTAAAAAATCGAAAAAATTTAAAAAATCTAAAGAATCCCGAATTTTTGCATTTTTTCACCGGAATTTAAAAATTCTCCGGGTGGAAATAGCAAAAATCTAAAAATTAGCAGTTCGCGAATTCTGTTAGTAACGTTGGATTCTAAAAAAAGTTTGTCTGCCGACGCTTTTCAAAGCCCAAAAAGGCAGAGAAAATTTTTTCCTGACAAGTTTTAAACTCAAATACCGAAAGTCCAGTCCCAAAAAAGACCGGAAAGCGGAAATTGCTTTTGCAGGGTTTTTAGCAGGATTTAAGAAGCAAATTAATTGAGGCAAAAATCCGACCAACCTGCCGCCCGCAGCTGATCAGCCAGAAAAACGACGAGCACGATGACGGGCGACCACCGGGCCCTCATTGATCTTTTTCAAGCGCTCGACTTTCCAGCCTTTTCAGCGAGTAACAGCAGTTTCCGGCCGGGAACAATCGTGGGGAGTAGGGTAACTTGTCGCCTCCACTGATCCAAGGGTGGTGGCCGCCCGGTGGTTTCCTGCCCTGCCCCCCATCCAGTGCCGCCCAATATAAATTCGCTTACAGAGCGCCCAGATGTTGCCGCGGGGCTCTAAATCGACCGACATCCGCGCCAAATCCGCCAAATCACGCCCGCTCGCCACGACCAGGGGTCACGAATTCGGTTTTGAAATTGTCTGCGTCGCGGTGTGTGTGGCTAGTAACTGCTGATTGGCGTGAAATCCCAGGGCAATTTTTATTTTTAGGTGCTTTGGCAGCATCGAGCGGGGGAGGGGTCAATTTTGGTTCTAGACTGTTAGCGGCGGGGGGGATTGCGGAGGAAACCCGTCTTTGTTTTCCATTTTTACCACCTCTTGATGATGTATCATGTATTTTGATAGTTTTTAGTAATTTTTGATTGCTAGAAAGTTATAAAAATATGGAAATCATTTTGAAAATTCGAAAATTGAACTTCTTGGTCATTTTTCGTAGATTTATGACAAAAAAGGCAATAATTTGCGAGTTTTTTTTTGAGGTTTTTATATCTAAAAACCGGGTAAGATGCTATCGGTTTCCCCCCTGCTAACAGTCCAGTGTCAAATTGACCAATTTTTGTCTCGTTCGCACTCCTAAACGAGCGGGCGAAAATGAGCTCTTTATCAACGACATTATGGCACAAAAAGGCAAGGAACACAAAAAAATCACATCATACATTTACTGAAAAACCATCAAAAACCTAGTACACCGGGCCCGAAAAAAAATATGCCTAGAAACCACTACAATCGAGATCAGCCGAAAAATGCGCGACCTGATAACAATCGCAGGAAAATAAATATACCTAGCAATCAATGCAAAAACGTTTGACCTTCTCGAAATTCCGCTTTCCGCTGAGGTACAGCATGCCCGCGCCGTAGTCGTCGGGGACGACTTGGTGAACCTAAAGCGAGATAAGCAAAGATAGGATGGCAAAGCAAAGTCTGACCTCTCTCGAGTCGTCGGCCGAAAAGGTGAACGAGAACTCGTTGGTCATCTTTGTTTGTTGGAACTCCTCATCGCACGTCTCGGCGTAGACCCGGATCTGAAAATGGTAATTAAAAAATTTCAATGCTAAAGACAATAATTTTAAAGATCTTTCCCGCTTTTTAAAATTCCGGGTTTTCCGAAAAAATTGCTAGCACGAGAATGTGAAAGCGCAAACACAGCTGCAATTTGTCATTTTCTACTATAAAAATTCATGTGCAAAAACATTAAAAAATTCCATTATTTCAAAAACTATTCACCTGCATGAAATTCTTCTCCGTGTAGGTGACGCGGGCCGTAAACTGGATCAAATCACCAATGTTGACCGCCTCGCGGAACAGGATGTCGTCGGTGGAGACCAGCGAAACGGAGCCCTAAAACTCCACTAAAAAAATCAAAACTTAAAGACAACCTTTGAGAAATATTTCGCACAAATGAACGCTAGCTCGACGGCCTCTCGCATCAGGAAACCACCGAAGACCTTGCCGTAAATATTCTGTAAAATCTTCATCAGGAAAAAGGGCCAGGCTTACCTGAAATTCCGGGAAACACAGCTCCGTATTGCGCATCTCGGTATTCTTCATCCATTTTTGGCCGGGCTAAAGGCAAACAACTCTTTTTAACGTATATAATTTTTACCCTCAACGAAACCGTGTAATTCCCGCTGTTCGTCTGGTTGAGGTTGCTCAAGAAAATCTGGTGCAACGCCTTCCACTCATCAGGGGTGGGCGGCACTTTCAGAAGCGAGCGCTTTTCCTAAAAAGGTAATTCATTTTTTCTGTGATATTTGAACGCAAATAGAAAGTTTTTTATATCGTACTAATAAAAGATTTCCGCTTTTAAGCACACTTGTTTTAGTAGGTTTTTGGTGATCTTCCACGACTTTACATGTGCTGCGTCGGAAATTCCAGGGCCACAGCCTCCGTTGTTTCTCTGGGCTCTCTGCGCGCTCTCTGTTCTCTCGGCTTCTCGGAGCCCACAAAGAAAAATTTCCCCCCGCACAGTTTTTTCCCCCACGCGAAATAGAACAGAACCGGTAATTTTAATAGTTTAATCCCAACGATTGATACCTTATACTTTCGCTCCCGATTCGCCTCGGCGCCCTGATGCATAATGGCCGCTTCCTCGGGGGTGGTTGTGGTCAACGGATGAACGGGCATCACGCTGTTCAAGTCATTCGCATCGCGGGACACCTAAAAGCCCATTGAAAAGCATCAAAGAACAAGACCTACCAGCACAAAGTTTGCCTTCAGCACTTGTTTGAGGCTCTGATCGCCGGCGTCCTGCAAAAAATGGTTGTTTTTCGGGTGAAAATTATATAATTCTAATCTAGATAAACCAATCTAGCTTAATTTAGCGAATTTGAATGGTTTATTGCAACCGGTGTGTATGATTACAAGCGGAAATACTTTTTATTTAAGAAAGTAGTGAAAAATTGCTAAAAATTACCTGAAAAACTCGTATCGTCGTCTCCATCGACGAGCGACCAACCCAAGAAACGTGGCCTTCCAGTATCAGATCCCGATCGCCGAGGTGTACCCTAGAAAAGAAGTTCAAAACTCGAAAATTCCAATCAAACCCATGATATCCAATCCGATCCACACAACCCGTCACGATTGAGCGCGGCAGCGAAGGCGGCGAATCAAGCTTCGTGACGTCGGAACGATTATGAAGATAGCACAGCCAGACGGCGTAGTGGTCGAGGTCCTAGAACGGTAATTATATGAAACCCAATCCGTTTTTATAACCAGAACTGCTTCAAAACCGACCTCTAAAAGCCGGCCCATTCTGACGGTCCCCTTGGCAGTCAGATAGCGCCGTCGCTCCTCGCCGCTTCCAGATAGCCGCACCGTAACCTGAAGATAGTTTTAAAAAAAGGGTTAAGGTCCCAGCCATGGTCTCGAAAAACAGCTTATTTGAACTAGCTTATCTAGCCCTATTCTAAAAAATAGCAATACACCGGAAAAAAGCTTAAAAACGCAAAATCTCGGCTGGGGGGGGGACGCCGATCTCGACTTTAACCCGAAAATCAACAAAAACCAACCCGCGCAAGCGAATCCGCCATCTTCCGCGGCTCCAACTTGATAGTAGCCAAGTCGGAAGGCGTGGCAATTGTTCGAGCATCGCTAAAATTAAGCAAATCTTTTTAAAAGGGTCACAACTTACTGGACCTGCTTGTACAATAGCTTGACCGTCTCCTGCTGCGTCAGACCGGCGCTCGCCGAGTTGAAGCGGCTCTTTAAAACCAAAACTTTGAAAACAAGGTCGTTTTTCAAACCTGAATAGGGGTGAAGAATCTCCGTAATGCCGGCAGAAGCGAGTCGACGGCCTTCATTACCTGAAAATGAAACATAAGATTGTTTTTCCGTGATGATGCAATACAAAAATGAGAAAAAAGAAATGAAAATCGAATAAAAACTAATTTTTTTAGAAAGCGTACGAAACTGTACACATTACAACAAAGTCGTTCGGAGGTGCGCTGTGGAACAGGAATTTTACCTGTCGTAATCGATTCAAAATCAAAAAGTAATTTTGAAATAGCTTAATTTAGGCTATTTTTAATTCTTCTACCGCCCCCACTTCTTCTTAAAAGTTGTCAGCTGGGCGGCTTGACTCCTATTGACCAAACGGCTTAGCTGATTGACGCCAAGCGCACACGTGTGTCTCATTCTTGTTCGACTCGGAGCGCCCGGCTGGTTTGTTGTGGTGTTGGTGCCTTAGCCGGCTGCAAAAACCTCCGTCCATCTCCCGTTCTCTTGCCCGGCCCCGTGCCTACACATTGATTGCATGGGCCGCCTCCCCCCGCTCCGTCCATCCTTTTTTCGCCAATTTTTCACGCCTTTTTTAGGATCCGGCTAGCGTTATCAATCTCGTAGAGGGCAAGGTCAAGCGCGGTCAGGAAATAATCATGATTTCGGCACGAAAAAGTAATTTCTAGGGGCTTTTTCGAAGTGATTTTGAGGAATTTTGGCTTTTTCTGGACTTTTTATTGAACCAAAGCAACGTTTTTTTCAATTTTAGCCGTAATCGTGTCGCTAGAAAAAGTTTGCTGCTTTTGAAGCTTTTAATAACTCTTGATTTATATGTTTTTAGATAGTTGCTTTTTGGGTTTTTAGGCGTAAACCCTTGTTTTAGTCTATACAGCGGTAAAATTCCGCGCCCCGCTTCTTACCTCTTTTTTTTGGGTTTTCCGCTCAATCCGGGAGAAGCGGCGTCTGCTTCCGTTGCCCTAATGGGCTTTAGCCGTCGATTTGTCACGCTTGCCAGCCCTTGTTAGGCCCACTTCCCCGCCCATCAGGGCTTAGATTCGGAGGAACAACCCGGCAACGGCTTTTCATCGCTCTTTTATTGATTTTTGTTATGGTTTAAACTTGTCTTTTTCTCTTTTTCTAGTCAAAAGAAAACTCTTCTTTAGACTTTGAAATTTTGTGACTTTTTGATTCCAGGCGCGTCAAGAAACTCCAACGGCCATGGACGGCACCGAGGTGCGCCAGCGGCCGATCAGCCTGGCGGAGGAGCTGAGAAATGGTTCGTGAAGAGTGAAATTCCGGTTCTGGTTCGTTAGCGGTGGGGGAGGGGGTTTATGTCCCGAGTTTTTCGGTATGTTCTACTTTTTGTTCTCGTTTCTCAACATCTCAATGAGCAAAAACCTTTAAAATGGCACAGCTAAGCCAGTTTTAGACATGTTCGCGCTATTTTTGCGAGATTCTACGAACTCAATTTGATAAAACATAAAAAATTATGCTACGAATTTAAATTCCCGCTTAAAGGGCTGGAGAAAGATGGGCCGGCGTCCGTCGGGGTGACGGACCGCCGCGGCGCTACCATCGACGCTTTCCCTCGCGTAAGCGCCCCCAAAACCCCCCTCTCGCGTTTGAAGAAACCAGTTTATTGGCGATAACTTTTTCATTTGGGAACGTTTTCGACTAAAAATTTCCTGAAACCAAGGACTTGGTGATACGCATCGATGGTAAAAATTTGAGCTGGATTGGATAGCAGGCGGCCAAGTTCTGGGCGATTCGGGGTTTTGGGACACTGTTTTGGCTGAAAAAGAGGTGCATAGACAGCAAAACACCTCTAGAAAGTTGCAAAGTACGTTGCTATCCTTTAGCAAGGTTTTCTACAACATTTTTTAGCTATTATCACCATGAAATTGCTTTATTTCTAACCAGATGGTTACAGTCGCTTCGCGACTGCAACCATCTGGCCTTCGCGCTACCCTACATATCCCACTCCACCACATCCTTTCCCACCCCCATCAATACCCCCCATGGCTGAAATCCCCGTCAAAAACTACCTAAATACCTTTCCGATGGCTTTAGATACCCCCATAGCCGAAATCCCCTTCAAAAACTACCTAAATACCTTTCCGATGGCTTTAGATACCCCCCATAGCCGAAATCCCCGTCAAAAACTACCTAAATACCTTTCCGATGGCTTTAGATACCCCCCCATAGCCGAAATCCCCTTCAAAAACTACCTAAATACCTTTCCGATGGCTTTAGATACCCCCCATAGCCGAAATCCCCTTCAAAAACTACCTAAATACCTTTCCGATGGCTTTAGATACCCCCCCATAGCCGAAATCCCCGTCAAAAACTACCTAAATACCTTTCCGATGGCTTTAGATACCCCACATAGCCGAAATCCCCTTCAAAAACTACCTAAATACCTTTCCGATGGCTTTAGATACCCCCCATAGCCGAAATCCCCGTCAAAAACTACCTAAATACCTTTCCGATGGCTTTAGATACCCCACATAGCCGAAATCCCCTTCAAAAACTACCTAAATACCTTTCCGATGGCTTTAGATACCCCCCATAGCCGAAATCCCCGTCAAAAACTACCTAAATACCTTTCCGATGGCTTTAGATACCCCCCCATAGCCGAAATCCCCGTCAAAAACTACCTAAATACCTTTCCGATGGCTTTAGATACCCCCCATAGCCGAAATTTCCGTCAAAAACTACCTCAATACCTTTCCGATGGCTTTAGATACCCCCCATAGCCGAAATCCCCGTCAAAAACTACCTAAATACCTTTCCGATGGCTTTAGATACCCCCCATAGCCGAAATCCCCGTCAAAAACTACCTAAATCCCTTGCCGATGGCTTTAGATACTTTAAATAATTTAAATAATTAATTACCATAATTAAAAAGTATTAAAGTAACTTAAAAACACTATTTGGACGCGTGAAGGGGCCTAGGGAAGTGGGGCGAAGGGAAAGGGGGCGTAGCCTCCCGGGAGAGGGGCCCCCACTCGTTTTATTAAGGCGCCACTTTCAAAGTTAATTTTAATAATTTAAACTAAAAGTTTTTCATAATTTTTTTATCAGTTTGGGGGTTTCTGACGGCGCTCTATCCGAATCCGAAGAGAGCTAAGCTCTAGCTCCTTTCCCCTTCGAGTTGAATTCGGCTTCACACAGAGACCACAGCAAAATTATTATAGTTGATGGCAGTTCTTGTACAGGTGGCAATGCGCGCTAGGGTATGTGGGGGCCCTCCGCCGCCCTTCTCCACTTGACTCTCTGGTGTACTGGCTAGCGCATCGGACTGCGGGGCGGACCATCCCTGGTTCGACCCCCGTCCGGTGCGACCCTCTTTGCTCTTTCAGCGATTCCATCTTTCTCCAGCCCTTTAATAGAGTCGCAGGCAAGTTGCGAAATAACCCCACCGCTAAGGAACCAGAACCGAAATCCCTATTTTCTTGACGTGCTCGATTTTGTATTATTTATTACTTACAGAGCCGAACGCTCGGAGTCGCCACAGCCCAAATAAGCATGGTAGCGTGGAAAAGCTTACTTTGTGTTCAAAAACGCTAACGCTTCGCATGAAATAATTTTCGAGGGATATTTTTCCTTTTCAGCCAACAACGAGCCCCGGGCCACGTCCGATGAGAGCGACATGGATCAATTTTTGCAGGACGAGGACAGGTGTGTATTGCTTTTTTAGGTGCATAAAACCCTTCCAGCGATGCTCGGGCTAAAAAAGAAGCGGATGCGGGGTTGGTATAGCATGTGGTGTGGTGTCTTAGTTATTTTTTGGGTCTTTTTGTCGTTGTGGCTTTGCTAAAGGTAAAAAGTTACTTTTATAGGCTGGCCGACCGGACAAAATTGCTGCCGCAGGGCTCGGACAATATGGGCGCGCTTGTGGATTCGTTTCTCTCCGGGCTTGATCCAAGGTAAGGGTTATAAAGAGGAAATAAGGTGGTACTGGACTGTTAGCGGGGGGAGCGGAATTTTTGGTTTTGCACGTTTTAAGAATATAAAATGTACTCGCTACAAAGATTTTGCTGTTTTATGGCGATTTTTCAGGCCTTTTCGTCCAAAAAGTGAAGAATTTCGTAAATTGAAAATTTTTTATGAAGTTTTTATACCTAGCAATTAAAAATCTATAAAATTGACTAAAAAAATGGGTTATAGGGCCGTACTGAATTACTATGAAAAATGTGACCCCCCTGATAACAGTCCAGTACCGACCAGGCTATTACTTTTTTTAGATGGAGAAATTGGGTCGTCCGAGGCATTTTCACCATCGTCATGGTCTCCCTCTTCTCGTTAATTGTCAGCAAGGGCCCGTTGTGGCTAATGTTACTGGTAAGGTTTTCTAACTTTATCGTATAACTTTTTCAGGTTTTTGCCATTCAATTCAAGTGCTTCCACGAGATCATCTCCATCGGATTGGCCGTCTATCGCCTGTTCAATTTGCCGTGGTTCCGAACCCTTTCTTGGTAAGAAATCACGTTTCTTATGTTTTTTTTGTGGCATTTTTTAGGTATTTCCTCTTCACCTCCAACTATTTCTTCTTCGGCGAATCGCTCGTCGAGTTCTGGGGAATTTTGCTGAAGAGAGATGTACGGTTTTTGAGAGCTGTAGGTTACGGAAATTTCAGAACTTCCTCCACCTCCTGATCCAGTACCACCGGCTGATCAGCTTCGGCCTGTACTGCATCGGCTTCGTGTGGTTCGTGCTGTCGCTGCAGAAGGGATACTACGTCCGGCAGTTCAGCCTGGTCATTATTGTTATTTTCTAAGTTCAAGGAATTATTTTATAATTTTTTTTGGTAATTTTTTATTTCCAGTTCGCGTGGACGCACGTGTGCCTTCTGCTCGTCGTCTCCCAGTCGTTCCTCATCATCCAGAATATTTTCCAGGGATTGATCTGGTAAGTCAAACTTGTTGAAAAAAGCGACTTGGGCCGTTTGAAATAGAGAGTGTTTTTAAACTTATCGATTTCTCCGAAAAATTCTGATTTTCGGTCAAAGATGCTTGAAAATCCTCAAAAACGATGAAAATGACTATATTTCGAACCTTTTTTACGACTTCTTAGGAACCAAAATTAACCGCAAACGCTCCAAAAAGCAAATAACTCAAACGCACAAATTTTTGTTCTGTTAGGGAGGTAGCTTCCCCCTCCCGTTAATAGTCCAGACCCGAAAATCTCGCTATTTTTCTATTTACACCCTTAATTTGCGATTTTTCAGGTTCCTGGTGCCGGTGGCGATGATCATCTGCTGCGACATCATGTCCTACATGTTCGGCTTTGCCTTTGGCAAGACGCCGTTAATCAAGGTGACTCGTTTTTACTGATCATGAACTTCTCCTTTTAGTTGAGCCCGAAAAAGACATGGGAGGGCTTCATCGGCGGCGCCTTCAGCACGGTGCTTTTTGGGCTGCTGGTAAGCCAGATTTCCGGGAAAATTAAAGCCATTTTAGCTGTCATACGCGCTGCTCGGGAAACCGGCGATGGTTTGTCCGCTGGAAGATTATACCACCGAGCAATACAACTGCACGGTAAGCTTCGTTAAATGGCTGTTTTGAAAAGAATGTCGAATTTTTAAGCTCGAAAACGATAATGTCGAAATTCAGAATGTCGAAAAGTCATAATGTCCAAATTCTTGCGTAGGAATTTCGCGATTTTCGAGAGATTTTGAAATTTCGCTGTTCAAGCATATCTGGGATTTCGGCGTTGTAAATCTCGATATTCTGGAATATCGGCGTTATGAAATCCCGACATTCTGATATTTCGGCATTATAAATTTCGATATTATAAATTTTCGGTTATATGAAAAATGTCGACATCCTGCTAGAAATTCATCTAATTCGTAAAATAACATTTTTCAGATCCCCTCCTCGTTCTTGATCCACGAGGCCGAGTACCCGGTGTTCCTCAAGTGGCCGATGAAGCTGTTGAGGTGATTTTAAGCCCTAGAAGGTTACTGTCTTTTTTTAGGCAACCCACCACCTTCAAATTCTACCCATTCCTCTTCCACTCGATATCTTTATCACTTTTCGCGTCGATTCTCGGGCCATTTGGCGGATTTTTCGCCTCGGGCTTCAAGCGAGCCTTTAAAATCAAGGTATCGATCTTTTTGATACGTTTTATTGTTTTTAGGACTTTGGTGACGTAATCCCAGGTCACGGCGGCCTGATGGACCGCTTCGATTGTCAACTTTTGATGGGCACCTTTGTCAACGTGTACATTCACTCATTTATCAGGTCCGTTTCGTTTTGGTTATGGTGCGTTAGCGGGAGTATCTAATTTCCGTTTCAACAAATTGCTAACAACGATTTCAAAAAAATTTCGATTTGGACCATTTTTTCCCGCTTTTTAACAAAACTTCCAAAAGTATCGAAATTTTTAACGATTTAGTATCGATTTTTATTGCTCAAAAGGCCGTAAAATGCTAGCGTTTAAATCAAGCTAAAAATTAGATAAGAGGTTGTTGGTAGTTGTTATTTAAAAAGAATCTCTGCTCGTTTGCCTATTTTTATACCTGAATTTCAGGGTCCCCAACCTCAGCAAACTGCTGCAAAACATCTCCCTCCTTCCCTCCGAAGATCAGCTGACCATCTTCAACGCGCTGCAAGAGGAGCTGAAGACGGCCGGTCTCATCTAAACAACGTCTGCGTAAAAATTAAAAAAAACATTAGCATTGCGGTTAGCAGATTAGTTAGCACTATTATTGACACCATTTCCCCTTTCTTTTCTAGCTGCAATCAATTTGTAAAGTTTAAATTGTACTCGCCCACCCCTCAATGCTCTAAAATGATGGTCTCTCCCCCAAAACAAGCTGTTACACCCTTGTACTGCTACGATACATTGCCCATTGTCGATTTGATGTTTCACGAGAAAATATTCCAGATCTGTTTGTCGATTTTTTCTTCGATATTGATTTGGTTCTTTTGCATTATCGGGGGCGGGGGATTTGCCTCTCCCGAACAGCTAGCAATGCCTAATTATTTAATTGGAATTATTTTATTAACGTTTTGAGTAAAATATAGACTTTTTCACAAAATTTGGAAAATTTACGTTTAGCAATCGTAAAAAAACATTTTAGAAACACGGCCGTCGTTTGTAATGGAAAAATTTTATCAGAAGGCCAAAAGTGCCCCCCGATAATGCGCAAGAACCCTTGAATTTCTTCATTTCTTCCGTTTCCCCCGTCTGTAAATTCCCAGATCTTTGTGACAAAGTGTGATCGCTAGACACCCCCGTGTTGGATGTATTTTTTTCTCGCTCTCTCGTCAATATTTCGCTTTTCACGCCCATTGCAACCCTCTACTCTTAACACACACCACATTCGAGCTGTATCTATGTTGCTTTATATTTAGTCGTCGTCGGATAAATGTTTTATTGTCAATCGGAAGTGTCTTTATGTTATTTGTTCTTTGCAGAGGATTTTCTAGGAGCAAGCTTTTGGCGGTTCAGAATTAGCCTGTCTTTTTACAGAGATGGCAGAACTAGCAGCTTACCGGGAACAGGTGCGGCATAATTTTAAAGCTAAAAATTATCTTGGTTTTTAGCTGGATGAAATTACCCGTCAACAAGCAGCAGACCCAGGCGCAGGGCTAGAAGAAGAAGCCAACGATCTGCGAGAGCTGATCGCACTGCTCGAGGCCGAAGCCCAGGATGAAGCGGGCGAGGGCCCATCGACAGCCCCGGAGCCCCAACAAGACGAGGAATTTACGGCTTATCTAGAAGCGCTGCTGGGCCAGAGATGCATGGCTCCGTTTTCCGGGTATGTTTTGTTGCCGTTAAAAAATTACAGCTACATCGGCGTAAAAACCTCGGCAAATTGGCTTAATTTATATGAAGCCCGCCTAGAAATGAAGAATACTAGATCTACTTTGTGGTTTACGTAATTTTAACTAATTACAAAATTTAAACATACTTTTAAAATTCATAAAAGAAACTTTTTTGACCAAAAACTTTGTTTCAAACCTCTCTATTTTATTTAAGGTGTCTCGAAAACACTATGAAATGTTTTTAATTGTGAATAAGAATGGGAAAAATATGTTTTATTCGCCCCGACAGGCTTCGGTTTGTTTTGATCTCTGAAAACTTTTAGCGCTTCCCTACGAATTCCTCAGCACGCAGCCATCATCTTCGAGTTTGACTCATCGGTGCCAGCGGGCGAAGATTTTAATGTAAATTTTATAAATTTTATCAAACGACCAGGGTTGAAAAGCCGCTTCGCGACTTTTCAACCCTGGCCCCCGTCGTACCCCCCATACTTCGTAACTTTGCATAAACCCCTGAATTCCTGTGCAGAAAAATGAAAAGCGCGTCCTCTCTCCCATTATATAGGCTTCCCCCACTTCCGGTGCATGCAAATTGATTCCTAACAAAGAGGCCGAGCGAGATTTTCACAAAAACTTAATTTTAATGTCGAAAACAGCTGATTTTTACAAATCTCATATGCGTGCAGTCGTGTCATGACCATTACGCACCTAATGACGTATCATACGTACCCCTAACTTCCTCTCCTATTGAGATACGACTGGAACATACGGACGGAAGTTGCATGCAAATGGACACACACACACACACACACACACACACACACACACACACACACACACACACACACACACACACACACACACACACACAAACACTATTTTTTTATATATAGTAGGATCTAGAGGCCAAAAAATAAATTCATGAATTTGACCTTTTTAAAACGCGAGAAAAAGCATTTTAGGTCCGAATCCTCTACTCCCACCCGATGATACAAGCCATGTCGCCCTGCAAGGCCTTTTTACAAAGTGAGAATTATCTAAAAAACTTACCAAAATTTAGATCGCTGCAAATTTGGGGAGAAGTGCCGCTTCTCACACGGTGAATCGATCCCATTCAGTCAGCTCGAAGACTATGAGGAGCCCGAATTCGAGTAAGTCTGGATTTTACTGCTCATTTACAACTTTTTTAGGTCCCTGCAACCCGGGAGCCTGGTCCTGGCCAAAATAGACGACCTATGGGAAGCGGCGCGGGTGGTGGACCTGGACAAAGAGAGGTCGTACGCTATTTTCCTCTTTTTTTTCTACGGTTTTTTAGTGAAATGGCCGTGCGGTTGTTGCAATCGCAACGCGAGACGCGGGTATCATTTGCGGAATCGGTCCCGCTACCATACACGGAAGTACAACGTGAGATCTTTCTAAAAAACTGGTTCTCCGCATTCATTGGGGATGAGATCCCAATTTTTTACAAAATGCAGAATACTTATAATCGTATAGTTGTAATGGCGTAATAGAGAGTATCATAATCGTGAAAGCTATCTTAAAAACTTCAGAACCGTTTATAGTTCGCGATTTTAATCGAGCATCGGTCATTTGTGGTCCAAAAAGCTATCTTTCTTGCTGTTTTAGGAATATTGTAATCACGTGATGTTGCAAAAGTGTGTTAGGAGAATTGATTTTTAGTTGCCGTAGAAAAATGATCTATCAAACATCTAAAATTTAAAAAATGCTAGATTTTTGGCGAAAACCGGCCAGTTTTAGTCCAGAAAACGATTTTTTGGTTTTTTTTTATCTGTAAAATTGGTAAAAAATGTAATGTTTATTTCTTGAATACTATACAGCGACGTTTAGAGACGAAGGAAGAAGCTATTGAAGTCCCTTCATCCGTTCTCGATTCTGTAGATCATTTTTCAGAATTAAAGGTAGGAGCTTTTGGTTTGGCTTCACCATTTTTCTAGGGTCTAAAACATGGCAACGTGACGGTCGGCGAGCTTGGGAACTGGCAGGGCGGCGGCTTTGGCCTGAAGCTGATGCAGAAAATGGGATACAAGTGGGTTTTATTTTACGAATATAATTATTAATTTTTATGGCAGTAATATAATTCGTTTGCAAAACTAAAACTTCCAGATTAGGCCAGGGCCTCGGCAAACAAAGTGACGGCATCGTGCACGCAATCCAGGCCACGATTATGCCAAAAAGTAGGTGGTAGACTGGTTTCTAAAAATTTTTTTTTAGAAAAATCGGTCGACTACGTCTTCAGGAATAAGGACAAGAATCGTGTCGTCGACGGGAAAAAGGCGCACGAACGGATAGGGAAACAATTACAGCTATCAACGTATGATTTGTGAGATAAATCAAAAACGTTTTTTAGGGGTATTGAGGCGGACATTTTCGAATTTTTGAACCGCCGATTCGATGCGGGACCACAGTTGAGCGCCGAGGAGGCCATTCGGGTATGTTTGGAGATAGAAAGAAAAAAGCAGGTGCTTTTTCAATATCGGGGACAGGTGTTTGTATAAGTCTGGAACTCTTTTTAGATTAGCAAAGTTGTATACTAAAGAAAAAAGTTAGTTTCCGCGGATGACCCCCCCCCCCCCGATAATGCAAAAGTACCCGAAGCTAAATTCTTAATTTTTAGAAAGAACGAAAGCAGTTGAGCGAGGCTTCCGAGAGCAGTCTTCTCAGCAATATCCTCGACGCCGAGAGAAAATTGAAAGATCTGAAGAGCAAGAAAGTAAAGCTGGAACAGGTATCGTAAAAAACCTATTAAAAATTTGAGCCAATTTAGGGGATCTTCAGAAACAGGACCGACAAGGCAACGGTCGGGCGGCTACAAGCATCACTGGATCAGGTAAACAGTTCAAGTATATCTTTACCTTTTGTTGTGTTCTTGGTATGAAGTAGAATGCGCTTCGGACAACAGTATCAAACAACTGTTTATCTACATAAAGTGGTGGCAGGAGGATCGGCAACAGACATCTCTGTGCCGATAAGTGGACCCGCAACGAGATAATACAATCTAGTCTTAGGCGGGAAGTGGCGCACGCGACGCGACCGCAGGGGGGCGCGCGCCGGTGGCTTACCCACTGGATAGGAGGGACAGCCGGGAAAGAGGATCTATTGTGGTCTAGCAAGCTAGCACCACAACACCTTTAAAAAGCTATATTTTTAAAGTTGTATTTATGTTTCTTTTCTAGGTGATACGCGATATCTCGAGCGCAGAAGGGTCGCATCAACGAGTACAAGGCGAGCGGGACAGTCGCCAGCGGAAGAAGGATCTCTTCTAATATCTAATATTTCTTTTTTGCCTTTTATGATGTGTTTTTCCATGGATAAACCTTACTACAAAATCTTTGGGAAGTCCAGAAATTGTGAGCAACGTAATAGTTAGTATTTTAATAGTATTTTTAGCCTATTAAAGTGGAAAAACTATTTATAAGACTTTAAAAATGTTAAATTCGGAGCTTTGGTCGAAAGATCGAGTCTATTTTGTTTTTAAAAAAACTAACAACGTGTTTACGCGTTAGAATAATCAAAAAAAGCAATTTAGAAACGCTTCCTATATTCATATTAGCAAAATTGGATACAAAATTGGATGCAAAATTGAATAAAGAAAAAGTGTTACCCCGATGATGCCAGAGAACCATTTTTTACAAAGCTTCAGTTAGCTTTGAATTCCGCGACTGTACTAATTCCGCATACAACGAAGTACAACAGTTTGCGTAATTCGGAAAGTGATGTAGCCGAGCGTAAGCTGGAATTTTTTAATTTACGACCCAGATGACAACACGTTTTAGACGAGAAGCCATACAATTTATCACCAGTATTGCTGATAGTAGGTAAAGTACATGTTCTTTTCGTCCTCCAGTGAAAACGGGGCCTTGGACCCACGCTTCTCGCCCAGCGCGGAGACGCGGGGTTCTGGGATTCGGAGCACGAAGCGCCAGAGCAGCCAATAATCACGGCGAAACGACTCGACGCCGAAAATCAGCAGCCACATGTGGACAATGATGGTTCTGAAGGAGGGTGGGGGTTGAAGCGGAGAAACTGGTGGAAGGTGAGCTAGCAAGGGCGACTTGGGAGCTTATATTTTAAAGGCAAGCTAGCACGGAGAATTTAGGAATCCTTTCGACAGGGCAAGCTAGCAGAGTGCATTTCGGAGCGCATCCAAAAATGACAGGCTAGCGAAGGCCATTTTAGAGTTATTTGAGAAGTAGCCGCGCTAAATTGGGCAGAACGGGGCAAGCTAGCAGAGAGCTTTGGAGCCCATCCAAAAATGGCAAGCAAGCTGCAGGAATAATTTGTGAAACGCATCGCCAGGGCAAGCTAGCAGAGTATATTTCGGAGCGCTTTCAAATGGGCGACCTAGAAAGAACATTTGCGAACTCTGGCAAAACAGGCCAGCTTGCAAGGGTAACCTTATCGATAAGGAGCTTGCAGTGGCCATTTTCGAGTTTTGATTCGAAAGGCAAGCTAGCAAAGGCCATTTGGGAGTTTTTAGCTTAATAGCAAGCTAGCAGGGATAATTTGGGAAATTTTTCTGCTTGGCGCAAGCTAGCAGAGAGGCTTTCGGAGCGCAAAAGACAAGGGCAGGCCGGCAAGGACCATTTACAAGAAGTAGGCTAGCAAAGACCATTTGGGAAACTCTATCCGAACTATTCCGAAACCTACATCATAACGGTGAGGTCAAAAAAGACGAGCATCAACTGGGCGGGCAGCGAATTCGTGTCGAGCAGTACGGTAGGGATCCCTCCGAAGAAAACGGCAGTAATATTCCCGGCAACGCTCCACCGGAATAGCCGGTTCATTAACTGAAAAAGATATTTTTTTCCTCCTAGTTAAGGTATCCTATTGGTTTCGTTTCGTTTTCTTGACTATTAAATATGAAAATTACCTGTAAAACTTCGATATTTTCCTCCAACTGAAACCGGCGACTCAAATATTCGGCTTGGAAATTGCGGCGGTGGAGCCGATTTTTTTGGAACTGCGTCATCTCACGATGTCGCTTGAGATTCCATGCTAATAGGGAGCGAAGACACTGGAAAATCATAGGGTTTTAAGCGTATTTTAACATTTTGATTTATTTGGTTAAAAACTCCAATAATTTCTAGATCTTTCCAGCCAGGACACACTGCTCCAAAAAGTCCCAGAATGACAAACTTTACAGATGAAATAAAAACCTACAAAAAAGGCTCCCACGGTTACGGCGCCGACGGCCGGAAAAAAGATGGCGAACAGCAGCTTGTAATTCTCATAGAGGTCTAAAAACGTAATAGTTTATTTGGAAGTTGCTTTTTAATTTTTGGACATTTTTCTGGCTGCAGAAATTCAGCTGCCACGTGTGTGTCAAGTGTTTGGAAACGTGGGGAAATTAATAAATATTTTGGAAGGTCAGAAGGCGGGATTTTTCTCGCAACAGAACTGGGCAAGATACTGTTGCCGACAGTTCATTTTATCGAAACCAATTTTGTCGAGAATACAAAAGGACAAATTTGAAATTTCTGAAATTTCTACATGTTTGAAACTACTAATTTCGACAAGGTCATACTCGACAAGATCAAATGTCGTCAAAATGTAATTAAATGTCGTCAAACTGAAATATCGTCAAAATAAAATATCGAAAAAACTAATTTTCGACAACTGATTTTCGACAAAATGATTTTCCAAAAAAGTTTTTGGGAAAATGAATTTCGATAAAAATGAGCTACAAAATAACCCACGAAAAACGACAAGGTATGTCACAATCGAAGCTTCAACCAATCCAACCACCGTCAGCCCAATCGCCAGCCGCGGACTCCGATTTCGCTCGTATTCCGCTGGATCGCGTGAAGCCACCAGCCGCTCGATACATACCCAAGGGCAGAAGCAGGCCTGGAAATTGGCAAAAATCAGATTAAAGAAAGTGGAACCCCAAACTAACCACCTCGTAAATAAGTGGGGTGAAGCGTCCAAAGGTTGCCGCGACGGCAAGTAGCGGAAGGGAGCCTTCGCCTGAAAAATTGGGCTAAAAATTCATAAAAAAGAAGGTTTCATGGGCTTTATATGTAGTACTAAATCTATATTTGGGCGACCTTTAGTAATTTTTAAAGTTTTTTCAATTTTTCTTGATTTCAAGGAAAAATGCGATCTATCGGAAGTAGCTTTTTTTTGAAGTGCAACAACCTGACGAGTCTTTCAACCTTTTTAGTGTCAGGTGTCTGTGTGAAATTCTACGGAGCGTGAACTTCATTCGTTCGTCAGTCAGACCGTAAATTCGTCAGTTTGCGCGTACACCTACCGGCCGGCTTCACCTGTCCTCCGCCCGCCAACTGCCAGCGAGCAGAAAAACATTCAAAAATAGTCATGGAAACCAACAAGATCTTTGCTACAGAAACGAGAATGAACTTTATGGGCATCAAAAAACAAAAAGTTGGTGTCTAGCCTAAGCCAAATCTAAGCCAAGCCTAAGCCAAGCCTAAGGTAAAGCTAAGCCGAAGCCACGCCTAATCTAAGCCTAAGCTCAGCCTAAGCTCAGCCTAAGACAAGCCTAAGCTAAGCCAAGCCTAAGCTCAGCCTAAGCTAAGCCTAAGCTAAGTTTCAGCTAAGTCTAAGCTAAGCCTAATCTAAGCCTAAGCAAAGCCTAAACTAAGCCTCAGCTAAGCCTAAGCCTAACCAAAATGCAGCACTTACCCTCATATCTGAGCCATTGAAATTGAAAAATAATAAGCAATATCCGCGAAAACACGGCGACAAATATCAAAATAACGATCGATAGGTAGATGAGGCGGAGGTTGAGGTGGAAATGGCCTGAGCGGATCAGGAGGGCACCCAGAATCGGAAGATTGGCCAGTACGCCAAGTGCCAAAAGACACTCCACGCCGGCCAGGATCGCGCATGGTAGCACCACGATCGATTGCTAAATTAAATTAAGCTTTTAAATTCCGTAAGCTTGATGGCGAAAAGGGAGAATGCCTGAATGCCGACTGCCGAAATGTCGACAACCAAAATTCAGAAAGAAAATCCCGACGGCGGAAATCGCGACAAGTGACAAACCGCAACGGGGAAAATCCCGCCAGCCAAAATACCGACATACAACATAGCTGCTTTAAGGAAATGACAATCAAGAATGTTTTGGGATTTCGGCTGTTGCGATTGGGCCTGTCGAGATTTTTCCCTGTAGGGGTTTTTGAGCTGGCCTATCGAGATTTTTCCCTATAGGGGATTTTGATCTGTCGGGGTTTCGGATGTCGATATTTGGCCTGCCGGATTTTGGCTTTCGGATTTTCTGTCGTGATTGAGGTTTTTTCTGTTGTTGATTTTTATAACTTCCTAGCGGTCAAAAAACACTAACGACGCTATAAAATGCAGTACATTATTAACAGGTTAAGGCGGAAAGTAAGAAATACCTCAGCCCCCCCCCCGCTAACAGTCGAGTACCGCCAATACCGCGGCACCCAAGACACGCGCATCCTTATGGATTTTGGAACGCAAATGTAGGTAAAAGACCTTATCGAGTAAAGCTATTTAAAGGCCTCAACTCTCAGAGTGAAGGTATCGCGTCTAAATTGGCGTTTTTATACGCGTTGCGGCCCGCCTTACGGCTGGCGTTGCGGCTCTGGCGGCAAATTGAGGAAAAACCATAGGGAAGAAATTACCTGAACGACGGTCGAGTTGATGAACACAGCCACATAGAGATGGGTGCCCTCCCACTCGACAAAGTTCATCGCCACCACATTGGCCACGGTTACGGTAGCTACCTCGAGGCGAGTACAAAATGGTACTAACCACGAATGGGCCGAATAGAACCACGAGTTGGCAATGGGCTTGCCATTTAGAAATGCTATAGGGCAAAGACAGGTGTTTTTAGGGTTTTTGTAGACAGGGGGTGAGGGATCCCGAAACAATTTCACCTGGATTTAATCCGATTTTATCGATTTTGATGGTATATCATCGAAACCAAACTCGATGTAGAAGGGGGGAAATTTCCAGGTGAACGTACGCTTCGAGGTTCCAGGCTTCCGGCATGAGTTGTGTTTTGTTGTCAGGATCGATCTCTCATTTTTCTTAAGATCTCTGTTTTCGAAATATATATTTAATCGATATTTTGATTTTATAAAATTTGGACTATTTATTTAGCTGGTCCGCACTCTGGAATTTTAAAATATGGAGTCCAGATATCATCGAGAATTGGCACCAATTAGCAAAATGCAGGTTACTTTCGTTTCGTTTTCTTTATACATGCATTACAGTTGTTTATCGATTGATATATACGTCATATCGATAATAGATACCCCGAGGCATTATTGGGCAGACCCTCGGGGTCAGACCACCCCTCCTTATCCCCTATCTTACACTGAGTGCCCCCTTCCACGTCGCGACTCGCCCCTCACCTGGACCACCTCTGCACCGGAAATGCACACACCTCACTGCAACTACATCGCTTCTGGCCCCTGGCTTAGATCAATTTGTAGTTTATGTTCTTATCGGCTTAATCTCCGATACGTACACTATTGTGTACAACGAGATTAACATATTTTTGGAAATGGTTCGGTTAGCAGAAGCTTGCTTCTCGCCAAACAGCGTCGTCCCGGCATTGCACATGCCGTCGGGATCGGCGCACACCCCCACAACGGGTGAATAATCTGAAAAACGAAAAGAAATAAAGGTATCGTAAAATACCTGAACTACGAAATACACCAACGTACGGTAGATAGTATTTTAAAGTACTGTGGACTGAAGCTAGGGTGGTACGATCCAGAGGGCGAAGTATAGATCGCTACACTGAAGCTTGAAAATGATACCACGATAACTTATAAATACACCGAATACAGTAAAGTATAAAATACGGTCCATAACACTACACCTTACGTGCCTACAGTACCCCCCGTTCGCCCGCGTTCCGACATAGTCCGGCCGTAAAACTTCGGCTACAACTGTTTCTTGTACATTTCTACCCTATCTCTCTCTCTTGCCCTCTGTTGCCAAATCCCATATCAGAAGCCATGAGCTACATGAGGGCGTCATCAACAACACCGGTTTAGCAACAGACGGATGCGTTCCACCGCCTCCAACCCGAATTTGTAGCCGGCCATGGACCAAAAAAGCTGCCTAGCAAGGTTTCTACCTGACGACCACACCCAACGCTACAAATATAGAGACGATGCAGCTGAGTGTCATTTGGAAAAACCGGAAGCGGCTCCCTATTTACAGGCCCATTTTTGGGGTTTTTTATGCCGATTGCGGTATCTTTAATTAGAAATGGATGAATGGAAATGAAATTTTGGCGCTACGTTAAAATTTCGATCTTCTTGAATTCGACATTCGATTTCGGCGCTGCGAAAATTTTTACCCCCATGATCTTTAGTTAGTATCAAAACCAGATACTAATTTCGTGATTGATTGATGGAGAATGCCATGCTCGTGCATATTTAAACGTTTGGCGCCAAATAATATACCCCGAGACACTCTTGGGCAGATCCCCGGGTCAGGCCACCCTTCCCTACCCCCTATCTGTGCGTACACTGAGTGTCCCCCCTTACGCTCGCCGAGTCGTCCCCCACCTGGACCACTCCCCCACCGAATATACACACCCCTCCACCCATCTACATCGCTTCTGGCCCCTGGCTATGATCAATTGTTAGTAACTGTTCTTATCGGCTTAATCTCCGATACGTACACTATTGTGTACAACGAGATTAACATATTTTTGGAAATGGTTCGGTTAGCAGAAGCTTGCTTCTCGCCAAACAGCGTCGTCCCGGCATTGCACATGCCGTCGGGAACGGCGCACACCCCCCCAAGTGGGGTGAATAATCTGAAAAACGAAAACGAAGATACGTTATAGTACTAAACGCTACGAAGTGCACCAAAATACGGTAGGTCTTGTAAGGTACTCGACATGTGAGGATATGATGTGATAAGATGTGAAGACTGTAGTTATGCACATGTGCGCTGAAATTTTAATAGTCATCGTTGGACGGGGTGGGATGATGTAAACCAAATAAACTAAATGGCAATACGGCACAGTATGCTATGGAGCATATTACAGTACTACAATTCCAGCCATAATCCCGACAGTCGAAATCTCGAGGCCTCGAAACAGTTCTGGAAAGCTTTAAAACCTATGGAATCCGACCTAAGGATTACTGTAGTCGCAAGAAACCATGCATTAGAAGTCGAAAAATTTAGTTTTAGTAATTTGTTGGTTTAGTTTCCTTCAGAGAAGTTGGTCCTCTGGCTAAGATCGGTATAGTAGGGGGTAGAAAATCGGCCAAGATGGGTTTTGAAAATTTGGTTGCGCGAAAATTGGCTAAGATGGGCTTCAAAAGTTTTCCGCAGCTGCTAAGACGGATCGAAGGGATCGTCTGCTCCACGTCAAGAACACTGCCTCTGGTCCCGATGGTGTCCGCTACTCTGTGCTGAAGCTCTTCGACCCGGGTGCCAAGGTCCTCGCCGCCTACATGAATGCCGTCCGCCGCCTCAAGTACATCCCAAGCTCCTGGAACGGCTCGAACACCATCTTGGTGCACAAAAAAGGCCCGAAGGATGACGTCTCCAACTGGAGGCCCATCTCTCTCTCGAACACCGTCGCCAAGTTGTACGCGTCCGTGATGGCTCGCCGTCTCGGTAGATGGGCCCGCCTCCACAACCGCATCTCCAACGAGCAGAAGGGCTTCATGCCGGTCGATGGATGCACAGAACATAACTTCCTCCTCCAGTCCGTGATCGTCGAGACTCGTCGCGACACACGGATCGACAGCAAGTGCGCCATTGCCTGGCTCGACCTCTCCAACGCGTTCGGCTCCGTCCCGCATGCCTCGCTCTTCCGATGCCTTGAATACGCTGGCCTTTCGGTTGTGGCGATTGAAGCAATTCGTCGTCTCTACGAAGGTGCCACAACATGCGTCCGAAGTTCTACTAGTCCGACTCCGGCCATCAACATTCAAGCGGGTGTCAAGCAGGGCTGTCCACTTTCGCCGATCGTGTTCAACCTCGCCCTCGAGCCCGTCATCCGTGCCGTCATCAACATGGATGCTGGCTTCGTGATCAATGGAAGGACGGTGTCTGTGCTCGCCTATGCTGACGACCTTGCCATCGTGACCAAGGATCCCGACGATCTACATGCTGTGCTTGAGACCGTGTCCGAAGTCTCTACATGGCTGGGGCTCGTGTACAACGCCAAGAAGTGCGCAAGTCTCGTCGTCAACGCCAACAAGCACACTGCCATGCCGATCAAGTACTCCGTTCAAGGCTCTCCGATGGTGACGCTCGACTCCAACGACCACTACGAACATCTCGGCGTGCCCACCGGCTACTATCAAGGCTCATCGGCTGAGAAGACGATCAACAAAATGCACCAGTGCCTCGACAAGATCCACAACTCGCTGCTCGCCCCCTGGCAGAAGGCTGATGCCGTCAAAACCTTCATCCTCCCGTGCATCGGCTTCCACCTCAAGAACGGCTACGTGGAGAAAAAGAAGCACCTCATCCCCTTCGACAAGAAGCTCAAGAAATACGGCAAGATGTGGCTGAACCTGCCAAGTCAAGCAAGCCCTGAAGTGCTCTACCTGCCGAACGAGATGGGAGGACTCGGCTTCATCCAGACGAAGACCCTCGCCGACGTGATGCAGCTGGTGCATGCTGTCCAGTTGTTGGAGTCGACTGATCTCGGCCCAATGACTGCTCAGCTGCTCCGTACGGCTGTACAGAAGAAGATCAAGCGTGCGCCAACCGACTCCGAAGTGGCCGACTACCTGAACCAGAAGCTCGACGGTGCCTTCGAGACGTACTACGCCGACACCCGCAACATGTGGACAAGAGTGCGACAAGCAACGGGACGGCTGGTCAAGACGGACAAGCTCGACGTGAAGTGGACCTGGGCCAACGACAAGATCCAACTGCTCGTGCTCGGATGTGGCGTCACCAAGAAGACGTGTGAGAAGATGCTCAAGGGCGCCGTCCATCAAGCTCAACTCGTTCACCTCACCGCCAAGAAGAGTCAGGGGAAGGTCTACAACATCACCGCTCGCCAGCCCTGCTCCAACCACTTCATGCGTGACGGACGCTTCCTCCGCTTTGCGGATTGGCGCTTCGTTCACCGTGCAAGACTCGACGTGGTGCCGCTGAATGGATGCAAGCGTGCCCGTGATCACCATGACAAGACCTGCCGCAGATGTGGCGCCACGATCGAGAGCGTCGCCCATGTGCTCAATCATTGTCCAGTCCACAACCAGGCGATCACCCTCCGTCACAATGCCATCGTCGACCGACTCATCAACGCCATCAAGTTGCCCGACACCACCACAAAATACGTCAACGTCAAGATCCCCGGCACGGATGGTCAACTACGCCCCGATCTCGCCCTCATCGACCATGTCAAGAAGCGTGTGACGATCGTGGATGTGACAATGTCATTCGAGAACTACGACCTGAGCGTCTACGAATCTGCACGTGACGGGAAGCTGCGCAAGTACGCCGACATCTTCAACAAGTTCAACGCGGACGGCTACGACACGTTCCTGGGCGCCTTCATCGTTGGTCCGCTCGGTGGATGGGATCAAGGAAACGAAGTAGTGCTGCGCCGCCTCGCCATCTCGGTCAAGTACGCTGGTCTGATGAAGAAGTTGATGGTCGCCGACGCGGTACGCTGGTCCAAGGACATCTACATCGAGCACGTCTGCGGGCAACGTCAATACCAAGCCTAAAGAAGCGATTCTCATTTTTC